CCATTAAGCTCTGGGACACGGCCACAGGCATCAAACAGCGCACACTGACCGGCCATTCCGGCACGGTCAGGTCGGTAGCCTTCTCACCGGACGGCCGCATGCTAGCGTCGGCCTCAGATGACCACACTATCAAGCTCTGGGATACAACCATGGGTGTTGAGCAGCACACGCTGACCGGCCACTCTAGTTCAGTCAGCTCAGTGGCATACTCACCGGACGGCTGCACGCTGGCGTCGGCCTCGGAAAACCACATCATTAAGCTCTGGGATACGGCCACGGGCGTCGAGCAGCGCACGCTGACCGGCCACTCCCGCTCGGTCTGCTCGGTCATAGAGCAATTTACTTCCAGTTATTCTATCTCTGTCGCGGATTCTTGGGTCTCTCTGCGAGGTGAAAGGGCCCTGTGGCTTCCTACTGACTATCGTCCTTTTGTGTGTTTTGCTATTAAGGACACTATGCTTGCCCTTGGGTTATATAGTGGGCGCGTCCCAATCATAAGGTTTGATTTTTCATAGGAGTATATCTTTGTACTCCACTCCAGTCCCTTATTTTCTCATCTCTTTATAAAAGAAGGGCCTGGGATGTCACGGTGCAACCTCCTAAGCTGGAAAGAAAGCAATACTACCGAGTCTTACCGCCCAGCACGTGATCTCTAGATATAGTTAAAAGCCATCTGTCCCCCGGACCTCATTCGTAGCCTCGAGCTACGTCTTGTCGATCAATCTGTATATAGTTTGACCAGTAGCCAGCTCAGCATCCACTTAAAATTCTAGTCGTTATCATCAGTCGAACCCTGTTCACCCGCCAGAACCCACTATTCTACCACCCCTTGCCTGCCTGCACCTTGACAAATACACTATACCTTGTTATGTTAGTGTCTAGTACGATTCCAAGTATTTTATCTATGAAATCTTCACCTTATTGTCAGAAGTGTCGAGATATATCGTTGTACTGGTATCTCCACATCGTCAACCAAATACCCCCAAGACATAGTAGTACCACCCTCCTATCCCTCTTTCCAGCCAATCCAGCCAACCCTAAACCACCCATTCCTTCCCCACCACCACTCCCACCCCGTCCGATCATACAAGTGTACATTACTGAGCCCCGTAAAATACCATACGAAACAACCTACTACAATACCACCCACTGAAATCTCACCCGTCAGCCCACTTGTCTATCTACATCCTGGCACCTGCATCATGGCTAGTGCTGACACACGAAGTGCTCGCCCCGTGGGGCTAGTCCCACCCCGGTAGCGGGTCGTGATTGGTCACCTCGCATATGGAAGTTTAAAGTTATTGGGGGATTTTCCGGCCGAGCGTTGCCTAGTGGGTTCGGGTTCGGGTGGGTATTTAGGTATGCATGGGATGGGAGGGGAAGCTGAGGGATTTTTGTGCTTTCGGTTGGGAATGATTCAGGCCAGGGTGATGGCTGAGTTTAGCAGGGGGGTAGAGTTATGTGGGAGAAAGTGGGTGGGTGAGATGGTGGGAGGTGGTGTGCTGCGCTGTAGTGGCCATCGGGCAAGTGGCACATACTGCATTGACTTAGGGCTCGGTAACTATCAGATTACTCTTCGGGCTTGAGTTATACATGTACGTCTTGTATATTATCAAAAGAATTACAGTTCATACCATAACCAAGCAAATTAATTCAGTCTCTAGCACCAACATACCCTCTACTCATCTTCCTAACTCTTCAATCAACCTTCCCCTCCACCCCTCCACTATATCCCTCACAAACCCCTCCTCATAAAACGCCTCATTCCACGCGACCCCGAGTCTCAACTCCCCCCTCCACGACCACACATTCACGACCAACCCTCTCGACACCACATCCACCCCAATCCACCAATCCACCACCTCCACATCCCCATACTCCTTATCCAAATAATCATCCACCCGACCCAACGAACTCAACACCGGCACCGCCGACCCGCGTAATGGATCCTCCGGCTGCGCGAGAAACAGTTCCAGGATTGTACTCACGTACTGTGGATGGAATGGGAAGATGGGCCGTGGCTGCGCAGCCGATAGATCCCGTGCGTAGCCTTTTCCGAGAGCAGAGGCGATGGAGTGGAAGTCTCGGGTCGTGGAGAGGTCAATGGAGAAGGGGATGCCGGTGTGGTAGACACTCACAGCGGCGGAGGGGCTGTTGTAGGGGGTTGGTAGGTAGCGGCGGAGACTGTGGGCGTTTAGGCCGGTGTAGGTTCCTCCGGGGAGGCCACGGGTGGAGGGGTCGTAGTTGTGTTGGATGTGGGGGAGGAGGGCGAGGGTGAAGGTCGCGTGGAGGGCCGTGGTGATGGTCAGGTTGTGGGCTTTGCAGGTGGTGATGATGCGGGTGCTGGTGGCGGCGGGGATGCTGGTGTGGAGGAAGCGGGTTGTGGAAGGGAGGATGTTGGGGAGGGTGGGGGTGGTGATGGTGGTGGGTGCGTTGTCCAGGACGATGGAGAGCTCGGCGTTGATGGACGAGGTGATTTCCTCCGGGGTCATGGTGCCTGGTGGGGTCATGATGTCGTCGAGCGATGGGTTTAGACGCGTGATGATGTTTGAGGGTTCAGAGGGGGTGGATTGTCCGGAGAGTAGGCGGAAGAATGCCGCCTGGACGTGCATCAGGCCGATGCCGTCGACGCGCCAGTGGGGAGTGCGCCAGAGCAGTTCGCGGGAGTGAGGGAGGTAGTAGAGTCGGAAGAGCGTGGATGGCTCGAGGATGTTGAGAAGATGCGATGCTGGCATGTTTGGTTCCACGAGCAAAGTCTCCTGGGTCCAGACATCGAGCTCCGCTGGGGATGGCACGGTGTAGATGAACCGGGTGCCGCTGTCATCGGCCACAGCAGCGATCTGGGGTTGTTCCTCACGCAGGTTTCTCCACGCCTGCTGGACCTCCTCGACAGGAGGCAGCACCTTAAGCCGGGTCACCGACGAGATCAGATAGTGCTGCTTGTTGAAAGGGGCCGCGGCATCGGCCAGACCACGGTAGAAGACCTCGATCGCGTCAAAAGGCCGCTCATACTGAGTAGGAGAAACTTGTATCCAAGACATGGTGAAGCTGACTGACGAAGATTGATGACAGCTGCAGCATGCGTACACTCCCCATTATATAGGCGCGGGCAACCATGGACCGATCACCGAACTAGTGTTGGCAAGGCTGTCAGGCCCCCCATGGCTGCATGCAGCGTATACGTATTTCGCTTTCCATACATACAGCCCGCAGCCGAGAGCGGAGACATCGCCTCCTTAGGGCCAGACTAACTGCCACTATGTCTGTAGCTGGATCTTCAGTCGGTTGTCATACAAGGCTGTCAGAGTGGGGCGGCGGGTCCAATTAATCCCTGCGCCTATAAATCGTCCCATCCCCTTCGCTCAACTCTCATCAGCATCACCATCAATATCATGACCGGACAACTCACCTGGCTCGTCACCGGCTGCTCCTCGGGCATTGGGGAAGCCCTAGTCCGGGCTATCCTGGACAAGGTAATACCATAAACCAACAACAACATCACGCTAACTGATCCAGGGCGATAAAGTTATTGCTACCACCCGCGCCAGCAAGGGTATCAGCGGCGCCGACCGTCTCAATGTCCTCAAGGCAGCCGGAGCATCCGTGTATGAACTAGACATGGCATCCCCAGAAGAAGTCCTTCAGCAACAAGCCAAAGAGATCTGGGAGACCTTTGGCCCCATCGATGTCCTAGTCAACAACGCCGGCTACATCGAAGCAACCACCTTCGAAGAAATGAAGTACGTTTCCTCCCCCCAGATTACAATAGCTGCTAACCTACCCAGCGAACAATTCCTAATCGACTCCCTCCGCATCAACGCCCTCGGCCCCTTCAACCTCACCCGGGCCTTTCTCCCCATGATGCGCGCCCGCCGCACCGGCACGCTGCTCTTCTCCGGCACAGTCGGCACGTACTACGCCGCCCCGGGCGGAAACTGCTACTGCGGCGCCAAGGGATTAATCGAGGGCGTCGTTCCCAATCTAGCCTTAGAAGTAGCGCCATTCAATCTGCGCGTGTCGATCCTCACGTACGGACACTTTCGGACGCCCGTCATGGAACCAGGACATATTCACCACCGCGCACCGAAGCGGTTGCCCGAGTATGAAGAGACGAATCAGCAGATCCAGAATGGGTGTGCGGATTGGTCGTTGAATCAGCCGGGGGATCCGCGTAAGGCGGCTGAGTTGGTGGTGGAGGCGGTCCGGGGGGAAGGTCGGTGTGAGGGGAGGGAGTTGCCGATTCGGTTGCCGGTTGGGGCAGATACGTTTGAGATTGTGAGGAAGAGTTGTGAGGAGAAGATGGAGATTTTGAAGGAGTGGGAGGGGATTGGGTCGCAGACGAATCTTTAGCTGTTAGAATGGATGCTTTAAATCTTATAGTACTTGGTAAGGGATTGTTGTTGTTGTTGCCTTACACTAGCTATGCTTCTGATTAGAGATTGAACCTGATAGTCCTGATGATGGTACACCCATCTCGGTCAATTGATGCAATAAGAGCACGAGTTACCATCAGTGGTACTGGGATGAGTAAGACGCACAAAACAATACCCTATAGTCATTGTTCAGCTTGGCTACACCTATTATCCTAGGACCGGACGGTCGGCAGTGTGTAGTTAATTACCAAGTCTAAAATATCACAGTCCATCTTTCAGCGATAGATACCGGGGAAGAAGCGTCGTGGAGATCAACGGATTTAAGCTCGTGCAGGAGCTTGGTTGGCTTGTTGTTCAGCGTTGCATTTAGCTCGCTATGGTGCCAGCATCTACTGTAACGACGGGTAATGGAGGTATATATGACTGCGACTACTTAGGGATTTGCGGTCCTAGTAACTTATCCCATCTACTTTATCTATCCAATCAATGACCTTACGGAACCCTTAAAAGGCTCCGGAACTGATAGCGTAGGGTGGGTCTGGTTTGGCAAATGACTGTTAGATCACTTCATAGAAAGTAAGGAGGGCCAAAGGTGGAAGTAAGAATATTCTCATCGATGATTGAGGTGAGGTTGATGGGCTAAGTGATCTTCGGAAGAGAAAGAGTCTGATCAAGTGAGAGCATATTGAGACCTGCAAATATCTTAGTGAGGCACTGGTATTCCAACCATATAAATACCACGACCTCCTTCCATCTTCAATACCCCTCTTGCAAACCACCATCTCTTCCGCCCTTCTCTACATTTTTATTCTACGAGCATCTATACCTGCTTCTATCTGCTGTCAACCTCCGTGGCCAAACCCCTGCAAGACAAAGATTTATCCGGTCCGATGAACGCCGCAAGCCATGCAAATACATGCAGAACGCAGCGCCAAGACGCCATCCGTAAAGGTCACGAAACGAGGAGAAGAAAACGAGAGGCCAAACGAAAGAGAATGCACCATGCACGGCGGTACAGAAGACAGGTATCAATTCAGCACAGGGATGATTTTGAGAACGAGGAAGAAGATTCGACTGCAGGCTCCAAATTGACAGTGCCAAACGACCCAATCCGAGCGTGGTTTGAGGACCGCTTGAGCGAGATAAAATCCTTAATTCAGCATTTGGACACTATGAGAATTAATATGGGAAAGAAAGACGAGGAATACGAGTTCCATCGCGAATATTATCAGCTGGCCGGGATGTTGGCTGATGATTTAGATCATCTCACGCTGGGCTGGCGGTTCGACCTCTTATGGACTCTTCCCTATGATGACCGTCTGGCCAGGGACGGGCGAGTTCGGGATCTACCAAAGGATTCTGACGATAGTCCGGTGCTGAGGGATCCGCCTCCTACTAATCTAGTTGACGAGTATGAGGAAGACTGGAACGAATTGGGTACGATCTGGGGCAAGGCGCAAGTGGAGAGCCTGGAGTTATACGGTCGTTGGCGCATGGAAGCTTGTCGAGCATTGGCGGAAAAGGAACCGAACTGGGATATTGTTGCCCGCTGGCTGAATCGTGCCGTCCTGGAGCAATGGACAAGACAGGGACAAAAGCAAGAACGCGGCTATGGTGTCCAAGGGTGCGATATCCTCAGAGTGTTGGCGATGGATGTGCCGGTAGCGCCAGTCTCTGAGCAAGAGCTCGCCTCAATCAATGGGGTGCTGGATAATGTGGGATTGATACGTACTTGCAACAGCGGGGCCATTCATAACTGGGCATATCGTGGTGACTATGCTCCATACAGCTGAGACACGTGCTATCGTTTTAAGCGGCCCAGCAAGGAGTCAATAGACAGTCATGCCTTGTGGAACTGAGGCTTTGCTAGTCGTCTATCTGGTTCAGAGCTCCGACTTGGCAAATATCGCCAATAAATGCATAGCCTGATCTTTCTATTGTCCCTATTATGTACACTATCCATTTGCCGGGTGAAATAGAACAAAAAAAGACACAAAGAAAGGGGACCGAGTGAAACGAAAGCACGAAAGCGAAAATCAGGGGGAAATCAAACAATTATCTAACCACAAAGTTGATACCTCTTACATTATGCTTATCACTGGCATTTCTGCGGTTGACTTTACATTACATCATGCTTGCCATAACCATGCGCGCTAGGTAGTCGCAACAGCAAATTAAATATGTGTGCCGTTTTTCCCTTTGTAGGCTTACCACCTGGCATGAGCCAACAGATGGTATTGTTCCAGAGTATTAATATTCCCGATATGTCCGAATCTACGACAGTATCTATGTCCACTCTTTCTCGCCCGTGCTACAACAATGAAACTCTGCTGCCTCACGGACAGACAATAATTTTTTCAGGCCATACGAGGGTACATGGCCAAAACCATTAGCTGGATAGCAATACAAACCCCAGGCACAGGTATACAGTCTCGGGAGTAATACGGAGCCCCAAGAAGAAGCAAAAGGAAAGCAGGCAAGGCCTTTGCCAGTAATTTGAAGCCTATTCAATACGGTATTCTGCGAATTATAGCCAGCATATCAAAACGAGTGTATTTAACTTACATGCACATAATAGAAACAGTAAGAAACGTAATAAGCACAAGCTAGCAAACAACCCCTCCCAACCAAGCCACCCACCACCAATTCCCCAAACTACCCAGCCGTAAGATCATAACCATCATTCAGAACCATGCCCAAAGTGTCCATCTCATATCATTCCCTGCTTTATCACTCACATCAGCATCCCCTACTATACCTCTACTGACCTAACCAGAAGCAATTGAGCAGCATCAACCCCGCTTATTCTCTTTCTCATTGTTAGCTTTGGTAGCTCTATGTACCTCCCTTCTGGCACGATTCTCTGCTCGTTTCCTCTGGGACGATCGGCTGGCATCGATAAGCGCCAGGATCATGCTCGATCCGGCTTCGGAGATGCGTTTGTTGACTACGTGACGGATGTTGGGGTCTTCGGTGTTGGACATGGTGGTTTGTTTGGAAGTTATTGGAGTAGATTTGGTTAGATTGGATGGGAATGTGGTATAGGGGGATGATAGGCAGCGTAGGTGGGGAATGGAAGCTTTTATGGGCTGATTTAGGGTAGGGTCTATCGGGATCTTGCGTCTTGGGGGGTGGAACTTCCTGGTGGATATCCGTTTTGTGCAATGTCTACCTTGGGATCTCATCTTGGTGTAGATTGTGATTCCCTTCACGACCGAATACAGCAGCTTGAATTCCACAAAACATACGAAACAAGAGCACCAAATGGGCCGCTGAAAGAAGCAATAGTGGAAGGAGGATTCTCAGAAGAGTGCTACATGAAGAAGCCGCACCGTTGTACGCCGAGCGGCAGTTGTCGGATGGCGAGAATTCGGAAGAGAGGCAACACACTGAACTACTGTGAGGCCAACTCCTCGGAATTCAGGCGGAAGACAGATCATTTAGAGCTTGTTTCCCCACAGGGCAAGGATGGTGAGAAGAGTCCCCAGAGCAATCGAGAACAGAGAGAACTGCAATTACGGACAAAACCAAGCGACCAGTTGTCCTCGACAGAAAAGATGACCAGTCCGAGCGATGTTTGAAATATGATACTAGTGACATGGTTATTTGTTCGCACGATTTATCAACACAATAACTAGTCATCGTTTCATCGGTAATATACTACATACGCGACTCTTATAGACTGCTATATGAATTCATTTTAGATTAGGGTCCCACAACAACGTTTATACCAGAGTAATACAGCATGTCGATAGATGAAATTAATCTGGCAGAATCTTATAAAACAGATGGCCCATTTCGATACATTATGCCAGCTAGAGTACGCCATTCCATACGCCAATGATAATTTGCACATATTGAATTAGAGACGCTTGAAATTACGTAGGTGTTTATGAGGCATTTATTGAATTTAGGTTTGAATATTGCCCCCATAGCGAAGAGCGAGTTCTCTTCTTATGATCAGACTAAAGGTTCTGGGGAGCGAGAGGCTCATTTCCTGTAAGCCCCTTGCTTTTAAGAATACCTGCTCGGTTATCCAGAAATGCTTGATATAATGCTTTCGGGACTGTTCTCTGTTCATCATCCCACACTTGATATTCCACCTGCTCCCAGACTTCAAGCTGCCGGATAAAATTTGCGTTTGGCTTGACTTTCTGCTTGAATTGAATGTATGTAAAAACTTCCTCTCGCTTGGCACGGTATTTGCGCATGAGATATGCAATGATGATAGTTGGGGAACGTGATATTCCCAGATCACAGTGGATGAATACAGCCCCTGGGTGTGCGTCTCGCGGGTTGCCACTCAATTCATGCTCGTGTTTGACAGGTAAAGTAGAGGATGACTGTAAGGCTGGAGAAGCCATCTGATCGATGAAGTCGCAGATGTCGCTCATATGAGCAAGGAGGTCTTGAGTTGAAGAATCTGCGCACTGAACCCATTTGTGTCGATCTTCTGGAATCCCTGCTTCTCTTGTAGCGCTATTCCACCAGACCCACCGAGCATCAGTCAGTGAGACTATAGCATTGATACAATTTTCTTGAAGCATTTCTCGGTCGTATGAAGCCTTGACATTACCAAGGAAAAGACCTGGGACAATCTCTCTCATCCGGGCTGTAAAAGCCATTTCCCATCTCTTGTTCCTATCCTTACTTAAGCTCTCCTCTTCTTCTTTTTCCTTCCTTCCGATCTTTTCTTTGCGATCCTGATCCGCTCCCTCAAAGTGCTCATCGCCTATGCTGGCAGATGATCCGAGTGAGGCAACCATTTGTTTTCACAACTAGTATGGGATTTGCAAGACTTATTATTGAGTATTCCGTAGGCAAAAATGTGAATAAGAATAACAAAGTGGTTGAGTAGGGGACAAGGTCCTTCACGGTCGCAAGTTTGGTAGTCGTCGTTATTTTATCACGTGATCACGACTAGGGGGTCAGGAGCTCGTGACTGTTCTTTCACAAGGCTTCCCTAACTGCCTTCCGCCCAAATCATCAGTATTAGATGTTTTGTAACGTACTTGAAGTGACAAGGGCTTGCTCGCGCTTTTGTATGGCTCAATGTGTGATGAGATCGATTCTAGGCACATAAAAACCAATCAGAATTGGTATCCCAAGGCAAATCCATCGACTGGCTGTCATCATTGATTGGATGTGCAATTGCAGTACATACATGGCACGATTATGATAATTGAATTCCAGTCATGGGCCGCCAGGGCGCTTGAGCGTTAGCACCTTCCTTGAGACCAGTGAAATGCGCCCATCGTTTCGTGATTTTGGATTATGGGTCTAGTTCTGGACGTCCATAGCCCGTATGTATAGTGTGGTGTCTTAGGAATTGTGGTAGTTTCATATATTCACGTATCTGCATACTCAGGAATGTTGTGTAGAGTATGTCACCAGACAAACCATCAAACCTATATACCAATAAAACCCGGATATAATACAACGCCATCCAACACCGCCATGGCGCAAATCCATCAATCAATCCATCAAATCAATACTCAATAACAATGTGGTAATCGCACAAGCGTGGTCGTCAATCGTACAGGTCGCAATGCGGCTTCAAAGGGGACAGCTAAGGAGTGAGGGGGAGGGTGGAAGAAACGCGACTAGTAATGCGAGGATTCGTTTTCCGAGTCTATCCACAATACATGTTAGTTTCGGTTCGATATCGGAACTCCGGAGGGATGAAGGTAACGTACACCCCGACTCCACATCCCTCGCTACCGGCACAGGAGCCTTCCCGCTCAGATTCATCGATTCGCGCTGGAAAATCCCCAGGTTCTTCAACCGGACGGTCCGCATATACGTTTGCTGTTCGGCCGGGTAGTTGTAGCGTTGTTGAGGGGCCTCGGGCCAGAATTGTTTGGTGAGGGCGGCGCCCAGCGACACGAGGGCCAGACAGACCACGATGACGATGACGATGATGGCCGAATCACTGAGTTTGGCCATGATGTGATGCGAGTGTATGTTATAGAGATGTGTATATACAAAACAAAATGTGGCGTCGAGGCGAAATTAATCGTGGTCTGTGCTGGCTGCTAGCTGACGGGAAGTGGATGTGTGGATATGGATAGTCGATAAATGTGTGAGCACTGTGAGGGATGCGAGTGGGAGCGATGCGACTCAACGCATAAACCGGGGCGAAATCGGATGGGAAGAGGAGGTGGGAGGCGGGCTGGACGAAGGTAATAGACAGACGTCGGAGTCAGGCGTGAGGAGTCGGAAGAATAAGAATGCTGATAAGCCCGCGTCGATGAAAAATTCAAGCCGGCTTGGGCTCCACTGTTTATTTATAAACGGGTTAGTGCTTAGCTGGTGGTGACTGAAGGGCTGCTGCTGCTGCTGGTTGCCCACGCGGCCAGTGGTGCCAGTCACGGCGCTGCTTCCAAGGCTCGAGATCGAAGAGGGGGTGGCAGAGCAGGCCCATTGGTCGGGGCTGTTGCTAAGAGGGTGCTGATTGGTCATGGTGGGACAGTGGGGCGAGAGGGGACGATGATGAAAAGACCAAAGGATGGGCAGAATCAACAATACCGTACGTTGTTGCCGCGACATACCGCTGTATCATACCGAGTTGTCTCCAAGTACTTAGCACGGAGTACTCCGTACTGAGCTGTCCATACGCGGTATGTGTACGAGGTCACGCCGGAAGCCTGGTTCTTCCGCCTTCGCGTCGCGTCTTATCGCCGCATTGCTGCATCTGCATCAGACTCGCAACACCAGTATCAGCATCAGCATCAGCATCAGCATCAGCATCAGCACCATCAAGCATACACCGGATCTATCGTTATGATCCTGGCTACTCTCGCTACCATCTTGTCGCCTGATGGTGGACGGTCGACGGGTCGGCCCAACCAATTTGGCCAACGCGGTTCCGCCGTTCCCGAAAGCTTGACTAGGCGATCGGTGCCTGGAGCTGGACACCCCATCCCTCCTTGCCTCATTGGAGGTCCCCCGGTGAGTGACAGCCAGGCAACAAAGCAATCATGTATATTCCTCGATGATCTTCACGCCTGCTGACGTGCCAATTTCTAATCCCCTGATGCTTGTTCTAGTCTACCGAAGACTCGTCCCTGTCGTATTCGCATTCTGAAACACGGGTGGAGCTGAAACACGCTTGTTCCTTCAACCACCGACGTAATAATTCGTCCGCCTACAACTTTCGGGGCGTGAACACCAGGTCCAAGTCCCCAAACTCCAATGCAGCATTGTCCTTAGACCTCTCAACAAATTTGTCCGCCTCAAATCCCGGTGCAAATTGCACATCAAAGGTCATCACCAACTGCGCCACCGTCGTTCGCAGATTCTGAAGAGCCAATGGCTTGCCAATGCAGTTGTAAGCACCTAATCGTGTCAGCATCATCACATCACTGCAACGCGATAATATCACTAACCGATGCTGAATGGCGCAAAAGCCGACTCGTCGTGAATCAGCTCCGGCTGTTGGTACCACCGCTCGGGGATAAACTCTAGCGGCTTTTTATAGCTCAATTCCGCTTATCCGTCGTTAGTCCGGTCGCTTTCGCCTCCGCCCGGGGTTTGACTTACACCGTCCCATGACATACGCCGGACAGATAACAGTGGTGTTGCCTGGGATAAACACTCCGTTCACGCTGATGCCTTCCGGAGGAGTGACCCGTGGTATTGCCGACGGAACAGCTGGGTATAAGCGCAGTGCTTCGTTGATCACACCGTTCAGGTGTTCCAGATGACTGATTTTGTCATCGAGAAAGCCTTCATGTAGGTCACCCTCAACATATGGGGTGAGCTCTGCGCGAAGCCTTTCGATTTGTTCAGGGTGTTTGGCTAGCTCATAGAAAAGAGCAGTAAGGGTGATGGTGGTAGTATCACTGCCTAGGTGAGATGATATCATGACGATGCCCGTTAATGCTCACCTGCCTGCGACGATGATCAATCGGCAATCACCGCCTAACCACAGTCGTTCTTCTGCATCAGGTGCTTGGCCTTTCAGCGGGGCCAGGAGCGATGCGCTGATGTCGGGGACATCAGGTTCATTCTGCTCGGTCAGTGTCAGATGAACAGTCGGAGAGCGAAACCCACATTCATCCTCTCCATCAGTCTCGCTTCGCTATATTCCAATAACTTCCGCCACCCTTTCATCAGTCCTGGAATAGCTACTACCATACGGAACAGCCATGTGGGCAAGCCGATCCCCATGGCCTCCAATGCCTCAACGATCAGTTGCATGGCCCAGTGATGTTCGCCTCGCTCCAGACTCCCAAACCCCTCCCCGAAGGCGAGGTCTCCCATCACATCATATGAGTACAGACCGAACCACTTGTTTGCATTCACCGGTTGACCGTTCATCTTGACCAACTGATCGACCAGTTTCCGGCGATACTTACGGATGCGCTGGTCATACCCACGCAGCCGCTTGCTGCCGAACGCCCTGCTCCATAATCGCCGTCGCTGTTGGTGCTGTACCGGGTCCCGGGTCGTTTGCAACGAGTTGTTGGGGTACGAGTGATCATAGAAGGTGCTCTTTGTGCAGGGGGAAGACGATCCGTAGATGATGTCATTAGCCTTGGGGTCGATGATCGAGAGTTCGGCGGGTCCAATTCGAATATAAGGGCCGTATCTGTCGTGCAGCTCGACCAGCTTGAAATGTCGGTTGTTGTTCCGGAACTGCAATGGGAACCAAAGACTTGAGATTCGGGCGGCCCACGGACCTGGAAAGTCTGCCAAAGGATTGAACATCAGGCGATACACAAGCAGGCTGCCAAAGACCCCAACGAGGTAGGATGTCGCATGCAATGAGACGGTGGCCCAGGCCTCCATCCATGCAGTTCCCCATGATACATGCAGCAAAGCGACCGAAGTCGTGTACAGAGCGCCAAAGAGCTTCAGATAGATTGTTCCGTAGAGATGATGCTCGCCATGATGAAAATAGGCAACGTGCGACAATATGCCCGCCAGAATGGCGGTCTGTATCGAGGATATCATCGTGGGTTGGTAGGGTTGAAAACGAGAGTCGACCGCAGTGTGTCTTATATTAAGCCAGCAGGTGACACAGGCAGTGGCGCACATGAAAGCGAGGAATCGGATCGGCATGCACTGCGTCCATATTAGTTTCAACCCCTCTTCATTGGAATCCGGCCCAGCATCAGCAATTGGTGCCATTATCCGACTAGTGGCGGGGTTTGAGATTGCGCCGCGCTATATCCACGCTGTGACCACATAACGCCGAAACTTGGAGCACGATGTAACCCAGTTCCTTGGCAATCATCTACATGCATGATGGTGCTTATATACTATCTCTGAGGTTCTGGCCTATGTTGTCCTCGTCAAACGTACTAGATATATGGCTCTGCTGAGATCTCCACAGTGTGCTACCTACTATACAAGACCGTGCAGACCCGGACTTCTCCGTGTTTCCCTAGTCCATTGACTAATAACTCGATCTATTGACAAAGTACAGTAACAGCATGACTGCTGCACTATCTTCATCAATTTCAGAACCTCTGTGTCACTTCCCGCATTCATTGCTTGACCGGGATCGACAAATACCGAGCTGACATATACCACCCACTGGTCGTCACCTTGGCTGGCAAAAAGACACATCTGATAGTGACAACCATATCTAACCTTATTCGGTAACCGGTTCGGAGGAACATGAGAAAAACATTATTACAAACGTGTTCCGAGGTTAATATCCATCTCCCATTACTGAACATTCAAAAGACCTACATATTTCGGAAATCTTTTCCTAAGGGGTTATATACGTAGGTGGTATTCCGTAATTACGAACTATAGAATCAACCCACAAAGTCCTATTTACCTACCCATCATTTCTAAATTTTTGAAGTCCACTCCGTAAATAGCTACAATCATAAGTTAAGTACCTCAATTAGAGTACACACCGTGAATCACCATCTTATAGCTAACTACCCCACGGATAGGAAATTCACTTACCTATCTACAAGCTGACAGGTATCGACTGACTGCTTACGCACTTCTTGTATGAACTATAGAGTATACCTCCTCCCGCATAACCCCCTGATGAAGCATAAATACATAAGTACCGCTGAGTAATCCCCATATCATAACTACATTTTATGAACAACGAAAAAGAATGACATTGTAATCGATCATGTGACCCTATTCAGCCACCATGCACCCAGACAAAAGTACTAATTTGGGAATGGGTGACACGACTCCAGTCGCTGCTGAGACAGGCAAAAATAGATGTACATTTCTTGTTCATTTTGGGAGACGAGTTTTGGTACTTTTAGGTGTAGCCTATATGTACGGAGTACTCCGTACTGGGGTGATTATCTGCTAGTTAGGAAAGAACGGTGATGTCACAGGGATATATCTGGTAACAGTATTGCTTATTGTGATTGACATTTGTTTACTGTTTCTCCACACGTATGTCATGGGTATAGTGTACTGCATACGTAGCATATAGCACTCTCAGAGTACTAGGTAGAAGTCGAACTCTCTTAGCATAAGCCTATATACACGAGTCCAGATAATTACAAGCGGCCACTTAATCACGTCAGTCGCAATCCTCTGTACTGTGCACAGTAGTGACCGGATAACGCGTCGACCGGCGGTGAAACAAGGGATCCATCGGCCCAGTTGGCACTTGGCAAAGGGCCGGCATGATCGACGCGGCGGTGCAGCAGCCCCTCACCCGATCTCGGACACCGACCGGACCCAAAGTCCGAATTTTGGGCGAGCCTAGGTCGGTGCTAGATAGATGCGAAGTAGGCTATTTGCTGCTAGGCTAGATCAATGAGATGATCCTGCAGTTGGCCTGATAGCGGTGGGCAGTCTACCCGGCTGACGCTGCCAGCAGCATCATGGCCAGAGGGATGAGTCCGGGTGCGCACCGGGCCGGTTGCAGCTAGGCGGTGATTGGTGCGTGGTGGCGGGATAGGGCTAGGGTTGGCGAGATCACGCCGCCACCCGGGATGGATATCATTGGCGGTCGGATGGGTTACCCGATCGGGAAACCGGACACTCGACCTGCGCAACCACCCGACGCTGGCCGTGCGGGACTGGGAAAAGTGATTCACCAAGAAATTCATACCGAGGGGGGATGATTGGTTGGGGTGAATCACTCCTCACATCGTCGCAATTGCTCGTGGAAAAAGGCCCGGCTTTCGGAATTGGCGAAGCCACCGATGCCGAAGGCGGGAATAATCCGACACATGCGTGTCAGGGATGCCCCGATCCAGTCCCGGCTGACTCGGCCGAATCGGTCCGAGGCCGCGAGTTTCATGGGCCGGTTGTAGAGGTCTAGGCCGAGGAGGTGAATCGGGGTGCTGATCAGTTGGATGGAGGCCGGGATGGCCAGCTGCGCCATGAGGACCTTGAGGTACTCGTTGGAGGCGACGGAGTCCGGGATGGAGGCTGAGACCATGGCGGGGAGACTGAAGGAGCCGAAGATGGTGAGGGCGTCGCGGATCAGGAAGGCCGAGTAGGTTGCAAAGGGGATGGAGCGGCTGACGCGGAGGATCTTGCTTTGCGAGGGGGCGGGGGAGGTCGTGGTGGTCTGGGGAGGAGGTGCGGGGGTGGTCTTGTGGCCGAAGAGCTGGGCGAACTTGACATCCTTCCAGATGCCCACGGATGAGTTGACCACGAACGTGCTCAGGAACTTGGCCGTCCCGGCCATGGCCTGGTCGACGTGGGGATAGACCTGCTCAAGCACGGTTTCGGTGGCATTGGCGGCTGCAAAGGTGGCGGTGTAGAGGGACCAGACCAGGAGACTGGGTCGGGAGGTGAGAAAGGCGGCGGGTTGCGTGATGGAGACCCAGAGGTGTCGACGGAACGCAGGGAAGAGGGGTTGGTTGTGTGACGACTTTTCCACCACCAGCCTAGATGGGTCAGAATCGAAAAGAACAGGGCGGATGCTGCGGCATACCTGTCCAGAATCATGACAGCAGGAGTGACCAAGGCCGCCGAGCCCGCAGCAGCCATCACATCCGCCGTCAGGAACCCTGCCAGCCGGTTCTGGTACATGCCAAAAGGCAGGGTCTGCTGAACGGGGAAGTCGTATTCCATGGTGATATGAGCAGTCAGCCTTGCCCGGGAGGCGATCAATGGTATTGCCGGGTGTTGATGCGAGCAATTCTATCCGAGACAAAGGAGAGAGACAAAGGAATGAAGTGAGAGAGCTAGACTCAAGGGTTAGTATACGGCTGCCGGGCGAGATGCGGGAAACTCACCTGATAGGAGGAGGGATTTCGCTAGAAGCAACGCTGAACCGGGAAAGGAGTGGAAGAAAAGACAATGACAACGAGGTAAATAAAGGAGTGACCACCTCGGCTGGAGGCTTATAAGGAAGAGATAGAGTCATGGCGGCATCACAGCTGGCGACGTCGAGTCTGCCACCCAAACCAGGCACCCGATTCGGGAGGGGAGGGGGGGAACCAGATTCGGCGGCAAGGGCCAATGGCAGCCCACCGGGCCGGGACCGGGTACCCTCGGTGATTTGGCGATAGGCACCGCCTTACCGAAGCTGGCAGGCCGTACCTAATGGAAACTGAGGCTTTGGGTTGGTGGAGCGAGTTCTAGAAGGCCTTGCCCAGAAGGGTGCGTTGGCGATCCACTTGCCAGGCCCGGCGCGCGGGTTGAGGCGAGCCCTAATGTGCCTGGTGGCCGCCCTCCGCATGATCGTCTGGGAGGGATTCGCAGGGTTCATGGTCGGTGCCTGGCCCGTTGCTACCAGCATTGCCTTCCAGGGGGGTGATTTCAACGGCTGCAAGGGGATCCTGGCCACTGGTTAGCGGGGAAAATAATCACCCAGGACAACTGGTTATCCGTGGATTGCCGTGGTGCAGCCGGCAGCGATCGTGTCGATGTGGAGTGGGACGAGATAGTGCCTGAGGATGAGCTAATCCCCCCATGATTTGCAATAAATAAGTCTAATACTTACACCTGGCCTTCCCCTCCATCGGTTGGACCAATCATCCGCCCGGACCCCGAGCATAGATAAGCATCGATGCGATGGTCCCCTCCGGCTCCACTGCGCAACGAGTTCAACCGACGAGGCCACCGGGTTGAGTGTCGGGTCGCTACGGTGAGATCATTTCAGTCATCAAGCCACTGCATTGCCCTCGGGCTACGTTTATCTACTGTAAATCAAACCTGTCCTGCATGTCCCACAATCCCAGCAGCTGGTCACGAACCATCAACGAATGCCTGTAGCAACTGAACGCTTCCAAATAATCCACAAAACGGACCTTGAATCTCACACAAAAGCCTCCACCCGGTCTTGTCGATGCGTCGGTCGGCGCAACGCTCACATAATCACGCAGCACGAATTCTGCTTCTTCGCAGAGGTGTAGAACATCTTCGACTGGGCACTGAGGCCCTCCGACTTGGACACGAGATCATCGATCTTCTCCCCGCGCTCGAGGACCTGTCTGGGTCAGCCTTGCTCCCTGGGTGGCAACGGTCGCACCTACACTTTCGATGGTCTTGTGCAGGACGATCTTGGTCTCGTCCAGCTCCTTCTGAATCTTCAGGATACTATCCACCTGGTGTGGGTCCTGGTAGGCCTGGATGTACGTCTTGAGGGAGGGGAAGGGCACGGGATCACGGGCGGAGCCGGCGTTCGGGTTCAGCGAGACGAACTCGTCGAGCATCTTGGAGAGGATCTGGTGAGCGGCCAAGGAGGGGTATTCATTGTCGCTGATGATGACACCCACAAGGCCTTGGCTTCGTGCGTAGACGTGGAATGTGAAATCTGTAGCCGACCGGCGGTCAGGGGCTGCGGCGGAGGGAGAAGACGAGCACGGGAGATCCTAACTTGCCTTGCTCTTGAATGTCCTGTCTCTGGCCCTGTTTCGTCCGTTCGGCGACGGTCTTGCTGAACATGGTCATGAACTCGCTGATGCTGCCCTTGGTGAAGCGCGAGTAGCTGCTGAGGTCGCGCTCGGCGCAGAGCTCCACGGCGGGAGCTTGGGCATTTTGGAGGATCTAGGAGGTGAGCAGAGTTAGAGGACGCCAGAGAAGGGGAGAAAGCGACCGTAGATTACTCACACCGAGATAGAGGAGCTTCATGATGGCAATGATGCTGGGAGAGGCTGACGTCGTTGAGCTGGCAAACTTGCGGGGATCCAAGGAGGTGCCCAGATCCCTCTCACCGCCCTGGCGCCTGAGGCAGCCGCTCGGCCATCATCGTGCATCATCCCTTCCATCCATCTCCATCTCCATCTTCATCCCTTTGCTTGCTCCTTGATCCACGAACCCTTGCACAACATCAAAGCTTATCTACGATCGATCTGACCAGAGAAAGATTGTTTCCCAGGAGACCCTGCAATGAGATCACGCCGGCCGCGCCTTTTGCGGGAACAGCAATGACAGCAGGAGCATCAGCCAAGTGTCTCATCGCGGTTTCGAATCAACCGAAGCAGGTGATCTGCTGGACGTATACTTCGTTAACATGGCCGACGCCAGTTGCATATTGGCAACTAGTATTACTTTCCCACCTGCGCTCACCAAGCTCAGCACGGCCTCCATCGAGGTCCGCGAGCAGCATAGGTAGAATAGAAGCGTATCCATTCCCGGATTGATGCTCCGTCGGCCAGGGGGAGTTGCGACGCCGCATATCTGTATGCGTATTCGTTTCAGACAAGCCAAGAAACTATGAGAGAGTCCGTGGCCATGTGTCGGCCTCGGCCCTGCCTTGGGTACATCTCTGATCCTGTCAGGATGACGGCAGGGAATAGGTATCGCGACGGACCGTCAGTTCGACGGAACTACTACACAACCGGATACATGTCTTCATTCTGATTATTGCACTCGGTTCATCGAGAAGCACGACAACTCATCAAGCCGATATGGCAAGCATTCAGTCCGTGTCTTGCCATCTGCATAACTATGCACACAGACCAGAACCATACGCAGGCAATCATGCCAACGTCCTCATGCTCCATGGTCGGAACTCATTCACGTTACACCTGACAGCACTAATCGAGCGTAGGTCACGGTCAGTCGATGGACATCTTCTACCACAAAACCCACTTCCTCCAAGATGCCCTCAATATGGTCAGGTCCCAGGGCCAGCCTCTCCCCAAATTCAACGTGTACTACAGCGAAGCACCGTATGATGCGGACATTCCGGGAATGGAATCCAAGGTGTGGGGTCACGGGCTTTTTGACACCCAACCCGTCTCAGGCCTGGAGCGAAGCGTGGGGCGCGTGCTACGGCAGCTTGAGCAGCTCAATCCGGTGGTGGGGATCATTGGATTTTCGACGGGGGCGACCCTGGCGATGATCATCGCGTCACTACTGGAGAAAACGGACCGGTGCCGGCTTTTTGGCGTCCATGTGGGTATACTCGTGTCTCATCAAGGTGGCGTTCCTGACCGGCCCTGCAGACCACTCACCCACCGCTCAAGTTTGTCATTGCCTACAGTGGCTTCATGCTTGGCCATCCAATGTATAGGGAATTGTATTATCCTGCCATTCGCACCCCGGGGCTGATCTACGTGGGCGAACTCGATACCATGATCACACCCACCGCCTCGTACCGCTTGGCTCGAACGCTGCAGTCAGGCGGAGATCATGACCTTCTGGGGAACCCACTACGTTCCCCGGCACGTAAAAACCACCCTGGTAGCGATCGGCTTTGTGTGTCGGTGTGTAAGCAGCGAAATCCAGACAGAGAATGCCGACCAGGCACAGGCTGAAGACGGATGGATGGACGCGTAGGGTGGTTGAAACTGTTAGGCATGTAGATGTCAGAAAGTAATAGAGTTCAAGGCTGCCGCGTGAGAGCCAATGCAACCCCGGTTCGTGAACGGAAGTGACGCCTATCGATAAGGGCCCGCCGGTGCCGCCGCCCAGGCATGCCAGCCCTCCGCAATCAACCCGATACTGGTCGAATTCATCTCCCACCGGCGGACAGTGCTCCTTGACACCTCTCATGTGGGTCGGGGAATTTCTCCGCGGACCTCTGACTGGTCTCAGGCATGAAACGGTGACAGCGGAAATGGATTCCAGTGGAGTTGGCCATTTTTCAACGCTTGCCCTAGTGAATGCAACAAACACAAACGGCCTCAGATCCTCTGCCTGGCTGTGATGTCTATGCCTGTGCTGATGCGGTTGATGCAACACTCCTATACACGCAAACGGGAGTCTCAAGAAATGCAACTACTTCAGCGACATCCCCTTTCACAGCCTGGCGACTGAGACATAAATAGCCCCTCCATCCCCTGCTCTGAGACTCTCATCAGCATCAGCAACGCAATCAATCAATCAACTCAGCAACACAACTTCACTCTTCTCAAGCATCTCCAAGTGCAAACCACCACTCGCCACCATGAGATACACTGCCATCGCCCTCGCCCTCGCCTCCGTGGCCCTCGCGCAGCCCTCCGCCCGCACCGCCCGCAGCGGTCCTCTCTTCCCTGCCCCGGCCGGCATGACCGTCTCCCAGGGCCAGGACACGTGCGGTGACAACGCCTCCCTGTCCTGCTGCAACAAGGCCACCTACGCCGGCGACACCACCGACTACGACAGTGGTGTCCTGTCCGGCCTGTTGAGCAACCTGCTTGGCTCTGGCTCTGGCTCCCAGGGTATTGGCTTGGCCGACCAGTGCTCCAAGGTTGACGTTCAAGGTACGTTCGCTCAATTGATTAGTAGGATACTACTGACAATAATAGCTCTGAGCCTCGTCGGTCTGAACGACCTGCTCAACACCCAGTGTGAGCAGAACGTGGCTTGTTGCCAGCACAGTGATTCCAGCGCGGTAAGCACATCCCCTCTACATCCATTGGCTTTATGATCTGGATGGTAACTAACAGGATTAGGATGGCTCCGTCGTCGGCCTGGCTCTGCCTTGCATTGCTCTCGGCTCGCTTCTGTAAGCGTCCGCGCCTGGATAGCAGACTCTAATGGTTAGAAGATAGACTAGATCGATCCTATAGGACTTAATAAAACTAGAGTTTGCTAGATTGCTTCATTAAGGCTTGTAGACTTTGTTGCCTTGGGAGATATAGCCCATGGTTTATAGGTCATGAGTAGCTCGGTAGAATAGTTGTCACTTCCCACTATAGTAAACAATGCGTAGCCTCGTCTTAAGTGTCCTACCAACTACCAACACCCACCATGTATGGATAAAGTACACCACTTAACATAGTAGTACTAGTACTCAGCACTATATATATCCATGTAGTTCTACAACATCCAACATCAACCCTATCACCCATTCTACTGATTATGTTCGGTGTTGGTTAATAACATATACCACCTTCATATACACCTCGATCGATAAATACACATGAAATACACATGAAATGGTACGCTTTGCCTTTTGCTAGATGGGTGTCTTGGTTGTTACTATCTGTGATAGATGGACCACGGTTTTGATGAGTGTATGTGTGTCTGAGACATTGTTTTGTGCATTGGATTGGAACGAGTCTCTTTGTTGTAAAGGATATATGCATTAATTGACAGGAGAATGGAAAAACAGGGAGAGAATGTGTGTGTGTGTGTGTGTGTGTGGTGAGTGATGAAATTATACAGTGCACCACATCATTGATCTGCGTATATCCTGCAGACATCACAGTAGATGCGTTTTGGACATGTCAGTGTTGGATGTGAAGATGAATCCAAAGGTGTATTAAAGATGGAGGCTGGTTGAGAATGATTCTTAGAGATTCAAACAGAAACATTGGATTGTAATTTAGTGGGTTGGGGCTTGGTTCGAAGATTGGTGGGTGGTGGTGTTAGGCTGGGAGGATTGCAGCATTGATATGGGTAATGTTCGGGGATCGGTCGTGGATTGTTAGGATGGATATGAAAATGAAGCTGTGGAAGGAAGGTTTGAAGTTTGATATCGGGGAGGATGTAGGTCGAGGGTGAGACGTGATGTTGAGTGTGTTTGTCGATATTTTTGTGGAGTACAGCATGTACATGTAGATCGATGAAATGATACCAGACCGTGATATTTCAGACTGCATTACTATAGTAGCAACAATCTACGCCTTAATCTTCGGCTGCCGGATCATACAATACAGCTGGTTTGATTAGCCCACCCACAAGAATCCCAACCCAACCGGGGTAAAAAACATACCTTGCACCGATCCCGCCCATCCACGCAATCAATCTCACTGACCAACTCAAACCCCAACTTCTCATAGATAGCCAAGTTGGGAAACCCCTTCGAACTCTCCAAGTAACAGGGCATACCCTCGGCATCGGCCTTCCGACTCACCACCTCGACCAACTTCCGTCCCACCCCCATCCCCCGCATCGACGAATCCACCGCAATCACATTACAAAAGTAATACCCTCTCGGATCGGTCCAGACTTTCTCATGCGTCTGGTGCTGGCGATCCTTCCACATCCAATACCGACGGACGTTTAACCCGCCCCGGCCCCCGAACTTGATGTTGAAGAGGAGTTGGCGGAAGGAGAGCAGCCAGTCCTGGGCCCAGACGGACCACGGGATGGGTTGGGAGGGGGGTTGTGGGCTGTACCACCAGCACACGCCGACCACGGTAGGTCCAGCGGCGGGGTATTTGTCGGAGGGGTGCTTCGGGGCGGGCGATTTGGCGACGTAGATGGGCTCGTTGCAGGAGAGGCCGTAGAGGAAGTGTGCGGTCAGTGAGGCGGCGTTGCGGTGGATGTTGAACTGTGGGAGTTGGTTATTTAGGGGGGGATGCAGCAGGGTAGGCAGTTGCTGGGTGGGAGGTGGGAGGGAGGTCTACATGTACAACTACCTAGGTGTGTACATATTCATTCGAGGTACCAATACCCCTCGGGGGATGCGGTACCTGAATGGAGGGACTACTTACCCCGGATGGATCGTTAAATACCCAGTGAAAGTACGGATCGTCGGCAAAGGCTTTCTGAATGCATGCTACGGCCTCGGGAATGTCCGCCTTGGTTAAGGGGAGGATTTCGATGGCCATGATGGGTGTGATTTGCTTGCTTTGAATATGGGTTGGATTTGGTTTAGGGCTGGGATGGATTGGTTTGGAATAAATAGTTCAATAGATAATCAATTGGGCAGAGATTCAATTCCTACTGGCCCTGCGGATCGGTTGCGAGAGGGCAATGGTATATGCGTGAGAATGACGGCGGAGGGGATAAAGAGAGAGCGCCATCTATTGATGGAAGCCGGAGAGATAAGACGGGATGATAAGGGGAGGGTGAAGAGCGGCGAGCGCGGATGAGGAGGAACCGACCAAATTCGATGAAAATCGATGATGGATGATGAATGACGGAGGATGAATGCGAGGAGAAAGCCGGTGAGGGCGTACAGGAGTTTATACGCCCGCTGAGCTGCTCTCTCCTGCGTTCTCAATCAGGCAAGTCCTACACCGACCCCGTGACGGCCCGCGCTAACCGGGTCCGGTAGTTCGACGCGGCGGCGCCCGGCTCTGCGCGCCCCCTTCCCCGCCAATCATGGCCCTGGGATCGCCCACCATCGACGATCGCCAAGCCGCTAGACGAGATCCGGCAGGTTGTGCCGGGCTGCAGCTGGCCTTATCCCCCGTGACCCGATAAGCAGCTGGGGATGGCTTCGTGGGATGCTGAGATGTGGAGTCGTCTGCCAACTGCCGGTTCAGTAAGGGGTAATTGCCCAGGTAGTGGGACTGGGATATGATAGGGTGGGTGCTAGAAAGCTTAATATATTGAGTTACGTGGTACCTTGAGAGGGCTATCAGATCCGACCACTATGTGCTGGAGGCTGTGTTATCTATTCACATCAGTATCGTGCAAGGGGTCCCAAGCCGCAGGTGTAGTGTGCTGGCAGCGCTTTCCAATACGATGATGGGGTAATGCAATCGCCACAAGGTATGCCTGGGTTGTGCCCTACCGCGCTGACCGTTAAATCAAACGAACTGTATGCGTTGGCTATACACATGGGATACAGAGATACCCAATGACTTGTGGATTGTTTCTCAGGCTATTTGTCTGCTCGATCGCAGCAGATGTGATGCCAATTTGCAGTCTTTTTGGTCCCGCACCATGTAGGCCCTGGTGAGTTGTTTGTATGTAGCTCGCTGAATAGCCACATGTAACGGGCTTCATGTCGTCTTTGGCCTTTTCATCGTCATAGTTTCGAGTCCGGTTTTGTATATCCTGTTACTGTCATCCCCTGCTTGAATGATCTATTTGCCTTCTGCATATTTTCAAAGTGTGGCGTGGCACTTGATTCAGGGCAATCCTATGAGACTGGTGGTTTTATGTTGGAACTCTTAACCAATATGGAACACCGACATATCCCTGCCATCTGGGGAGCAGACGGAGATAAGGTGTCCCAACATTGTATGCAGACCTATATATAAAAGTGAATCCCAACACGGGCTTGGAAGTAGTATTGGCCTGTTGGAATTGTCTACTGTCATCTATCAGTTTTAAAGCTTCAGATTGTTATCATGTGAGCCTGTTTTTGAATGTTCAGGTAGGATCTGAATTGATGATTTGACATCAAGCACTACGTAGGCCAAAATGAATATATCCCTCCTTAGCCCCGGGCGTAGAAGGTAAAAATATGGCATGTCTCAACATTTGGTCTAGGCAGAGTCCGTGGGGAATATATACAGTAGATCTTATGAATATGGATAACGATGTGAGTGAGATTGCTGGCCAGAATGGGGAAAAAAAAAAAGAAAAAGAAAAAGAAAAAGAAAAAGAAAGAAAGAAAGTAACCGTTTACATTATTTCTGAAGGAACTGAAGGAAGCTGGATAGCTTCCTGAGCTTATTAGGCAATCTATAGAGGGTGAGATGTGGTATCCTAGGATTAGATTTCTGGTGGATAGACCCAATCCAGTAGACCTTACGGACATCATTTCTACACTATTTCCGTGAGGTATACCTACTCAATGCTATCACAGTGAGTCACCGTTCATTCAGCAGGCAAATTCCATGCCTGTTCCGCCGCAGGATTAAGTCCTTCTGACCCCCGGACACACATTGAGACTGTAAGATCCCCGTGGTGGATTCTCTAGTGCCTACTTTGCCATGTCCCGTCATGTAAAGAGTCCATGTATAAGTGAAATCAGACGATCACAGTATAAGTTGGATATGCCCCCCGAAGTCCAACCGATACGTGAGCGCCACCCTGTCGACGCACCTCTCGGGCAATGCATTTACATCACCCCTTCCATTATGAAGATATCAAATTGCCAGATCTGTTCTAGGTGATTCACGTGGTTATAATGTGAAAGGAACACCGAGTCTGTTTACCCTCAGCGACTGACCTGAGACAGGCGGCCGAAAGGAGGCTTAGGTCTACCATTTGGCGCCATAACCTTCGAATTCCCTGAAATATGTGGGGAACGTTCCTCTGGGACATTTGTTCCCCAATGGAGAAGAAAGTCCGACTACTTTGCATCCTGACTTATATCCTCAGGACAGAGGGTCGCATGGTGAGGTCTCCTACCCATTGGAGGGTCCGGCATAGGCAAGGGGATGATAATTACTTGCAAAATAGTCGGCAGTCACGCCGGCGAAAAGGTCCATCCGTGACAGTGGCTGCCGGCAAAGCTGTCGGGACCCATGCAGTTGGACCCGAATCCGTCGGTGGGGTCTCAGGTGGGAAAATGAAAGCATTCGTGATGATCGGGGGTCGGGTTTCTGTACCTGTTAGGGGCAGCCGGGGATGGCAAAAGGGATGGGAAAGGGGGACCATACCTTGGAGTACCAGTGTAGTTGCAGCGAGTAGGGCTTGCGCGGAAGGGGAAGAAGGGCAGCCATGCCACGACCAAGCCAGCACTGTAAGTGTGACAATCGGAGCAATCCAATCTGGGCGTGATCGGTGAGTGTGACTGGACCTTTCCTCAGTTTCCGTACCTACCCCCCCGCTGCTGAAGGGTGGAGAAGGGGAAAAGAGGATGAAAATGTGAGAAGGGTTGGCCTGGGCTGTGAATAAGGGCACGAGGTGAAGGCGAGAGAGAGAGAGAGTGAGAACGACGGGGAAGCCGGAACCATGGTGAAGAGCTCATCCCCAGACACCACCTCCCCCTATTCCATCAACCCCCCTTCTCAGGATGACTTACGTCAACCAAGGCAGCGTGCTTGGCGTCGGCGTTCTCTTTACCCTGCTGGGAACCTTGGCCATAGCCGCTCGGTTTTATGTCCAAGGTCGAAGTAGGCGGTTGGGAGCTGATGATTGGATTGCCCTGGCAGCATGGGTGGGATGGCCCTCTTTCACGGATTCAATGCTTATAGACGAATTGGCTAACGGGCGGATTGGCATGCAATAGGTACTCGTGACAGCTGACGCTGCGATCATGATCGCCGGTAGGAAAAGCCCCTCCCCTCTTCCCATGACGGTCTGGCAATGAAGCCCAGCTCATCGAGGACCGTGAACAGGTGCCACGACACGTACCGTGGGCAGCCATTCACCTGAAGGGATTGCCACCGAGATTCTCTACTACGATGGATGGGACCAAGTTCTGCTGGAACGGGTGAGCTTTCTCTCGTCCCCTTGGCATCCTGGACAGTGCTGATCCATCCCCCGACGCGCAGTTCGAGTTCCCCTTCGATCTCTTCCAAATCGTGGCGCTGGCAACCCTCAAACTCTCGGTCCTGTTCTTCTACCGGAGAATCTTTGTGGGACGGATCTTCAACATCGCCAGCTGGGTGCTGACCGGGGTGGTGATCGTCTGGGCAGCGACCTTTGTGATTGCAATTCTGTCGGCATGTGGCACGCGGATTATGGCCAATTTCGGCACCCTGGGCGATCTCAAGACCGAATGTGTGGATACCTTTTCCATTCTGATCGCCCTCGCAGCGTCAGATGTGACGGTGGACCTGATCATGCTGGCCATTCCCCTGCCTCTGGTAAGCGTTTCTGCAGTCCCGCATGGCCCCCCTCCATCGACTGGGAGAACCTCACTAAAAGGTACAAGGTACTGTCTCTCCATCTGCCGTTGAAGAAGCGCATCGGGATCCTCGGAGTCTTCCTCGTGGGATCAGCGTGAGTCCAGGCTTCTCGACCATTCACCCCTCAAGCGATCAACACTAACCATTCCAGTGCCACGGCATGCGGTATGGCTCGGATGGCGCTCTTCGCCAGCATCCTCGGACCCAAATGTATGTATGCTCCTATCGCAGCCCCCACCAGCAGGCCCATGACCCTCCACTAACCCTTCATAACCGTAGTATTCTCCGAAAAGACCGTCGGGGGCGTCTCCTCGAGCGATGACATCGGTCTGTTCTTCCTCCCCCCACCCCTCTCTCCCTTCTCTCACCCACAGCACTAACTCCATCACAGGCATCGTCAGCATCCTCATGTTCTGGGGCATGCTGGAGATCGGCATCGCCATCGTCGCCATCTGTCTCCCCATCATCTACCGGCTCGCCCGGGACGCTTCACCGGGCCATTTCCTCAACAGCCTGTTGAGTCTCCGACCCCTCCGTGGCTCCACGACCAGCAAGAATGCGTCCTTCACCGAGTTGGATTCGCATCAAATCCAGGGCTCGCTGCCACATCACTCCAGGGGTTACCGCGATGATAGCAGTGCGGATCTCCGAGTCCCCCTGAGTCCCGGAAGGAGTCCCGGAGCCCCGGGATGGTCATCCATGTGGAAGGATGATTCATCTTCCGTCCCCCTGCAGGGTCCGGTACATGCGGTTGCGGTGAGGGAGGAGTCTCGTGGGTTGGACCCCGCTACGGGTCAGATCTGGGAGATGCGCGAGATTAAACAGACGGTTGAGGTGGTTTGAGAGGGGGGGACATGGTAGGTTGGGTACTACTATCTTTCTTTTAAATTCTGTGTTACTATGTATGCAACGCTGCCTAGCCGGGGCAGGACAATCTCTATTACTTTTACATCTTCGTTTTTCTTACATTCTTGTATGCATATATTTGAAGGCATATCGGCCCCTAGCACCGTCGTCAAGACCTGCGCAATACATTTTGTTGATCTATTCGATTGATCGAGTCATTGTCGGCCCGCTTATTCTATGTGTGGGGAGAGCCACCAAATATATATCTCTCGGACTAAAACAAACCAGGAACGAGGCCCCATATTCTCAATTTCTCCCCCTCACGGAGCGAACTCTTCAAGTAGTAAAACCACAATCGTATATCTACACACGAAGACAAGTCTCAGATACCCCCCTCGCCATCCACGGCGAAATGCTTTACATCTGACGACGCATCCGGCCAAGATCCCGACGCTTCGATGCAGCCGAGATCGTCAGCGTCTCGGAGATCCCCGCCGTGCATTCCGTACCGGCTGCCATTCTCTGCGACGCATCCCATTCGCCGTTGACGCAGCGCTGGAAAGCCGTGCCGCCGTTGCAGTACCAGTAGTCTTCTTGGCTGCAGGAGCCGCTGAGGACGCCGGAGGTGGTGGAAGTGGAACTGGAGGTAGCGCTGGTGGTGGTGGAAGTCGAGTCGAAAGTACTGGAGACGTCGATGTTTCCGTTGGATTCAACCATGCCGGGCTGGGTTGGACCGCCGATTGGGCCAGTGCCGGACTGGGTGTTGGTGCTACCGGTGCTGCTGAAGCTGGTGGGCTGGGCACGAGTGGATGTGACCATGGTGGTCGGGGAAGTGGCAGAAGACACGGCAGCAGAGGTCACGATGGTAGCCTCGGTGGTTGAGGCACTGGTGACAGCCGCAGTAGTCGTGGCAGCAGCAGCAGTGGCGGTACTGCCCGCAGTATAGAGAGTCGGTCCGGGAATGGTGTAACTGCTGATGGTCTGCCAGATGTCGATGTAGATGCCAGGATCGGTGTCCTGGTACAGCGCAGTACCCAGGGTTCCGCTGGGAGTGGCCGTACCGCTGCCAGTGACATTCAGGTTGATGCACTGGGGATAGTTCTGGGCCCCATCCAGGTCCTCTGCACCGTGCAGCGCGATAATCTCGTGACGGAGAACGTAGTTCCCAGCTGCGATGTCAGTAGGAATGGTGATGTTGCGGCTGTAGCTGTTATCGATGAGCTCGTCGGTAGCCCATGTACCAGGGATGTCGGTGTCGTCGATCAAGCCGCCAGCGTCGATCTTGAAGAACTGCAGGGCTGTCTTGTCGACATCCGAGCAAGAGCCGTTGCAGTTAGCCAGGTAGGTGATTACCGGCCCGTGGTGGTCATCGGGCCAGGTGTTCCAGGTCAGTTTGACCGTTCCACCAGGGGCAACCGGGGCGGCAAGCGCACCCGGAGCGGAGCCACGGTGGCAGATAATGTTGGCGCTGTCATAGTTGGTGGGAGAGACGTAACCATCATCGGTGGCATTGGTGGACCAGGCAATCAGCTCGGGAGGGTCCGACTCGTAGTAGTAGGTGTCGACCAGGTAGCCACTGTATGTGGTGCCATCCACCTCGATACTGGAGACATAGCCATGGCCTGCCACCACAGAAGCCGAGGCCAGCAAAATACTGGCAACCTTGGAAAGAGACATTGTATAGCTTCCCGCACAGCGGAAGAAAAATGGGGGTCAAAGAATGGAAGAACTTCAATCAATGAAGTTCAGGAAAGGAATGAATGACTGGAACGAGAAGAGAAGATCGCCTGTAGAAGGGAAGCAGTTCGGTGGGATCGATCACGCTATTTAACATCTGGCGATTGGTGTTCAACACACATGGACCTGGTTCACCCTAAGCGACGCTCCGTGGCTCCAGATCGCGTAGCTTTGATGAAGGGGCACTGATCACATCCGATCGACAAAGACGTGCATGGTGGTTTGTTGGGCTCTTCCGTCCGACTAGCTGTTTCAGCTGTCTGGTGGACTTCGCCGAACCATCTGGATGACGTGTTTGCATTAGGCTGGACAGACTGTTCTTGTATTGCCAGGTTTCTGGTCAGGATAGTCGGCAGTTCTATGACCACTGTGTAGCTGATGTGCGGGTTTCACCTCTTGGTGCAGGTCACGGTGTCGCAAACTCACTCCAGGTAGAAAAGAATCAGCCCTTCACACCAAGCATCTTCAGCCTTTCAGGACGCGGTATGGAGTATGTCCCGAGATGTCGGATGCTCATCTGCGGGGAACCCACTGGAGTGTCGGACATAAATTAGGGTCCGGCAGATCGGGGATCCAAGCGAAGGGAAGAAACACGCCAGCGCCTAAGCGAGATGAGATGCTGCCCGGCCCCACCGTTCATTCCCGAGTACTTTTCCTTTAATTAGCTGTGCAACCTTTGCCTCTGTGCGCAATGACTCGAGCGAGGCAGCCGCCTTTTTATTATCGCTTTCGTCTGAACGAATGGCAAGTCTTTCCCGGGGTGCATCCCAGTTGGAGCAGCCCAACCGCCTCTTGAGGTGGTCAGCCCTGCAATAATACCTAGATATCTGTTTAGAGGAAGAGTGTCAACTTAAAAGATAGCAGCACTTCTCTCCTCTGCCATTCCCAAAGCTCAGAAGAGATAGGTGGTCCGATGAGAAAGCGATAGGCAAACCCTCACCTCACTTCGATTCGTTTAGAATCCTAGCGCGTGAGGGACGGGTATGGGAAAGTACACTGCGATGTCTAGCAACGGTCTGGAGTCAGTAGCAAGTTCCTGCACTGGGTCTGAACGATGCTACTCAGGGATGGGGAATAGACTGAACGGTGATTGGTGTGTATCGAGAGTCCTCCCAGCTACGGATGGATTCAGTTTCCTAACAGCGCCGGGCATTAGCACTATCGCTTAGAGAGGGCAGATCCACGCGGATGGTTCTGACTAGTACATTCGTCTCCGCTGGTCCAATCTTGCATCTCGGTAGGTGGAATCACGCCAGCCGAATCAAGGGCTGGGCAGTTTCTCAGGACTGTAGGCAATGCGTCGGGCTATGCAATGACATGGGCTAGGATGCTGTATGAACAGGTAGAATTGATGGGATTCAGAGTTAAAATCATGGATGAGGGAATGGGTGTAATACGGCCATAAATTGGTATACAACTTCCGCTCGGCTTCGGTCTTGGCCAGGCCCACAAGAATGTCCTTGAATCGACGACTGTTCCCTCGGGCCGTCTCATAATCTGCCGGATCGACCATCCCGTCGACTGGCAGCACCCCTTGATCGCGAAACAAGGCCAGCATTTGCCCAATGCCATCGATATTCTTCTCCTCTTTAGCGTGAGACTCGAGGTCACTCGCCGAGAACTGAATTGGACAAGGTGGCTGATTGCCCGGGAATATGTCCTGCCACTGACGGGCTACGGCTATTAAGGACTGACGGAGGAAGAAGAGAACACGATTCCCCCACATCCCAGTGACGAGCCAGACCGGCTTCTGCAGGACGGGAACCGCTCTTTGACGGAGGACGGCCCAATCTCGAGGGGGCACGCTTATAGACCTGCGCTTCATAGTATTTATGGATGGTCTCACTCTCCAATCATCCTCGATCACCTGCTTGTCGCTGTCGCTAAGGGTATCGAAATTGGCGGGCCACTCGGAAATGGCCCAACCATCTTGCACCGGTCGTTTGGAAAGCTCCTCCTCCTCGTGCGATCTGATCGCATCCCGTCAGTTCAGGGGGATGGAAGTGGCTGGTTCACTTACAGCCAGCGGTGTCTGCTGTATCTGTAGAGGTCTTCCTCGGGGAATCTCTCATCTCGGGACAGAAATTAGTATCGCCTTTGAAAGGACTGGCGGGATTCACGTACAGGTTTCCATCTGGTGTTTCGGTGTAAAGTTCTGGTGAGTGGCATCGGGTTGCTCTCCCGCCCGGACTTGAGGATAGGCACCGTATGCCCTGAGACGGCTGACGGGGCAGGACTCGCTGACAGAGCCTGTTTTATATACTCATGTAAGCGGCTTGTGGTCTTTGGTACATGCTTTTTGCATGTGCAATTTTGCGAACATCTAAGAAGTACTCGGTCTATGGCCGTCTTGAATGCAACACGCGGAGGCGGATTTACTGCCATCCCGATGTACCCCGTCCAGCCAATCACAAAAGGGAATGGTCTAGTAGTAGCCTTGGAGACTCGCAAGGAAACTGATTCAGCTTGGAATGGCATGTCTCAAGCAACTAGCTGAAAGAGGCTGGTGAAGAAGAAGTCGGAATTAGCGCTGGGGTGGAGGTCTGAAGATAAGTATGTGGTTCTTGCTCGGTCGGGTCCGACTCAAGACCACCACAAGCATCAAAGGGTTGAATCAGCTTGATGTCATGATACCTGATGCCAAAATAACCGGTAATTTCATGTTGAGACATGCTATTTCTACCTTCTACGGCCGAGGCTAAGAGGGGATATATTCCTTTTGGCCTACGTGATTCTTGACAATTCATTATAGCATATGATCCTATCCTTCAAGGATTCTGATATGGATCGCTGTCTCTATCTATCGTGATTCAAAGTGTACGTCAGTATGCCAAGTAGGGCATTTCAAGGCTTGGATGCAATCCAACTAGGTTCTTAGTTAAACGAAATTTTTTCCGGACTTGCTATAGTGATAGTCTAATGACTTCGATGACAAAACGATGGTATTAGCGAGATTAGACTATGCGGGGAGATCAAAGTCCTTTTGTATGTCTTGAAAGTGTCTTGAATTACCTAGTTCACGTAGGATATCTTCTCCTACGAGTCGAGAAACTAGAACGTGCCACAGTTGGAAACGCCTGTTACTCTCTCGTATGGCTTGAAAATATGGGCATCTGACTTGTGGATTAGCCGGTACGTGTTTGAGATAACACGACATCTAATCCATGTGGATTGAACCGTACACGCATCTAGCTTGTATACCTCTAGCTGTTCCACCTCCGGAATGAGACAATCGAGCATTGATCAAAGCTTGGGCCTAGATACACGCCGTCCCTTAGCCACCATCCGTGCATATGGATGGGTAGCAGACCCAGGGACCAGATGGTCGATATCCCCCGTGTTGACGAGATGGGGACCCGCTTGGTCAAGGCTGGTGATACCGGTATTCCGCATTGCCGTTTCCAATTCATCTCTCATGACTGGGCCACTTGTTAGCAAGAAATTGTATCAGAAAAAGGAAACGGAACACGTACTATCAATCAGATGCTCCACCCCCTCCTGGCCATAGTTCGCTGCAAAGAGCATACTGCGTCCCATTCCCACCGCTGTGGCTCCCAGACAGACTGCTTTTAGGATGTCCGTTCCCCGGCGGATCCCGCTGTCGACGTAGATCTCCATTCGATCGAAGATTTCCGGGCACCGCTTGTGGAGCTCCAGAAGCGTCACAATGGATGGTGGGCTGGTATCGAGGTTGCGCCCACCGTGATTGCTCAGCATAATGCCATCCAGTCCGGCTTCCATGGCGAGAATAGCATCATCCGCGGACATGACACCTTTCAGACATACCGGCAAATGCGTATGCTGTCGCACCCATACCATATCCTCCCAGGTCAGCCCAGGGTCGATGAATCCGGCCATGACGCGACCGAGGCCGCCGCCTTTCTTGTCGTTCTTTGCTTTAGATGGGGCCATTGGGACAGACAACGTCTCGTCGGCTTTAACGCGCTCATCCGCCTCTCTCTTCCCAGGCCAGGCGGCATCGACCGTTACGAAGATGGCCTTGATGTTGGGGTGGGCAGAACATTGGCGGAGAAGAGCTGCGGATTTCTCGCGGTCTCGGTTCACGTATAGTTGGAAGAAGAAATTTGCAGAGGGTGCAGCATTCCGGAGGTCCTCGAGAGGATAGGAGGAATTGTTGGAAATCTGTAAGTAGTCAATACGGTCACGCTTATGGGAACGTCTCTAGATATAAGGGAGAAGTATACCCCCTGGAAGATGCCTTTATTCTCGCACGCCCTGGCAATGGCAATTTCACCGTCCGGATGAATGAGCTTGGCCATCGCGGCCGGGCTGACGAACAACGGGAGGCGCGTGTCGACGCCAAGCAGCGTGGTTGTCGTGTCCACTGACCGCACATTCCGCAGGACCCTGGGCCGCAGCCAGATGCGGTCGAAGCAAGACTTGTTGGCATTCCGGGTGAGCAGGTCCGTCGCAGCACTGGAATAGAACGCCCATGTTTTCTTGCTGGCCGTTTTCGAGGCGACCACTTCGAAATCATGGGAATTGATGAGAGTATGAAGGGGCGGTTTCTCGTTCTCCAGGAGGACTTGGGGATTTTCAGTCGGCGGCTGCTTCACCCATTCATCGTTGATTGTCGACTCATCCAAGGTTCCCATAAGTCTCTCGGGTGATAGTTGTGTTTTGATGACACTCGGGGCATGGACTTCTGCGTATGCTGTAGTAGCGTCACGGCCGGCGTACTTTAAGATAACTACGGCGTCGGTCAATCGCCATGTTTTCTGAAAATGGGTGACTCATCTCACTTGTAGAACCTCCCGGATGCTCCTCCAAGAAATCCGTCACATCCCAGACCTGGTTGTCGACCACAATCCAACAGTCTTCGGGTGTCTTGTGCTGGGAGATCTGCTGTGCCGACCAACGGGCCCTATCCGTCATTGCGTCGGTTCTGGATTACTGATCTGTTGCATGAACACCCGAATAGATGATGGAGGTCGATGGAAGGGAATGTCCAGAGTTGCGCGAATCTAATCAAAGGCAGAGACAGAGCAAGCCGGGCCGGTAAGCATGATATAGCTCTTCCCCAGCGGGCGGGAAGCAAATGGCCCGCGTGCTTCGGCACATCATCAATGCGGGGAGACGCTAGCCGCAGCCTGTGCTGGCCAAGTGGCGCCAATAGTCTCGGGGCTCGGAGTATCCCTGCCCTCGTTCTTTTGGTTGGGTTGGCATGCCAGCAAAGGTTCACGGGCCCTGCTGAACGCTCCCATTCTCGCCGTGAGAATTGAATTGGAAAAGTTTCTGACATGGCATGCGCATGTCAGCACCCACCATCATGGGAGAGCCAGAATGGGGATTGGCGGTGCGGGAACGTCGGGGAAGTCGGAGTATCGCCGAGTCTTTGCGGCGGTCGGGCATCTCTCCGCCCCGGCCAGTGGCCATCTGGCGGCAGGTCCTAGTACTTATACTCCGCTCCCCTTATCTTTCGCCGTTCTACTGTCTACATAAGCACTCGTCCGAGGGTGCAGTTCCTGTTATTTCATTCCAATGGATTCGTGTATGTATGTGGATTATGTGCACGTGGAACATAGGACTTCAATCTAACATTCAAATCTTTCGCCCTCCATGGCTACCATCATCCCCCGCCCCTGTCGTCGAGCTCAATTCGCAGAATGCTTCGCTATGCTTTGGTCACGCAGACGAGGAGCTCCTCGAGGTACTTTTTGATTTTGGCGGAGCGCCACCGGTGGTGAGGATTGGGCTCCAACATGCCCCGGATGCAGGTCGTTAGGGATTCGCCTACCGATATTTCAGAAGGTAGTTTGATAGATCCCATGTCGAGCTTCTCTTTGAAGTCATCTGGGAGACACGGGCCAGATGAGGGGTGGCCTCGGGTGAGTCCGGTAAGGACTAACTGGCGCTCCATTTTCGTGTTTAGTGGGTAGAGCAGCTCGAACAGGATAACTCCGAGGGCGTAGACGTCGAGTGTCTCATCGACCACATATAGAGGCGGTTCCTGGGCGGGACAGCGTGGGCTTGAGGTTATTCCGGACCTGTCGGTGGGATGAGGTGGGCGATAGAATTCGGTTCCCACGACGGGGTGAATTTTTGTGTCTGCATTGGTTGCGGATGGGGTGTCTGGGGAGCAGTCGCTAATGTGCGAAATATCTGCAACAAGACCAAAGTCACCGATGCGAGGGTGGCAGTAATGATGGATCGCTCCATGCGATTTCCCACATGGAAGGCATCCGTCTATGTGCTTTTTGTCGGGAGAGGAGAGGAATATGTTGGCTGGTTTGAGATCGCGGTGGACGATGCCTTTGGAGTGGAGATAATCCACCCCAGAGAGTATATCTAACATTAGTTTTAAAGAAGGCACTAGGTGGTAACAGTGGCGCCGAGGAAGCTTTGGGTCATGTTTCATGCTCGCACTTGGTTGGGGGTTCAGGTAGGAGCCCAGTGAGATCGGATGTAGCGACATTTGAATGTGCAGGACAACGGCAGGGACCTGGGCTCCGCTTCGGTATCTTCGTTGTATCTGTAGTTTGGAAGGATCCTCGCTGAACCCGTCCGTGAAGATGTCATCATCCGTACCACCAAACGTAGACAGCGGATCTTGGGACCGAGGACTAAAATTGCGTGGAATGGACTCCACTTCGTCGTCGTCCTCGGCACTAAGTGCAGAGCTTGTTTTGGATGTATGGGAGCCCAGTGTGACATGACTAGGCCTGCGATGGTGTCGGTCTGATATTTCTGAATCGTGTTCCAATGATAAAGAGCCTTCTTGTGAAATGTGTGATGTCTCCGAATGTTCGAAGACGATCCCAAAGCTCTGGCTACCGGCCATTCCATGGCTCGAAATGTGGGATTGTGTATGCTCGAATTCGAGATCGACAGACTCTTCCTGCATGGACTGAGCGTACCCTGCAGGGTGTGCCTGTTCGACCCAGGCTCCGTAATATCGGACGACATTGGTATGCTCGAGTCGAGCAAGCGTTCGGATCTCCTTCATGATGTTTTCGAGTTGATTCTGACTTCCACACTGCAGCTGCTGAAGCCGCCGTTGGCTGAGGGGAATCTTCTTGATTGCGTAGCTCTGGCCATCGATGTGGTTTCTCACATGGTATACTTCGCCAAAAGAGCCGCGACCAAGCACTTTGACTTCTGAAAACTCCATGGCATATCGAGACATGTGACCGCTTGGAGGGGGCGGATTAGGCTGAAACAGAGGGAAGCTAACGGGCGAGCTCCCGGTAAGAGGCAATGGACGATTTAGCAGAGTTCCCAAGTCAAGCTGAACGTTTTCCAAAGGATTAACATTTTCGTTTCCGATCAGTCGTTTTTGGACGTCCGCCATTCCAATACCATGGCGTCTTGACTGCAACGTGTCCAAATTTGCATTACTCGAGCGTAGTTGTAGAGCCTTGGATTGCTCTGATCCTGATGCTACATCTGCAGCGCCTGTAATACCTGGTTTTTGTCCCGTGCCATCATTTATGTTGAGTTTCTCCAACACCGGCACACCCAACAGATCAAGGTTATCGCGATAGTACTGTCGTGTTGATCCCCATTCATCCCCCTCGATACCTTCCGTCAACGCGCCAAGCGAAGATAGGAATTCCGACTTATGCGTGTACAACTTGTTCCCGAGATATCGCACCTCGGGCGAATCCCGCGTGAAACGTTTGTGTGACCCATGCCGCGCGTTGAGAATATCTGCAGCTCGGCTCAGACAATAGAATTCAAGGAGGGCTGCTGTCATCATGTTTGCGTGGCCCTTGGTATCACCTCCTTGCAACGAATTGGATTCGACATCGGGGGCCTTATGAGCATCCTCCGCCAGAAGAGGAGGGCTCCTGCCTCCATTCCTCTTTTTGTGCTGTTTAGGTTTGACGGGAGAGTGCTGTTCCGTAGCAACAGCATGCTCACTCTCATCAGAGCTAGACTGGGAGTCCGAAGAGGATACCTCACCCGGAGATCTGAACAAAGACATCTCGACTATGATATTCACAACAAAGATCAACGGAGATAACGATCGGAGTTAAGAGCAAGCAGAACGGGAATAGCCCGACCATCTACGAGCCCATCACTAGTCGGACGAGCGGAAGCGAGCGATGCAACAGGGCGCGGGGTATATACTGCTTGATTGTATTTGAACATTCGACAGATCTGTCAAACTATGCGAACGATATCACTGAGGCCCGCGCTGCGATCGATGGGCAAGGCAAAACAACGGATGCGCGCCCCTGAATTTGAAGGTCACTTTGCAAGATGCCACGGTTTCTATTTGATTTTCGATCTGCTTCGATTCGGGAATAGCTCAGGGACCTTCAGCCTTCCATTAGATTCCAAACATCCATGCCATTGATAGGGCATGCATCGGCGGTGGCACGGCCGGCGCGGTCGCTGCCTGTGTGGAGATTCCCGGTGAGGAGAGTGCGGCAATTTAGGAAGGACTGAAGATCACTGGTGGTAGTATTTGGTAGATTCCAAGTGAATTCCAGCAGATTTGGTGGGATGCTTTCTGCCGGTGGGCGGGGAGCGCCGCTTTTCCGTGAGTCACAACACCTCAGTATGCCTCAGGCAGCAAGCATCATCCCCTCGGGCTCTCGTCCATCTCATCCTCCGTCTCTCATCTCCCCGTCTCCACAGCCACTTTTGCTCCCCGGAGTCGTGCAACTCTTCCGATATATCTAAACTACTTTATGACATCATCCTCTTATTATCAACAAGCCGCCGGATGCTCCGACGGATGTGGGTGGGGTTTGTCTCAAACTGAGCTTGTCCAACACTATATATAGTCCTAAAAATATGCTATACGAAGGGACTACCTAGCGTAAACCCGCAAAGCATACGCGGCCGTCTTGGCTACCATCACCATCTGGTCGTCATATATACTAGCCATACCCCCAATACTCTACCTTTTCATACTCGAAACATTGAAACCATGCAGTCTTCTCATAACGCTGATATTGCCATTGTCGGGGCCGGCATCGTGGGATCGGCCCTAGCATACTTCCTCTCCCTCTCTAGCGGTGACAAGAAAATCGTCCTCATTGACCGCTCCTTGACGCCACTCAAAGGATCCACAGGCCATGCGCCTGGCTTCGTTGGTCAATACAATGACTCTGAGGTCCTCACGCACCTGGCTAAAGACACTGTCCATGAGTATACCAAGATCCCAGGTGGCTTCGACACCGTTGGCGGACTGGAAGTTGCCACGAGCCTCACGGGTGCCGAGCGTCTGAAACGCCGACACGAATCAGCCCGAAGAGCAGGCCTCCCCGCGGAGCTGATCTCCCCCGAGCAAGCAACCCGCCTGGCGCCTGCCCTGATCAAGGGGGACGTCACAGCTGCGTTATACTTCGCAAGTGACGGCGCCGCCAATGCTACCCGGATCACCACGTTCTATCAGGACGAGGCACGTACCAGAGGAGTCGAACTTCTCGAAGCAGATGTCACAAAGGTCCACCATGCCAATGGTCGCGTGAACGGGGTGAGTACCTCGTCGGGTCTCGTCAGCGCCCAAACCGTCATCATCGCCACCGGAATTTGGGCGTCAGATCTCTGCGACTTTGGAATCCCCATTCCAATTGTACCAGTCGCGCACCCGTACATGTACGGCGAATACCACGAGCCGAAGCCGCTCAAGGCGCCCTGGGTTAGATGGCCCGAGCATCACGTCTACGCTCGTGACCATGGCGCGTTCTATGGGCTGGGGTCTTACGACCATCAGCCGATCGCTCAGCAGCCGAAAGATATCGCAATTGGCGAATGGATCCAACAATTTGACGCGACATTGTCTCATGCGCTGCGCTTTATTCCAGAGGAGACGAATTTAACTCCTAGGGAAACGTTCAATGGCATTTTTTCCATGACGCCGGATAATATGCCGCTAGTGGGTGCGATCCCGGGTACGGATGGTCTGTATCTGGCTGCAGCAGTCTGGGTTACGCATGCAGCTGGAGCTGCGAAATTCTTGGCTGGGATGATGAAGGGGGAGGATGTTGATGAGGGTCTGAGGAAGGCGTTGGACCCAAGCAGGTTCCAGGGCCGGGAAATTGAAGAGCTGACGCGGGAGTCGCTGGATGGATATAATGAGATCTATAAGGCTGCGACGGCTTCTCAGTAGTCTGTCAAGTGGTGGCTCGAGTCGGTTTGTATCGTTGAAGAAGCCAGTATTCGAAAGGAAATATTAGTAAATAGCGAAAACGGCGATCGAAATTCATGCTTGGGAGCTTCCCCACAATGTCGAGTCGTCTAGATGTAATGATCAATTTTTCAAGAACCGCACACCTTCATGATTCAAGCGCGCATCCCCGCCGAGAACCACCGAGTGTCTCCAGATCATAACTACTAGAATCGAAACAATTGAAAAGGAAGGTCCAAGCACTAAGAACAAAGAAATCTCAACGGACGGGATGTGTTGACTTTATCTCTCCGCCATCAATTTCCACCCGGATATTGACGTCAGCGTCCCTGACGCGGTCCAGATCCCCGATCGATCTGGACCCCAGAGCTCTCCAAACCCCAGCCATCGCCAATTCCTTTCAAATCTCTCCTGCGGAATGTTTTCCCGGAGCCTACGCGTCTGGCCACTCTTCAATTCCTGCCAAATCCTGTCCCACAAACTGACACCACTTTGCGCGGCCAAACTACCAAGCTGCACCATGCCGCCTCAGAAGCGCAAGACATCGAGCAGCTCAGCCGCGAATGGAACGTCGTCGCACACCAATAAACGCGGAAAGCCCGATCTGACGCGTCCGCATCCCCATGCGAAAGATACCGAAGATTTTGAGATCGTCCTCCGCGAGTTCTATCCCCCTGAGATGTGCAATGAGCGGTGCGGAGCGTACAATGATGGAACGTTGGAACGGCCGATTGAAGCGCTACAGAGGGCATACGAGGATACAGTCGATGAACGGCAGAAAATACGGCCCAATGCTGCTGTTGTACACTGGTTCAAATCGGATCTCAGGTTGCATGATAATCGAGGCCTGCAGATGGCGTACCAGGTCGCGCGCGAACACAACATCCCGCTCATTTGCTTGTATATTCTCTCTCCGGAGGATCTGACAGCTCATTTGGCTAGTGCGCCGCGCGTGGATCTGACACTGCGGACGCTGGAGTTGCTGCGACGGGACCTTAACGAACTGGATGTCCCGTTGTATATGGAGACTCAGCAGAAGCGAAAGGGGATTCCGCAACGGATTGTCGACCTGTGTCAGGAATGGGGCGCGAATCATCTCTTCGCAAATTTGGAATATGAGGTTGATGAGTTGCGGCGTGAGGCGAAGCTGGTGCGTCTGTGTGCGCGTAATGGGATTAAGTTCGAAGCAGCGCATGATACTTGTGTTGTTACTCCAGGGAAACTGTCAAGTCAGCAGGGCAAACAGTATGCGGTTTATAGTCCGTGGTTTCGTACCTGGTGCGCGTTCCTCAAGGAGAACCCGGAGTATCTAGAGGTGGCAGATGAGCCGGGGTCGAATCCTGGGGATGCGCGGAAGCATTTCAAGGGGCTTTTTGACTGTAAAGTCCCTGACGCACCGGACAATAAGCGGCTCTCCGAGGCAGAGAAGAAACGATTCCGTCAGATGTATCCGGAGGGGGAGCATGAGGCGCTCCGGAGGTTAGAAGTGTTTCTTGAGGAAAAAGCGAAGGAGTATGATGATTTGCGAAACATGCTTTCAGGGAGGAATACATCCGTGCTCAGTCCGTATTTCGCGTCGGGAGCGTTGAGTGCACGAACAGCAGTTGTCCAGGCTCAGAAGGCGAACAAGGGTCAACTAGATCGAAACCAGTCTGGCTACATGTCCTGGATCAGTGAGGTTGCCTGGCGAGACTTCTATAAACATGTCCTTGTCCATTGGCCATTTATCTGGTTGGTCCACACCAAATTCACTCGTCCCAGTGCTCCGCACTAACGTTGACTTTCCAGCATGAACAAATGCTTCAAGCCCGAATTCACCGACCTCGAATGGTCTTACAATCAAGGCCATTTCAAGGCCTGGAGCGAAGGTAAGACCGGCTTTCCAATCGTCGACGCTGCCATGCGGCAACTCAATCATGCAGCCTGGATGCACAACCGCACGCGCATGGTCGTCTCCTCATTTCTCTCCAAGGACCTTCTCGTTGACTGGCGTCGGGGAGAGCGGTATTTCATGGAGCATCTGATAGATGGTGACTTTGCCTCTAACCACGGCGGATGGGGCTTTGGTTCCAGCACGGGGGTAGATCCCCAGCCGTATTTCCGAATCTTTAACCCGCTGCGCCAAAGTGAGCGGTTCGATCCTGATGGAGAGTATATTAGGCACTGGGTGCCGGAGTTGCGCGATGTGGAAGGCGCTGCGATTCACGATCCGTACGGCCGAGGAGCTGAAGATGTTGCAGAGAAAAATGGCTATCCAAGGCCTATCATCGATCATTCTGAGAGTCGAGATCGCGCGTTGCAGAATTATAAGAAGGTTGCACAGCGTCACTAACGTTTGTGCCATAGCCTGTCGACTGCAAGAGAACTGAAGATTTGAAATGCCGTCCATAAACATTAACAAGGCAATTGAGCTTGATGGTAATAAATAATATAATAGTCATCTTTTAAGCACTGATGACTTTACACTAGTGAAGGATCGATTAGCAAATTGCTCAAGAAGCTCAAGATTCGATAGTCCGTGCGCATTGCGCAGTGGGGATGTACCCCCAATGCCCCAAAGCCTGGGAATAAAATCAGGTGCTCGAAGAGATGTTTGCTTGCATGATCAGAGATGAAATTGAGTTGAAGCATCTCCTCCGGGTGACATGGCCATGGTGACTAGAGGCCCAGAGTTGGCAGTCAATTTGTTAGCAGGTTTTGTCAATCACGTATCCAGCCCGTCACTCAGCGCAGGATGATTGCTTGCGATATGAGTCACACTTGTATAGATCTCAACACAAAGTCCTTTTCGCATATGGAGCAGAGATACCAACCTGCTGCAGGGCCTCCCGCGACGAGTTCCGCTGATGGAGTTGTGCGGTGTGTTGGTCACACTGATCTTAGTACTTGAAGTACCGGGTTCTTCCAACTCTGCAGGCTTAGCAGCGCATTCAGACCTGCAGTAATATCGATATATTCCACACTTAGCCCAGCAAAAATGTCACACGTCGCCCGGACCCATATTAACCAACTGGTAGAGGTTGACGCTGCTACCTCTTCATAAGTTAGGCCAATGCAGTGGAATCAAGAAAAGTGAGAATGACTCACCTTGCTGGTAGCCCCTCGTTGGGCGGGCTATCTTCGTTGATCAACGAATTGGATGTGTATCTGTATTTGGGACTACATGTCAAAAGTAATATTGACCCATTACTCATAAGGGAACAGACAACGAGTAGCTAGAATCACCTCGGTCATGTGATCGATCCACGGTCGATCGGGTCGTTCCGCCTCTTCTTCTTTCTTGCATGTTATCCTAGGCAGTCATCAGAAACCGGTCATCGGATCATCAACACATTTCCATCTTCAAGGCATCCCTGTCCTAGCAGTTGACCAGAGCGTCCTATACGGGTTCATCCAGGGCGAGTTCTAGGGAAGTGCACCAGCCAGATGGAGATGACTGGATGCAGACTGACAGTCTATACTCTCACCTAATGTGGCTGTGAAGACGATAGAGTTTGCTGATGATGACGAGTTCCCATCGCAGGTGCTACAGTGTCTCACATTCACCTACCGAACCGGGAGTGAGCAAGGATGATCCCAAGACGCAGATTCGGGGGGATGGCGGGGCTTGAGTGGACATGCAGGTGCAGATGCAGAGGTCTCGAATGAAGCAGTAGATAGGACGTGGGTGAGCTGCAGGAACCTGGACTTCCACGCTACTAGATCCCAGTCTGGCGTGATTTATTCTAGGTCGGGGACGCGCGACGATTGTGGGGAGATATATTCCTAGGATACTATTCCTTGGCGATGCGCCGGCACAAAGTGGAAATCCAAACAACTTGCCTATACTTCTTGTGTACAACAACAGACACCATGGAGCAAGGACCAGGGGGCATCCGCGGCGCAAGATGTCTCGTGAAAGACAGAGTTTGCCACCAAGACCGTGAACCCTCGCGAGCTCCAATCTGTGGCCCGCTTCAGGATCAGGGCCCTCTTTTAGCGCGTGCGGAGGCGCCTTCCAGCCCCGACGGTTTCCCCGCGATGGATCGCTTCTGCTCAGCCCGGCCTGTTTTTCTCTCTGCCACTCGGCCTTTCCCCTTCTCCCTGACAAAATTCCCCTCTCCTCGACGGGTTTCCGTCCCCTCTGCATTAAGTTCTCTCCAGCAACGAACAAAGGGAGGCGGTCGTCGTGAATGTGTCTCTGGTGTCATCCATCAGGACCCGTCCCCAGTCTTCTTCCCCGCTTGTAACCGCCTAGTAAGGACTTAGTACCGGACCCTTCGCTTCTTTCGTCTTGGCCGATTGCTGACTTTTTATTCGTATTTCCCAGGCTGCATCCCCTTCACCTCCTTCTTAATACCACCGAGATTGCCAATGTCGGCCTGAAATGGATCCTGCCCAGTCGGGGGACGCCCAGGCATCCAGCGTTCCAGCAGCCACCGAAGAGCCGAACAACGGAGACACCCCCAAACGTCGCTGGAGACGGAATCGGATAGCTTGCGATTCCTGTCACTCACGTCGCGTGCGGTGCGACCGAGCCTTTCCATGCTCGCGCTGCCTTCGCAGTGAAATTCGCTGCGAGTTTACCCGTGAACGGCGCAAAAGAGGACGCATTGCGCGATCCCGACTGGTGGAGGCAAATGGTGGTACCGATAAGCCGGCCAAGCCTCCAGAGACCCAAGGGTCAGCACTGGCGCCCGCGGAGGCAGGGTCTGGTCCGGTTCCAAATGCCTCCCCCTCTTCAACATTCCATCACCGATCACCGGCGACAAATGATGTGACAGTGTCGGCCCCAAGTATCGATGAGCGACGCTCCCAAGCGGATGTGTCACTGCCTCCTCGCAGGTCAGGAAACCCCGGAAATGCGACGGAGGAATGGCTAGCAGGGACGCATGTTTCGCCGGGCTCCTACGATCCCTTACCAGGCATGGGGCCCGGAGAGGGCCCTTTCTCGCGAATGTTCGATATATGGAATGGAGTCGATCTGGCGGGTTACAGCGATCCCACCTCCCAAGGCTCAAAGATTACCGGAATTGGTCAGACGCCAACTCCCTCTGCCACGGTATTGAAATATCCAGTGCTTCAGCCAGTCATGCCGTATCTGGAATCGACTTTGCCTCGCAAGCTAGTGTTCGATCTCCTCGACCTGTACTTTACAAGCGCCTTCTCGACGCATATGCATCCCGTCTGTCACCATATCCATTGTTATGTATTACGAAAGGCGTCGTTCCTCAGTCGGGATGCCCCCCGTCCTAGCAGCCCGGCCCTTCTGGCCAGTATGCTCTGGGTGGCAGCGCTGGATGATCGCGCATTCGCTTTGCCGATATCTCCACCCCAGAGGAAAAAGATCTGTCAGTTCCTGTGTGCGCTAACGCTACGACTCTTGCGACCGTTGATACATGTGTCGTTCAAGGAGCAAGAAGGCGCTACGGCGAGCGACTCCTTGAAAGCTGCGGTTGGCCAGGATTGCCCACCTACCACGGTGCATCACCCATTCGAAGCTGGTGGCGATGACCGGGGGTTGGTTGGTCCGGCAGGATCACTGGACGATGTAATCACATACATCCATGTGGCATCTGTGATCTCATCAAGCGAACAGAAGGCCGCTAGCATGCGATGGTTTGTTTTCCCCAACATAATTTGGCGAGACGCCCAGGGCTAACCATTCTTAGGTGGCATGCGGCCTTTACCCTTGCGCGAGAGCTCAAGTTGAACCAGGAGATCGAGGTGATGCCGAGTGAGGAGAGTCACCCGGAGGGCTCGAGCCCGGCATTTGATTATTCGCTTGCGGGATGGAGTGGCGTTGACACGGGCCCCTTTTTTGATTACTCGAACCCTGCACGGCCAAGCCTGAATTGCGTATGCGACCGAGGCCACGAATTACGCGGCGCTATTACGGAGGAGCATCGCGAAGAGCGTCGCCGGACGTGGTGGCTCCTGTACATCATGGACCGTCACCTTGCGCTCTGCTACAACCGACCCCTCGCCTTGCTCGATGCTGAAAGCGAGGATCTTCTGTTACCGCTGGACGAAGGCTCATGGCAGACCGGGAACATCCATAGCAACAGCCCGAAAGTGGACGGACCGCAGTGTCCACTGTCAGGCGACAAGACCAAGCGACGCGTGTTCCCTAATTTCATCTGCCATGACCACTCCATCTTTGGTTTCTTTCTCCCTCTGATGACCATCACTGGTGAGTTAATTGACCTGAACCAAGCGCGTAACCACCCAATGCTTGGGGCCCGCCTTAACGGGAAGGACGGTTGGGATGTGCACGTCAGCGAAGTGTTGCGCCAGCTTGAGATCTATAAAACGAGCCTTACAACATTCGCGGCCACCGCGTCGGATCCCGATGCGCCTCTGTCCAGCGCATTCCCTCCCAAAGCCGACCAACCCGTCGACCCTTCCCTTGCTCAGGCTTATTCATGGCATACTCAAACGGTCGTTTCCTATGCGTCCTACCTTGTGCATGTGCTACATATCTTGCTTGTCGGCAAGTGGGACCCCGTGTCCCTCATTGAAGACAAGGACTTTTGGACCTCGTCACCCGCATTCGCCTCGACCATTTCTCACGCCCTGGACGCGGCCGACTCGGTGGACCATATTCTACGGTATGACCCCGACGTTAGTTTCATGCCATATTTCTTCGGCATTCAGTTGCTGCAGGGGAGCTTCCTTCTCCTGCTGATCGTGGAGCGGCTGCAGAAAGAAGCGGGGGAGGGGATCTTGAATGCGTGCGAGGTGATGATCCGAGCCACCGAATCATGTGTGGTGACGTTGAACACAGAATATCAACGCAACTTCCGACAGGTCATGCGGAGCGCTGTTGCTCAGGCGCGGGGACGCCCTGTCAACCACAGCGAGATCCGGCATCGCCGCAAGGCCGTCCTAGCCCTCTACCGGTGGACGCGGAAGGGAACTGGGTTGGCCCTTTAGGTTTAGAGTTTCTCACAGCGCTCATGCCATTGGAGCGCACGGTTGCATCGGCTCCGCATCTTAGGCCATCGCCTGGAGAGAGCTTAAAACATCTTCCGCCGGGCCGTTCTTGATTCTAGGCCAGTCATCGATGGTGGGCGATGCAGGCACATAATTTCCCCTCGCCTCGGCTGAATATCCCGTTTGTGATTGACTGGCTCCGGCTCGACTGGATGGCTTAGCATCCTGTGCCCGCATGTCCGAACCCATCAGGCTTGGGGCCCTGACGGCAGCAATCCTGTAGTGCCCCAGCCACATACTGGGTTTGCAGCACTCTGTCCTTCGTAGTATATACCTTCTGTCTATTTTGGAGACCATCTCGATGCCCCCTGTACATATATCTACCGGCATCTGTACTGAATTTGGGGCCGTCTGGCCTGTTAGTTTTGGACAATGGATTTTAATTCTTCAGACAAAGGATAATGTTGATTAACGGGTTCTCTCACGGCGATGACCTCATTTTCCAGCGACATCCATGCGGAGAACCTTGTCACTGTGACCGGACATGGCATGATTCTGCACAGGCTGCAAGGACCGGGGTGTTGGACGGCCCCTTTTCCTTACCCCAGATTAACGGGCCGTGCTCAGTCGGACCGAGCCTTTGTTCGTCGGTTAAATTCCAAAAGAACCGAAGCCGTTGCGGGGAGAAGGCCATTGCATTGGCATTTGGACCAACGGGCGGCCAGGAAGCTGCCGATGCGGTACCTGGCGGTGCCTGGCCAGTCTCCCGGGCCAAGTCTGGGGATGGCGCTCGGTTAATTTCTCGCCGCCATATGGGGTATGCAAGGTTCAGCGTCACCACATGGCCCCGTGAAGATCAGATGCTCCTCGCCCTCCCCTGGTTCATCGAATCACCAGACTCCTAAATGAGGAGCTCCATCCCAAGTCCGACTGCTCCATCTTGTATTTTACCGACGCCAATGCGGCTGCCGTCGGCCACGTCTTGGAGCTACAGCAACAATGACGAACTTAATCATGTCTCAGTACACCCCGCAACTGCATCGGGCTCTGCGATGTCCTCCAGATGTCTTATAAGGGTCCATCGCCGTCATGCGCGATTTTTGTTCACTTGTCCTCGAGCCTTGCTATAACTCACGTACTCCTGATTGAGTGCTGTGCCGTGACCTCTGCCATGATCTCTACGTGCTAATCGAGCCACAACACTTCGATTACTGTCCCTTTCGCCTACTTGGATTCACACGAGAACAACTTACACGATGCTCCATATCAGCCACCCACAAGATTTCCAGGATTGGGCACCCATGGGCCCTTCCGACACTCAGTCGCTCGGGTTGGAGTCTGACCTTACAGAGGAGGAGCTCTACGGAAGCCACCTGGGACTCAATGACTTTGACATGTCTTCGTCGCAGTTGCTGAGCCCGGAGCTTTGCCCGGAATTCGACTTAGCGATGGGCGAGACGGCCTCGGGCCTGTACCACACGTCACAGCCGATGGGCGTTGCTAACGCCTTGGATGTACCACGATTGGCGAATAAAATCACTTCAATGTGCGTCTTTATTGAGCCAATTTCCCCACGCCCCCATGGCGTGGCCTGAGGGATCAGGAATGACGGACTGACCTGTGGGATTCCTAGATTCGGGGAATCCACCTTCAACACGGCGCCTGAATCCAAGCCCATTACCGCTGACCTCTCCTTGGACGACCTGCTTCGCTCGGCTTCTCAGTTAGCCACCGAGCGCGCGCTCTACATGAACATTCCGGCGGGGACCCCCTCTCCCCGGGCATCCCACGATAGCCCCAGCTCGCGAGCTCGCTTCGTCCAGTCGCCGCTCCTAGACGACCCCTGCAGTTCACCGGAAACCAGTTATCAGTCATCTAGTGGCAGTGAGGGGGATTGGGAGCGGGAATACAACCACGGCGAACCTGTACAATTCTACGGACTCCCAGAAATCGGATTTTCTGAAGCTGTCCCACTGCATCGCACCCTGGACGAGGCGATGGTCCAACCTCCTTTCGGTGGGCCACTGCCCACTCCGAACCCGGGATTGCGCCGCAAAAGCCAGGCCATGGAATTTAGCCTCAGTATGGACTCGATTGAGAATGGGCTTACCCCGCTGGAAATGCCCGATGGAAGTACCCGCTTCACGGCCAACTGGCTCCCCGTGGATCCCGAGGGTGGGTTCACCATCCGAGCACCAGCAGCACCCACGGCGAGCCGGTTCTCTCCCAGCAACGAATTTGCTCAGGATCCCGGGGACTATTACTTCACCCAAAGCGCATTCATCTCAATCCCGACGGATACCGGTCTATCATCCACGGCAGTATGAGCCGAATCCCAGTGCCAACCGAGCGCGAGAACCGCAGAAACACCATGCACCCAATCCACTAGATTGTGGGCCACCGCCCGACCGCCCGATTAGTCCACCCGACCATACCATCACGCCGGTCGCAGGGGAGCCCGGAGAAATTCACGGACGTCGCGCCAATCACACCCCAGAGGTGTAATTTAGTCGGCAACTCAGCAATCAATAATCTCCCCAACTCTTCCCACCCACAAACCCCCCCCCCCCCCCCCCCCCCCCCCCCCCCCCCCCCCCCCCTTGTCCCTGCTGACAGCCCGCGTAACCCGGCAAAAAAAAAACTTGCGAGGGTTCGCTGATGCCCCGCTACATTCATTCATCATCATTCCGACTGTCGTCCCAGCTCCGAAAGGAACAGACACCATGGGGACGGCATGAGTTCATCATGCTCATAGTGGCATTGGCCCTCTCTGTCTCATCTCTCGTCTCCCTCCGTCGTCTGTCCCAAAACGGACAACCCTTCCGACCAACCAACACCAACACCACCAACCACTACTGTGTATGGTCCACTCCGCAGCGTCATGCGGGCCCCGACGGGATCCAGACCGCGTCGCGAGCCGTCGCGCGCATGTGATCATCCGTTTGCCTTATCGGACGATTATCATCGCTCAGCCCCCCGTCCCCCTGCTTGGGCTGCCCCTTGCTAGCTAGCTAGCTACGGCCTGCATGCTGGACAGGTCTACTCCGTCCCTGTGCCTGTGCCTGTACCTGTACCTCTCTCTGGTATAGGGTGTATAGGTATGACCACTCGGACAATCTCCGAGACTGGGTCTAGATTTCGGTTCTTTCTTAGGGAGGAAGGAAACTACCGATTCTGCCGATGGTGTGCATGATGAGGGATGTATGAGGACGCATGTTGAAGGGAGGAATATAGGATTAGTCATGGAAAACTTGTAACTAGTTATAACTATGTGGGGACGATGATGATGATGATTCATATGTGTCTGATGAGTTCATTTACATGGACTTGAATGTCTGGTCGTGCGCTTTTTAAAAAAGTTAATCTCATTATCAATTTCGTTCTCATTTGCATCTTCAGTGCCAGTAATAACAGCCTCTGCAGGCACCGCATCATCTCACTCATAGCTAGATAGGTGCTTTAACACCCCAATTAGAGTCATAATATACCCAAACCAAGCCCAAATTCCCAGATCCTTCCATCCAAGCTAACCCCAATCGAGCGTATAAAGAAATAGAACATAAGGTAGACGGCTATAAGGAAGAGTGGTGTCATTATCTCGTAAAGATTTTCCTCGCAGATTTCCTCGCCTGGAATCAAACTACCCGCCCGGAAGCACAAAGAACCATGGGGGAGTCGAGGAGATTAAGGAAAAGGAGGATAAAGGAGGAGCTAAGAGTCATGTGGATCCTTCGATCCTTACGGAAGACGAGGTGCATTTGTTCGAAAACACGGGGAACTCGAATTTGTGACCGATGTAGGCGAACATTTCCGCCATGGATTCCTTCTCGATCATGCCGTCGGCGAAGCTATCGAACGCGGTGCGGAGGACGAACATCACCCGTGAGATCAAGCATCCTGGGATGTTCGTGGTGTAGTATTTCACGCTGCGACAGATATTGCATGCGTACTGGTATCGTTCGTGGAGGCCGAGGACGCTGACTAGGCCTGGGTCGGTGGTAGAGATGATTAGGCCCAGGGCCCAGTAGAAGCTCATGGAGGTCGCGAGAAGAAGGTCGGGGTACATGATATTCCGCGCAATCACTACTTCCATGGTACTTGGGTTGCGACACCGGAATCTGGGAAAATTGTCGTCTGGGTCCGCTCGGTAGTGGGATTCTTCCCATGGCCCGCCTGCGGGGTAGGTGTCGGCGTACATGCTCTTCCACATCTGGAGTAGGCCTTGGAGCTCGTTGGCGCGTTCCCAGATGGCGCTTTGCAGGGTGACGAGCTCCGATGGTGGCTTAGTCCCGGCCTTTAATAAGGCTGTGAACTCGTCGATCTGGGATAGATATCCGGGGATATGCACGGCGACGTCGAGCAGCCGTTGGAGAATGTCTTTGGAGGGCCCGTCCCCAGGCCAAGGGACGGTCAACCAGTCTTTCTCCGCGAGGAATGAAGGCTTCCGATGGACCAAGGCTGCCGTGACCTGAACAAGCTGTCAGGGGCATGAAAGGGATGGCTAGGGGCAGATATTCGTACCCAGTACATTCGAAGGTCAACGAACAGGGAGCGTTCTATGCCATGCCGATGCCGATACGGTGTCCGTGTGCGTAAGAGCTCCAAGCCACCTAGTTGGTGTCTGAGAAGGGAGTCTTTCGATGTTTGCTTGAAGGCCTGTGGTATAGTAAGCAAAATGCCCCCAAACAACCGGTAGAACTCACTTCGATGATGGTGGCCAGGAGGACGACCACCAGTACCTCGGTCGACTTGCCTTCCTGAGGGTCGTACAAGGCAGTCTGGAGGGAGCGCAAGACACGGAGGTAACGCGCATGCCCGGCCATCTCAACCGCCCGATTCCCATCACGCCGTCCAGCAAAGGTAAGAGACGCGGCTTCAAAAGCACTACACAGAATGGGAGAAAAGACTCGCATAGATCGTGCCTCCCGTAAGGCAATGGTGCCCGTGACAGCTTCCGGGCTAAAATTATTGACCAAACGCTCGACGTACAACTCTATCAATGCATTGGCTAAATTCGGGTCAGTCAAAACGACTTTCTCTTTCGATATTGGTGGAGAGGAGTAACGACCTGGACCCTGGTGAGTGGGAAGGATACGCAGAGGTCGGAGAGAAAAGATATGGCACGTACTTTCTTTCCGTGTGTGTCGCTCCTCTGGCACGAGTGCACTGGGGGACACTACAGCCTGGTGGCCCGGGATTTTGGAGGCAAGATCCAAGTCATCCCCGGACTCGTCGTCGTCATCCTCTGGCGTATTGGATTCCTTTTCCCGAATGGAATAGAGAGCCTGACTGTTCTGGGATGGCCCATCTTCATCCTTGACGGCGGGAAGATTGGCGAGTTGCCGAGCCTCGGCAAGCTGGTGTTTGAGACTCTCACAGGAACGTAGAAGGTTTTCAATTAGGGCCGACTGTTGGATGTAATGGCGGTCCCGCTTGCTGGTGCCGTATTCACACTCGGACGGCGTGCCGCGGAGGCAGCAGGCACCGCACGGCTTTACTCGGTCGCACTGGCAAGTCGCGCGCGTTAGTCAGAGGCACGACGCAACGATGGTGAGACCTGCCCAGCATTTATGACGGCACCGGCCCCCAAGCAAGCCCCGCGAACAATAGGCATTGATACAAAAGACAGCCATACCTTGACTTTGCGCTTGTGACAGTTTAAGCACGAGTATGTGGGTCGGATCTTCTTTCGTGTGCCCGCTTTGGAGGTCGCCGATGGCTCAGGCTGGTCGCCTCTGGCGCCGTCCCCCGAAGACATTGTTTACTGACTGGTGTCGCGCTCGGCGGGATTCAGAATATGGCTGACTACTGAAGAAGGCCTGGTCGATGTCTGGCCTGGCTTGGGGGTAGAGAATCGTTGTCGTCGCTGCTCCCCGGACGCCCGACCGCGCTGCTGTCAGATAAAGTACTTATGCAAACCGGGAGCAGGCTGTCAGGTTCGGTGGTGGGCGAACAAAGTCTATTGTGACACTGATTAAAAATCGGGGGGTCTGGAAATTTTGTCTCGTGGCTCCGGACTAGTAAGGATCATTGAGACACACTGAGTGGTGGCTTACACCAGGCAAATGACGATGAGACCATCGCTTTCGCGAGAGTCTTATGCACCTTATTCCGACCTGTCCTGGTTCGGGATGAAGCCAGACCGTGGTTCCAGGAACGCTAAATCTATGCTGGCCTGTCAAATTTTATGCTAGGGCCGTGTCTGCCGGCCGCCTTTTATCTGTGACCGCGCGGATAGGGCAGAAGCGTCCCCCGTCTTCCGTACTTCTTACCTGATCCTCGCAGGTGTTTGGCTCTCTCCCCTGGTCCTTATTTTCTCGCTCTCCACCTGTCTTGCAGTGGCTCCGGTGGAGGCCGCACCGGCAGGACTGGCAGGCGGACAGAGGAAATGGGATAACGGGCGTTGCACCAGGGGGAACCTTGTGACCTGTCACCCCATCCAAAAACAACCAGAAGAAGATGATCTACTCTGCGCCGCACACGCAATCGATAGAAGCCGGTCGTCTCCCGCAAAAATGCTTGTGTCTTCCTCAAAGGAAGCAGTTTGCTACCCGCAACGCCCCGGCCGGAAGGCTTTCAGAGGTGTGCTCTGGCTGCCTACGGAGAAGGCCCGTGTGACATGGTTGACGCGAAATGCAATCTCGTTGAGGCTGGGGGCTATTGGAGGTCCTAAAGGGGCGAGGAAGGACGTTCCCCCCTCAGGCAGTCGGGGGATCTTGCAGGGATCGGCGCTTTTAGCGTGGTGCGAAGGGCTCGATGAGCGGTAGTGATGCTTCGCCTTCCGGTTGGTGCGATCGGAGCTGGGGATGGACAGCTGCACGGTCAGTCCCAAATGCAATAGTACGGGGTATCCGTAGGGCTACTGGTCATTTCCATGGGTCCTTTTTGATGTCTTTCAGTGCACAGATTCGACCACGAACCCGCCTTCGCAGAAGGAACGACGCTAAGAGCGAAGGACCAAGGAGACCCTGGCTGTCAGCCGTCCAGCGCATTCGGCCTCCGGGCCTAGCGGTAGTGCCGCGCTTATGTATGTCTTGCGCGAAGGGGAAAAAAGAAAAGAGGGGAGGTAAAAGAAAAGAAGGCGAAGAAATGCAGCCGAAAGAAGCAAAGAAAAAAGACGGCTTGGAGAACCACCGAGACAGCAAGGGTACGAATGAGACAACGCTCACGAGTAATAGTGCTCCTTGCAGCAAATCTCAATGATCGCACACGTCCGATCGCAGTGGAAAACGTTTCCTTCCCAATAGCCGCCCTGTTATTACTGCCGATTGCCATGGGCTTTTGACACAACAACAAAGAGGTGCGCTAGCATGGCTCGCTTATGGGCTTTCGCCGCGCTGATTCGTCTTCGCTTCGGCCGGACCTCGGAAAATGGTCAGCAATAATGTCGGAGTCTCTTCATCCCTGTGGCTAAGGGAATACTCCGAACGGGAGGTGGAGTGGACGGCGGAGGCGGTTATGGGAGGAAACAAACTGCCGGGACGAGCGCACCCAACACGAACGGGGCCAAGTCACGAGTCCCGGTCACCTGCTCTTTCTGCCTGTCGCTCTTCTTTTCTTCTGCTCTTCGGCTCCCTCCAACCACCGCACATAAGACGCACCATACCCGAAGGTTACGAGACAGCTGATAGTCAAAGCTTCATTGCGGTGTCGCGGCGAAGCCAAAGTGACACAGAGCCGGAGCCGTTCCATGGTTCGTATACAGCGATCCCTCATCCTGCATACTTGCTTCTCCAGTCTTAGCCCGAAATAACTGCCGAGTACTATTAGGCAATAGCTACAGGTAGGGGGGCCTTCCACCCTCCCTTCTCAACTGCCCAGGGGAAAGGAGCGCCTGCTGGCCTCTACACGGTCTCAGCTCATTCCACTTTTGGAATACCTATCCGATATAGTACCGTCTCTACCTTGCTTGCGCCTCGACAGCACGGGCTCTCTGATCGGCCACACTAGTCTTTCCAGCTTTGACGACGTTCGTGAAGTATGGCTACATCTTTCACGGACAAATGTACTTCACGTACTCCGTAGATGCGATGCCACCCGGGGTGGAGTTTCCCAGAGCACTCTCCTGGGTATGCAGCACATGGGTCGTATCGCTTTGTATTCCAACGATATCCCAGGTAAATTGCAGTGGCTGCCCACCCCAGCTCTTCTGGCCCAAGGTGCGAGCTGCCCGGCACAAGATACGTGCACTGGTAGATAAGTCTTCGTCCCGGGTGCCCACTGTGGTTTCCGCCATTTCCGCTTCAAGGTCCTTAGCGATCTGGTACATTGCAAAGCTATGTAAGAAGTACTTTCCATTGTATCCCATTTAGACGGTTTGTGGCGCGGTTCGATAATCTGCGTCCATATCGACGACCCAGTCGCCAATTCTCTCGAGCCATAAGGTGGAGTCATATAGGCCAGGTCTGTAGTCCCTATGATCCACCCAGCATTACCGGTATACGTGTAAGGACTCTAGGGGAGTCGGTCAAGCACATGCCCCTGTACTAGCAGTGCTAGCCGGATTGCTGGCCGTTTGTGAAACATTCCGAACCACCATGAGGGGCCCAGACGGCGCGACGCACTTCCGGGAATCCCTCGAGTCTCCCTGATAGTATTGGTACTACCGGATGCTGAGTCTACTTCATTCCCCCATCCTTCTCTCAATTAGCCCTCATCCGGGGGCAACCGTGGACGGGCTCGAGAGCCACTTGCGTAGGTTGCGTTGCCGCAGAATCCGATCAGTGACGAACACTTGGGAAATGACATCAGCCTTGAATGAAGAGTGCTGTTGACAAATTGACTGCGAGTATCACTCCGATGTTAGCCTGTGTCTGCCTGCGTGAAGAATGAAGTATAACGCTTCTGGACGCATCGATCAATGGTCACCTTCAACCTGTAGATCGTCTTAGGCTGGAGTAATCTCTTGGCAATTCGCGTTAGGGAGCGACCTTTCTGCGTACCAGTGATACGAGATGAGAGACCAAAATAGTTTGAAGACTGGAATGCATGTTTGAATGGTATAGAGATGGTATCCGTTATCGAAAAGAAGACGCCGGCGTTTTATTCTTGTCCAAGAGTCGAGAAACTTTATCCCTTGCTCAACCACTCCTGTGACTGGTCCCAGTCAATTGGAACCGTAAACTTAAACTCAATGACTCTGAACAGGCTTGGAGCATCACTGTCGTGGACTACTTACTCACTTGCCATAGAATGTACCTAGTCGAGTACTTTGTCGGTTTCCCAATCGGATAATTTCTTGAAGATGGAGCCGTTATATTATATTGCTGTCATTTATTTCCATTCAGCACATCCCTTGGTGGGTTTCTTGAACCTTGGAATAAAATACCTTAACGTCATGCATGACAACAGAAAGAGAGTCCTGCATGGAAACTGAGAGAGAGAAAATTCACCGGTTCCTGTGGAGCTCAACCCAGCACTGCTCAAGGCAGATACCTCAGGTGGGACCCGCAATATTAGATTCTGGACTAAGTCCCGATAATCAGATTCTTTCTATTGAGCACGAGGCTGTAATTCAGTGAAAGAGTTGTCAACTTATGATGTTGACGCATGGGGGCCGCAGGTATGGATGTGTTGCATGAGTAAAGCGACAGCTAACACGCCCTGCGTTGAAGGATGGGACTCTCTGTTTTGTCTGTTGATTGAAGTTCATCGGAATAAAAAGACCAGAGTCTCGACTCGATACCAGAGTGGGTGGTTATGATCAATGGATTTCAAGGAAGGAAAACGGGATGGTAGAATACTGGAATGATTTGGATTGACGGGAAAACACTGAGCTGGCCGGGAGGCTCGCGAGAAGGATTGAGGTAATTGTTTGTTTGTTTGACAACGAACTTCAAGGGAGGAATTGTGGCAGCTGAAATCGGCAATCGGTGCTCTTCTCCTGCTTGACGTCTCCACTAGTATGCTTTTTGTCCTCGACCAGACTAACTATCCCACTACGAGCTAATTCATGCTTATTTGCTAGCAACGAGAATACTTGACGTGATTAGAAGTTATTCCTATAGCGCTTTCCCTACAAACATCCTGATGAATCCACACCTAGAGCTTTGCCTTTGCCTCGTCATCATAGGTAATCACGAAGCTATAGGCCGGATCATAGTGCATAGCCCAATATCCATCCCAGATCTTCTTCGTGATCGGACCAATCTGGCCCCCATTGACGGGCTTCCCATCCAGCTCCGTGATCGGCATAATTCCACCAGCGGTCGTGCACATGAAGATTTCATCGCACCGATATGCCAACTCGACTGGCACAGCCTCGAGCCGAACCTCGATACCAAACGCGTTTGCAACATCCATAACACTCTTTCTGGTAACACCATGCAACACACCACGTTCAGGCGTGTAGAGAGCTCCATCCTTGACCAAAACAATATTAAACCCCGGTCCCTCGGTAAGATGCGCATCTCCATCCGTCAAGAACGAATACATGGCATCTCGATCGGACGCCTCAAGCATACCACGCGTCAAGTCACCCCATTGCAAGTTCTTCACGGTAGGATCAATAGCGCCCGGGGGTGCACGGCGAACAGTCCTAGCAATGACGGCACTTCCACCCACCGGCTGGACATCAGGCCCCATTACCCACTGATAAGGTAGAATGAACATGTAGAGGTTGTTGACCATATCCTCCGGCTTGGCACCTCGTACGCTTTTCATCCCACGTGTCACGATCAATTCCACAAAGGCATCGCGAATGCCGCTTTTGGAGACCATGTCGATGAGAATCTGCTTGATTTCATCGCGGGGTATGGGGAATTTGAGGCGGAGTTTCGCACAGCTCAATTCCAGTCGGGCGAGGTGGTCATCAAGGCGGAAGAAGCGACCATCCCAGACGGAGGGAACATCGTAGGTCAGATCGCTGTGCAGGAAACCTTGGTCGAGGAGGGGGATGCGGGCCTCGCTGAGGGGCACGAGTTGGCCTTCCACCCAGGCAATGCCCTTGGCGTAGCGGTTGGTGCTGGTTTCAAGTATGGCTTGGCGAGCGGCATAGTCGGCAAATACTTTATTCATGGAGGCCATTTTGTGTCGTTGCGTGCTTGGGGTAGCAGGAGGGGCGGGTTCGTTCTTTGTTGATGGTGAGGGGAACTGGGAGGGGTCCTGCCGGGTGGTTTTAAGTCATGGGCTGAACGGGCCGATGTGTCGTACAGGCAATCTCCATTATCGCTGAACATGCAACTGTCAGCTTGGCGTTGGAGTCTGCTTGTTGCAATCCCTGTCCACACTGATCGATAAGTCTACTGTGGTATTTCCTACTACGGAACCAGAGGCGCGTATTGCCGTTTCAGGAAGTAGAGACATTCATTTGTATCTTTCACTGATATGGCATTCCCGACACGAGCAAAGCAGGACTTGGCAATGAATGCTGCAGTGGATTGCTGAAAATCACATTATGAGTTTCCATCTGCATACCAGCTACGATATCGGGCTCACCCTCTAAGCACAGACCAACGTCATAGTTCTGTCATAATGGGAGAGAAGATTTTGGCTGTAAGATAGCAAGTCACCTCGTGTACATTGTGAAACTACTGTTCTCCTCCTGTCCGAGCGTCACGAGTACAATATCGTGCTGGCGGCCAAGCGTGTGCCCGAGGACAGTGATATCGAGTATACATCGCCATGGACTGGAGCAAATTTCTTACTTCCAGTATACTAAGTCATCTTCAACAGCTATGTGACGTCCAAGTGTATAATAAAATACAGTGTGTCATTTTAGTTCTGTGCAGCTGACTGGGATAGAATATTTCGCCATGGCTCGAGAATCTAGCACAGAGCAATCCGATGTCAGCATTCATTTTCAGGGTACACATCACAAGAATAGATTTATGCTCTTTGCTGTTAGACGTGGCGCAGAATGTCGGGTACACAGTCGTGCTAAAGATACTGGCTCAGCAACAGTGACCTGGACTGCGGAGCTAATGTCGCGAGGTGCTTTGTTCAGACATGTAGTCCCACATGTAATGAGGCCTTGCGCAACTGCAATGTCCGAGGATTGACCCAGGAGCATCCTTCACCTCCGTATGCACCAACACAGCCATATATCTTCCGTACCCCGTCTCCCAATGTGTCAAGCAAGGCCTCCCCTTCAACAAAACGGACTTGAAACGCCTTTCAGATGCAACTACCCCATATATTCATCTCTCAGGCCACGCTGATCTCGTGTTGTAGGCACCGGCCCCATGTTGTCGCGACTAGCTGGCATGGAAGGCGAGTCTGTTGTGACAGCACGAGGACAATCCGTCGTTTTTTGACACGAAACTGTGAGATGCTGGATATTTCTGACACATACGAGTATGATGAGGAGGCATACTATGTGATGACATGAGCAGCAGGTGGGGGTATGGTTATTGAAGTATCCTACCAGCTTGAAAATTGCTCCTTAACCTTGCTGTCCAGATTGTGAAGCGAGTAGTAGAGATTAGTTCTGCAGCTCACTGCTAGAAAGCGTATCAAGCATTCTCAAGTCATATAGCATGTAGTGGGACTGCTAACTGTGCGGACAGGTGGCATGAAAACTGAAGAAGAGTGTAGTGGACCGACATGGGTGGTTCGTAATCACGGTTCTGGGGATGTGGGCTATCATTCTTCCCGTCATATGCCCTGGCAGCAGATTAAATAGTAAAGATGTTCTAGTAGCGCAGGTGGGCCTGTAGCTGTAGTGTTGGGTAGCAAATTCGCATAGATCTGTTCACTCATCAGATTGTTGCTTTCAAAAAATATAGAATATCGAAGAAAGATGGGGAAATAATGTGAAAATTTAGAGCAAAGCTCCCCATCTTGCTCGTAGTGATCTCTTAGGCCGTCATCACCAAATATTCCATGCAAAACGGTGCTTATCCCTTAACTGCAGCTATCGCCGGGGCACCAGTGGGATGGATTGACCCACTTATCGTTTGGGGCAATCAAGCAGAAGGAGCATCGAGCGGTCAATGGTTATTCAAATGGTCTACTATGGACTCAGATGCGTGCAAATTTCCCAGAGCAAATTATCATGCCTAGCTTGTTCTACTTTCAGGTGTGGTTGATCCTGAACACAATTATCACATGCTATTCTGATACCTTAAGGCCGGGGATCATGGATACTAATCCTGCCAGCACCTGTATATTGTGCATCATAAAAATATCAACACTCTTACTAGTTCCTGTAGACGATAGTCGGTCGGATTCAATGGTAGTGCGGTGGCTCCATTATAACTATCATATCAAACCTAACATGAACTTATGGAAGTATAGTCTAAGATAGGCATTGGGATGACAAGGAGCAAGTTTCCCGTAAGGGAATGTCCATGCGAGGGCTTCTAGTCAGCAGATAAATGAAGTATACACATCAGAAGGATAAATAGCAATGGGCGTCAGCCATGATACCTATGCTCTGATCTTCCTTCGCCATCGAGTTCCGTTCCAATTTCTTCGAAAGCAGAACCCACGATACCAATGACACAAGTCCGTGTGGGCGCTGTTCAGGTCGAGCCCGGCTGGGTTCACCTAGCCGCCAGTGTCGCCAAAACCATCGCATTGATCAAGGAAGCCGGGGCAAAGGGTATCAATGTCCTTGGCTTTCTGGAGGTATGGATTCCAGGTTATCTGTGGTAAGGGGTCTTTTCCGACCTCTTGAGGGGACGACCATGTTCAACAATAGAGATCATTGACTGACTGAGACGTCCCATCGTACTTTAGGACGATGTGGACAGGCAGTGTCGTGGAAAATGTTGACCTTATGCACCAGTATATGGCCAATTCGCTCAGGCGTGATTCCGCCGAGATGCGTGCCATTCAACAAGCCGTCAAGGAGGCAGGCCTCTTCATCGTGCTTGGCTACAGTGAACGCGATGGCGAGAGTCTGTATATGGCACAACCATTCATCAACACTGGTGGTGAGATCGTGCACCACCGGCGTAAGATCAAGCCCACGCATGTCGAGCGGTCGATCTGGGGCGAGGGTCAAGCCGAGTCCCTCCAAATGGTGGTCGATTCCCCCTTTGGTCGTATTGATGGCCTCAATTGCTGGGAGCACTTGCAGCCGCTGCTGCGATTTTACGAGTACTCGCAAGGGGTGCAGATTCACGTCGCCAGCTGGCCGCCGGAATTCCCAGCACCCAAAGGATTGAAATGGAAACAGATGTGGCCAGTCGCAATGCCAGTCAATTCTTTGCCATTGAAGGCCAGACGTTTTTCTTGGTCTGTACGTAGGTAGTCAAGGAAGAGAGTCTTCAAAAGCAGAACCTATCTCAAGGAGGAGTCATTCAAGCGGTATGTTTCCTTTTCCTCGATTTTGTTGCTTGGACATACTAATTGTCTCCTGCGAGCAGCCCGGTGGAGGATTCTCTGCGATCTTCGGAGCAGATGGCGCCTGTCTCGTCGAAGCGGCCTCCGGAAGCGAGGAATGTATCCTCCAGGCTGACATCGACCTCCAAGATATAGATTATGCCAAGGCGATAATTGACACGGTTGGACACTATTCCGTAGTGCGATACTTTAAGCGCCGGGAGTGGTCCCCGGCTCACTGCTCCAGGTCAGCTTTTTGAACTCATTGGCTGGCCGCGACGCGCCGCGCTCCACCGAGCTCCTCCTCTCATCTCAGGAGTCTGGACGCCTTTGCTCCCTTTCACCTTTCAGCTTCCGCTAAGTACGTATGTCCACTCATATGGCCCGGACCACAAGCGCTATGCCCCTCAGATTTTAGAACTTCTTCTTACTTTCCACTATCGTCGCGTGTCTCGTCCACGTCGTGTTTTCACAGATTATGATCCAGCAAGCCCTGCGATCTGCTCACTCTTTGCGTTGTTTTACTCACTATCCTCTCGCAACGAAGCGTTCTAAAGACCACATATTCCTGTCACCGCACCACACCTTCTGCTCACACCCGATGGTTGCCAAGCGGCCTGTGATAGGATGTACAATGAGCTCTGCGACAAAGTCTAGCAGATTCCCCATGTCATCCAGTCACTGTAGTTACGATCGCAACGATGTGCGCATAGGCTTCGACCCGTACAATTACACTAGTGGACGCTGGCTTCGTGGTGACAAAATGGAGCGAGCCTCTCGTTACATCGGCTTTGACTTCAACGCCCTTTGTCGTAAAATCCTTGAGTTATCACCAGAAGCAAGCAGCATCATAAACTGTGAAAAGATTGAGGGAGGCTTCAATAGGGTCTTTGTATTTGAATTAAACAATGCAAAACGGATTGTGGCGAGGCTTCCTTTCAAGCTGGCCGGCCCAGCACAGCTTACCACCAGTTCAGAAACTGCCACCATTAGGTATTGTGAGTAAAGAATCGAGATTCCATAGATTTATTGGCTAACATACAACTTGCTCTCAGTACAAATCAACACTAGCATCCCCATACCAAGAGTACTCGACTGGAGCCACGATGCGGCGAGTGTCGACAACACTATTGGCAGCGAATACATCATCATGGAGCATGCTGCTGGAATTCCGTTGCATAAGAGGTGGGACCAAATGGCCGGTGACCAGCGTGTTAAGTGCATAGACGCAATCTATCGGAAGATCAAAGAAGTGGTTAACCTAAGATTCCCAGCTTTTGGGAGTCTATACTTTGCTAACAGCCCTGTCTGTTCCGACAACAAATATGCAGTTGATGAGGAGTTCTGTATCGGAACACATTGTGGAACCAGATACTGGGACTGTGAGGGTAGAGCAAACAGTAATTCTAATAATCTAAAACCAAACCGGGGACCCTGTGAGTCATAAAGGCAAACAAAAATCGCTTGATGCATCACTTACAAGAATTTAGGGGCTAATTTTGACGAATTCTGCGACGGCCTCGTTGATGCTGGTCTTTCAAGACTTCCCCCCGTGGACTCCGAAATAGAAAGTAAGCCGTCCTATCATGGCTCAGTTGAAACACACAGATTCCTGCTAGGAAGTACGCGGAGACTTCTAAGGAGCATGTCTGGAGATCCTCGAATAAGCTCTTCTACAACACCGCTATTGTTCCATCCAGACCTCCATAAAAGAAACATCTTTGTTTCGGAGGACGATCCTTCCATAATTACAGGGATTATTGACTGGCAAGCCGCCAGCATTGAGCCAGCCTTTTGGTACGCGGATGAAGTCCCCGATTTTGCGACAGGAAATGAAATCTGCAACCAAGCGTTCGATGTCTGTTCTCAATTCCTTACACCTACGCTTTCCACTCCGAGACTAATGGATCAAAATCTATTCCGACCATTTCGATACAGCTACAGGACATGGAAAGATGGAGCTGTAGCTTTGCACCACGAATTGATCGAGACATCTCGATACTGGGAAAAACTTGGGTTCGCAGGCCAATGTCCTTTCGCTTTACCTCCGCCTAAGGAACTTGCGACCCATCAAAAGCAATATAAACTTTTTGAAGCGGCGCAGAATCTGAGATGTGACCTGTCAGACTTGCTTAACACGGCCTCTGATGGATGGGTCCCAGTAGAGGATTGGGAAACGACACAGGCTGCACATATCGAGCTTTTCGATGGGATGTTGCAGGCTGTGCTAAGTAACCAAGAGGCTGATCCCGATGAGCCTGTGAAGGATGAAGAAACACTCAGGTCCATTTGGCCTTTTGATATATGAACCACCATAATTGTGGCGTTCCAAATGTCCAACACACCTGCCCAAGGCCCACGATTTCCGGCCGACAGAGGATGCTACAGCATCTACTATTCTACAGCCAGAATTTGACTCTTTTCCAATATCACAAGACAATATCAGCCTGCGGCAGGGATTTTCGCGACTGAAGCGCCGACGTTTAGTCCCAAGACAGCCCGGTTGCGGGTGTTTCAGGTCAACATCGGGCCAATGTCTGGATTGATGGAGTGCTATGCAGCACTTCACGTGATGGCTGGGTTCCGAATCAATGGTGTATGTTTTCATCTTCTGGTGGTGCTTCTATGCAGGCTTTGTATTGTGGTCTGTCTAATCTTCTCGAAGCTTGCCCTGGGTTTCGCAGCCGACTACAACAGGCTTGGTACTATGTATCTTAAATGGCCAGCTCTTTGACAAACGTCACGAAATGCCAAGATAAAAGACTGGCCAAGTTCGTGAAGGCAAGCTCGTTGAATCACCCTTGAGGTCTGATGACGGATAAAATGTTGTGGTCGGAAGCACTAGCTCCATTAACTAGGGGTGATTAGCTGGGGATTTGCGCTACTTCCCGCCTTCTGTCTACTCACTAAGGGCTGTAATTATGAGTCGTCGGCTGTTGATATCTGATATCCTTCAGTTATAGACCCTAGTCTCGGTGGCATGGAGCAGAGGGGCACCAGTGTGGTGATATTGATTCTCAGTATCCCTTCCCACCGCGAGTCTGTCAGGTTTCTATGTAAGGATATGGAGGACTACAGATTGATTTGATGCAGCACAACTATACTGCCCGATGTGCCAATCGACATATTCTAACGATAGCTGCTGGGCCCATCGCGACAGGATGTCCCGCCGTTCCATGCGAGCTCATGTCGAGTAGACAGAAAGGAGGACGATCGCCTTGGCAGAAGGAGTGAATGGTGATCAAGAGGCAACTTGCTGTGGAACTTCGGTGAGAGACGTGTGCTTGACGTTGAGGGCAGTGCCCTTCGTCTTACGTGGTTTTCTCGCCCCCGAAGGCGACGTTCGTGGTCAATGCTGGACTGCATCCAATATGGCGCTGAACATGGAGTGCAGGGTGGTAGCTACTTATAAGAACATTGATCTACTATTGAATGCAGATCACATAGCGGGCGAAATTATTGTCCGCCGGGGATCGTCCTCCCGCGTGTCTCCCCGGTTCGTTCCTGTCAGCAAACTTCGATAGTTGATCTTTCCGTCGACGACCATCCGCGGAGACCTCGTATCGTTGAGCTAATAACGTCTCGCTTCAGGGGTTCTCTACTGCTCGCCTCTCCATCCGAGACCCTTAGAGCGATCCTAGTGTCTGTCTCCGCATCCTGGACCCTCCCCTGCATACGTTCCCACCCGCACAAACTTTGACTTTGTTGTGAGGAGACCACGAGAGGCCTGAGCGACCACGCTGCTCCCGCCATCCTCGCCATCATCAAGATCATCTCCCCGAGCCCTCGGCATGGCTACTCCAACGACTCAAATAAGTATCCCATCATCCACCAGCTCACAACCTCTACCCCATTCACAATGCATCCTCCTCACCCATGCCCATCAAACGCGACAACCCCACAGGGCGACTTCTTCCCGATATATACCGAGACTCCCATCTAATCCACATCTTCACAGCCTTTGCCGCCATCTCCTGCTACAATGCCATCGAACTCATCATCCTCTGTTTATCCGTTTTCAAACGCCGCGGGAGTACATACTTCTGGTCTCTCCTCATTGCATCCATAAGCATCATCCCCCAATGCGTAGGCTACATCCTCCTCTTTTCCCACCCCGAAATCTCCCCCTACGGCTCCGTCACCTTGATCCTGATCGGCTGGTGTGGGATGATAACCGGCCACTCGCTTGTACTCTGGTCCCGCCTTCACCTCGTCCTCCAAGATCCGCGAATCCTTCGCTATCTCCTCCGTCTCATCATCATAGACGACATCCTCCTCCAAATCCCCATCACAGTCCTCTTATACGGAACCGTCTCCTCTGACTGGCAACTCTTCAACACCGGCTACAACATCATGGAACGGATCCAACTCGTGGGCTTCTGTCTCCAAGAAGCCCTCCTATCCGGGATTTACGTCTGGGAGGCAGCAAAACTATTACAACTTCGTCCGGAGGCTCGACATCGTCGGATCCTCGCCCAGCTCATCTTAATTAATGTTCTCGTTCTGGTACTGGATTTTGCGGTCGTGGGGATCCAGTATGCTGGGTTTTATGCTGTGCAGGTCATGTTTAAACCCGTGGCGTATAGTATTAAGTTGAAGCTCGAGTATGCTATCTTGGGTCGTTTGGTGAAGGTTGTCAAGACGGCGAGTATTCGGGATTCGTTGAGTACGCAGGTCTTTGATGTGCTGCCTTCGGCGGATGGGGTGAGGCATGGAGAGGATGGGTTTATAGATGGCGGTCAGAGGGCTGTTGTGCAGTTACAAAAGGGGCGTATGATGAGTAGTGGATCATGAAATTATGTCGAATAATGTAGTATCGTGTGGGATATTGTAGAGTCTTGTGAAGGGAAGGTGAAGGGAAGGTAGGCCTTCGGTTGTAATGTCAGAGAACGTCATGGGAGATGAACGTGTGTTTAAGCTTGGCTCACTTATCCTTTGGCAGTTTGACCGCCCCAGAGCCCTTTTTAGACGAATTCTATGGCGTGATAGGGATTCTATCCAAAAGATGAGGGACGGGTGTGATGGCTGGCCACCGTTATATGGCTGCTGCTCATTTCTACCTCCCAAGCGATCTCAGGATTCATATGACTAGTACGGATGAAACATCGCTGAAACTTTACTAATGAAACGGTAGTGATAAAAGGTGATATTTTTGGTATTTTTCTTTTTCGCCTTTTTTTGGCCTTTAGTTACATTTTCAAGAGCAGGGATATTTCATGCCAAACTCCGCTTTTGCCCTGCTAATACATCAGGAGTTGACTCACCACGGGCTCACAACATCTGCTTCACTGAGCTTTGACGATTCTCCCGGGTGGTACTTTCAGTTCTTTCCGCCTCGTCACACCAGGTCCCAAGGGTTGACAGCCTCATTCTGAGCCTTGTCCTTCTCCTCAAGCTGTCTGATGCGTCTCTTGAGAGTTTCCAGATGGACTTCCATTTCTTCAGCCGCCTGCTTGAGAAGGGGCAGGTTATCGATAGTCTCGGGACCAAGGGGGAAGGGAATCACATCTCCGTCGAGGCGACAGCTCAGAGACGGGGACATCAGGTTGTCACGCTCCGATTTGATGTCGCGGATCGGATCCCAGAAGCTCTGGCTTTTGATGGGGGTCTCATGATTCATCTCAGTTCCGCCAGGAGTAGGAGTTGCATTGCAAGGTCTCAGAGCAAACTCTCTTCCTTGGCCGTAGGTGTCATCACTGGAGAGATGATCCTGAGAGTTGGGAGAGGCGTTTTCGTCGGAACCACGGGAAACTAGATCTGTTAACATCCAAAAGTGTTATGAGAAACGATCATTTTACTTACTCAGGTTGCAGTAACGTCTGCTAAAACGACAGCACGCGCAGGCTCCATGCATATTGCCGCCTTCTTTGGTATCAAAGCCAACGACGCAAGTTTTCCAAACGCTCTTATTGTATCTGCAGTGGTGGCACGGCTGCTCCACCTCGAAACCACGAGTCTGAGCAAAGGCTGCAGTCTGCGAGACAATATCCTTTAGAGGCCTGCGAACCGGCAAGCCGTTCTCGTCAACTCGCCAGTCGAGCTTGCGAAGAACGGGCAGCTGGTGGTATTCCAGCACCGCGTCGTTCGGTTTCTGTCCTAGAAGAGGAAGGTCATCATAGCCAACACCAGCGACGACTGCTGAGGATTTGAGTCAAATTCTTTGCTTCATCTCAGTCGACTAGACTGCTGAGTGTCACTTACGCTCGGCGGTAGGAACCTCGACCCTCACAGGGCTGTCTTGGCCGGCCTTGACCTCGACCACCTTGGGCGCCAGGAGACGAAAAATAGCAGACTCCTCCATAGGGACAAGCCGATACTTGGTAGTGGTGATCGTGATGTGAAGAGCGGAGCGAGTCATCTTGGAAGGAGGGGTGCTCTCAGGCAGGTGCATGTTGACGCCGAGAGAATTGGTTGCCCCCGACGGCGGATCTTGTGTTGAGGATGACACGATGTGAAGGAGAAGTGAATTGTGTTAGGACTCTCATATGCAATCAGCCCTCTGGTATACTACACCATGGCTTACTAAGAACGTGAAAGGTGACCCCCCTCTATCCCCCTTTGTTCACTGAGCTGATCTGCTTCAGCACATTGCCATGACATATTTAAATCCGATAGAACCTCTACGTGCAGACCACGGTAATGAAAAACTCAAAGTCATCTAAGTACCCTGCAGAGGATCAAGTATTCTGCTCAACAAATGTCATTCTCATGATCTAGTCCCTTAATATGTTGTAGTACACCAGACTGATTAATCTCATACTATATGCTTCTATCCTGGACTGTTGTATGACATGACGTAATGTGAAGCAGCGCGGTAACACCAATACCAAACTTACCGTACGGGCCGCTGGCGACCCCGACTTGCGATTTAGTCTCAACGCCAACAAATCCTCTAGCCAGCAGTCCATGGGGATCCTTGACGGACTTCCATGGGCTTTGCTGGCAACCGAACCAATTGAGCAGCTGGTGCAGGTTTCCACCGGCCCCACGCTTTATCATGGAGAGCCTTGATGATGTGTCACTCTCGAGAGAGGGTGCAGATGACAGAAGCCTTGGTCCTCTTGACGACCAGTCTTCCAGAGCAGTGTCCCTGATAGACAGCAGTCCCCCGAACTCCACCTCCGATCTGAACTTCCCATACGCAGATGCCTCCTTTACCTCGGGCTCGAGCACCAAATTCCCCGAAGAGCAGACGGAGTCCGCCTCCCGAAGCTTCATCGACCATGACGACGACCTCAGATCGCCCCGCGCTTCCTCGCCGCTCGGCCCATTACCCCATAATCCCCCAGCGGTACCTGCCATGAGTGAAGACGGGGGTGATGCAGGAGATGAAGAGCCCCAGGTTGCGACATCCTTTGAGCGGGATTCCACGCCAACCTCGGCGCAAAAGCAACGCTCCGCGTTCTTTGACGCGGGAGAGGATGAGGGTATTACTCGCATTCATAAGTTCTCTCTGTATGAGACAGCGACTCGGTTCTACATGGTCGGCATGGACTTGACAGAGACCCGATTTAAGATCTTGAAGATCGACCGGACGTCCGAATCAGGCGACCTGAGCGTCTCGGAGGACGACATCGTGTACAGCAAGAGAGAGATTTGGCAGTTGTTGGATACGATCGATGACGGGAATAAAAGCACGGGTGGATTGAAAATCAAATGCAGCGCGTGGGCTCTGCTTGGATTCATCAGATTCACGGATGCTTACTACATGCTCTTGGTGACCAAGAGAAGCCAGGCGGCTATGCTCGGCGGACATTATGTTTATCAAATTGATGGAACGGAGCTCATTTCGTTGACAACATCGAGCTCATCTCGGCTCAGGCCGGAGAAAAACCCAGAGGAGGTGCGATATATCGCTATTTTAAACAACCTGGACCTGACTCGGTCCTTCTACTTCAGCTATTCTTATGATATTACCAACACATTGCAGCGCAATATCTGTCGGGAGCGCAAAGCCAACCAGGACGAGCGTCCTAAACAATGTCAACAAGACTACAATACGATGTTTATCTGGAACCACCATCTTCTGGGACCGGCCTTTGAGACACTGAAAAATCCTTGGGAATGGTGTCTGCCCATTATCCATGGCTATGTCGAGCAGGCCAAGATGTCGGTGTATGGGCGGCTGGTTTACATTACCATCATTGCGCGTCGCTCTCGTTTCTTTGCGGGAGCTCGCTTCTTGAAACGAGGCGCCAATGACCTGGGCTACGTGGCAAACGATGTCGAAACAGAACAGATTGTGGCTGAGATGACGGCCACATCATTCCATGCCCCTGGCCCAAATCTCTACGCCAACCCCTTGTATACCTCTTACGTGCAGCATCGCGGAAGTATTCCCCTTTACTGGACGCAGGAAAACTCAGGCGTGTCTCCCAAGCCGGATATTGAACTCAACCTTGTTGACCCGTTCTACTCGGCGGCCGCGCTGCACTTTGACAACCTTTTCGAAAGATATGGCGCACCAGTCTACGTTCTCAATCTCATAAAGTCACGAGAACGGACACCACGAGAATCCAAGCTCCTCAAGGAATATACCAATGCTATCCAATACCTCAATCAATTCCTACCAGAGGATAAAAAGATCATATATCAGCCCTGGGACATGAGTCGTGCTGCCAAAAGCCGAGACCAAGACGTTATGGGAACCCTGGAACACATCGCGGGCGAGATCATTCCGAAGACGGGCTTCTTCAAGAACGGATACGATGTTGAGTCTGGGCTACAGCTGCAGAACGGTATCGCGAGAACAAACTGCATCGACTGCCTTGACCGGACGAATGCTGCACAATTCGTCATCGGAAAACGCGCCCTGGGATATCAACTCCACGCACTGGGAATTATTGAGGGAACATCGGTTGAGTATGATACAGATGCTGTCAATTTGTTCACCGACATGTGGCACGATCACGGTGATACGATTGCAATCCAGTACGGTGGTTCGCACCTGGTCAATACTATGGCCACGTACCGCAAAATCAATCAGTGGAGCAGTCATTCTCGAGACATGGTGGAGAGTTTCAAGAGATATTACAACAACTCCTTCCTCGATGCCCAACGCCAGGAAGCGTACAATCTGTTCCTCGGCAATTACATCTTCTCGCAAGGACAGCCGATGCTGTGGGACTTGTCAACCGACTACTACTTACACCACGCTAACCCCCGGTCCTGGTCTGACAAGAAACGACCCAACTACATTTGCTGGTACACTCCTAACAATCTCGAAGAAAAAGAACTGCCACCGCCTCCGCGACCCCCGAAGGAAGCTCTCTCCCACTACGACGATTACTGGCTCGAGTACTACAGGCCGATGGCGGTGTCATCGTTCTCTAAGATCTTCTCTTACAGGATGAACTCAACCCTCCGTTATCTTCCTTTCCGGCCTGGCTCCGGTGCACCCTACGATATCAGTCCGTTTGTTCCCCGGATTCCACACGATCAGATCAACCGCGAGCGACACCCCCCACGCAGTGTCAAGATCCAAGAACCGCTGAAGACCTCCATAGACCCATCAGGCCGTCCCCAACTTGGCAGCAACGCCACATCCCAGTCCAGCTACAACTGGATCCACCAACTACCCTCAGCCGACAAACAACCCCCATCAGCAGGCATCATGAAAGCAACCTCGTTCGGACTCCCCCAATCCTTCAACTCCATGCAATCTTCCCAAGAATCCAACACTCCCAGCAAAGCCCAAATCGCCCAATGGACCCTCGGCCAGCTCGTCACCGACTCGCTCAACCCCTCCGTCACCGCCGCAGAAGCGGAAGAATACGAACGCTACATCAACCACCCACTCAAGGTCCCTCTCGTCGTCACCTCCGAGGATGAACTAACCGCCACCTCCATCCGCGAACACGAATCCAGCCTAGACCTCCTGGAATACGCCAACAAATGCAACGTCGAAGAAACCACCCTCGAATCCAATGCCGAGGAGAATCTCGCTGACTATGCCGAGTTCCTGGATGTATCTGAGGGTGGACTCACTGTGGTGGCGGAGGATTATGAGAAGAAGCGCTATAAGCGGTATAGGCAATGGCTCCGGGGAAAGAGTCTCTTCAAACAGCGTGTCGATATGTAAATGAGTACGGTTTATATTGTTATTGTTCATTACGACAGATATGATATGTTACGATGTGATATGATACCCATTCATTTAGCATAGCATAGCATAGCATAGCACGCACATAGTCGATACATTCATTCATATGTTCAATCAGATCTACAAAATCCACAATATCCTCACATCACACATACACACATACCTCCATTCAACCTCAAACCAAACCAACCAAACCCAACCTAAACCCCGAAAAACCGCCCATCCCCCCCATCAACCACCCCCAAAAGCAAGTCCCTCAAAGCCTCATCAGCATCAACCACCTCCCTAATCTCCTTCTCAAACGCCTCCTTCGCCTCCATCACGTCCTCATCCCCCCGCAACTTCTCATCCGGATTCTCCAACGCAACGCGCAGTAAACAAACCACGCCCTTCAACTCCATTTTCAACTTTTCTAACACAGCACCCTCATCACTACCATCCCGATTCTGCCGTTCCCTAATCTCATCCTCCACACCAAGCCAGCATTTACAAGCCGCGGCCACGATCTCGCCCCTCCAGGCCCAGATCCTCGGGTATGCGTTCAGAATCACCGCTCTCGTGACGGCCACGCCGGCAAGAAGTAATGGTGGGTGGGCGGTTCCGAATGGGTTCGAGAGGGTATTGTAAATGAGGGGGATAATTTCCTGGAGGTATTTTGTTGTGTGGATGGAGAGGTCGAAGATTGTGTCGTGGATCTGGGTTAAGAGGAGGGTGGAGAGACGCGGGTGTGGGAAGGAGGCGAGGGTGGTTTGTTGGTCGTCTGTGGGAGTTAGGGTACTGATGTGGTGGAAGGAGGGGATGAGGTTTTCGCGGAGGAGGTTGGCGAGGTGTGTTTGGTAGGGGGGGTTGAGGTTTGTTGTGGATTGGGATGGGGGTTGGGTGAGGTAGCTGGTTTTGAAGAGGAGGCGGAGTGCTGGGTAGGCGACTGAGAGGATCCGGATGGAGTCGTCTTCTGGGGTTATGGTGGGGAGGGATAGGAGGCATGGTTTGATGGCGTCGGAGAAGACGGAGGAGAGGTTGGTTCGTTGGAGAATGGTGGATTGGGTTGCTCGGATGGGGTGGAGGAGGTGGGTGAGGAGAGCGCAGCCGCGGGTTTTGTACGGGATGGTCTCGTCGTCGATGAGGGCGAGGATTGGAGGGACGAGTAGGGGGAAGTGGGATTCAAGACGTTTGATGTCCGTGGGCTGGACGGTGTTAGTGGTGGGTTGGTGCTGGGTTGAGTTGGTCGGGAGAGGGGGGTTACCTGGTACTGGCTCACGATCCAGGAGAAAACGGTGGTCGCGTAGACGTCGTATGCTCGCCATGGCTTGGATTCGGGATCGAGGATGCTGGTGTCAAATCGAGGCAGAGGGACAGGGTGGAAGTCCTTGCGACCTGCTGCTGTGATGGCCGGGTTTCTGGTCTTGGTGAAGAGGGGTCGGATTCTCTCTTTCAGGATAGTTTCGAGGACGGCCCAGAAGGATGTGTCTGGGGTGGAGCGTGAATCTGTGCTGAATCTCTCTAGTAATGCAATCGAGGTTGTGCGAGAGTCTTCTGTTGTCCATGGGTCTGCTTCAGAGGTAAAGCTTGCCAGGGCGAGGATGATGTCAGGCACATCAGCTGCTCTAGGTACTGGAAGGAAACAGTTCAATTCTGCGATCACTGATATTGATAGTGATGATCTCAGCTTATCCTCACGAACGAGAGCGTCCTTCTTTTCTATGGCCAGTCAGCATGTGGGCATGCGAAGGAGAAGGGAGGTCCAGGATCCTACCGCTCTGCTCGTCTATTGTGTCTGCGTACACTGCATATGGAAGAGCAAGTCGACTTGCCCAGGCATAGATATGGTTTGCTGTATCTTTATCGGACTCCGATAGTTCTTTGGAGCTGCGGAGTCGCAGGAATTCCCGGGCAAGGAACAAGTTTTCAGAAACCTGCATAGTTAGGTTAGTAGTCCGATATTAACGCAATAAACTTTGACTTACCGACACATTTATTAGCTTTTGCTGAGGAGAAATTATCTCCCACAAAGCCCTCAGTTCTCCAGGGACGGTGATGTTGGCGAGCACCGAGTCTGGGATGCGAGCATCACCTCGGTGGAGGGCCTCACGTGCCGCTGTGCGTAGCTCCTCCATCGACTTATGCAGTTACTATTTACGAGTAGTTGCTCCTATATGCAGAGCACTATTGTGGTATGCAATAAAAGTAGATGATTAAAGGTAAGCCTCGCGGGCAGTTACAATGAAGAGTTGCGAATAGATCCATCGCCGTCGGCAATTTTATCGAGCGGTAAGTGACGGGAGCCGAAGAATGCCCATTTACTACAGTGCGCAAATCGAACATTTCTAGGATAGAACAACACAGAACACGACAGGTTCACTGTGCCCACCGGGTATTTATTAATTTGCAGGAATGCCTAATTCTTCTTTTCTAAGAGACAGCTCTTCCAGCACCTTTCCCTTGTCGGCAATCTCCGGATGCAACAGCTGCCATTTCACCACCATATCCGTGGCTCTCGACATCCAGGGCCCAGGCTTGCAACCGAAAGCCTTCACAATATCGCTGCCGTTGACAAGTGACTTCAACTCATATACATCCTGCAAGTCCTGCTCTTCGATGTAGGAGATGAACCGGTCATACGCTTGCACCACTACCGCTAAATCAGTACTGTGCCTCTCATAGATAAGCTGCGAAACGGAAGCTTCTCACCTTTGATAAAATCGCCTCCATTCATAATCTCCTGGAGAAGGGCAAGGAGGATACAAAGCCTCCAGTCCTTCTTCCATGAGCGAATGTACAGTCCGATCCGCTGTCGTACCTCTGCTGCCGTTCCGTCCATTCTTCCCTCAAGGAGAGAGTTCTTGACGTCTGTAATGGCCTGCCAGTTATATGCTGCATCTCCAATCACTCCCATCGTCTTATTATCGGATCGGAGGCTGTCTCGAGCTACTTCTGCTGTCCGAGCAGGCAAAGGTTTCGCCTTAGGGCCCTTCGCAACGCGAGCCGGTACACTTGACCATGGAGCAAATGCTGCAATCGTCCAGGCATAGTAGGTTTCGAGCTTGTCACGTATAAGGAATTTGCGCACATGTTGGACGATGGCCTTGGGGTCGTCATCACGAGGCTTAAAGATCCTCTCCAGTGCATTGTACCCCAAGGGCCATGACGAGGTATCCGCCCGCGCGTCATCCTGGTGATTGGCAAAAATGGTTGGGTACAGCCCGAGACTATCGATAAGTTGCAGTGCACCGCGAGGATCAGGACCTAGAATCGTGAGCCAGTTGCACGTCGCTGAAAACCAAGGTTCCACCACAAACCTTGAAGCATTTTCTCCATCTCCTTCCCCACACGTTCTCTGCTAATCTTGAGCTTGAGGGCCTCGCCAATATAGTCATTCCGCATCGCCTGCTGTGTCTCCTGGTCGATATTGTAACCCAGTCGGCTGGCAAACCGGATCAGGCGCAACACGCGCAACGGGTCGTCCTGGAAGGTTTGGTATGGCTCCATCGGGGTACGGACGATATGTTTCTGCATGTCATCCAAGCCTCTGCCAGTCAAATCTTCAACCTTGGACTCGTTCAGATTATAGAAAAGCGCATTGATCGTCGCATCGCGGCGCATCGCGTCTTCCTCGGCCGTTCCAAATTCCATCTGTGGGTTCCGACTATCTTCTGAGTAGGTTTCTTTTCTCAAATTAACCAGATCGATATCGAGGCCAAAGATCCGTGTTGTCACCGTCTCCAGATGCTTAGATTTCTCGGGGTTCGCTTCAATTTTGTGTAGACTGGCAATGGCATGCTTAAACTCGCCATTGGGGTGGTTTTGCCTGTACTTGTCCAGGTTTTCTGGTCTATCCATGTATTCCTTGAGTAACAAGCCAAACTGATATCCCGTCATGTTATTGATGCCGACATCGACATCATTACTGCCCACACCTAGCAACTTGTCCCGCACCCATCCTCCAGTGAATCGTAGCACCGTGAGGTCTGCATCCCTCCGCCCTTCCGCAATTGCCTTATCACGTATGTACTCCGCAACATCGAGTAAGAGGGTTTTCAGTGTATTCTCAAGTGGGGTGAGTTGTATGGTGGGAAGGGGTTGTGTCATGGTGCCAACGGCGGCCTGAAGCGGGGCAGGAGTAGAAACGCGCCGTCTTTTGCTTGCTCGTGGAGGGGATGGGCTGGAGGTTCTCCGATGGCTCATGGACGAGCGGCGCGAGGGAAATGAAGGCTTTGGGCTATGGCTATAGGCACGGGGTATCAACGGGGAACTTCTGCGAAGAAAAAGAGGCCTGAATGCGGCGGAACCATCAGTTGGCGGAGAGAGAGGGACGGGCAGGCGGCATTGGCGGCTTTTAGGAGGCAGGTAGAAGAGGGATGTTCTGAACATAGGTAACAGCCATACCCGAGTGAGTCACAGAGAATGGCACAGTGAAGCACAGACTATTGAGTCATGAAGATCATCGGCGTGGTGGCACAGCAAGCATCCTGAGGCAGGTCGAGGCACAGCAACCAACACCAATTGCCCGGCAGATTCCTGCGGGCGATCATCACCGCCTTCCCGGAAGTCAACAATCGGCCAACAATAGGCACACGCCGCAGGCAGGATGCCGTCCAGTGCTAAGTCCCCTTAGCTTTGGCTGTGCCTAATTCTAGTCCAAGCTCTCGCCTTCTACTACCGGGAAACTGTCGTTGTGATCCTATTGTCTCCTCAAGTTCCCGCGAAACAGCCTGCTGCGAGGGACGCATTGGCCGAACGGTGCTATTCGCCCGGCTTGCGCCCCAGGATTCGCCCGCGCTGACTTGGCTTCACTCACTCATCCCTACTGTGTACAACATCGCCGGAACTTTCCCAATTTATTCAACATCTCCTATCAATTCGCTCGGACTCGCACCCTCACCCCTCCCAAACCTCATCCAATTTCTTGTGGGATCTTCCCCACTTAGTCCATGGGCTCTAGGGTCACTTCTACTTTTGTTAACGTCGCATCCCCCACCACTCGGAGTCCATGACATCGCCCGGAGATGCTGCTCCGGTCAAGCCTCCGCCGTCATTCTCGCCCGGCGTTCCCCGTGTTGCATCCAAGTCGAGATATCCAAATCAGCGCCGCGACTCGTCGCCGTCTCTGGATGCAGATCTGGTAGACTCGAGGATTCGGTCTCCGACCCCGCCCCTGACCGCCACGACGTCAGATCTCCCGATCAGGTCCGCATCGCCCCGTGCTCCTTCATTCCGGTCATCAACACCCCAATTGGCCCGATCATCCCTAGGTTCCCCGGTGGAAGGTCGGTTTGATGGCGCAGAGGAAATTCGATCCCTAGTCATACGGTCGTTCTCTCCCGTGGTTGGGGTCTACGCATCAGCAGACACCGATGAGTTAGTACGACAGAAAGGCTTTGCCGGTGGCTTCTGGGAGTTGATCCGTCCGTTCGGTGAGAACGTCCCTGGGAAGATTGTTGTCCGAGACAGTGTGGGGGCAAGTCGTGGCTGGGAAGACTACGGGGTTCGCTTTGTGAACTTGGCTGGCAATAGTTTAACCCCTAATGACTCGAGCACGGGGCGAAGCGCCCCTCTGGCACAGGTGGAAGACGTGTTGGAGAAGCAGCTGGGCTCGACTGATGATCCGCCCAGCGGATCATTGCGCCCAAAAGATTTCTTGAATTTCCCTACAACATCTCCGTTATATAAAGTATTCCTACGACAACTGCTATCGATATCATCAGCCACACCGCATGAGACATTTCGACATCCAGTGGCCAGTGTCATCGCCATTAGTTCGCGCAACACCGCTCCACTTGAGACTCTGAGGCAATTGTACGCAGACACCAACAACGGAGCTAGGAGGTTGCCAGACTGGTGTCATTCGGAATACCTGCGCTACTATGTTCTTGTTCATGATGAGGATCAAGATGATATTGCAGAATCGACCAAGTTATATGACCAAATGAAACGCCACTTCGGATTACATTGCCACTTGTTGAGGCTCCGTAGCAATCAGTGCGTGGTCACCGATGACGACAGTGTCCAAGTACCTGAATGCGAATGGCTCTCCCCTGCTGAGCGACTTTCGGGCAGAGCTGGTAGGACTGCATCCCTGAGAGTACAATCTCATGAGCGCTAACGATTATTAGAGCCCTTGGTTGACCTAGATGCCAACGGGTTTTACCTTTTCGATTCAGACATCATGGCCATTAGGGCTTTCATCCGGGAACTCGTCGCCCAGTCCGTGATACCGTTCATGGAAAACCGAGTCGCCGTCTGGAATGACCAAGTAGCCTCCCGTAGGCGTGGTATAAGTGGGCGGTTTATGTCAATGTCACGCAGATGGGCAGGATTCGGATCTAGCTCTCGTTCCAGTCTCACGGCAGGAGGGGCTAGCGGAAACTATGATGTCGCACATGGTTATTACAAGCCGGATGTGCCTGAAGCTGTGCTGCGCAAGATGGCAGACTTTGCATTCATGCTTCGGGACTGGAAGTTATCGGCGTCTACCTATGAGCTCCTCCGCTCCGACTATGCGAACGACAAAGCATGGAAATACCATGCCGGCGCCTACGAGATGTGCGCCGTAAGCATGCTCTTGAATCCATCTGCAATGGGAACAAAGATGAAGCTCGATGGAATTGATCAAATGTTTGACACAGCCTGCTATTCTTATCTCACACGGTGCTCAGACGCGCCCAATGCTCTCCGATGTCTCACATTGGGTATGGAATTATTGAAGTCCCGCGGGGGATCGGCAGTGGAAAGCGCCGCTCGATGGGCCATGCGGGCCATGGACCTTGGGTTAGTCGGCTCAATCGGTCAGGGCCTCTTCAGTGAACGTGTTTCGGCATGCTATGCCGCGAGGCCACCAGTGAGTGGAATGAAATGGGGCTCTCGACGCAGAAAAGCTGGCATGTGGAGTGTCTTCGCTGCTGACATATGGCTTCGCCTTGGGAAGCCATCACTGGCATCAGCAGCTCTGGAGGAGGCAGAGCGGCTTTACGCAGACGTGCTGAGTGCCGACGGAAGGTTTCCTATGCCCGAGATGCAGACTTTCATCGACAACCTAAGACACGCTGTCAAGGTCGAGTACCTGGAGGCCAGAGGGTTAGACATCCGAGATGATGCCGTCACTGCCGAAACACTAGGCACCGAAGAAACCAGCGAAAAGCTGGACAGACGCATGAATCGCAAATCCCTAATCGCCAACCCGTTGGATTCGGGAGGCCTCGGTCCACCAGGCACGAGGGATGATGACAATGCAGCCAATGACGATTTCGAACGAGCTTAGGATGCAATGATGGTCCGAGGGCGCATGGGGTTTATACACTACTATAGACATGTGTCAATTTAATGTTTCTTGTACGAATTACAATCCACATGTACATCCATCGATATAGTCACATCGTAGCACCAAGCAAGACACCGTGCACGTGACCATATCTTATCGATAAGATCACTGCGGGTGACCTCCCTGACAACCAGCCAGACACGAGCTGGCCCATTATTGACATCAGATCTACCATCTCAGCAGCACACACGCATCAGGGGCGGCCAGCCTACATCAGTGGGACATACACTTCCTGGTCTGCTCAATCCGTTATATACATAATATCAATATACTCTGTTTAATAAAACCCGTCCATAACTAAACCCTCATCCATCACTCTTTCCTCACCACAACAACCACAATGCCCACCCTCCTCCAATACATCCTCTCGCGGGACTCCTTTAGAAAGTCCGTCTTACTTCCCCCCTCTACCCTCCTCGCCTCATGACACACTCTCACTAACCGTATTTACCCAGAAACCGCCTACCTTCTCTCTACTCCGACTTTCCCATCCACCGCAAAACCAACCCCGAAGGATACGCAACCAACATCGCAGCCTGGGAACACGCCCTAACCTCCGCCGCAAGATATGGCTACATCACTCCCTCATCATCTCAGGGGCACCCCTCGACAAAGAAAACCAATCATCTAGTTCTCAGAGCCGATGAATCGCTGTTACGCGAGTTGGAGATCCCGGAGTGTGGAAGGCCGGTGGCTTTGGGTGCCGTTTTTGTATGTTGTTGATATGGCTACGTGCGGATGTGCATATGCAGTGCTAACGGGTTCGTGCGATGGCAGGACGAAGCCACGAGGAATCGAACTATGGTGCCGCTGCACCTGTATCGGAGTAATCCAGCTAGTTTGAAGAAACCGCATTGGGGCATTGATACGTCTGTGTTGAGTCCGTGGGCTGTGATGAGCTGGGGTATGAAGCAGTTGAAGGGTGTAGTGGTGGGGTCTGAGGAGGCGACGCCGAGATTGCAGGCTCAGGAGTTGGTTCTCGTGGAGAACTTGAAGGTGGGTGGGTTATTTAAGGGTTGGGTCATAAAGGCTGACGATTGGTATAGGAGACTGCGGATCGCGTTGTGAAGAAGGCTACGGGGCATAACCCGTCCAAGACGGATTTGGTTTACTCGAAGGAGAGCTTTGTGAATGAGTTTGCGGGAGCTTTGGACGAGGGGAGTCTGTTGTCAGATGCGGATATGGACGTGCTTTTGCTGTATCTGTCTCGCGATAGCGGTGCCATTGCGTATGATGGCAAGGTATGTCTATCTGTGCTGTTTATCCAATACAAGACGCTAATCGTGATGCAGACTATCAAGTTCAGGACCAGTGACGCTCCCAAAGAGATCACAGAGCAGGATACCGCTGTCGCCTCTATCAAAACGCTCATGGCGACTATGACTAAACAGGTGGAGAATTTGGAAAACAAGATCGTCGAATTCAATTCGACTGCCAAAATGGCGCTGCAGAACAAAAACCGTGTTTCTGCGCTTTCGGCTGTGCGCTCGAAGAAGCTGGCGGAGCATAACCTAAAGCAGAGGCTGGATACTCTGATGCAGCTCGAGGAAGTCTATTCCAAGATTGAGCAGGCCACGGATCAGGTTCAATTCGTGAAGGTGATGGAAGCAAGCACCGGGGCCCTTCGTGGCTTGCATAAACAGATCGGCGGAGCGGCGAGGGTTGAAGATGTGGTGGAGGAGTTGCGTGACGAGATGTCCAAGGTGGACGAGGTTGGAAACATCATGAACGAGGCTGGCCCGCAGATTAATGAGACTGAGATCGACGACGAGCTGGAGGAATTGGAAAGCAAGGAGCGGCAGGAGAAGGAAGAGAAGGAGGCGGAGGAGACCCGCAAGAAGCTCGCCGAACTCGACAATCTCGAGCAGCGCGCCAAAGAAGCTGCACGTACAGCTGCAGCGGAGCAAGCTGTTGATTCAGAGTTAGAAGAGCGGCTATCTCGGATGTCTGTCGAGGAAGGTCCTGGCGCCACTGCTTAATGCCAGACGTCGGAACGACTCTCAGCGGACCTGGCAGCCTGCGCAAGCCGCACATTCTCGGCGCAGTATTACGGGCGCTATTAACTGTTCGTGTTGCTCATCTGGAAATCACTTGGCCCCTGGAATCCCTGGACCCCGTTTTCTGCGACGCTTACGGGTTCGTCCGCTACGGGCAACTTGTCCACTGGCTGAACATCTTCTGTCGCGATGGTGGCTTCGATAATGGGCACAGTAGGAGGCTGGTTCGTGTCTGCAGGTGCTTGCGCTATCGTTGTGCGCGCCTGGGCCCCGGCTTTCTTTCGCGCATTCGCAATCAGCCGCTTAAAGTCATCTTCATGATTCGTTGACCATGCTGTCGCATCGAAATCCTTGCGCATTACGGTATCGGTAATGTCCCCCGATGGCTGTGCTTGGCCGCCTTGCGTACGTTCCCAAATATCCAGTTCCCTCAGCAATTCTCGTTTGGACTTCGGCGTTTTGGAGTCGCAGTTGGCATTCCATAGATTCATCCACTCGGTGTGGCGTCGTTGCAGGAGGGGCCGCGGGCCCGTGTTCGGTATACCCAAATCTTTTAACTTTTTCCGGAGCACAGTATCTTTCAATAGAGAATAATTTATTATCGGGAGTCGTTCGGGCGGCTTGTTCATGAAATCTTTTGATCTCCGCGACGCCGGCGACATGGGCTGTAACGATCTGTACCTGCAGTCAGACGCAAGCCGTAGACAGAAGCTGTAGGAAGACCGCCTTACCCAAAGTTCAACTGTTTTGGTGGTACCGGCTCGCCGGTGCAGGTATCCAGATGTCGAAAAACGGCTTCATTCTTCATCCTCCGGCTGCAAATCGGGCACGCGACCAGTCCGTCCTCTGGATGGCATTAGCGCGCGATACGGGAGACCGAACAATTTCACCTACCCGGAACGTATTCTTCGTCGTTACTGTCCTCAATCACCTCGATCGCGACCGGGTCTTCCTGAGAGCCCACCCCTCTGGTTTGCGATCGAGTCCTCACGCCGTCCGAAGCCGTAGCAGCAGGCCCCTCTACCACCTCAACCTTCCTCTTCTTTGATGCTGGCCCCTCCGAGTCGCCGTCACTAGTACCATTTTCCGGCGTATTAGCCTTCTTTGCGAGCCCCAAGACACTGGGTCTAGCATTCTGAAACGCCTCGACTAGTTCCTGTACAGCCCAATTCCGCCGCAACTTCAATTCTTGATCTGAGCTTCGACACGCAGGACATTTCCCTTCCGTGCTTAGACACCGCCGAATACAGAGCGAGCAGAAGGTATGGCTGCACGAGGTAATCACGGGATTGTCGAAGAAGTCCTTGCAGACCTGGCATCGGAGCGAAGACTCGAGGGGCGCGACAAGTGACAGTGGCGTGTCGAGCCAATCAGTCGAGTCCGGGAGATCGAAGGTCTGCTCCATGGGGTAGATATCTCGGGCGCGGCAACTATCGAGGGACCATTGGACGGACGAGGAAGAATTTTGAGAAAGGCGAGTAGAGGGGTGTTCGCTGGGCTTGTAATTGTTTCGATTGCGGGCTGGCGATGATTATTGTGATGGGATCGATAGCGGTGGCGCCAAGACCCGCTGACTGATACGCGTAAAGTGGTTGAGCACGCGTCGTCCTGTCTACTCCGCATCGCAGCTGCTGAAATCCTACAATTCCGACCACAATTGAGAGGATACTGTCAAGATGGCCATCGCGGACTATAAGAAGTATCTGGCTGAAAATGTCCTCAATGAGCGACGCACGGTAGAGGATCTCCCTTGTTCCTCCATTTGACGGCTCGCCATCAGCTAACGAACATTCGGCGCATGCTACAGGTCACCTACCGATCCATAGGTCGAGCTCTCCGGGTCCATAGTACATTGGCTAAGCAGTAGGTTTATATGCAATCTCCACGGATCTATTTCTAGACTTTTCCTGATCGCGAACCACAAAGGATGCTTTACGATTTTCACCAAACCGAGAACAACAAGAAGCCGAATAGCGTCAATGCGACTTACATTATCACCGGAGTCCAGAAATCACCAGAGCTTACCTCTGCAGCAAATGGGGCTCAAGACAGTTTCTACGATAACAATGGAATCCCACCGAGTAGCCCATACGTGAGCAGCTCCATGCCCAACCAGGACGCCGTTACGGATGAAATTGCGATTTCCTCGGTTTTGCTTGTGCGCGAAGAGGACTTGGAGGGTAGATCAAATTGCCCTGATATTGTGCAAAAGATGATACGCTCTGACACGAGTTGCAGATGCCAAGTCGACATTCCAATCCATTTCATCGATACACGTCTACAGTCTTCAACCTACCGTGCTTCAAGATCTCAATGTCTTGACAGATGTTGCTGCGGAAATGGCGGCCAGCCATGCCCAGGAGGATCCCTTGGAATACGGCCAGTCTTGGGGCATGATTCAAGGTAACAATGTCAGGGTAAGAGGTGCGGTATTATCCATACAAGGTGCTATTCTGATGCGATCGGTACCGACAGAGAAGAACCGGTGGTCGGCCGCCTGTCCCAGCCGCACCACCAGCGCCACCAAAGGCGACCATACCGGCGAAGCGTCCTATAAAGAGTGAAGAACCAACACAGTCAAAAGTAGAACCTGAAGAAAAGGCCCCCAAGGTCGAGGAGACGACCAAACGCGAAGAGACCCCAGCATCTACCAAGCCCATTGAAAAGACAGCCCCGCCGAAGCAGAAGGGCAGTATCTTCAGTTCGTTTGCAAAGGCGAAGCCGAAGCAGAAAAAGGAGGAATCGGCAACACCAGCTTCTGGTGTCGAATCGGTCAGTGAATCGAGGCCTGAATGCTTGATATTAAGTGCTGACAAACAAATAGGCCGAACCCAATGGTGCTGAAGATCGTCAGTTCTCATTGTCCATTTAATCATGTATTAGGGAGGCTAATATATGGCAGTTGTACTAGGCGACGCATCGGACGGAGATGAGGAGCCGGAAGAGCTCTTCCCCGACTCAGGGAAGTCTGCTCACATTGGCACTCGAGAGTCACGGAAAGAGCGTGAAGAGAAGCTCAGAAAGATGATGGAAGAAGAGGGTACGTTGTGCAACATAACACTCTTTTGTTGGTTTTCAACTCTCTAACTTCTACAAGATGAAGACGAAGAAATGCCCGATACTGAACCATCGCCCGAAGAGTCAAAGCCCATCGACGAACCGCCGCCGAAGCAGGCTGAACTCAAGGAAGAAGTCACGGTTAGAGGCGGCCGTCGCAGAGGCAGGCGCCAAGTCATGAAGAAGAAGACGGTTAAGGACGAAGAAGGCTACCTTGGTAAGATCATCATATCTCACCTATGCGGGGATAGTTACTGACTTATACTTAGTGACCGTTGAGGAGCCGAGCTGGGAGTCATTCTCTGAGGATGAACCAGCACCGCCGCCCAAGAAGAAGCCGGCTGTGAGTGCGCCCAAGGCTAAGCCGGCAGCGAAGCCAGGACAGGGGAACATTATGTCCTTCTTTTCAAAGAAATGAACTACATGAACCCTCTTGGACTGTAACTGCTGGGTGGCTGGCGACCATTTGTCGCCCTTGGACAACGAAATTATAATCATCAACCTCGAACGTCATTCAGCATGCAGCGGTGCAATACAACCAACTGACAGAGCCTCGAGCATAAATTATCGATTCGAATCAATAGAAAACGCCTTTGTCTGCTCCGTGGCAGATATTAATGTCCTGAAACTTTGGTGAACATGAACCCCGCGTTCCTTCCCTGTGTACCAGCCTCCTGTAGCTCAGCGGTAGAGCGCCCCACTTACTCTTAAGTCTTATTCTTAGGGGAGGGCCGCGGTTCGAATTCGCGCAGAGGCAACATTCCTTTTTGCCCATCCCCCAAACTCGACCTCCATAAGACAGTAAAACAATCCAGGAACGATCTATGCTTCATCGATCATCTATTCTATTAACAAACCTGCCTTCACAGACGCTCTCTTCACCCTCTACAGGAGGAACAAGTAGTAGTATATCCCATTTAAATTAAGCCCGCTTTTATTCTTCACCAAACAGCCCCCGTAGCTCAGCGGTAGAGCGCCCCACTTATTCTTAGTCTTATTCTTAGGGGAAGGCCGCGGTTCGAGTCCGCGCGGGGGCAACATCTTTTTTAGGCCCCTCCAAACATCCAACGCAACACAGGTATCTTCTACAGGACTTTAGAGAACAACAATTGACTCATATCTAGAACTGATACACTTTCGATGAGGCTCTGCAGCAGGGTATCACCAAGTGGGGAACTGGTGCAACCAAAAGGCCACTAGAAAATGGATGTGGCGGGCGCTACTCCAAAGCGTGTGGGTCCGGGCTCCACCGGTCGGATCCACCAGGGGTAGTATATTCCAGCGCTGTAGATCATGCTATGTTTATTTGGGCACATAATAGACCTTATTGCTCAGTTGTAAAGCGATTTATTGTACTCGTTCTATCTAAATAGGTCTATACTCCAGGCTCATGCAGATGAAATTATTTTTCCTCCTCTCTGGAATCCCAGGGTATCGATTTGGACAACAGCCAGTTAGTACCCTGTACCCACATCCCCTGTAGCTCAGTGGCAGAGCACTCCAATCATCTCTATTCTTAGGAGAAGGCCGCGGTTCGAGTCCGCGTAGGGGAGCTTCTTTTTTTCTTTTCCCAGTTCAAAGGGGCGCTGGATGTTTTTGGATAAGGCCGGGTTTGGTTTTTGCGCTGCTGGGTGGCCTGTGGTGCAGTGGTGGAGTGCTCTGGTCGTGCTTTTGCTTGGGAGCTGGCCGTTTGAGTCCGTTTGCGGGGCTTTGAGTTGTCTTTTTGCCTGTTCGAAAATGTAGGGCGTGTGAAATGGTGACGATATCAGATGTAGGCGCCTTAGGCTTGTATGGTCACGTGGCGGGTCATCTGCGTTGGGATTAGTGAGGGTTCACAAGGCATCTGCATGGGATAATAGGTGAAAGCAGTTATGTGAGAGAATAGAGACGTGGAATTGGCGAATACTGGCTCTGCTGTGGTGAAGGAGTGGTAGATCGCGTGGCATGGGCAGAAGCCAACAGCGGAAAGGGTGGTGATTGGTGAGACATTGGTCGCTCGGAGACACTGTAAGTTGAGCATCGCTTCAGAATTGATAGTCAGATTGTGCGAGAAGTTGAAATCAGAAAAAGCCCTGGGCTCCTAACGGTATTTGTTAAGGCCCCACTTATGGATCAAGCAGCACGCGCTAAGCTACATTGAGACTGAAATAGTGCATAGCGATGTCTATGGCTTATATTTTCTACGGGGCATATAGCTCTACTGTGTAATTCTTGAAGTCGCAAGAGAGTATGATCAGATTCTTTCAAAGTAATGCCGACAAGGCGCTCCGGACAGCCTTTTCTAATATTACCCACCAAAAATGGCATCGAGGTACTCACAAACCTCGGCCGAACTCAGATGGTGGCATCTCATTCACTCACGCCATTCGCAAAGTCCACTGACATTTCACTGATCGCTAAGAGAAAGGCCCCTATCCGGGATTTCATTTGATCGAAAATCCGGTTATTGTCGGATAGCGTCAAATAGAACCTTGGCAATTTAATGCGCTCAATATAGACCGCCTGTATAACATCAGACTCTTGAGATGTACCTTCGTACCATTGACTGTCTTGCTTCGATTAGGCAATTTCGCTCATCTTATAGCTTTTATGCTGGTTTATTGTCTCCCAGTTCATGCCAACATATTCTTTCCAGCAAAAGAAACTCGTCATTCTCCCTTTCGTTGCTACGTTATCACGTTGTTGAGAACGGATATAGTAGTCGACGCCGAAGGCCTGACTGAATCCATTTCGGTTGTCAAAGTCTAAGCAGCGTCATGTAAATAATCTTGCTGACCGACGATTTCTGGCAAGTCGCCTTGCACTGTCTCAAGCTCAGCCTTGGCTGAACTGCTATTCTTATTCTCGGTCAGTGGAGCTACCACGACGCGCAGAAGATACAAAGGCTCTGGCTCAAATGGTATGTGTACGGAGTAACGAATACTGGAATTCCTAAGCTGCCGATCTTGCGTCTCGGTCTTGTCTTAAACACCATAGACTGTCATTCGATAATATAGAGGTGGTTATTGGTTACTTATGATTTGGCCACCTCGCAGGCAACAGGGCATCAATACTTTTCACATGAAGGTAAATATCTGGGTAGTGACAGAGAGAAAAGAGAAACAGAGTTCGCTCTATATAAGCACTTGCTGCTCGATGCCATTGGGCTCATGTGGATAGAATCTGATCGAGCTAGGGGGGCGCTTCATGTGCGCGTTGACCGTGGCAAGGGCTCACAGGACAAGGATTCCACCGAAGTCTGCTTTTGTCGACTCACGTATGGCGTTGCACGACGGATGCAGTCATTGCAAGGCTCTCTATGGGCCTCTTAGCATTGTCAATGGTGTGGCCGAAGTCTGGAGGGTGGTTGTGTATCCAAGCCAGACGCGCCGTGGAAATTTGTCCAGGTGAATATCGTCTTCGGAGATGATGGTCAAGACCAGTTGAAGACGTATGAGGCGATTGAGGAAGGGATCATTGGGTTGTTTGCCGATCGGTCCTGAGAGCCAGCTATCGAATATAGTTGGGATCGTGACATAATTCTCAAATTAGGTGCAAGACGTGGTAATCGTTTGATATCTAGATAGTCAATAAATGCAATTGAATAGGATCCTCTAAAGCACCATTTTTAGAACGGGTGATGGCATTCAGCGAGGTAAGGAGACTGGTATGATGGGTGGAAAATCATGCAGCAATCCGGGGGATCCTCGTCGGTTGTTTGCACTCTTCCCCGCATTCCGCCTTCCTTCCCTGCCATCCCGTGAATTCTCCAACCCGCTGACTTTAAAACATGCCGTTGCACCCCCTTTTCACCCTCCAGTGGCCAATGGACACCGGATCGTCCATCTGTTCTCATCAAATAACCTTATCATAATCGCGGAGCCGTCGTCAAGCGTCGCGATGCGCTCGTTGTCGCTGCTCATCACCCTCACCAGCTTGGGCGCAAAGGGAGTGGCAGGTCGTGATGAACCTTCCATTCTGCGCCGAGCCTGTCCAGATTACACCTCTTACTCATCTACGGGACAGTAAGCTCTAGTTCCCTTGCCATCTTGTCCATGTCAGGCTGCTAAAGTTCTTCGTCGGCTTCCAGTGCCCCATACAGCGGCGGCCCTCTGAACCTCCCCTTCCAGCGACCAGCAGTGGAATGCCGGACCTTCGCCTCATCCGCAGTCGAAGAGGTCATCGATAATGTCACCTCACGCATGGTAGACAAAGACATGGCCCAGCTATTCCGTAACGCCTTCCCGAACACCCTGGACACAACCATCCGCTGGCACACCAACGGTACATCCACTGCGACCACCTCCAGGAAGACTAGGAGAGACAGCGCCCAATGGCAAGGAGCCCAAACCTTCGTCGTGACGGGCGACATAAATGCAGAATGGCTGCGCGATTCGACCAACCAGCTCTCAGGCTACCAAGCTCTCGCAAAGAAAGACAAGGATCTCTACAACCTCATCCTTGGGGCTATCAACACCCAGGCCGAGTTTGTCATCCAGTCTCCATATTGTAATGCTTTCCAGCCTCCTCCACCCAGCGGAATCCAGGCAACAAGCAACGGGCAGAAAGACACTGTGCATCCCGCATACGAGCCCTCCGTCGTCTATGAATGCAAATATGAGCTGGACTCTTTAGCCAACTTCCTCGCTCTGGGTAATGAATTCTACGAAAACACCGGATCAACCGAATTTCTCACCAGCCGGTGGTACCTCGCCCTCAATACTCTTCTCAATGTCCTCGATGCGCAGTCCCAGCCTACCTTCAATGACAAGCTCCAGTATGTCCAAAATCAATACACCTTCCAGCGCGAGACAACCCTTGGCACGGAGACCCTCAATCTCGCTGGAATTGGGAACCCCCTCAACCGAGGAACAGGACTTATTCGCAGCGCATTCCGTCCCAGCGACGATGCCACAATTCTGGGCTTCTTTATCCCACCTAATGCCATGATGTCCGTGCAGCTGAAGAAGACCGCGAATCTTCTTCAGGCTGTTGGCGGGCAGGCAGACTTGGCGTCTAACCTCCAGACCCGCGGAGAGAACCTTGAGCAAGCAGTCCGCAAGCATGGCATTGTCCACCATGACAAATACGGCGACGTCTACGCATATGAGGTAGACGGGTACGGTTCGCGCATATTCATGGACGACGCCAACGTCCCATCCCTCCTCTCCCTTCCCCTATTAGGCTTCGTCGACAAATCTGACGAAGTCTACCAAAACACACGCAAGATGATCCTCGACCCGGACGGAAACCCATACTACCTCACTGGATCGGATTTCCACGGCATCGGTGGACCCCACAGTAAGTTCCCTCCTTTTTTCACTACCAACATTCCCCACGACCAGATATCTAATACAACGCAACCAGTTGGTCTCCAAAATGCCTGGCCAATGTCCCTTCTCGTCCAAGCTCTGACAACAGACTCCACCTCGGAAATCCTCGAATCCATCAATCTGGTCCGCAACTCCAGTCTTCTCGGCTTAGTCCATGAGTCGATCGACGTGAATAACATCAAAGACTACACGAGACCGTGGTTCGCGTGGGCGAACTCCGTTTTTGCGCAGACCATTCTCAAAGTCGCGGCTGAACAACCGGCCCTTATCTTCGGAGACGGCGCAGAGCCATATGTCATTTCATAGGCTAACCTGTCTTCTTTCTCCCTGCGATAGATAGCGTCGACAATACCCATGCAGTGTGCTATAATATACCCGACCTGTTTGCTCACTGGCTCTGATATGATTACGAGATCGTTCCTGAGCTGGACATTATTACTCTAGCCAAGTCTTAACATTAGCTTTATGCAATGCATATATACACTCCGTACAAATCATAAACACATAAGCATATAATATCAGACAAAATGTCTACACCAACACCCGTCTCAAACCCTCCGTCCCCCCAAGCACTCTTCTCCCGGTAACTGGACACCTACCCTTTCCGCTCTCCCACTTCCCCCGTCTACTCCGCGACTTCTTCCCCTCCTTTTCACCCTCACCACCATCACCATGCCCGTCGCTCCCCTCATCCCCATCCAAATCATCATCTGCCCACGCCGCGCCAGCTCCCTCTCCATTCATGAAATCCTGCTGTCGCTGATGCTCCCCGTTTAACCAGTGGAAGATACAAACATAGCAGAATACATATCCCGTCTGACAGGCCGTAGGGTTCGTGAGCTGGTTCAAACAAACTGGACACGCAGATGCGACCTCCGAGTCGGGCGGCGGAAGCGGTACGGTGAAAATGGGTAGGTATGAGGAGGCTGAGATGGGTGGTTGGATGCGTTTCCGCGGGGGAGTAGTGGATTTAAGTGCTGATTTGAGTGTTTGGGAGGAGGCTTGTTGCTTTTCCGTGGCTGCTGCTGCTGCTGCTCTCTTTTCGGAGGGGGAAGTCATTCCTGTTATTACGGGGGCGGGGAGGTCCAGGACCTCGGTGGCTTTGCGGGCGAGTTGGCGCGAGAAATCGCTTGCGTGCCACCATTCGAGGAACTTAAGCGCGAAGATGGAGGCGGGCAGGAAGTAGCGCAGCGAGGTGAGGAGCTGGGGGTAGAGGTTTTGAGGGCTGAGGAGGCCTAGTAGGCCGGAGCCGGGGCGGGTACGGGCGCTTGCTCCGGGAGTGGGCTTGGGGTCGAGGATGGAGGCGATGGCGCGGTGGTCGGCGGAGCTGAGACGGCGGATGCGGGTGCCGATGAGCCAGAGGAAGGGGGAGGAGTATTTGGTGTTGTCGAAAAGGTAGGCGAGGTTGAAGGCGAGAATGGAGAAATAGTATGCGCCATTAATTGAGGGGTAGATGTTCCGGAGGAACCACTTGTAGTAGTGCAGGAGACGCTGGCGGATTGTTGGGTTGGGAGGCAGCTCGTCACCTGGGTTGTATCGGGGCCCGCCGCTCATGATTAGAGACGCTTGCGGGGCGGCGTGGATGTCGTAACCTTCGTCGAGTTTGCGTTTGAGATAAGGGATTCCGACGAGAACGAGGAGATTTTTCCACACGTCAGAAGAGCGGAGCTTGAGGGTTTCGCGGACGGGGCCTGGGGCGCCCAGCTGGGCGCGAGGTATCTCGCCATTCTTCGTTAAAAGGACTCGTTCGCGTTTGAGGGAGTAGAAGTTCTCCGTGAAGGAGCCGCCGAAGGTGCGGAGGTAGTATCGTTCGACGACGAGGGAGAGGAGGGCGTAGATCTCATCGTAAGAGTTGAGGATGCGGAGGAGGTATCGCGGATGACGGTGAGTGGCGACGGCGAGGATGTATCGGATTGAGGGAGGCAGGAGGTCGGAGAGCTGTTGCTCGGCGAGCAGCTCTGCGATGTGAAGCGGGTTAGTCGAGCGTTGTTAGCTCGCTGCGACAAGGGCACGTACCGAACAGGGACGGCTTTAGCTCGTCGAATTCCTGCTGCAGACTGGACAGGTACTCCATGATGGCGATGCGACGCCAGTCATTGGCCTCGGAGGATGAGGCAATTGCAATGGGTGGATGGGATGGAGGACGGGGAGAATGCGGAGAAGAGTTGAGGTGCAGCTGCCAGCGGTGGCTCCGACGCCGCAAGTTGAGCCGAGGCCCATCGGCATCAGGCTAGTCCGGTCCCATCGTCACATTCACATTGCGAGACAGCAAGGGACATAACTTCCGGTGGCTTGTATACTGAGAAGAGAGTACAATAGTTCCTATTTACAAGACTTTCGTGTCTCATACCAGCGTCCTACTTTGGCATTCCTTCCAGAACCGGGCCAAATTGCTCGACGAGCCTTCCGCAGCCTTCTGGGCGATATCGCGATCGGCCAGGACAAGGCAACGTTTAATGTCTACCAAGAGTTTTCCCCTAAGGGGTATCGGCGGTTGCTCTCTACTCATCATTGGCATCCACGTCGAGATGCAGTCTCGGGCACGGAGTTCATTTCCCAGATCAGCATGCAATCGGAACAGCATCTCGTAGTCTGCAGCAGTGCGTGGACTCCCGTTAAGAGGAAGCTTGCGCCACAACTTCCAGAAACCATTGTAATCTCCATGTTGAAAGAGTGAAGCCATAAGCGACCGGGATTGTAGGGGATCGAAGGGTAAATCAAGGGTATCGATCAGGCGAGAAACACGAGAGAGCGCGGACGGGGCATTCGCTGCTGCTTGATAAATCATGTTGAAGACTTTCATATTCACAACGTTGGTACCCCGAAGGGAAAGATATTCCAGCACACGAAGAGCTATTTCTTTGTCCGAGTTCGACACCTGTCCTGCTGGTTGTGGAGCTAACAAGGCCGAGACGACCGCGAAACCTAGATCATCAGACACTGAGTATCCCGAGGATGCACATTCCATGAAAGCTGTATATAAATCGTTCTTTGTATACCCTGGGTGCTGTCTGGAAATGGCGCTGCAAGATAGATTGATTCGGGCTATCGCTTTCTCCTCCGCCGAACTGGTTGACAGCTGGTTGTACAATAGGCGCAGAAAAAGCGTTGAATCGCGATCCTCGGGCCCCTCTCCCAGCTCACTCCTAACTTTGTCATCGGATAACTTTGATAAGTGGTCGAACAATCCATCAGTTGAGGATGTATCCTGTGACTCTGCAACAGGGGTTTCTCCTTGTAGATGCGAGGGGATCGATGCGGGCCCTTTGAGAGATGTGGTTGGGGAGAATGCAGGCTGCCCCGACCGGAGGCAAGACACTAAAGCAAAAGATCGATTCACCTGGTGAAGTACAGGGGCCCTAAGTGCCGCTCTGTAGCACCAGAGCCCTCTGGACAATGGACCGTGCATGATGGCAATGGCACTGGACAAGAGCTTGACAGCTACTGGCGACAACCGCCCGATTGGGAAGCTGCTAGAGGACAAACAAGACAAACAGTGACTCAGAACAATGTCAGCAAACAAACAGAGCAAACAAAAAGTTCTCGCGGCGGGGCAAATCCGCCGTGACAAATCCAAATTTCCCTTCATCCTTCAGCCAGCAGGAGTCGCCGACTCTGATATCCTCCCCCTTTTGCCCTCTTTATCTGGTGTCAGGCTTCATCAACTGCTACCAACATGTCGATGGACCTGGATGCGCCGGTGCCTTTCGAGGCCCCGCAAGGCCAAATTGCTGCGACGTGAGTTACCCCGCAAACCGGAGGAAGAAAAATAAAAATAAAAAATAAAAAATGGCGCTGGTATGCATCAAGAAGTATAACTGACCAAAATTTCTGGCTTAGTATTCTGTGCTGCAACTGTGGTGCTCCTATCGATGGAACAACGGCGGCAGGTGCCCTTTGCCAGGACTGTGTGAAGTTGACGGTCGATATTTCCCAAGGCATCCAGAGAGAGGCGGTGCTTCACTGCTGCAAGGACTGTGAGCGGTGGCTTCAACCTCCCACCAGCTGGATTAGTGCGGCGCTCGAATCGAAGGAACTTCTCGCACACTGCTTGCGCAAACTTCGTGGCCTGACCAAGGTCCGGATTATCGACGCCAGCTTTATTTGGACCGAACCCCACTCGAAACGTATCAAGGTCAAGATCACCATCCAGCAGGAAGCATTTCAGGGCACTATTGTGCAGCAGACATTCGAGGTGGAATACGTGGTCGCCTCGCTACAGTGCCCCGATTGTAAAAAGTCGTTCACCGTCAACACGTGGAACTCCAGCATCCAACTGCGACAGAAGGTGCCTCACAAGCGAACCTTCCTGTACCTTGAGCAGGTTATTCTGAAGCATAATGCTCACCGCGATACGATCAACATCAAGGAGGCCAAGGACGGTTTGGATTTCTATTTTGCGCAGAGAAACCACGCGGAGAAGATGGTCGAGTTCCTGGCCTCTGTGGCCCCGTGCAAGATGAAGAAGTCGCAAGAACTGATCTCCATGGATGTGCACACTTCCATCAAATCGTACAAGTTCACATTCTCTATTGAACTGATCCCTATCTGCAAGGATGACTTGGTTGCGCTACCCATCAAACTTGCTAGATCTCTGGGTAACATCTCGCCCCTGGCTCTCTGCTACCGCGTCGGCACCACGGTCAACCTCCTCGATCCCAACACCCTTCAAACATGCGACGTCCCGACCGGCACATACTGGAGGTCTCCCTTCCGGAGTCTTGCCGACGTCACGGAGCTGACTGAATTCATCGTCATGGACATTGAACTGGTCGGACGGTCGAACGGACGGTACTATCTGGCGGAGGCAACTGTTGCTCGCGCTTCGGATCTGGGCTCGAATGATCAGACCTATTTCACCCGTACCCATCTGGGTGGAGTTCTTCACGTGGGTGACTCCGTCCTTGGCTACCACCTGACTGGTACCAACTTCAACGACCCCAACTTCGAAGCCCTCGAGTCTAGCGGCCAGTACAGTTCCACCATCCCCGACGTTGTACTTGTCAAGAAGTTCTACGCCCGCAAGAAGAAGAACAAGAACCGCAACTGGCGTCTCAAGCGCATGGCCCTGGAATATGAGGAAGAAGCGCAACAGGCGGCGCCTACCAACCTTAACAAGAAGCAAGAGGCCGAGCGTAACCGCCTGGAGGAGGACTTTGAGATGTTCTTGCGTGACGTTGAGGAGGATCAGGAACTGCGTGGCACGCTTGATCTGTACAAGAAGCGGAACCAGGTTACCTTCGACAATGGCGGTATGGACATGGACGAGGATAGCGGAGACGACGAAGTGCCCAAGATCGACATGGACGAGCTGCTTGATGACTTTGATGAGTTGAACATGGACGATGACGAATAAGTTCCACGGGACTTTCTTAATCACGACTGCACATAGGGGTTCCGGCGTTCTCATGGCTATTCTGATATCGTTATGGTTAACAATATCCGGGCTGATACACAAAAGTTAGGTACATAGATCATGACAGTGAATCTATAGGTGATTCAGACATTTCATAGTAGTGAAATTGTCCTTCAATATTGGTTCCGTCTTATCGGATACCTTCATCAAAGTCTTCATCTGGCGTATATCTGCTGTGAATAGCGTAGTGACAGTAAATAGTGGGCAGTAACTTGTGCTATTGAATCCACTCGGCCACCTATTTATTGACCCAAGCCCGTCCTTCTAGCAAGATTGTCCTCGATTCGCACCTACGAACCCTACCGTAGGCAGGCCTTCAATGAAACTCCTATCCAACAGACTCTGTCCACAATCATTGATACAGATCGATATAGTCTCTACGTCGGTTACCCTTCTAAAATCCTCTTTGTCTCATGTCTCTCCACCAGCTGCCAAAACACTGTACCCCAAAGATATTCACATAATAGCCCTAAGGGTACCATATCTATCTATATCCGTCCTACATTACTGGACTACACGCGAACCTTATGAAAAGAAAGAAAAGGTGTCCATTCCTCGGTGCTTCATCGGTACTACAAACCGTTTCAATTCCGGAACACTGGCCGATTCAAGGAAGCAGGCAGTAGCCATTGAAAAAACACTACTGGCATCAGATACTGCCACTTGTTCCAACGCGACAAGGGTTACGAGTCAGCTTCTGATGAAATAAACTTTAAGTCTATATGGCCGATGCCACATCCTGGCGTGTCGACTTTGTCCCCATGGGGTCTGGGCTGTGGACTGTTTAAACAGTTTTTGCTTATACTTCCTGTTCATGCTGCAGATATGGGGACTGACGCATAGTCGTACATACGCATTCCATGATTTTCATCTCCTGTGCTGGGATATTGATAGGATAATTGGGTTTATGATATCAGCTTGGCTTGCTTCGCATCTGGGTCCGACAATACCCAGATGATTGAGCACTTTGCACGAAGCGATGAAAAATATCCAGCGCTCTGGTGGAGATGAACAAATTTCTGCTACTCGGTACATGCGCTCATAAAACAGGAATTTGATGCAAGAGTCCAATGAGTCTGGTGATCCATTACTTTCGTCGAAACCAGGGTGGTCTATATTGAACCATAAAGGCCCTACAGTATAAGGACTCGTTAGGATCATTCAAGCTGGCAAGATAAGATCTGTGCCTGATATGCTGGTTATTGATCATTGATAATGTGGAGTGGCTACGTTTACTCAACATTGAGCGCTGGAAAACACTAAGAATCAGACTCGTGCTCAGATTCTCCAAGGTTCATACCCGAGGAGGTTATTGGGAGCTGTGCTATTCCTAGGACTTTAAATCTTCAGGATTGACCTTCAAAGGCTCCAGACCGCAATAAGGATATAAACTTTTGACGCCTGCACGGACTCTACATACTCTCTGGGGGTGCCTACGAGCTCAACAGCATGTCCAACCATTGCGGAATACGTTACTTTTAACCGTGTGATAAGACCAATGCATTGTGGTTCAACCACTTGCTTGCTAAATGTTCTCCTGATCTATGCCAGAGTAGATATCTCTGTGAATCTGGATACACGACACATCGTCCGACTACCTTAGACCGACAATTAGCTACTCTCGGTACAAAACTACCACCCAATGGAGCTGATGGAGACGTCCCATTATATCATCAACCTAGCAGGATCTTGCACATTTGTATCCTCTATCAATGCCAGATCCATGCTGGTTATGGTATGCGCATCTGAACACATACCCAGACGAATCATGCAGGCACACTATCTTGCCATGAACTGCCCTAAGTTACGGGGACCTTTCAATTTTGATACCACAAAGGCACTCTCTTGCAGTATGCCTTGTTCTCACTTCTTCCACTTGCTTAGTGACTGTGGGCTTCTAAGTTTGCCTTTGATGTCATGCCGTGCTATGCACGGCCATCTCAACCACCTTGACCATATGGGAGCGGACGCGGTGGCGGACTGCACAGTCCTTGTCATAGAAGATATCGCAATGGTCAGCCATCAAGAGCACAAAGCGGGCAAAGAATCCGGATGAAACATGGCCCCATGGCCGGCCTCAGTGAGGGAATCATAATCATAAGGCCAAACTCTTCCTTCACATATGAGAAGATTGATGGTTCCAAGGAGGAATGCTGCCGACAGGAGACACAACTAGGACTGATCATGAACAAGTGCAATAGCCGATTCTTCCATTTCTCCTGTCATTCGCTGCTCTTTTGGTCTTGGCCTGTTTAGGCTTGTTGCCTAATACTGTATCCGATTCATCGACCGGGAGTTGATAGGTTATCCGGTCCTAGGTTCTAAACCATAGGTATCGTCTCCTAAAGGCGGTTTACGACTCATCCGAGAAGCCCACCGTGAAGACTGGAAGATATTTGCTGTTCTCAGGAGGCTTATGTATAAGCCTGTCCTGACACAAGCGTGGTGGACAAGTCGCGACGGGCCTGGAGTGTCTTTCCTGTCGTCGCCTCATGACCCGCTATCTGCCACAGAGCCAGCGGGAGTACGAATATTCCGCTAGAAGATTGGCTTGTGGCTTGCGGAGGGTCATCAGCTTTGCGGCAAAGAGATACGGTATCATTCAGGATATTTCATGTACGACCGCCTGTCCGAGAACCTCCCCTTTCAACAAATGAAGCCAATTTACTCGAGATATCTAGGCGAATAACGCCCTTATACCGCCGCCGCATCTCAGCCCTATTGGATCAGGGGAACTGACTTTGTCGAACCTCCAACAGCAGTCAACAGATCTACAAGTCTGACATACTATACCATGATACGGTACCCAAACAAATGGCTGCGCACAGCATAGCCGCTGGTCTTTATTAATACTTTCCGATGTCGACTATTACAGCCTCCTGTTATTACCGGACTAATCACCAGCAAGTTGATGGATGTCAATATCCGTCACCTCGTGGAAATTATTGTCTCTTATCTGAGAGGGTCTGCATGCTCCTCAGGGTGACCTGGTATAGCCGAATGTTGGCAATGGGCATGGTGCACGTACCAAGTACACAAAGGGGTGCTGCATCACCTCTTACGGCAGATTCTCCAGCTCGAAGAAGTGGGGGGGTGATTTAATGCTAAGGGCATTGGGCGAAGCTTATCACACAACGCCATCTCAGACTCCGCGTTCACGAAGAACGCAGGTCCACCCATTCTCCTGGATCATGATCTCAACAAGCGATTATGCTTGACGCCTCATGCCATTGACAAGTGGAATTTAGCAGACAACCTCGACCATGTCACCCGGAACATGGATCACGCCAGTTCTAGACATGCATAATGATTCGACGCACACTCTCATCATCTTCCCGTTCCAAGGCGGCTGAAAGATTAGGAATGATATACCACCCCACCCAGTACAAGCTGGTCTTTGTGTCTTACAGTCCGAATGAAATATGGGGAAGTTCAGGGGGCTTATCCTTATTTGTTCCTGGCTATGGTTTCGGTACTGTCACAAACTTCTCATCAATGGTGATATGTAATCGACCAACAAGCTCGTCAAGGCTTACTCGCTTCACAGCTGATTAAGAAAGGCATGATCTTGGAGAATGCAGAACTGGCTTATTGGCCTGGCGGTTGAATGCACATTATCCCACAACAATCCAAAGAGTCATGGTGCATAGGACAATGGATGATATTGCTGATTTCTGCAGAGCATAAGAAATGTGGCTCTGCCCAACGGACGTCTTGTCCTTGGACTATGAGCGGGAAAGAGATAATCCCTTCCCTCAAGTCGCACAGCGTACTTTGAGGATGGGTGCCTTATCATTAAGTTTGCAGATGGGGCGCATGCCGGCTTCATATTCAAACCGATTGCCAGCCAGTTGAGGTTTACGGGCTCACCGAGACACAGGCCTAAAGCTCCAAGGGCCCAGGAACAAGGGAATTCTCGGTGACATATCAAAGTGCCTAAGAAGACCTGGACACCAACCAGCCGCAACTGCAACGACTACCTATCCATCGTGGAGATTTGAGAGAGTGATGAGAGTATGATCACGGGTCATCTCTGTTGAAAAGCAGTGTATGCAAACATCTCACGATTTCCTCCATTTGGTATTGGTATTGGTATTGGTCAAGATGTCTTAACTTTTCCAGGATACTGTCTGCTTTGTTGGCGATGAGTGACGAGCCTCATGTTGATTAGTTATTTGACTTGAGATTTACTAATTGGAGGGCTGAAATTTCGATATCAAGAATAAGAAGAAACCTTCCGACTGTGGGTGATTGTCAAGCAAGATTATAACAGAAAACGGGAGGTGAGGCATGAACTTTTCGTAGAGGAAGGAAAGGGCTTCTACAGTATACGCTGAGAAAAAAAAGGATCACCTTGAAAGGTCCTACCATGTAACTAGGTCTTGAGGAAGTGGCCAGCATGATTAGGGAAGAATTAAAAGGGGGATAAGATATGAAAAGTCGACCTTGATGCGGGAGATATTACGGTTATTCACGCGCTGACACCACAAATTCCCGATGTCAGAGAATCAGACAGTATTGAGATACCTGTCTGCCTTTTTGCCACCAACGCGTGAGGAGCTTGTCTAGAAGGACGACGGGGAAGAATCCTAGAGAAACTAAAGAAATCTAAGGGAGAAAGAATCAGTTTACCCAGATAGGCTAACGGACAGCCTCTACGCTACAAAATTAAGGAAACATGGAAGCCGACCCGCCTACTCCAACCAGTTACCAACATTAGAGCCGTGCTATTAGGAGAAATAGAATGGACAAATATCACCATGGAACAAGAACTAAAGACAGTTTTCAAAGAGCCAATCAAAGAAGATCAAGACTGGATTAGAGAATGTGAAGGAAAGGCCACGCAAAGACTGCAGGAGGCGTGGGAAGACTTTGAAGCCGATGAACGCCTATGCTTTGGGGGAAGAGTAAAGATTGGTTGACTGACTTCTATTTAGCAAGTTACTGCCAGGATCTGAGACACACTTGTTTTCGATTCCTGTGCGGTATATTGCTAGGAAGCACGTACTTGAGAGCAGGACTGGCAGAGTCTAGTAGTGCGACTGGGTAGATGCCGAGATAGGATTGACGACATACCTGAGGTCAGGGACCAAAGTACGATGAAGCTCGTGAATATCTTGATATATTCCAACTTGTATAAGATGACCTGTTGATTATTTCAGAACATCCACGGGGTAGATAGAGAGACAGATGGAAACTGCAAATGATCACATATACAAACCTATATTTAGACACTTATCACACCTGGCGTAATGCAACCAATAGCCAGATACCAATAAATCTACATCTCCAGTGGTAACTTCATGAACAATAGTATTGGGATATCTCAACGAGCCAAATGTATAACAGTAATTCATCCACCCAACCAACCAAAGAGAGCAATCAAAAAATCTTCCCCAGCACCCTCTTCGTCTCATCTCCCAACGCCGGATCCGCAATCTTATCCCTCCCATGCTTGACCTCATTCTGCTTAAACACCATCCGAACCTTCTGCTCCTCCTTCCCACTCTTCTTCCCCTTCTCCGCATTCTTCTTCTGAATCCCCTCGATAACCTTACCCCGCTCATACCCCTCCAAAAAGACCTTATCCTCCTTCCTCGCCTTCGAATCCTCCACTCTCTGTCTGGCCTCTCTCTCCGACCTCTCGCGCTGAATCTGCTCCGTAAGATCCGCCCACTACCACTAGTCAGCTCAACCGCCACCACCACCTCACACCTAAACCCGTAGAGAAAAGAAGAAGAACATACCTTAAACCCCCTCAAATACTTCATATTCCACACATCATCATGATACCACCCCCCCTTCTTCCCCCCGATAATATTCGCATTCAACGTCTCCGCACACAACTTGGCCATCTTCTTCGACGCAAACTCCACCCACCCATCCGAGTACGTCTTCCGCTTATTCGACCGCTTCCGACCCGCAGACGTCGACCGCACCTCCGGCGACAAGAACACCCGCGTAATCGGCCCGAAGGATCGTTTCTCGAGTAATGCCTTCAGGGCAAAGGGCTTCAGGTATGGTGGGAGGGAAGAGAGATATATGACTCCGGTTTTGTTTTTCTTGGGCGGTTTGTTCGTGTTGATGGTTTTGGATACTTTTGTGCCAATGCTGCTGGTGGTGCTGGGTTTGGTGGCGTCCAGGTAAGTGGCTTCGTCGTCGTCGTCGGAGAGTTGGTTGGTTTCTTCGTCTTCGTCTTCGTCGTCGTCGTCATCCTCGGTAGTGGTAGGTTTCTTTGCCTTGCCCTTGCCCCGACCCTTGAATAGACGTTCATCCTCGCTTGCATCTGAGACATCTTCATTGTCCGACTCGGAGTCGTTGAGCCCGTGCAGATCGAATTGAGATTGAGGTTGGGGTTGGGGCTGCGTGCGGCGCCGCTTCACGGCCCGGCCTTTGCTCTTCTCTTGCTCGGCGGCTTCGGAGTCGTAGCCGCGGTCGTTGGCGTCAGAATCATCGCTGGCGGCGATGTCCAGGAAGTCGTTTCGCTTGCGAGTGGTCATTTTGTTGGCTGTGCTGTGTGTAGCTTGTTGGATTCGAGATGGTTCTGGCGGAGAAGTTGGATGGAACGGGAACTTTTTTTGAGTGGTCTGTGCGCGGGGATGGTGGCCAATCGGAGTGGCGGATTTTCGGATTCAGGATTCTACAATGGAGATATGTAGCTTGGGTCGATTGGGATGATATTGTTGAAGGGCTACGGATCAAGTATACCAATTTGTAGGTTTCCTAAGACGTATGCAGACCTACTAGTTCAAGGGCTAAGGTCATTCTTGTGGTAAGCGCAATAACACTCTAGATGTATAGGCAGTGCAGCTAAGCCACTCTATGTATATACACTCCGTAATCCGTACCACGAGAGCCCGGGCCCTCATTCATGCGAAAGATGGGTATGAACAAATGCAGGTATTGAATCCAACGACGCCAACTCGGTAAATCCAAATAGATATCAAGACATTGCGGACCCTCTGATCCTTATATTCCCAGTGACCACTTCAAACGTTCGTATACGAAAAACCCGGTCGCCGTCATCGGGATGATCTTTAAGTATCCGATCGTCAGACCCACAAAGAATCCCCGGAGCCCCCTCTCGAGCATGATAGTGCGGGCTGTCTCGATGATTCCGAGCCGGCGGCCATCGCCGACAACGCCACCCACTTGCATGCGCCGTCGCACGACTTCAAGTGGGTACGATGAGGTCTGCGATACGAGTCCCGCAAGCGCTCCTGAAAAGAGCTCCGCCGCGGCCGTCAGTTGCGGCCGGCGGTATCCCTTGTCCGAGTGAATCGCTTCGGATCCTGGGATGACGGTGTAGGGAGCCATCGAGGGCGACCGTAGCCAGTCTCCGACGGTATCGTGGGTCAGGAACGACACTCCGGCGTATGGAAGCATTCCAAGGAGGGTCGGGGCAAACCCACGGTAGAAGTTCGCCAGTCCGGAACTCGGCACAGCCTTGCTCACGGTCGACGCGACACTCTCCGCCGTAGCCGTAACAGGGGCTTTGCTGATCGACGCTCCGGTCGCCGTGGACGGCGGGGTGACCCGCTCGTTGTAGATCTGTCGAAAGACATCGCGAAAGGAAGAGCGAGACGTACGTTTCGTCTCGAACGCTAAACGAACCCGGATAAGCTCTAACGGGTAGGTGAAGAAGACGGATGTGATTCCGGCCAAGCTTCCGGAGATAAGCCTACGGAATGGCGTTTCCTTGTCGTGCGACGGGATGACGACCGCCCGAACCTGCTCGTAGGCGAGAAATTTGATGCCTGCGTACGGGAAAATGCGAAGTAATGTTGCGGAATGGCCTTTGAAAAGGCCCCGGAGGCCCTCGTGGCGGTTGATATCGCGAACAGCCAGCACAAGGCCAGACCAGCTGCCAGTATACTTGGCGAACTGTGGGTTTGACGCTTGGAACAGGATTTTGACCCGGTCGAGGGGTGCGACAACAGTTTTGGCCTGCGCGGTAAAGTGTCAGTTTATCATGTACGTTCGCCTTCTAATTCCGTCTAGTCATGCACGGTCAAACTCACCGCACACCCCGCCAGACCCCCCGCAACTCCGCTCCGTACTATATAATCCACGCTTCGCTTGTTGACCTCGGTCACAGCTTCGCGGCCATTTGGTGACTGGCGCGGGGTAGAGGCATCGTCGACGGCGGTCGCCTGCGTCGTGCCCACGGCGAGGCGATCATTTGTGTTGCTCGTGGCTGGGCTCCGGGCCGGTCTCGACTGTGCGACTTGGTCCATCTGAGAGTATGATGTTGGCGAGTTCAGCGGTGGTGACGTAGGACGAGAATGAGCTGGTCCAAATCCGACAGCGGAGGGGCCAGGCTGAGCATGGTCCGAAATGGCCGCAGACATGAGCACAAGCCTGGCACGAGACCCGGCGCTTCTTCGGGGGTTATCTGAGGAGACTGCAGAATGGTCTATCACGGGCTAGCGGAGAATCGAGGCCATGGAGAGCAGGGCGCTGAGAGTGAGAAGAAAAGAAGATTTCCTCACGCTGCAGACCACTACAATGAGAACAGCAGATAATCGGGCGGGGTGATGACAAGAGGCCTAGTCACAGGCAGCGCATCAGATGAGAGGAAGACGGAGCATCGCCATCGGCCTGCAGGCGGAAAGCCAGAATCGCCGGGGATGACGTTACGGCCCTGACGTGCCGATACCCGCCTGCACCGCCCAGTCAGCAGCGCCATACCGTCACATTACCCCTCGGCATCCGAGTGGCGGGCGGCCGTAATTTTCTGGATTCGGATGGCCAACCGCAGCCGGCCCGTTACTCATCCCGGCCTCAATAGATACGGAGATACGGAGTACGAGCGAAATATCGAGACAGAGATACCCTGTCGATGGTGAACAACCATCGTGTAGTCGCCGCTACATCTCGGCGTGGTAATGTCTTTCTTCTTGATGTATATACTAGAAGCAACTGCTCGGTAATCCCTCAGTAATCACGCCCAGCAGGCAACACCCAACCCTGTCTATCACCAAGACCAGTAGCCCCCGAACCCTTCCCCATCAGGGGTACACGTATAACATGGAATATATATATGCGGGAATCCAAAGTATCATGGTCGCGTCGCTCATGCAAATTCTATAGAATGACCACCTTTTTTGTTGCTGACGACTCCCAAGTACCATCAACAAATGCATGCATCCAAGGTCCATAAAACACCAAGATATCGAAAATCAAACAAAATGGAATGTGAGTGGGGATTTAGAAGTTGTATCGAGTGCCCTGGCGGGTGAGCGGCTTGCCCTGGCGGTTGGTCACCTTGATCTCTTTGGGCTCATCGGTGACTCTCCTGGCCCGCTTGGTTGGTCGCGAAGCATCCACATGGAGATGTCCATTGTCCGACAGCGCGGTGGTATTGCGCCAGCGCATGCAGCGATGCTTGTTATCATCCACATATGTCTTGTTCCGCGTCATCACGCGCTTAGAGGGAACCTCTTCCGACTCCGCTCTGTCGGTCGTTGGCTCCAGGTACACCTTCCGGCACTCCATGTACTTGGCGATGTTATCGCGCTGGAGCAACAGCTCCTTGCGGAGTTTCGACTCGCGGAGGCCCCGCGAATCAAGCCAGTCGAGCAACGTCTCAATTGCGTCCGGGGAATCATAGTAGCCCCACTCGTTTGCGTTGGCAAGTCTCGTGAGTCCTTCTTCGGCCTTCTTGCGCTCCGCAGGAGTGGTCTGGAATTCCTTCTGGTATTGCTTCCTCTGGTCGTCCGGAACGTCAATGAACCCGACGCGCTCCAACTCGTCGGGTCCCTGAACCCACAGTCGGCCATTAGCATACTGGGCTTCTGCTGTCGAGCTATTGGGCATCCCGCCGTACGGCATCGCATTCCGCTCAAACCACCAGTAGCGATTACAAAAGCGATCCTTGCCAAGGCACCTGGTGCGCGGGCAGTCGGCTTCCCTGAGGTCATTGTCGACAACCTCGATCTTGTCTTCGAGCTTTTTGATGTTGGCCTTCTGATCATCAATCTTTTTGAGCACTCGTTGGAATTGCTTGGATCCTTTGGGCTGCTTGGCAAGTTGCTCTTTTCTCTCACGCTCTTCTTCCTGCTTCCGCTTGCGCTCAAGCGCCCTGTCCAAGCCCCCACGAAGCGTTCGCTGAGGGACCGCATCCTCATCCGAATCCATAGCTTGGTCGGAATCTCCATCCACTCCGGTCATTTTCGAGTCTTCCAGGGCCTCCAGCTCCGGTGCCGGGCTAGGTGACTTCTCGGGCTCGGGTTGAAGAGCTTTGCGCTCTTGATGTAACCGGCGGAGTTCTTCCAGGCTGTAAACAAGGTTAGTTACCGAACAAAACCAGCCCATCCACGAGATAGCAACAATACGTACCCTGCCTTACGCGCCTTCTGATACTCAATCTTCTCTTTGCGGAACTCGGTCATTTGGTTGCTGCACTCCTCCAGGTAGTTGCGAATGGCTCTGGTTTCCAGACTGAGCATGCAGATGATCTGAAGGGCCTGAATACGCAGGTTCACATCCAACGTCGAGTACTGAGCGTGCGCCGTTTCCTGGGTAGGTTCCGCGTCCAGCGGAGCCAGGTGCTTGAGAATGTCGTTGCAGACCTTCTCCATCCGGGGACGAGCTGACAACTGATGTAGAAGTCCGATCATGACCAGTTCCCATCCCCCATTCCGGAAATCGCGCTTGCGCAGACGATCAATCCAACCATACTCCACAAACATCTCAGCAGCGCGATGGACCTTGACCTCGACTGAGCTCGAGCGACCGCGGTCGGCCTGCGCCCGAAGGTTCTCTGCCTCAGCCTTTGCCAGGCTACTCCGAGTAGTCATCCTTGTAACCGCGGGCTCAGGTTCGGGCGACTCCTCTTCCTCCTCCTCTTCCCCTTCCGATCCATCCTCTTCTTCATCCGGGAGATCCGGGAGAGATATCTGAAGAGCACCATTCTCATCCTTCTCCGAGTTCACCAGCTTTTTGAGGACGGCGCAATGTATTTCCACAAAAAGTTCACAATCAACGTCCTCGGAAGAGAAGCGCATAGATTGGAAGAAGTCATCGAAAGTGAAAGAATCAAGCTGGAAGACCTCGCAATACACGTTGAGGGTGTTCCAAGTCTCCAGAAGACGCCCGACTGATTCCATCTCAATGTCGTCATGCAGAAGATCTCCATCCTCAGGATCATCGGTCTCGTCCACGGTCAAAAACTTGAGAGCTGGCCGTTGCTTCTTCTTTTCAAGATCTGGGGCGATATCCAAATCCTCGATAGGATACTTTATCGGCGGAGGCGTTGGTGCCTTGGGAGGTTCAGCCTTGACGACAACCGCAGGGGCAGGTGGCATCTTTTTGTCTGCCTCCTGGGACTTGGTCGAACGGGCTGCCCCGTTTGTCGGCTTGTTCGCGACAACAAAAGTCGGGTTGCCGTTGAGTGAGCGTTGATATTCGAGAAATTGCGCCTCTTTGTTTCGGGCGATGTCCTGTGGGGAAGGTTTGACTTTTTGGCCTTTGACCGCGGGTTTCAATTCGGGGAGTTGTTGCGATGCGAAAAAACCAAAGAAGCCCTCTTGATCCGCCTTCTTCATTGCTTTCTTTTCCGCTACCTTGGCGCCATACTGCAGATGCTTTGGTACTTCGGTCGGAATCCTATACTCCTCGGCAATGGAGGGCTTTACCAGCCATGGCGCACCGTTCCACGATTCTCTCGTCACATTGTTTTTGATGAAGGCGCGCAACATTTGCTTGGTGAATGTCTTCCGGTCGCGAGTGATATGCTCCTGGTCCAACAGCGCCTCTTCATTCGGACGGTCCGTGACTTTCACAAGATAAGTGGAATAGGCTGGCCTCTTGAGTGAACCATCGGGGTTCAGCTGATCCGGAAAGTTCACCTTATCTCTGATTATGCCGTGAAGGCGAGTGTTATCGTCAAGTAGAATTAGTACGGGCTCTCCAGGATAGAAATCTTGCTTAAATTCCTGCAGCATGTTAGCGGATAGGGACCGACGGACGGATTGAAAGCTATGGAAGTACCTCATAGACCTCATCCACTAAAACGCGCTTATTAGCCTTGAAACGTCGTAAACACGTTGAACATATGTATACTAACCAAGATTATCGACCCGCGATACCGTGGAAAACTGAATTCTGCGCAGGATGGGCTCCTTGAGAGCATCTGGAAATGCGCTATTGACTTCGCGCGATTCTTCCATCTGATAAGATGTTAACATTTGGAGAATACGGCAATCAGAATTTTGCATACTTCACTTCTAAGCGCCTCGAAGAATGTCAGGCCTGAGTGACCTGTTATTTCGCAAATAAATCTTCGTTGCTTATAGAAGTCCATCCTCTGGAGATAGGGCTCATAGTTGACGAAGACCTCGTTGGTCTCTGGGATGACCCAGACCTGCGAATGCTGAGTTAGATTTCTTATGATTTTCCTGCCTCCGAAACTTGAAGGTATACATGCCTCGGAGCTGTCATCTTCTATCGTCGGTCGAGGAAGGTACTGGACCGGTTTCCGCTTGAACAAGACCTGAGCAATGAAGTCAGCCTCGTTGAATATCGCTTCATGCCTCTGCATTCTATCCTGAAACAAGATATTCCCAGTAGATGTTTGCGACATACCATGGTCCTTAGGAAATTATACAAATGGAACGATCGATCATAGATTGCTTGGGGTAAAGGGAATCATGGATGGAACTAGACAGCACAAACAATGGTCAGTTTATAAGTGAAAACTACATTAAGACGACAAAGAAAGCAGATGGTAAAGAGCAATGCACTGTTTAAAGGAAAGCCGAAACACGCGGGTGGCTCATTGTCCCGAGGACTGAGGTCCGATGCGAAAGTCATGCGCCGGTGGAGATATCGAAGCCATGAGAACGGCATTTTATGGCGCATTTCCACGTATGGGAGGTTGCCAGCGGACTTCCAAAACCAAAGGGGAGGGTAGATAAAGAACTTACCCTCACGACGCGTGTTCAATCGCGCTACACACGAGTCCGCGAAACTGGGGCGACCAAGACACGAGATCAGGAAGCGTGGAGCCGCGAGCTCAGTCGAAAGTGGAGTCGAGATCTAGATGCGGGTATAATATCCCAGGGAGACGGGCTGCGTGCGGGGAAGATGCGCGAGAAGAGACGGACTGCAGCGGCGAGAGCGAGAACCGGGAGAGAGGAAGATGTGAGAAAGAAAGAAGAGGAGGAGGAGGAGGCAGAAAGGAGAAGCGGTCGCCGCAAAAGAGCGACGGCAGAACCGGGCCCCATGAGGATCATTGCGGCAAGTGGTGGGAGGGCCGCCGAGGCACGGCGGGCGCTGATTGGCCGAGAGGAGGAGAACAGAACGGACAAGACGTCGGGCGGACTCTCGGTAGGGATGCTGCCGCTATACCGCTTCGGGGCTCCCTCCAGGCCCAGCATTCGTCCTTAACCCTCTCCCACTCCACGCCTTTGCCCCCCGGCCCTGTTGTCCCCTCTGCGCGCCCCGACTCTCTCCAACCCCCCATGTTTTTGCACTCGTTCGATTCCTCTCGCTCCGGAGGTTCTTTGTAGCCCCATCTTTTACAACGGAAGCCGACAATCCTTTCTTTTGCTGCCATTATCGGAACGCAGTAGGACCCGTCTGCGGGGACTACTTAGCTGACATCGCGACTGGAAAGCAACATCTGAAAACAAATTCAGCCACGTCGCAACTTTTGTCTTTTTTCACCCTCTGCTATAACGTGACTGTACTCTTTTATGTCACGAACGGATATATGCTGGAATAGATGCTGTCTGCTGAAATATGGCGCATATGGCCTAGTCTGAGCCTGGCCAGTTTACCCGGATCTTGTCCGATATCCTCCAGCTCCGCGCAATCTTTTACCTTTTTACGTACCCTCATCGCTCCTGCTCTGGTGCAAGCCTCCAGTAGTACTATCGAGATCAGCCGGTCATAGACTGATATTTTGATCATTATCTATGCTAAACCCGGCAATACTACTTGTCACTTGCCATTTGCTTACTCGACTTATAGATGCGCACGGCCTCACCTCAACACCTGACAAGGAATCCACTCCATGCTATCAAGTAGGGTCTTTGATCATGCAGTACAGATCCAACTCTCAAGTTCTGAGAAGACCGATACCCAAGAGACCTAATAGCGATCATGATTGGCCCCGGATTTACTCTATGAGCCAGAGTATTGACGGGGTCTCACCCGACCCAGTACTTTTCTATATCATGTCTAAATCATATAGATGTGTTCAATTTGAACAATTTTGGTTTCAAATGATGAGAACTTAGACGGCCCTTCTAGCTTCTTTGCGGAGCTATGTCGATTACCCTAGCCCTATTGTCTGCGTCCAGTTTTCTTCCTTAACTGAGCAAGGATAAGGTGTGGATTCGCCATGATTATATTAATCTTCTAAGCCTACCTGATGGAAGATTCTCGTCTATTAAGCTTTTCTTGAATGCCTTCATCTAGCTGTTGTGGTGTAGACTACAGATGGGGTGTATCACCACCACGGCCTTCTATAAACAAACGAAAAACCGGAAACTTAACTTTACATCAAAACAGCTGAAATTCATTTAACCATTCCCCTACTAAACTATCATTAATTATGTTCCAAAAATACATTCTTCTCCAGTATATTGGTTCAACCCTTCAAATCACATCACATAGACAATCCGCCCGCAAACACCAATCTACCCCAACCACCAACCAACTCTATAACACCATCCCGATCACTAAATCACAAACAAAATGAAGAGAACCTAGAAATCAACCATAACAAATCTAAACCCAACATCATCCCCCGTTCCAATTCACTCCCAACCAAGCACCACACCCCCAACCCAATCTGACGTATCACCCCTACCACACCTCCACCAAAACTGAACTATCTATACCGTACCCCGGAAAATAAACCTCCCAAACGCGCGCCACCCACGTAAGGCACCAAGCCACGCACCCAATTTCACACCCCTTTCCCTAAATCCCCACTTACCAATAAAAAAACCCCCTCCCATGTCCCAAACCAATCACACAAACCATACATCAAATCAAGGTACTACAGATCGAGGGAAGTGACTCGGGGTCTCATCTGCAGTGTGACATGAATCCATGGGAACGATCCGATGTTTAACCTGCCGCGGCTAAGCCGTTTCGGGACTGATGGCTGATAAACTTTGCAAAACTGGCTGATCTAAGTGGGTCGGGGGCCGGAGCACGTGGATGAGGCAAACGGTGCAAACTGCAAACTGCGAATTGGATTTGAAGTGGTGAGCTGTGGTTCCGGGGTTCGGGAATGGGAGGAGAGAAGGCGTGGCGTGGCTTAGCAACGTGGCTGGGGATTACATCATGCGGGATTCTACTAGAGATGGTAGGCGGTAATTAGAGGATGGGTATGATATTTTGCGAATATTAAATAGATTGTCTATCAATCATGGGAAGGAGCTTTTGTTTACTTAAGTTGTCTATACAGATCTACTACTCATGCAGTGAAATAAACCACCATAAAGCCAATCCAACTACCCACAACACCAAGAGCAGTGTAACTGCTCATGAACATCAAGGGTAAGAACTCGTACCGCTCGAGCCCGAAGATAAGCTGGTGCCCGACCGAGCAGTATACGATTAGCGGGATGGCGATCGTGATGTAGAGCAGGGAGAAGCGGTCGGCGACGAATATCCGGCGCCGCTCCGAGACAGGCGCCACCTGGTCGAACACGTAGAGGAACAGCACCAGCCAGAGAATAGTGTAGACCGTCTTGGTCGGGAACTCGGCGGCTGTGAAGAGCAACGGAAACAAGGAGACATGCCCGGCTACGGCCAGGGGCCGGAATGCGCTAAAGTACCGCCGGTCTTTCAGCGCGATGAGACTGAACGGAATGATAATCAGGAGCACGGCTTTCTCGTGCACATGCCAGCCAAACAGGAAGGATGCGTATCCGCACAGGGTGATAGCGCCAACAAATGTTTCCCATTCGGGATTGCGCCAGAGCTTGGTCAAGGGAAGCTACATTGCAGTCAGAGACATTGAACATAATCAGACAAGGCTGCCAAAACACTTACCAGCTGAAACAAGAAAGTCAACGCAAACGTGTGTTCCTTGGTGACTTCAGGGAGCACCGCGAACGATGTGTCTCCGACAAGTCCGCGAGTGACACTGGCCAGGGCGTCCTGATTGATTGGAAGGCCCAACCGCGGAGCAACTACACAAGTTAGTTCACCCACACGAAAATTGATCGGGACCATGGAACATACATGGAATCAGAGCACGGTCAGCGAAGGAATACATCGCCCATACATTGGGCGCCCAGTACGCATGGCACAGGCCCCTGGAGAAGGGGAACAATCTATCCTTCAATTGAAGCAGCTGACCCCAGGAGGCAAAGGGCCCAAAAGCCACCGCAAACACACCGACAACGCACACGCCGAGCTTGATTATGTTGAAGAAGCGAGGCCGGAAAATCGACTTCGGATCCAGACAGTAAACCCTCAGCAAGTAGACGAAGTATGCCAATGCAAGGTATAGATAGATGTGCTTTAGGCACAGCAAAACAGCGAAGCTGATACCGCTGTAAAGGAGGGTCGATTGTTTCCGTGCCAGGACAATCGATAGAATCAAGATACCGTAAAGAAACCCGTTGTACTGGAAGTGAATGTGGTCGATGATAAGCAGGCCGGGGGACAAGAAGATAGACAAGCTGGCGATATGCGCAAGGTGTTTGTTTGACGGAGATACCGACTTGACAAATCTATTTGTACTGATATTAGCGAGGCCGATGGAGCAAGAATGGCTTGAGCGCATGTATGGCGAGAGAACGGCTTACCTGCTCAATGCGAAAAGAAGGACCAGCTCAGTGACGATGACTGTGGCTCTCTGGAAGTAGATTGTCTGCCATGAATCGTAGGTGAGGTTATTGACAACCAGCATCGCCGGGTCCGCATAGCGTGCGGCCTGAGACAGCACCCATTCGAATGCCGCAAAGAAGGGAGGATAGTCGAGAGTCCATTCCGATGTTTTCTGCCCGATTGCCCGAACTCAGTATTCGGGACTAAAGCGTTATGCGCCGGGGTGGCCATACCTCGTAGTACCACTCCTTGACCGGCAATGAGTGTGTGATCGCAAGCCAGTTTCGATGAACCTCGAAATCGGTGGATTTGCTGCACGCAGGCCACACTTCAGCGGGAGTTCTGCAACCTTGCGGTGTTGTTCTAGACCAGTGCGGGCAACGTACTATGCGGGGAAGAGAAGGATTTTGAACGCCGTCGCAACAATGGCGCATTGCGCCAAAGAAGGGTATAAGTCTGTCATTGGTAGTCTTGCGCTTGACGCGCCGCCCGGAGAAGGAGAGGGAAAGGAGCGTGGGGCATGGAAAGGCCGAGAGGGAACTTCGGGGATGCCAGCTCAAGCTCAAGCTGAGGAACTGCCAGGAAGCCCAGGGAACGGGTCCGGGGCGGAAGCACGTGACTTTGTGGACTCCCGGCATGAAAGGCCAATCTGTCCCCAGCGCCGGGGGGCCGCTTATGATGATCTGTTATTGTTGCTGCCGCCGCCCGCTGACCCCCCAATGGACTTGGCCTCGGACGTAGGAGTCCGTCACTCGGTCGTTCTCTCTAGCCTGGAAATCCGTCATCTGGTTGACTTCTCCCCCGCAACTGCTTCCATTGCCCGGGAAATCCGCTTCTGTGTGATCGCCATTGTGGTTGGGTGGACCACCTCGCGCGTTGTCTCCGCCTTGTTGAACCGAAGATCTTCGTCGGACCAGTAACAAGATACTACCGCTGGTTCAGAGCTTCGGCCTTCTTCTTTCTTTCTTTTGCCCCAGACACCTGATATCTCTTCTTAACCTGTGACGGCGTCTGCTGTGCTTTGGATACAGATCTTAGCCTTCCCTTGTTTGTTTGAAAGTAGTAACAGCATTATCTGCTTTGCGAGCCTCCAATTGCATAGACATGATGAAGATCTCAGCTTCCCTCCTGTCCTTCGTTGCTGCTGCAACAGCGCAGTCAGTGATTGAAGCCTCCAGCTTTGGCTTTGGCCAGACGTAAGTACCTTATTTTCACGGGTTTCTGTGTTTGTCAACCTCTGATATGCTGACGTCTTGCAGACTATCCCCAAATGCCGATTCCATTCCTGGGTGGCAGACTGGAGGAGAATCACACTCCCCTGACATCGTATGTTCCTCTTTCCATGGAGTTGTACTAGAGTGCTACGTACTAACTGAATCGTAGCTTTCTAACAAGATAATCCTGACACCGCCTTACCCAGGCAACACCAGAGGGTTTGCTTGGTCACAAACACCGTAAGTTCCAATGCTCTAGTCTCTTCTTTCCCGTTAGTAGACATTGACAATTCCACAGTGTCTCCCAGTTGGAATGGACAGCAGAGTTCCAATTCCGAGCAACTGGTCCTGAGAGAGGTGGAGGTAACCTCCAGCTCTGGTATGCCAAAGACGGAAAAGATAGAATCGGCACATCTAGTATCTATACTGTCAACCAGTTCGATGGATTTGCTCTTGTCATTGACAGTCACGGCGGCAGAGTAGGTGAACAGCTAGTGTCCAACGGCTCAGAGCTAATTGTCGTACAGGGTGGTAGCGTCAGAGGTTTCCTCAACGATGGCACGACGGATTACAGCAGCCAGAGGAGCGTTGATAGCTTGGCCTTTGGACACTGTGACTACCCTTACCGTAACCTGGGACGGCCCTCCACCGTCCGTCTAAAGTACACCAAGTCGGTCTTCGAGGTTACTGTCGATGATAAGCTGTGCTTCTCAACTGACAAGGTACGTCTATCAATCAACAGCCCTTCTAATTTGCACCAACGCCCTAACGCAAACAGGTTATCCTCCCGGCTGGCAATGTCTTTGGTCTGACCGCAGCGACTCCCGAGAACCCCGATTCTTTCGAGGTCTTCAAGTTCGTTCTTCAGTCCGCCGACTCCGGAGCAGGCAACACCGTGCCCGTGCAGCAGCAAAACACCAATCAGCAGCCCATTGCTGCCCAGCAACAGGCACAAGCCGTGCCCCAGCAGCAGCAGCAACAGGCGCCTGCAGTCGATTCCGGTGCAACATCCCAGCAGTTTGTCGATCTAGGCAACCGTATCCAAGGCGTCAACCAAGCTACCGACAACATCCTTCGCGAACTCGGAAACCAGGGCACCAAGAGCGAAAATCGCCAGGTCGAGCTCCTCCAGAAGTTCGCCAGCAAGGACCAGGTCGCTAGTCTGGACGCTAGACTGCAGAAGATTGAACAGATGTTGCAGGCTATCCAGCGGGACCTGGAAGGCAAAGACTACCACAAGCGCTTCAACCAGCTGCAGGAGACCCTGCGCTCGTCTCATCTCAGCTTGACGGAGAACCTCCTGGGAGGTAAGCATCCCCCTACTCCACGCATCTCTCACCAACCTCCAACTAACCCAATCAACCAGTCGTTACCTCCTCCGCCCCTCGCATGGGCTTCTTCATCTGCCTGATCATCGCCTTCCAAGCTCTCCTGGCCGTCGCCTACATCGTCTACAAGCGTCGTCGTGCGAACATGCCCAAGAAGTTCCTCTGAGCTTCCCCTCTCTTCCTCTCAACTATGACTGAACCCCCCCAACACACCACCCAACAACAACTTTCCCAACTTCCGCGGAAACGATATCACGAGACCTGGTAGCGCCGTTGTACGGTGTTCTTTTCGAGCCCCACCCTGTGTAACTCTGCCCAATCTGTTTTATAGTAGCTAACGTCGTTGTTGTCTTGTCTCGCATTCCTTCTTTTGACCTGTCATTGTAACTTGTACATTTTCCACTTGAGCTGGCAAATCAGTTAGTCAGTTTCCGGGCGCTATCTAGATGGGTTAGGAGAACCTTGTTGATTCATATGCAATATGCTTTGCTATCTTCACTAACCACAATTTAGATAAAACGAGCAAGTTCTATCTGTAAATAAAGTAATGACAACGTGTGAAAAATAACATAACCCATGACGATGGTTAAGATGATAATCCCCTCAGACCAACAAATTCACATAGCTGATCGAATACAAAACCCAGATTCTAAGAGTGCCTATCATACAAAGCCGAAGATGATGATATCCTTTCGTTATGAAGAACGAAAAGCACAATGCTTATGCACACCTCTTGATGGTGAAGAAAGACGAGAAAGAGATTGGAGAAGACCAGATCGTGACCACGTGAGAGAAGCAAGATTCGCCACGTATCCCTTGGGAGAGATAGCAGGTTTGATCCGATATAACAAGGCACTGGCCGTCAGCACGTCCGATAATTGATCGGAAGGAGAGAAAGAATTATCGTCTTGGCCGAGTAATTTGCGAGAAAATCCCGCGCGGGTGTCCGGATGGCGCGGACCCAGAAGAGAAAAAAAGCCGCACTCGAGCCAAGAGTGGATGACGACGGGATGCAGTGTGGTGGTTGCCTGAGTGTCAATGATCATTGGTCCAGCTTCCTCTGTTGCGACGGGACGTGACCGCAAAAGAAAATATAACAGGTGAACGATAAGATCCATGAGAACGAGAATGTCTCGCAGCTGGAGCTGGAGATTTTATGCAACAATCAATATGCTAAACATGACATGCTTTGGATGCGCCGAAGATTTAACAAGCCGAAATGGGACCGAAGTTAGACCATCTAATATGGAACGTAGGACACCGACGCCTGACTTCCCTAATACCAACGAGTTTTCCTGCCAACCTATGCAAGCAATGATTTGCGATGCGCCGCGCCAACTGAAAGATGAACGACAATTAATAGCGTGATGAAAGTACATGAATAGTACAACTTGTGGTCATAGAATGGCGTGATAATTTCAGAAGCTGGTTGTTGAAGCCTTTGCAAAGCACACGCCGAATTTGCCTGGCGATGAATGATAATGACATGTGCAAAATCAAGTATATGACGACGAATAAACTGTATCATTGCAAAGGCACCACGAGTAGTTTCAAGGCTGCAAACAGGGCAGACGAAGACGGGCCGGCTTGCTTTCTGGGAACAGCAAGACTAGTTCTCGACAACAGGTCACCTTGGCGACGTAGTGGAGCCCTTCACCCTTCGCATCTTGCAGAAGATGAGATCAGTTTAAGACGGCAAAGAACCGGCGAGTCAGGTTATCACAACCTATTGGCTGTGGCTGCGTTTAGGATTGGTCGTCAATGGCGCTGCAGTAGATAGAGCATCAGTAGACTCAGCGCTGATGGGTTGAGGCCGTTCGACTTGGGAATTCAGAACCTCGATGCGTTGCTCAATTAGATCTTGCAAAGCGCGAAGAGAAGCGATTTCCGTATTGGCCGAGGGAAGACTGCGCGGAGCATTGGCTTTTAACTGATCAATAAGCAGGCTAATTTTGCCATCTTCAGCCCCGAAACTGGCCTGGCTGCCCTGTGCGAAAGTGATGAGATTTGCTGCAGCTTCCCGTTCAGCAACAGTGCGTGAGTTCAGGATTGCAGCGGTTGTGTCCTCTTCCAAATAAGCCGGTCTTTGGGATGAGTAAAACGTGTGGGCCTTGGCTATGAGGTTATCGAACTCCGTGGTAGCATACTCGAGATATCGGTCGGCGGCCTCCTTCATCATCTTATACTCCTCATTTTCCCTTCTCCTCAAGTCAGACCAGTCAGACACATAGCGAACTTGAACACCTAGGGCTTACTTACCGCTTGACTCTGTAGATGAAGTCGAGTTTTAGGCCTCGCTCTGAAACGCGATACATAATCCCCTCTTCTTCCTGGTCTTCCATTCTCTCGACATCTTCCTCATCTGGAAGGACCTCAACGTCTACCATCCGAGGCCGCTTCGGCCGACGGATGCGCTTTATCATATCATAACCTTCCTCGTCTTGGACCGTATGAACTAGATCATGCCAAACGTGGTTGGGGCACATCCAATTGTGATGTACCCGGTCACTGCCAGGTCTCTGGGTCGGAGGTATGGCTAGAGGTGGATCGACACAGTCCATATGGAAGGCGCAAGGACAATAATCGCACTGAATGATGGGCCGACGGCCATTGCTCGTGCGTCCACAAGCCGAGCAAAAAATAAGATTGCCTTTGGCGTCCACTGTTCGTAGCAAATATGGATCATCATAACGGCCAGTACGGTTCCCTCGCCCACCACGGGGATTGATTTTTGGAAGGGGCACAATTTCCTCATATTTCCCACCCTCTCCAGTGCGCACTCCAATGAAGTAATCACGGAGTCTAGCCGGTAAAGCGAAGTCTTTTTGTGGAGCATTGTCAAGCGCGCCTAATAGGGAAGTCATAGGCCTCGACAACGAGCACTTTGGACAGAACCAGTCGCCCTCCGGGGGGTTCGCTGGGTCCAAAGGTGGGTTAAGACAGGAGAAATGGAAGGAATTCGGACAGCCATCGCAACACAGAAGCTGTCCGCTTCCATTGCAATTATGGCAGAAATCGTTGTTTTCTAGGCGTTCGTTTTCGCTGCTGCCGGCATGTTAGTGGTCAAATAAAGGACAAAAGGGGTAGACAGGGATATCACCTCAAGGTAGGCGTCAGCCGTCGGTTGTCACCGGCATCGCTACTGGCTGGACTCTCAGACCGCTCTCTGCTACTTGTAGCAACTCCTACTGACGCTGCCTGAGACCTGCTGGTTGTTGTGGGGACCGGTGAAGACATGTTGGAAAGAGGCCCGGAAGCCAACGAAGACCGTAGTTGACTTTCTGAAGCAACAATGTTCGGGAGAGCCTTCTGCAGGCGAGCCCGTTTGATCCGTGACGTTTCCTCGGGAGTTGGGTCAGCTTCCAGTGCATGCCTTTGCTGGGGCACCGTAGCTGCACTCGATGGAATGACTGGTTGGCGACTTGCGGGTTCGGCCTCCTTTGCTTGAGGTGCACTCCCCTTGGCCTGTTTTCCCTTGCCGCGACCGCGTGAAGCTGCTACGCCAGGCGTCATTCCCGGAGCAAACGTCTCGGCATCAAGTGAGACTGCCGAAGAGAGAGAGGAGATGCTGCTGGCCGACCGAGGGCGAGCCAAGACCGGCGCCGTGGCAAACTCCTCACCGGCTTCCGCCTGGACCTCTTTCCAGGCAGCGCGCATGACGCTCTGAAAAGCGGAGCGTTCCCGCGGGCCGGGATTCTCCTGGCAAATACCGTCTAGGATTGAGAGAGCAAATGGGTCTTTGTTGCAAGTTTCCCATAAGCGGAGGAGTCCGCGTGAGACAGGGCGGTTGTTTGTCTCCAGCGCTAGGCGGAGGGCTTTTTCGACCGCAATTTTTATCCGCTCTACGTCGACATCTGTCGATGTAGGGACAGGAAGTGCAGTGAAGATAGACATGTCCTGTAAGGACTTGGTCTTGGTCGGGACAGGCTCGGCGACCGGCTCCTCAGCGGGCGTTAAAGGGGTCTGAGGTTTGTCGTCACCTCTCTCGCCGTTTGGTGTGGCTTGCGACTCTTTTTTCGCAGAAATGTTCTGGACACTGGGCTTTATGGGAGCCAGTCCGGCCTTGCGCAAGTCGGCCGCCGATGGCATGGCCCCCAGCGGGCGCATCGTGGACAGTATGGGGTTCGCGTCACTAGACACTGCGGACCACGGCGTGTCTGCGTAACTCGGAGCCGGTGCCCTCAAAGGGGGTTCCGCCCATTCTATACTGCTATCAAGTAGATGCGATTCACTCAAAGTATCTGAAGTCCCGTTCCTAGATTGTTCCAGTCGCGATTGGGTTCGAGAGGGCGGATCTTGTAGAGGATCGGTGGCCACGCGACTGTTCCTGCCAGTCCGCCGTTGCTTGCGCGGCCTTGTCGATTCAGTAAAAGAGGAGGCGGTACTCGCTGTAGTCGGCGCGCCGAGTGGAGTGGAAGGGCGGGAGTTGCTGGACCAGGCATGGGAGGACGAGCGGAGATTCGGAGCCATTGTTGTAGAGACAGGGCTCGCAAGTTGCAACGGCTGGAGACCCAAGGTTAGCTCGCTGCATTGAACACTAGTGCCAATTAAATAGAATGTCAATTACTTACTAATGAATAGACCCCAAGCTAACACCGAGCGTGCCCAGCGTGGCTGGTTGGAATCGAGGCCAGCCCGCGCGCTGTCTGCGGGTTGATGGGAGGAAGAAAGGTTGCGGAGTTCAAGTGCCGGAAGTTTTCGAGTCCCAATCAGGCCTCCTAGGGGGTGCGCCGCGGAAGCTGGCACAACCACGAAATCGCCAGGCACCCTGGAACTGCTAATTGAGAACGTTAGATCTTCAACACGCGGCTCATGCTGCATAATGCAAAGGATTTATTGTTTTCGTTTTCCGGGTGGTGTACTCTTACCAGATTGACCCTAAGTACGTCAAGGGGCCGTTAAAGGGTCCGGCAAACAATGTCAGGATAGCTTGTTCACTCGTGCTCAAGTACCGGCTATGGCACCGATGAAGATAAGCTAGATAAATCGTAGCACCCGTGATGTAGAGTGCTAGTATACTAGGAAAGTTTGTATGCCCTATGACTAGGTCAGCCAGCTGAAGTCTGGAAGCAGTTCGCAGCCAACTATTGAGCCCAACGCACACGGACGAAGGAACAGAGGCAGATCAATGATCAAATGTTATGCATAGCTTCGCATCCATGCAAAAGGGCCGTTCAGGATAGGAAGAATACGGACATGGATTGTCACCTCCCCTTGAGAACAGCCCAGATGCACGGAAAGCAGAAGCAAAAGAGCAAGATAGCCAGTTCGAGTCGCATGAGAGACCTACCAAGCACTATGTAGTCGATTAATAATGCTGGATCTATATTATCCAGCAGGAATGGCGTACGTGATGGAAGAAAGACAGAAATATGTGGCAGTGTAGAGAGCCGAGAAGGGGGCTTTGGGATCCAGAGAGCGAGAAACAAGATAGACAAGCGTTGAGGGAACTGATAAACCAGTACTTCTCTTGAAGTCAGGAGATTGAGGGATCGTGGTCAAGGAGAAGATCGCGTAGATCAGTTTTTGAAGAAATTTGGAGGAGAAAATGGGTAGAAGAGAAAGGGAACTGAAAGACGGTGTGCGTGAGAAGCAGCGTAAAGCCGACAATAGAGGAGCTTGCAATGTGTTACAATCTTAGCTGCTAAAATGTACGCAGCAAGGGCCGGCCGGCTTCTCAGCGACGCTTTCGATATCAGCTTGATGATTAGGAGGGGTTGCTCTATTCAGGACAATGCCGAATAGCACGGAGTTTCAATTCTTGGACGCGCAGGTCAAGCAGACATACGGCCCACACTTAGCAACACAAGTTGGTGAAAGACGAGAACTTATCAGACACCAACTGGGGAGACAGTTGTGGCTGGGGTGCTGGGAAAGGTGAAGAAAAGTAAGTGAATGAGTCTCCGATACTCGCCGTGAGCGAATGGTTCGGGGGGCGCAGGAGCCGGGCAAGAGGTCACAGCACGTTCTCCAAGTACGGAGACACCGGATGCTGGCTCTGTAACTAAGATATTCACCAGTCCTGGGGTGCTGGAGTTCAACAGGAAGGGTGGGTGTGGGAGTGGAGGGGGGGTGTCATGGGCAAGGGAGATGGAGGAGGAAGAAGGATTGGAGGAGGCCAGACGGAGTTCAGTTGGCCCACTCCAACCCCCATGGCTTCTCCGGCACCAGACAGCCCAACACACCCACAGTCCTAGGTGAATGGGCCAGGATATACTTGCTTTTAGTTTCTCGGTTGTATACATCTCCGTGGACCGAATGGCCGTCTTCCTTCTTCTCCCCCTACAACCTCCAACCCCCAGTGTATGGCAAACTTGGTGCAGGTACATCCATATATACTTAACCCCACAAAGCCGCCGAGAAAGACGTGATTATCTAGTCTGGATACAAGGACCAGCTACTTAAATTAGACGACGGACAAAGGGACCTAGCTGTCTTCCCTTGAGTCTTTGTTGGGAGATGTGGGGTGGCAACGGCTGAGCAAGCAACCTGGCACTACACGACAGTCCCCCAGTACAGAACCATACCGTGATAAACTTCGTCGAACTCGTGCATATAACTAGACGATAGGTGGAAAGTACATTGAGCTAGTTATCGTTCCAGATGCCATGCGGGATAAGTGATGCTGGCATGAAAAGGTCTGCTGTCCAGGTGCGCCTGATGAGGGAGGGGGCATATCCCGACCTTATCGGATGGCTGGGACAGTAAAGCAGAGATCATGAAGCAGGAATACATTGCTTCGTAAAGAGAATGATCAAGCTGGGTTCGTGAAGACCAGGGCATGCATAGCTCGTAGCAAGCTTGGAACATATGGGTACAGGCAGAAGAAGCTCTAGCAACTGTAGTTAAAAGCAACGCACATGGTCTCCTTGGTTTTTTTTTCTTTTTCTTTTCTCCTTTTCATTTCAGGACTTACATATCTCGTCTTTTGAACTAGTTATGTGACACCAAATTTTGCAATAGGGTACTAGGGAGAACCAGGTCTCCCACATGGCTCATCTTTCGCACTGATTCCCGATCCCTCGTCATCTGCAAGAGAACTCCCTGGATGTAGCTCCAAAAAGGATAGTTGTAATGGCGGGCATCGCCAATGCTCCGGTATAACGAAGAATGTTCCCGCAAAGAAATCATAGGCTTTCACTTGAGCCCAACCCAATGTCCCCATGGATACGTCAGATATGGCCCCCAGTCAGACGATCCGTTTACTCGTCAGCCTTCTTGGCGGTCTTCTTCTTGTTGTTCTTGTTCTTCTTGGAGCCAGTGGATCTGGCCAAGGGGCGCTCAAGAATCTTGAGGATCTCCTCGTCCTCGATCTTCTTGTCCGTCTGGAACTTAGTAAGATCGGGAGTGGTGGGGGCGGCAAGCCTAGTAATGCCGTTCTTGGTGATGGCTAGAGATCCGTTAGGAGAAACTTGCCTGATGGGGTAATGCCCGCCCGATTTACGGACGGGGGATCGAGGGAATTAAACATACCAATGGTGGTCAACACGCGGGAGACCGCGGCATTGTCGGCATCACCAGCGGGCTCGTACTGTCTCAGGACACCACCACGGACACACTCGACAACACCAACCTTGGCGGCCTTCTCGTCATCCAGCTGACGCAAGCTGAAGGGGAACTGGCCGAACTTCTTGACGACCTCGGACAGGGTCTGTCTGGAGCTGGGACGCTTGAGACCGTAGGTGGTGGTGGTACGGCGGTGCAGAGTAGCACGGTGGGGGAGAGTCTTGACCTTTCCGGATCCAAGGGACAGTCCAAGTTCGACACCCCAGACTTCACCAACATCGGGAACACCCTCTCCCTTAACACCGGCGCCGGGCGAAAGGATGATCTTCTTCGCGCCCTCAATCTCGTTGCGCTCAAACTGCCAGCTGGTGGTGTTCTCGACAACGTTGCAGTCGTATGCCTTGGCAACCTTCTCAATCAACTGAGAGATCTGAGCCTGGGTAAGAGCCTTCTCAGCGGCGGCCTTCTGCTTCTCCTCCTCCGTTCCACTAGCCAGAAGTCCCGGGGGAACCATGAGTCTCAGGAGAAGCTCGTTGGCGTAGTGCGTGGCGTGGATGAGGTCAGCCTCACGACCGGTCACCACATCGGAGGACGAGCTGCTGTCGGCGACAACAACCATGTCGCAAACAATGGCTCCGAAGCCATCGATCTGGGCACCGAGCTGGATCTTGATGATTTCACCGGCCTTCAAGGTGGTCTCGGCCTCCGCGGCATCAGACACCAGGGGGGTGTAGGGCGTCACATAGGAGCTGGGGGAGACAGTCGTGGGGTGGGAGATACCTTTCCCAAGCATGTCACGTTAATTCGCTGAATTGGTGACGGATCTCCGGGTCCACAGAAACAACGTACCCTTCTGGATCTTCTTGCCCTTGTAGACCTTAGCAATTTCCTCATCGAGGAGCTGGTCACCCTTCTGGCAGAGCTCCACGATCTTGCTACCCTCAACACACCATCCTAGCGAATGGGATTAGATATCGGATCCTAGACTGAACGCGACCAAAGGATCGGGGGTCACAAACCTGCAACGGCTTCAAGAACCTTGTGGGAGATCTGGGCGGCAGTCTTGTATTTGGTCAAAGTGTCGGGGTTGTTGAGGGAGTAGTCTAGAAACGGACCGAGGTCGAGTCAGTCATGGCGGGGTGCGAACACGCATTCTAAAGCCGTGGGTTGCAGGAGACAGATTGGAAGAAGACATTGACAAGCACTTTGGCATGAGAAAATAGATAAGGTGAGGATTCGACTGTCCTCCAAAGCTCCTTAGCTGCTAACAGTTGCCGCCAAACCTAAGCCGAACCATGACGACGAAAGCAAGCGGGAACCCACAAACGCCGGAGCTTTTTTCAAATTGGGGGGAAACGAGGAGGGGTATTTGAGCATGGCATGAGCACTTACCAACCTCGGGGGCCTGAGTCTCAGCCATTGTGTATCAGATGGGGGTATCCTCGCGCTGGTGCGAGGAAGCGTTACAAATCAAGGGTCTCTGGGGGCAGTAGGTCTAGTTCACAGCAGGAAAGAGAAGAGGAAAATGGACTCTGCTGGAGAGAGCTGGAGAACCTTAGTAGTAGATGGAGTCGTGTGCACCGCGCCGTATTACGCATCGTTACGCCCTGAGCGGGGGCTTCGGCCTGGGTTTTCTCTCGCGCCCGGTGGGGTTTCCTTCCCGGCCAGAGTAGGGCTCCGTATCTTATGGTTTTGCCGGTACCATCCGCTTCTTCGGCTGACCGCCTACCGTCATAGCCCTCGACGCCCAACCAGCGCTTCTTTTCGCGTCACTCCCTCGCGACTGGAGGAGGGGAACCCAATCGCTGTCGGAAGAGCTCCTTCATCGTTCGTTCAGAGCCTGAGGAAAAATAATTGGGCTCTGGCGCGCTGTTTGCCGCTTGCGAACTGTCCTGATTAATTCTCACTCTGTGCCCATTTCCAAGTAACGCAAGTTCATATGGCAGAGTCGAGTATGACATCACTTCTCTGCGTCTGTGTCGCCACTACTGAGTTCCGTTTGTCTCCATCCTTTGCCCGTAAACCGATCGCTTGCTAGGGCTTCTCACGGACGGGAACTCATTTGGACAGAGGACCAAGCCCTATCTAGGTTAATACGCCTCTGAATTCGGCTGAGTGTTTGCCATTGACCACGGAAAGCTATGTCTATGTGGGATGCGCAAGGGAATCATCCGGAAAATGGAAGGGCCTAGAAAAGCCATTAAAAATTGCAGGCCTGGATAGCTAGGCTGGTGATTGTTGCTGTCGACTGCTTTGTGCAAGTCCAGCAAAGCCGGAGCAGCAAAGGGAACAGCCCGACTGAGTCATCGTCTCTTCATTTGCATTCGATCGCGAGGGATATTACTGCAAGATCGCCCACCTCGGACTCGGAGAATCGCGTGGCTTACCTGTCCATGCTACATGTTTAACTCTTAGGCTGACACATGGCTCGGGTGCAAAAGTACGGGGTCACTGCTCACACACCCTTTCTAAGAATACCACTCTCGGTGAGTAAATAATTTGCGAAACTAGTTATATTGTCTTGGGCGAGATTGTTGCTCCGTAGGGTATCTTGATATTTTAAAAGGTTGTACTTGGCTTCTTTTCTCGTGATGGTTACGAAGATGCGGGCTTGCTGTAACCGGGAGAATCCGAAGTAGAGCCTCGACAGGATTCTCGGGCCATCCCACCCCTTATTTGCGCCCGTCTAGCCCCCTCGCAGAATACTACTGGAAAGCTTTGCTTAGATGAGACATACGTATTTCAGTAAGCACGGATTTTAGAGTTCCTTGCCAAACAACGGAGATACCCAGGCGTTTCTGCAGCACTAAAGGATGACTAGTGATTAGTCGGACACTGGTCACTGGCCTCCCGGCCCGGCAACGTACATCCACCACACCTCATGGCTATGGACCAATGACTTCCTCCACGCTCTTCAAGCCTGCAGGAATCAACCCCCCCGGGCGCCCATGTGTGACAGCTACATGGATGCCCTGCAGATTTACGGACTTACCGTCTCTCTCATGGGGCCCCTCATACCGCCCCAGTGTTGTTTGTTGAACATTTTGGGGGCGAAGACCTGCTCGGCGCTGATCTCTGGCAGGATGATGGGTACTGCCTTTATATACACCGTTCCTTTCCGCGAGCGGACTGGATTCAGCTTGAGGGAACCTTATCAGGCCTCTCGATGTTTCCCCTCTCCCTCTCCACCGGTAGAATCTCTCATAGCCGTCGGCTGGCATCATGGCTTCCATCAGAGATGCCTTAGGGGAAAGTAAAGGGCTGTCTCATGATGGAAGAGACGTGGCCATCACAGTGGCTGTGTGTATCTTTGTGGCTACTCTAGTCACGGGGCTTCGTCTCTGGTTGTCGAGAAGACAGGGACCGCTGTTTGCCATGCCAGACTTTATGACTCTCGCTTCTTTGGTATGTTCGACGGGCCGTCGATGCCCTTGTTGGCAACAACTTTGGGGTGCTATTCCAACTCAGTTGACTAACAAAAGCACAAAAGCTCTTTTTCTACTCCTATGCAGTGGGGACCTACATGAGTATGATCTCTATCCTAGTATACAACAACATGGCCCTTGCTAACGGATGCTGCATTAACCTAGTCCTGACAATTGGGCGCAGTGGCTACCCAACGTCACAGACCCAGCACTGGCGACTAACCTTTACACTCAAGGTAAGCGCAAGTCTGATGGATTGCGAATATAATCACTTATACTGTCTACCGTTTCCAGTGGATTTACTACCTTCGATTGGGTTACGCCACAGGTCTGGGCTTGGTGAAATGCGGCATTTTAATGGCCATATGCAGCTCTCAGGCTGCTTCATCAAAGGCAACTCGAATTGCAATCCGGGTATTAATGGCATTCTGTGCGTCCTGGAGCCTTATGGCCATCCTCCTAGAACTCCTGAACTGTCGCCCCTTGAGTTACAACTGGAATCTAGATCGTTCAGATGGCCACTGCATTAATCAGAATGCCGCGTTCTTGGCCGTGGGCATCATTGACGCGGTGACAAATGCTGCTATCCTGCTCCTTCCGTTGCCACAACTTATAAGGGCAAAAGTGACACGATCAGAGAAGCTAGCAATGGCCAGCGTACTTGCCATGGGCATACTGTAAGTGTCCCAGGAAACCCTTGGAGAACAATGCAAATACTGATCTATCTTTCAAGTGTTGTTGCCGTCGCGGCAGTCCGTACAGTCGCCATCGCTAGAGCCGACTTTCACAGCATCAATGGCAATATCAAGATGGTATCCATTTGGACTACGGTGGAATGGACAGTCGCAATCATGGTAGCTAATGCTCCTATCCTTTGGTCCTTGCTTGACTGGCTTGCTCCCTTTCGCTCTATTGAAAATAGTTCATATGGACGATCGACCTGCCGTGTTCCATGTCACTTGCTTAGTCGACTGCGACCACCGCATTTACTTGAATATACTCGGACCTTGACAACAAAAACTGCCGTCGCAGAGACGGGCTCAGTCCATTCTTCTCGATCCATCATCCGAGGTTTTGGAACCAGTTGGTCAGAGGCGACTGGGCAAGCACAACAGCCCGATCCTTTTCTGTCGTTGGAGCCGGGCGAAGTACGAGTGCAAACGGAATGGTCGGTTGAGCGGTCAGTAGCGAAGACAAAGAGGGCAAGGGCAGGAAGCAAAAGATAGCGGAATATTAAGTAAAGCCGTAGTGCTCTCGACTAAGCTAAAGCGTGATCTTGTGCATTCACCTTCGGGCAGTGCAGCGTAGCAGTGATGGGGGTCTGCTTGGGCAGAAATGACAGCGACTGCATTCGGTGAACATCTCTTGCGCCCGTCCCGCTTGTGAGCCATTCCTGCATTCATCATCGGGCTAAAATCTGACGTGCATCAACTTCCCATAGGACTTTGATATTTATCTATCAATAGGGATCATCGCAGTCCTGCTCCACATGTGGCTGCTTTTACTTACTGCCGCTAAGGCAACCCGGGGGGCCTGGAAAGGCTGTTGATCTGTCGTTGGGCTCATCATTGACAGCACTCGATGTCATCTGAGGCACAAATAAGCTCATACACCCTGAAGTCACTGACAGCTGTATGATCTAGTATTTCACTACCAGTGTTATCTTTCACATACCCATAAGCGGGGTAAAACGACTTGGATCTCTGCATGCGGAAGTCAGCTACACGGGAATTCGCTAGACGCAGTACGGTTTGCCACATCTCCTCTTAACCAGCCAGAATCTCTATCAGCTCAATCATTCCCTGCTAGCATAAACATGGATACTGGCCGGGAGTTTGACTACATTGTTGTTGGCGGTGGCACGGCCGGTTGTGTCCTGGCATCGCGACTGAAACAACACGACGCCTCTTTATCAATCTTACTTATTGAGGCTGGTCCGGACGCCAGCACCCACCCACTTGTTCCAGATGGAAGTAAAGCCGCCCAGTTACTCGGATCTGAGCTTAACTGGAGCTACAAGACGGTGCCGCAGAATCACCTCGATGAGCGCGTGCTTTCAAACCATGCGGGAAAAGCACTGGGCGGTAGTACTGCAATAAATAGTGGTGGGTCCTATCACCCAGCGCAGGCGCTTGGATATCCAAGCGGCTATAGTGGATCTCTATGGTGTTACAGTATGTGACTAATGCTTACATGTTGGTTAGGTGGATGGATGCGAGGAGCAAAGGAAGATTATGACCTCTGGGCCAGCTTAGTCGGCGACCCTCGATGGAGCTACCAAGGCCTCTTACCCTATTTCCGGAAGCTTGAACATCACTTTGACTCTCATGCCGATCCCGAAATTCACGGCTTTGGGGGCCCCATCAAAACTGAATCTGTGTCACATACCGGCCGCAAATACCCTCTTCGTCAGCCGGTGCAGGCCGCTTGGGCTGCCGTCGGGTTGACTTACCACCCTGACATCAATTCTGGCAGCCCATACGGATTAGTTGAAGTGGTCGAGAATCGCGTCCGCGGATCACGGCAGATGTCGAGCACTGCCTACCCGCTAGATGTGGAAATCATGACCGAAACCTTTGTCAAGCGAGTGCTGGTGGAGGAAAGGCATGGCAGAAAAATTGCGATTGGCGTGGAGTTGGAAGACGAAAAACAGAGCCAACTCATTGCACGCCAGGAAGTCATAGTGTCCACGGGTGCATACCGGACTCCACAACTCATGATGCTCTCAGGAATCGGTCCGCAGGAGGAATTGCGAGCTCATGGAGTCAACGTTGTCCTTGATCTTCCGGATGTGGGCCGTCACTTTGTGGACCATGTCTCGGTTGCGCAGTGGTGGAAGCTGAGGCAGCCAGAGAAGGGCCTTGCAATCGGATCAGCTGCATTCAGTGACCCGGCCTACTTTCGAGGAAATCCCGTTGACTTTGTAGCCTTGCAGTCAGTGCCGCTCGAAGGACTCCGTCAGGCCTTGACCAAGGATGAACCCAATCACAACCCTGATGAGCATCCGCTTATCTCCTCCCAACGCGTTCATACGGAGACTATCACCGTCTATGTGGCACAGAATCCTCACGACCCCATGGTCGCTGTGGATGGTACACATATTACGACACATGTGTGTTGTATGCTCCCAACCTCCCGAGGCAGCATCAAGTTAGCAGATCGAGACATCCGAAGCGCACCTCGGATTGATCCTAACTATTGTGCTACCGAGACTGACCGATACGTACTACGTGAGGGACTGCGAAGATTGCGACAAGCTTTGCGCGATACCCCAGCTGGGCAGGAAATAATTGAATCAGAAACAGTCGAAGAGAAGTTTCAGCCATTGGGTCCAAATACAGATGATCAAACCATCGATGATCTCATCCGTCGTCGAGCCATGTAAGAACATTCCACTTTATACATCTAAGGGAGGTGTCTGCTGATGAACATAGGACGCTGTACCACCCTACAGGCAGTGCGTCCATGGGCAAAGTGGTCGACGGTGAATTGCGTGTGAAGGGCATCGATGGGTTGCGAATTGTTGACGCGAGCGTAATCCCGACTCCGTTGAGCACGCACATACAGGCGTGTGTATATGCATTGGCTGAACAAGCTGCAGATATCATCTTGGGCATTAGCAGTGTTTGACCTTCCATGCAATTGAACTGAAGCATGAGTGTGGGACATAGGGTGGACGGATCGCAACTATATATAGTGCCACTTCCCGTCGATTAGACCCAGAACGATCCTCGTAACCCCAAAATACAGCTGTCCAAGTAAATGTGCGACAAAAGAGCAAGCCACCAAATTCACATGTAATCAGGTTGTTACACTGTAACAATATGCATTTACCACTACCTACCCGGCTGCCATGTTACATGAGCCTTCATGCACGTCGGGCCCATCGGAGCCGAGGGGCTTACTCCCCTCTTCTTCGATACTTCAACCGCCAGTGATTCAACACCTCCTATCATTTCCATCGCAAGTGAAGGTCCAATAAGACTTTCTTCCATTATCAGTGAGTTCATTGAGTGAAACTAGACGATCCGCAGTTCATCATGAAGGTTGCAAAAGAGCTTCCCCTCCGCATCCTGACACACAACATCCGATATGCAACCTCATCTCCGTTCAAAGGCGAGCGGCCCTGGGCAGACAGGGTACAGCCCCTCTTGAACGAATTACGGTATAACACACGTCATTTAGAATCCCTGATCTGCCTACAGGAAGTCCTACACAATCAGCTCGTGGATATTCTCGCCGGACTCAATTCCAAGCAACAACCCGACAAAGCCTGGGAGTACATTGGCGTTGGACGAGATGATGGCTGCGAAGCAGGCGAGTATTCGCCTATCTTTTACCAGCCCTCGATCTGGCAGCTACAACATTGGGAGACCGTCTGGCTGTCCGAGACGCCCAGTGTCCCGTCCAAGAGCTGGGATGCGGCATCGATCCGAATCATGACGATAGGCGTCTTTACCCATCGTGCCAGTCGCCGGACGATCCTAGCGATGAACACTCACCTGGACGACCAGGGCTCTCGTTCTCGGTTCGAAGCCGCTCATATCATCCTGCGCAAGATGGAGGAGTACCGGACAGGACCGGCCTTTGGGCGAACCATCTCCGGGGTATTCCTTGCAGGCGACTTCAATAGCCAAGAAGAGCAGGAGGCTTATACCGTGCTGACAGCACCGGAGTCACCTTTAGCAGACGCAGCAAAGCTGGTCAACCCGGGTGAGCATTACGGCAACTACAAGACATGGACGGGGTTCGGATATGAAGGGCAGGAACCGTCGCGGATTGACTACATCCTCCTGGAGTCGACGGCAGACAAGGTTCTCAGCTATGGTCGCCAGCCATGGAAAGCGGAGGGGTATGCGGTTCTGGCGAACCGATTCGACGATGGCGTCTTCAACTCGGACCACCGGGCGGTGGTCATCGATGTGGTCTTATGCGACTAGCGCCAGACTGCTTACCTCCGTTAGTCAGCAAGCATCCGGAGTCATTCCAAGGTTCCGCATGCCTCCTAAAGCATACTTTGTAGGGATCGAAGCGTTAGACAGACGGGGATCAAGCGATCGCTCAGGGAGTCTGGCCATCTGATAAAGTGGTAAGGTACCGCCGCCATACGACTCCGTACCGATCCGAAGATCCGGATAATCCACTACGAGACGGCGCTGTGACGCCAAGGGCCGGCGATGACGCCCTAGCGCCAGACCGAATTTCCGAGAACGGGAAGGCGCTGTGTCACCTGATGTCCCGATTCGGGATAGTGAGCGGACACGCGCTGTTTACCGTACCGAACGACGGACGGTATTACCGCAGGCATACAGTAACCAGCGTAAGGAAGGTTGCGATCGGACCAGAAGGCAGAGCAGCAGGAGAAAGGACCTGGAATAGCTTCAAGAGAGGTCCCCAAGGGTCGATTGACCGGGTGCTGGTCGCCAGGGAGGCACCCGACGCTGCTGGCACCGGCCGGGCCTCCCCCTTCCCCCAGGCCTTCTGGCCTCGCACACGGAACCCGAGCAGACCAGACTTGTAACGGGCCGGGCAGAAGCAGAGCGCCTCTCGCCTTTTCTCAACAGCCTTTCCCTTTCTCCCGCTCCTCAGTTCCCTCTCCTTTTCCCTCCCGCCGCAAAGCCACTCGACCTTGACAAGTACGGGGACTCTCCGACCACCCCCACGTTTCTGTGAGATCGAACGATTGGACCGCGTTTCCTAGCATCGCCTCAGTCCCCGGAACCCGAAAATTAAGAACCTGGAGCTGGAGTGATACGGCCAGACCAGGTCCCCCCGGAGCGGCGTCAGCTGATTAGCCGTTTCTCTTCCGTTTTCTCGCTGAAGGCAAAAAGACCCAGACCGGCACGCAGACCCATCCATACTGCCTTCGTCCTGCCCTGGAACCAGCCCCCCCGAGTCGCCCTGCTCGGATCACGGATAATATTATCCTTCGTTCTTGGTTAGTATCGCTGCTTTATTTTATTTTATGCTTGCCTGCCCGCGCCCCCATTCGTCCTGTATTCCCTTCCCTGCCTGCCCTTCCTTCCCTGGCTTGGTCGGTTGGTATGTCCCTCTGGCTCTCCCATTGCCCTCTGTGCTCTCGATGCTCCGCGCGGCTGTCCGGCCCTTGGCCTGGGAGCCGCATCAACTCAGGACACAGCCAAGCGACTCGCCTGGGGTAGCTTTGCGACATGCCCGTCCGATGCACCTCCCCGACGACGTATCGCGCCGCCGCTCGGGTGCGCCGTCGCGTTTCCACTGCAATTGACTTTCGTACACACGGAACTCTCATACAGCTGGCTGACCTGGATGCGTTCGATCTTACAGTCCTGTCAAGGATGCTGCTGTGACCGAGCTGTGCATTTCCAGTTACCTATCCTCGCCGTGTATTTCACCTCTGAACGCTGTCCGTGCAAGTGACGTCTGTTTTGCCTCGCCCGACACGCCAAGGACGACCTCGGAATATACCGCTTCCCGATGATGCCCTCTCCCAACCTTTCCCAGTCGGGACAGCTCCCAGTTGATGCTCCGGCGGACGAATTCCAGAATGGTTCCGGGATGTCGAACATAAGTGGGGATTACCATGGCGTTGTCGCGTCCGACCCTTCCTTGGGACAAGGGGTGGGCGGATCTGACGTGATCGCGGAGGGGAAACAGAATGCGAAAGCTGTTCTTGCGGCATCAGGCGTATCCTTGCCGTCCACCGAATCGAGTCATGACGCGTCCAATGGCGCCTCTTCGCAGCCGAGCAGTGCCAACGGGTCCGCATCGAGCAAGAAACGATCCCGGGACGGTTCCGTTATCCAACAACCATCTGCCGATGGCCTCCCCGTGCGCGTACGTGAGACACCAGCCGAGAAGATCCTTCTTGAGGACTATGTCAATCGGGAATTCCATCATTCGGCCATGGCAGCGTGGCAGAACCCCAGTCAGGAGCTTCTGCAGCAGAAACGCGCCGAGCGCGATTATTTCTTGGCAGTACGGCGCGAAAACCACATGAATCCAGCCGCTCTCTATGGCGTGGGCTACGAGGGCTTCGGAAATCAACGTACCGACTTGCGAAATCAACATCCACAGCTGTTGTATCCAGCAAATCGACGCCGCCCCGGCAATCGGCGGACTAGGGAACTCCGAATCTCGCGCAAGGATTTGAAGGCTCAGAACGAACAAATCGAAGACCTGGTGCCAATCCGGTTGGACATTGACTGGGAGAAGATTAAAATCCGCGATACATTCACATGGAACCTTCATGATCGCGTGGTTTCCCCCGACTTGTTCGCGGAGAAGCTAGTGGAGGATCTCCGAATCCCTCTTGAGACATGTGGGCCGCTGGTACGAATGATCTCACAAAGTATCCAGGAGCAGCTATGCGATTATTATCCTCAGATCTTCATGGAAGAAGAGCCGCTAGACCCCCACCTCCCCTACAGCGCCTACAAGAACGATGAAATGCGCATCCTTGTCAAACTCAACATCACGATCGGTCAGCATACCCTGATTGACCAGTTCGAGTGGGACATCAATGACCCTCACAATTCTCCCGAAGACTTTGCAGCACGCATGACCGACGACCTGTCTCTTTCCGGCGAGTTCACGACGGCAATCGCACACTCCATCCGCGAACAATCCCAGCTCTTCACCAAATCCCTCTACATTCTCTCTCACCCCTTCGATGGACGTCCGATCGATGATCCTGACCTGAAGACCGCATTCCTTCCCACTCCCCTAACCTCCTCCTTTAGGCCCTTCCAGGCGGCGAAGGAGTTCACGCCCTACTTGTATGAATTGAACGAAACGGAGCTCGAGCGGACCGAGGTGTCGATATCGCGAGACCAACGTCGGCAGAAACGGTCCGTCAACCGCCGCGGTGGGCCCGCGCTGCCCGACTTGAAGGACCGTCAACGAACCATTCGGACCCTGGTCGTCTCGACCGTCATCCCTAATTGCGCGGCTTCCCTAGACGAGAGCAATGTCTACAAGCGGTCCGGCTCAAGCCGTCATAGACGCGCCGCGGTCGGACTTCGTGATACTGGAGAAGAGTCGGACGAGTCGGACAGTGATGAATCCTCAATAACTGGGTCACCTGCGATTGGGCCTCATTTGGCTCAAGGCACCGCGCGTACGAGAGGCATGAGGGGAGCTGCCAGCGCAGCCCATGCGGCGCTACGGGCGAGTTTGGGCCAGTCTGCCACGCCCGAGCCGCATAATGAGGCGAGGGCAGCCAGTCGGAGGCGCGATTATCGCGAGGAGAGCGTTGTGGAAGAGCCAGAGAAGTTGATCGTGAAGGTCAAGATCTCCAAGGATAAGTTCCGACAGTTCATGACACATGGGATCCAGTCAATACAGGGTCTTGCAACACCGGCGGCGCAACCGCCGTCGCAGCAAAGTACCCCCCAAGTTCAGACTCCCACCCCCAACCCCATGGCTCCGCCCTCCGCTCCTCAGTCTGAGGTCCGGGTTCCCGGCGTGCCTCCTCCCGGACAACGACCAGTTCCCGCCCAACAGATCGGAGCTGTAGATGCTCCTCATCCCCCTCAGCCAGGAGTCCCCGGGGTGAGTAACTAATCGACCTATTACTTCCATCTCGTCACCTCCACACGGGCCGCAATGTCTGGCTACCGAAGATGTGCCGCAGACAACCACGTACTAACATGGTCTTGTTTAGCCCCCGCCTCCAAGTTGGCTTGCAGCGGGACTAGCACGGTTAAAACTCTCCTACCCCAACGACTCTTTCGAAGGTGTCATGCGGTACACCGCTGTTGATACGGAAACCATGCTGCCAGTTGCAAACTCCAACAGCCAGCCCGGTCACAAACTGAAATACCAATACCTCCCGCGCATTCGCTGCCACGACTGTCCGGGCAAGCTGTACACCCCGGGCCCTGGCACGACCGTTGACAACTTCGAAGTCCATCTCCGGAACCGCCAGCACAAGGAGCGCGTGGAAGAGCGGGTCGCGAAGACGACAGCAGCCGCAACAGCCGGGGGCAACGCACCATAGTAATTAACGAGTGAATGATGGAGCCGGGTTTTGTTTTCTACCTCATCTTCTTCCGCAACAATGTAAACTTTACTCTCCTTTTTTTCCTCCCTTGTTGCGTTCACCATTGGTACCGATTGACCTCTGGTTCCAATCATTGATGTATGTACATGACTGAGCGATTGTTCATGGTTAGGGCCATCCGTATCCATTCATTTACCCATCCACCCATCCACCCATTTTCACCTCGAATGTCTCGTGACTCAAATTGGACATGGATACTTGTGCTTCTCTTCTCTCACTATTTCCTTCCTTCCTTCCTTTTATTCCCTCTCTCTGCCTTGTCCATCCACCTCATGGTCGGCGTAAAATCGGTCCAGTCTGCCTTTATTGTTGTCAGCGTTGAAGAGATCATCACCACCTGTCTGTCTGTCTGTCTGTCTACCTGTCTACCTACCATCTACCCATATACAAATTCATTGAAAAGCTACTTACCTATTTGTGAGCCAATGTTCCACTGAAGTCCCGGTGATCTCCTTACCGTACACTACTGCCCCCTACACTACTGTTCAGATGTAGAGTGTCTCATTACATAAGTACTGTAATCAAGCCCCCATCCACTTGTTTGTTTGAAAGGCATTCATTCGTATTTGATCTTAGTCAATCAATCGATCTGTACAATCCAGTTCCATTCATTCGGTTCAGTCTTTATGGGAACAAGCCGTTCCCTATTTACCTACCTACCTACCTATTCGTCCTATTGGTAGAAAAGTACGCGCCAGATAAGAAGAAAGTATGTTATCGTATTTGCTCGCTTATCACACCGTCTGCCTAGTCATGAAAGGTTTCATCCAAGCAAGGCGAAGCGAGGCGGATTGGGGAAAGAAGAAGGAAGATACATTCGTACTCCGTACTGACACTAACATTGACATTGAGATATCCTGACTCCTTGGCAAGGAAAGGAAGGAAAACAAGGTATTGATTGCGGAACATAAATAGGGACAGATAGATGGGTATACACAATTCGATACAATTCAATTCAGTTCGGTTCAGATTGACTTGGACACTTTGCATAGTTATGGTTGATTGGTAGGTTGGATGAATAGTCATTGAAGGTGGTGATGGGGTGGAGATATAGGTAAAGGAGTAGAAAAGAGACGAGAAGAAGGCATCCATCAAGGATGGAAGTAACCAACCAACCGACATACCGAAATCAAATATCCACTTGCGCTGCTTTTTGATACATACATGCTAGCTATTCAGGGCACAAATCTATCCTCTTCGAGAGGACCGCCGATTTGGGAGACTTGCGGTTCGTTTGCCCTTTGATTCTGGCGCATGATCCGTGGCTTTCTGGGGGGATGTGGGCGGCGGGGATGACAGAGGGGAGTCTTCTCTGTCACTTATTATCTCGTCGAGTGCTTCTTCTTTGTCGGGAAGGTCGACGCTGTCGTTGTCCTTCTCGGAGTCGCTCTCGGCCTCACTCTTCTCCGGTTCCTGCTCGTCTTCCTGCTCCTCCCAGTCGTCCATTTCCATATCATCTTCATCGCTATCCCGGTCTGCGTAACTGACCCTCCGGGCTGCACCTCTGCTACTGCGTCTCCGTGCAGCGGCCGTGGATCCCTTGGTAGCTCGCTTGGTAGTCTCCTCGTCCGAGGACCACCCATCTTCGTCCCTTGTCTTCTTCTTCTTGGGTGTCCTAGAGGCTCCCGTGGATGCGGACGACTTGCGCGCCCGCGCGGGCTTCTCCTTTTCTTTCCTCGCTTTCTTCGCGGTGCCTGCGTCGCCGCCTGTTTCAGCCGGTTCAGGCTTTCTCTTCTTTGCGGCGCTCTGGGACCCGCCCTTCGCCCTCATGACGGATCGCACGATGCGATCCAGCAGGTCTTCGCCATCTTCCGGGAAGAAGTTCTTGTCTGCAACTTCCTGGGCCTCGCGGTGGCTACTCATGGGGGCGAATATCGAGCTTGGCACCCCCATCTTGCCAGGATAGGTTTGTAGGATGTTGGTGCCGCCAGCTGCGCCTCCAAACTTACGCTGCTGGGAGTAAATATCCGCAAACCGACGGATCGTCGCCTGAGCCAAGTCTGAAAGCGTATGGAGACGGGTGCTGATTTCGTCGGACTTGGTAATGCCGTCTCGTGTTTGCTTAACACGCTGTGCGATGTGGAAGATTAGCGACAGATTATGTTCATTCGCAACCCCCTGCAAATAGAAGAGAATGTAGCGCGAAAAGTCCACTAGTTCAGCTATCCGTGTTGACTCATCCACATCAGCTGGCGGATAGTCGGGGTGGTAGGCAAGAAGAGACAATAGACGCGAGAATAGTGACTCCATGACCGTCTGGTCGCTTCTTTTGCCATTGGTCTGCTGAGAGAAGAATGCTGCCCGAGAACGCAGCCATGTAAGCGTACTATCACGCAGGCTGCTAATGGGCTCAAAGGCAAGCAGGAACGGAACCGTATACCAACGGTAGCTCAAATGCGACTTCTGCACCAGCTTCTTCTTGAGCTGGTCGATGAAACCGCCTCTCACCTCCAAGACCGGGTCCTGGGCTACCAAAGCAATTGAGTTGAAATCCCGCGGGGTAAGCAACTGGTCGCAAAGGCCATGAGACGCGCAGAGCTTAAGCAGCGACCTGGCTGCCAAAACACGTAGCCGGGACTTTTGAGCTGCAGGAGTGTCCCTTTTCTTCGACAACTCGCCGTCGTTCACGATGAGTTTGTTCAAAGTATCATAGACAGGTTCAGCGTGGGCACGGAAGTCATCCTCGTCGTCCGAGCCATCTTTAGCACGTAGGCGATTGACGATGATTTTCAGAGCCCATTCCTTGGCCGCAGTCTCATCGTCCACCGCATCCGACCACGAATATCCGGCGTCTGGCTGAGGGGAGCGGTTGGTCAGGAGGATCTGATTGACCGCAATGGAGATGATGGCGTCGCTCTCCTCATCCGCCTCCCGCGGGGCCAAAAGGTTCAGTTGAGACAATGCAGCCAATTTGGTCAGGAACCGATCCGATCCGTACTTCCAATTCGAAACACATTTCTCAACCAGGTCCTTTGCGTACATTTCCCTTTTATCAGCAACAGCCATTAAGATGGAGACCGCATGTTTGGCCGCCCTGGGCGACGGGCTGTAAACCGCGTAGTTCACCAACGCCTGTAAGAATTTCCGGTCCTTAGGGAGCTTGGACGGGAGTTTCTTTGCGAATCCGGAGCATGCTTTGAGAATCTCCTCGGTCCCAGCGCCATCTTTTGTTGCGGAATTTGGCGTCTGGGATTCAAGATCCTTGCACATCTCCTGGACTTGTGCTTCCAGTACCTCCGGATTACGAGAAGAGATCTCCCGCAGCATTTCCTGTGCAGGATTTGCCAGGCCATTCTCATCCGTTCTTGAAAGACTCATGATGGCGGGAATGTGACTCCTGTTGAAGACGAGTGAGCTGCAGCGGTACAAGAGAGGCGTGAGGGTGTCCAGCAGAGGCGTGTTGTTCGAGCTTTGTAATCTCCTCGCGAGTTCTTTAATAGCTTTGATGACGGTCCGATAATCACTGACTGCAGCCATTGAGAAGCGAATCAGTTGGTAGCCACGCCGGTCGTGTACTTTTGCAAACTTCCACAGGTCCGCCGATGTCCGAGATGCATCAGGGAGAGTTTTGGCCAAGGTATCAATCACTTTGCCCAACTGGGCCTTGATCCGATCTTGATCTTTCTCCATCACGCCGCCCTAGATTATGGCATCAGCACTTGAATAGTCTGAGGTGCTCCATCATAACTTACATTGTAATCCTCGCAGGCTTGTAGATAGATCGTCAGCGCCGTCCTCATTGAAATTTGACGGGCCTGCATTGCGAAGAACACCTTTTTCGCCTTCTCATCAAGGCCCCTGAGAAGGGTAAGTATGCGACGAACCCGAATTTTGTCAACGTCAACCTCAGAGTCACCTTCGGAGACCTGAGAGTCTTTCTGCTTCTGGGATTGACTGGAGCTACTCCGCGACAGTTTGCTTTTGACTGGAGGGTAGTTGAGCGGGAGTAAAATCTCAAAAAGAACGCGATCAATCAAGACATGAATATCGGGATCATTTGTATAGAACGCATCGAAGATCTTGGAGGGCCCGTCCTGAAGCATAGTAGCCACCTGGTCATTCGCCTGTTCGATTTCCCCCGCTGCAACTGCCCAGATACGGGCCAGAGTCTTCATTGCATGCTCCCGGACCTGTGGCTTTCGATCCTTCACCCGTTCCGCGAGGATGAAGAGTACGGAGTCAGGGGTTGAGAAGCCCCCGCTGGCCCCGAGCTTGTTCACGACCTGAGTCAGGCCGAAATTGCTGATAGCATCGACGGCGGCCACTCGGACCTTATCGTCCGCATCACGGAGCATGGAAGCAACCTGTTTAATAAGTGTCTGCTCCTCGCTGTCGCTCAACCCAGAGCCACCCGCGGATGTCAGCAGAATCCGGCCCACCACGGTAACCCATGCAGCCCTCACCGAGGCGGATCTATCCAGCCGGCGACTCAGAAAGCTTTCATACGTGGAACTGTGCGTCTGGGAGAAGGGCTTCGGCGAAAACGGCGTAAGAAGAACGCTAGGCTGGGGAATCGTCTGGGCGTACTCTTCCAGGGTCACTGGCGGATAGGCAGTAGGATCCATCGGTGGAGGCGGGGGTGGTCCAGCAACCCCGATTCCAGCCGTAAGATCACCGATTGTCTGAGTAGCCAGTAGGCGCAAGGACAACGACTCCGCCGATAACTCAGCCTCGAGTTGGGGAACCACGTTCTGCAACACTTCCGGGCATGCTCTCCACAGCTCTCGGATCAGGCGATGCGCCTTGCTCAATTCCTTGATGTCTTCTCCCTCCTCATCGGAGTCGTCCAGGTTTGGTTTGCGATGGCCACCCCTCGAGGAACCATTTGCACCCTCCGCAGACGCATCGATGATGACGTTGTTGAAATACTGGCTGATATGACTCGTCATTCTCTCCGGGCATGCTTGACAGATAGCCTTGGCCATGTTGTATGCAGGAGGATAGTCTTTCAGGAGAAGTGTTCCCTGCTTGGCATCGACCGGCGCATCCCCTCTCTTTCCTCTCTTGGTGGGGGCCTCCAGGGCACGAGGGTCGATGCGCAGGAATTGCGCCACGATCACATCGACCACATCAGCGGCGAGAACCGGCGTTTCATCAATGACCGTCACCAGAAGGCGTGTCATGTCGAACTCGACATTCTTGGCGACCTCCTCCCCCGTGGAAGTCTTAGAGGAACCCGAGACGATGTCAAAGCAGCTTGTAAACAATGGAATAATCAATGAATCGGGGTGATCTAGATCTGTCATGAGCACGATACTCTTTACCTCCGCGAGGGAGTTCAAGACGTAGATATGCTGAGCATTGTAGGGGTTGGACGGATCCCCCAGTGCGGGGACGATGGAGGATACTATGCAGGTGAAAATGTCCTGATTTTCGGTAGAGGTCAGTCAGCGCTAAGATTGCGGCCAGACAATGATGGGAAGCAATGGACAGCTTGAATGCGACCATCTCAGGGGTCGAGGAGAGTCAGCGCACCTTCAGTTGATTGCCCGTGAACGGCGCGTCGGGTGCACAGAGACGCAAGACATCGACAATACAGCAGGCGGTCCACGCTCTCACTCCCCTATCCTTGTGCGCCAGGAGATGGGCTGTCGCAAGCTCCTGCGACACCTTCCTTAACGAGTCCTTCTCGATCTCCTCCTGCTCGAGTCTGCGAAGCTCCTGCGCCAACGTCTGCAGCCGTTGAAGCAGATCCGCAATGGGAATGGCGGCGCGTCCGACGCGCCAAGACAATGGCTCATTGAACTTGAGGCGACGAACACCAGCAGAGGTATCTTCCGGGTCCACGGCCTCCGAGGCGACAGAGGGACCTTGACGAGTGCGCGCGGGCATCGTGGACAAAGCGCGGGGAAGCCGAGGGAGAGGGAGTGAGCTTCAACACACCATGCGCCGCACCGGAGGGGGGGTAGGAAAGAGAAGAACAGGAAAATAGGATGGTGAATAATCAGTACCAGGGGAGTGAGGGGGGGAAGGGAAATGGGAGCTGCACGTGAAAGAGGAATGGGGGGGAAAGAGGACCGATGGACGGTGAGTTTGGAGGGAGAGCAGAGCAGCAGCAACAGCAACAGCAACAGCAACAGCAGCAGAGACACCGACCGACCGGCGTGACTGACTGACAGACAGACAGACTAGACGGACACTCCAGGAATCGCCGCCTCCGACCGCCTCCACTTCGGGACGCGTCGCGCGACTGCTTTCTTTTTTACCCTTTCCTTTCCTTTCCTCCCTCTCGGGCCCTTTGCTAGTTACCCACACTTGATTACTCACGGACTTGCTAGCGGGGTTATTTCCGAATGACAGACCACGGTCCGACGGAAGATGGCTTTGATGGAAGACTGGAGAGAGGGATCATCCCTTGGATGGGGGGTGGCCCTCGGTCTCTACTTATCTGCAGCATCCCCAATCCGTCGTGGGCGGACATTGGCCAATCAGTGACAAGCCGGGCCAGCGCCGCAGGAAGCTGCCGGATGATCAGTCGACCGCCATACGGAGTACTCCTCTTTCTTCTACCTATGCCATCCACTACTATTTCGATCCCTGCAACATGGCAAAGATTATATCTATTTTTGATGAAAATACATGCAGATGCCAATGCAGCCACCATCTATCTCACATTCATGTAGTCTCGTCCCTTTATACTCCATTCAATAAACATTAATCGTTCGAATATATGACCGTCAAAACGCCATGCTGATGCGTGAGAATTTCAGACGAGCATCGTCCAAAAGAGAACTCTATGAAAATGGTAAGGCGCTTTTCACTCGCGTTCCGCTTTCGAGCTTGACTCAAGTTACAGTTTGGGGCTGAACTTGCTCATGGCCCGAAGCTTCTTGCCGTAGAAGAAGAAGAGGACCGGGATGGGAATCATGGCGACGGTGATGAATCCGAGAAGACTGGATGCCCAGTCCACGCCCAGCCTATTGTACATCTGCGTGGCAAAGAGTGGGAAGGCGCCACCCAGGCTACTCCGGACCAAGGTGTTGGCAGCAATGGCGGAGTTGGCGAACATCAGGTACACGTCAATGATGTAGTTGAGACCCTGCATGAAAATCACCAGGATGCCCATGCCAATGGGAATGCCAGCGACAACCTGAGCTCCCCAGGGGGTGCTGGGATGCGAGGTCCAGCCGAACCAAAAGAGGCCGGCAGGCAACATGACGGACGCAACCATCATGGGGACCAGGCGCTCCTCTGGCACCACACGGCCATGCTTGGCTAGCTTTTGGGCGAATCGCGTCTTCGTCTGCCAGATGATCAACGCAACACCACAGAATACCCCGACCAAGATACCAATGAACGGCAGTCCAGCGATACCCTCGTTGGTCCACCCGCGCACTTCCTCAAAGGAGACGGGGTAGGCTTCGAAGAACAGATAGAGAATGCCGTACACCAGCGCCAAGTAGAGGGTGACCGCCAGCAGGATTGGTTCAAGGAAAAGCATCATGACCGGTCGCAGGAGGTACTTGGTAACAATTTCGTTCATAGTGGGCCGGTGGTTATCCAGGAGTGAGTGCAGCGCCGAGTTGCCCGTCTCCTTGCGAAGGCGTGCTGCGCGCCTTTGAAGGATGACGGGTGCATAGGTTTCTGGAACAATGCAGAAGGCCAAGAAGCCAAATGATGCTGAGGCGATCAAGGTAATCCAAGCCGTCCACCGCCAGCCAAGGTACGATTGTGTGAGGTATCCTCCGACAATAGGGCCTGAGACAAACTTGTTAGTCCAACGACTGGGATATGCAGAACCATCGCTCTACTGAGGAAATGCACTTACCAAGCACGGGCCCGACGAAGGTGGCGCTGGCGAAAGCCGCAATAGCTACCGCGCGATCAACAGGGTCCCAAAAGTCCGCCATGGCACCACCAACGACAGCAAGTGGCGAACAGCCAAAGATACCGATCAAGAATCGGCAGACCAAGATGGTTTCCACGTTATGCGCCACGGCAACAGGAATCTGGAAGATGGCGAAGACAGCGTAGCCGGAGAACAACGGTATCCTGCGCCCATAAAGCTCCGACAAGGGTGACCAGAACAGCGGGCCGACTGCGAATCCAAACACCACCAGACTGGTTGCCAAAACCATGACCTCGGTTGAAACGCCAAATTCTTCGGCGGTCACGATCGTTGCAGTCGAGAAGACACTGCTGGCGAATGTGATCCACATGGTCATGAAGGAGAGCGACATGGTAATCAACCACTTCCTCCAACGAGGCAAGTTCTGCGGGTTCTCTGGGTCGTTTGGACCATCCCAATCCACCAGATTCGGGTCCCTTTGTTTCTCGGCAATCTTTTCTACCTCTGGCTCAGGCATGCCAGCCTCGATATCGTATCCATCTTGCTCGAGGTCCTTATCGGTGAGGTTTTCGATGCCTTTTTCCGGGTCGCCTGATGCAGCGACTGATTCTGATCTGAGGGTCGAGTCGGAGGATTGCAGAGGCGCCCCGTGGGTTTTGTCGAGGTGGTGGTCTGATGCTGCGGCACCAGAAGTATGGTGTGCGTCGCTCATATTCGGTGGCAGCGCTCACGCAGGCGCACCACAAACGCTAAATATTATGATGCTATTGAGGCGATTGGGAAGAACAAGAGCGCAGTTCAGTAGCCTGGGAGGGGCAATACGTGAAACGGGGAGAGGTCTATATACCCCAGACGAAATTGAAACAGCTGGAGATACAGGGATAGGAGACTCAGAAAGCACCCTGCCAGGATCGTGGAGTCATTAAAAACATCGAGCGTCTTCCAACAAGTGGGCCTTTGCAGACTCAGCTGCGAACAAGTGATTAATCAAGGGTCGGTCTTGATTAGTGAAAGCCCGCCGGGGTTAAGGCAGACGGCATATCTCCAGAGCGTGTCCCCACTCTCTACGGCCATGGACCGGCCCTATCGTCTACAACAACCCAAGGTCCGAGGCCAAATTACCCACTTCCACAGCCAGACCCAGGGGGGATGTATCAGACTATCAGTAAAGCATAGGTTAGTTTTGAGCCGTTATAGCCGGCGCATGACAAGCATCCTCGGTGTTTAAAGGATTCTCATTGGAGGCTTGAGAGTTCGCATGCCAGACATTGAGCAGACAACGTGGAATAATGTTCTTTTCCGCTTGCACAACTAGCCCTCAGCCACTAGGGATGCAAAACCTTGTCTGCCTGGCGTGGCTCCTGCTCGCGCTTCGGTGGTTCCGAAGCCCCGACTGAATCAGGTAAGTTATCATGATTGGGTCCAGTGCCCACTTCTACCCGATGGCTTGGCGTGTTTATCTCGACATTTCTCGGTTCTTCGTTCCAGAGTCTTTGTCATGGACGCTGACCTCACCTCTCTCTAGCCAGTTCCATGCATCTGTGCCAGATGGCAGGTCAAAGGCACGTGGTGCAGCAATCTGTATGCCTCATCACGCAATCCTGAAAGCCGACACTGATTTGTCATTGCCGACACAGGCACGATTACGAACCAGACACGGCGGCGCGCTTGAGACCGAAACCCGAAACCATACCAGATCTGGTTAATTCTCCAGATGCTAAAGCCCATGGAGTCAGACTCAACCCTCATCAGCCGACTAACGCGACTAGCAAACAACATGCTGATTCTGCTGGGGTGGATGCATGCTCCAGCGGACCCAAGAAAAGGGGCTCCAACTTCCCAGCTATCTTTTGTTCTATGTCTTTCGTTGCTTCTAGACCTTCGTCCGATGGGGTCACGATCCGATACAGCAAGAATAAGAGAGGAGAGAACTGAAACCACGTCAACTGTGACAGGTCTGCAGGAATCGTGCTGATCAATTACGTTGGTTACTCATAAGGAAAGATCAACACCTCCAGTAGATACTATGCTGTATAAATTTATCCGCCAACGCGAGACGATAACAAGAACCCTGTCAATAATCGGCAAAGCACATTGGTAAGCGGAACCAAACCATCCCCAATCAAATCCTATCAACAAACCGGATATACACAGTACACGGCACACACAGTAGCAAACGCCATACAAAATCCCAAGAATCCAAAACTCAACATTCGGCACACAACCCTACCTAGTCCCTAGTCCCTAGTCCACCAAAGTAATCACAAAATCCAACCAAGGACCAAAGAGGGGCATGTGGATCCCACACCTCCCCTCCCCCAAACCCCTCCCTGAGCCGGGCCCGGCCCCAGACATACTTAGAAAAGGCTGGTATATAATCCAATGCAAAGAGAAAGTATCTAACAACCAATGAGACACTTTGGCCGAGTGGTTTAAGGCGCAGGCCTGCTACTTGCTGTTCTAAGTAACTAGTAGATTAGCCTGTGGGTTCGCCCGCCTGGGTTCGAGTCCCAGAGGTGTCGCTTATCTTTTTCTTTTTTCCCAACCCACCACCCACTTGTTTTGTGGGTTGGGTTGGGTGAGTCTGTTGCGTTGCTTCCTTTGTTTTGCTCTGTCTATCCATCCCTCTTGGGTGTTTCTGTTTTTGAACATCCTTTTAGATATTCATTGGTATGATGTTTTTGGCTGATCGTTATATATCCTCTACAATCTACATACTCTATATTGTATGGACTAGATGAATCCCTTCTCTTTGATCGTACTCCGTAGAACTGGTTCAGTTGTGTTCAGCGTAGTAACTATTTTTTGGAGATATGCGTAGATAAGACAGTTACATCTCATATACGAATCGTATCAGCAAACCTCCGTGGACTTGCATCTGGTCGTACTCGCATAAGGCTGGTTGGGAATCCGTGCATGGCCACGCAGAATACCCAACCGCCGGGTGTGCGTGCCGCGGAAGCGAATTGCTGATCAGTCGACAGGTCGTCGGACGGTCTGGCATGATTGTCAGTAGCAGGTTTCAGTTGGCAGCTGCCACATATTGAGGACCCTGGGAGATGTAGTGTTTGAAGAGTTGCGGTCGCATCGTGTCTGATCCCTCGGTTACTCGGGTTGGGATGGAAGCGGTGAGGTTGTGCGGAGAACGAAGCAAGTACATGAGTGCTAAAGCCATACCAGCAGCATCAAGGTACCAAGCCAGTGCCGGCCGTGGCAGCAATATGGCATGGTCGTATCTTCACTTAGGTATATAATAAATGCAAGACAATGCTACAGTATGCCGTGCCCAACATAAACCACCCAACCTGCAGTATATTTCGGAATGGGTATCCAAACCTCCCGTGCGAGTTACCGCCGAACGGGAGTGGTCACAAAACGCCAAACTCTTGCTCACAACCGGATGAATTGTTAAACGCCGGGAAATGCAAGACGCTAAAGTATCAAGAGCTCTCATCGACATGGTCATTCGTTTCTTTCCGCTGCTTCAACGCATCAACGGCTTTCTCAACCTCCTCCTTGGCCACGCCTTCTAAGGTGGCTCGGGCACCGGCCTCGAGAGTTTCCACACCTGCGACCCTCTCATACAGCATCCGAGATATGTTTCGGTTGATGTCAGTGTACTCGTCTTTAGATATGATCCTGGAGCGATAATAAGGTTTCAGTGCGGTTCCCACCAATCTCTGGACATCGGATTTGACGGTAAGAGACAAGTTGGGACGGATTGGCGAGCCATCGTCCGACCGCATGACCGCCGATCGAGTCAAGGAGCGAGGGATCCGGCGATGCGGCCGGGCCGTGACAATGTGGGATGATGGCTCATCCTGGGCACTCCGAGTAGAAGCAGCCGGCGACACGTCTGGTGAGAAGGGGGGAGAGGATGGGTCGGTTGGCGACCCGAGTAGCAGTGGGGACATTGGCCTGCTGCGAAGGTTTGGTGGCGGTGTGACGGATGATAATCGTGGGGAGGAATGGTTGGAGGGAGCAGGAGAGATGGACGGGGAGGAAGGTCCAGGCGTTGGATGATCGGTGGGGGCAATCGAGGATTGACCTGAAGCACCATGAGATTGGACTCCATTTGGGCTGGACGATTCTTCAACTTCTTTCAGAAGCGATTGGAGAAAACTTGGCTCGCTCGAGTTCTCAGCATTGATCCGCGCCGTTGCGTGCGCACTAGCAGCCCTTGATGACTCGCCATTCTGCATGGCGCGAGCTGCCAGGTCTTCAGCCCTTCGTGTCCGAGGCCGTTTGAGCTTGCGTTCTGGTTCAGTGGGCTCGGGAGACGGTGACAAAGTGGGCTCCTTGCGCTTCCGGGCTGCGCTGGGATCATTTTCAATTTCCCGGGCACGCTCGAAAGCGTTCCAAGCCCTCATCTCCTCGAGAGATTCGGGTTCAGGTGTGGGCTCACGCGGTACGCGGGGCCGCGATGGCCGAGGAGCCTCAATATCTAGCAAAGCGGCAGTGTCCCGGAACCGATTGCTGCCACCTTGCCGTTCTGCAACTTCAAAGCGACGTTGCCAGGCTCGGAACTCCCGCTGGTTGGCCTCTTCTCGACGTTGCTGTTGTCGAGCGCGTTCAGCAACCCGGTCATCGTCGAAGGGGAAGTCCAAGTCAAGGTTGAGATGGTCCCAGACAGATTGCCACACACGGGCCCAGTGCAGGGAGTTCATCTGGTTTCGGCTCTGCAGACTGCGTTGCTGTGCCCTGGTACGACGGCCCCGCCTCTCCTGTGTCAACGAAGACCGGTCGGCGGTCTCAGGGGACTGTCCGCGACGACGCTGGGTACACCGTGCGCAGTACCAGGGGCCCGACGGAATGGAATCAAGGCCGACACAGTATGTGTGTGAGGGTGCATCGCACCCATCACATAGAAGAAGCAGCTCTTCATTATCCGCATCTCCACAGATCGGACAGGGTTGGGAATCGGTAAGGTCATCGTCGATATATTCGATTATCATCGAGGGGTCGACTTCTGCCACCTGTACTCGATCCTGCACGACATAGGATGATATCACGGGACCTGCGACCAGAGAGAAAGATCAACAATCGAGTCCGTTTCGAATGAGAGCAGGCCATCAAGATGGTCCAGGCAGGTGGAGGTGATAAGTACTTACCTCCCGGTCGGTCACTTAGCTCGACGACATTGAAACTCCGACGACATATCGGACAGCTGTTGGCTCGCTCAACCCAAGGTTTGAGACAGTTGTTGTGCAGGATATGTCCACACGGGAGCAGCTGAGCGATCTGACCCGAGTCCTCACCGCCATCCACGCCTTCTACCCTGAGGGAGGAGTCCGCCGACTTGCCCTCTGCCCTGAGGTCAAGTCTTGGCGCGGCCTCGGCGGCGACGGCACGAGGATCGCTGGCGCTTTCGCCAAGGTCTCCTAAGCACACAATACAGGTGTCGGACATTAACAGAAGGGGATGTGCCACAATTGTCTGCAGAGACGCTAAGAGAAGGCATGAAGGACAACCGGCAGAAGGGATAAAGGTAGAGGTGTGGACGGAGAAGGGGAGAGAGAGCAGGTCGAGTGATGTGGGGAGAAAGCAACCGGCCTTTTGAAGGTGGACCTGAAATCCGGTCTAACGCAAAGCAGTCTGGGCCCCAACGTGACCCGGCCTGTCCAGGCCAATCGCGATAAGGGAATATCGTCGGGGGTGCCTTAGTCACCCGCTTCGTGGGCGTCGGGCCTGGCAGCGATGAATGACCGCCTGGGAAAAATGCCATGCCCTTGCAGCAGCTGAGTACCTTTGCATCAGCAAGCCCCCCCTCTTTTTCAAGCTGGTGCCCATGGCCGGTGTGACCGTACCCGCTGGGAAGAAAAACCTAAATCGCGAGACGAATTAGCGCCAAAGCCAAAGGGTCATATATTTAGCTGACGCAACGGCCCCTCAGGAAGAGACACATAGTACGTAGATAAAAGACAGGAGGCACATCTAAATGTAAATGCTGCGACCGTCTTAGGCAATCTGACCGATCGGGGCTACGGAAAGGACCTTAATGACGAGCAGACGAAAGCCCACTCCCCTGGAGTGATAGCCGTCACGGCACGAGTGGCTTCTCCTTACGACCTTCGGGAGTGCGATGCTTGGCGGAGCCTCCTGCACTCATCTCAGATTATCGACCGGACATCCATCAACACCCCGCAAGACACTCACATGCTGCTGCAATCAATTCGTCAGATGGCATCATCATCACGAGTATTTCCGAACCAACTGCAAACCCCCAGTGGTCATACGAAAGGATCCAATGCTTCCCGGCCATCGGCTAATTGGTGCGAGGAACTGAGTGAAGGATCTGAAATCACCGGTGGTATTAATCTATTGGTGAATCTTGGACATAGAGGCAGTTGACTAGCGGCTTCGTAAGAGGAATGCGCTCATAGAAATTCTCCAGATCTCATTTTCTCATTTTTTAATTTAAACGTAATAGAAAAGGAAATCCCATCATCACATTTAAACCTCCGCGATTTCTCTGAGACGGCGGATGGTGGAGCGGGTGGCAGCGGCGGCGGGGGTACTGTTGCACAATCCACCGATCAGTATTCAGGTCACGATTGCTTCCAGGCAGTCCGTCTAGGACAGCTCCTAGGAGGCATTCATCAGAAGCAAAGTCTGCACTTACGAGACGGTGTAGGCACCACCGGCAACGACCTTGTTGCAGCCCTTGCACTCCCAGATACCAACAGCCTTGCGCTTGACGGTGTTCTTTCCGCAGAAGGTGCAGATGTAACGGGCGTGCTGGGACACTTCCATCTTCTTCACCTGCTTACGCAGGGAGGCACCGTATCTGTTATCAAACCATCGTCAATATCGTCTCTCTATCGCTGTGATCGATGTCGCTTCTGTCGTCTGCAATGCCGGGGAAGAAAAGAACGCGATCGACTTCAAGCTGGTTTCAGGATTCGGGGGTGGAATAGCGTCGCTGCATACCTGGTACCATATTTACCCGTGATACCGACCTCTGCAATATCTGTTAGCTTTCTGATCCGGCGTTCATAAATTCAAAAATCCTGTGTTCTGTATTCCAGGGTTCAGAGGGGCACATACTCTTGGTGCGCTTCGTCATCTTGTACTCGTGCGGCTGTTGAGGTCGAAGATGGATACAGTGCGGTAAGACGAAATCGAGACTGAGGCTTTCTACTCGGGCGGGAATGGTTGTGGGCGGGCTCGCTTAGGGCTGGAACTCCGGTCACGTGTACCCCTTCAATTGCAGATGACGATTATGCCTGTCTATGGTCGGAATAGCAGGCGGCTACAGAACATTAAGTATAATAAATAGACTTATTAACAATAATTATCTTCTCTGGTTCTTGCTATTGTAAATACTACTAGGTTTTCATCTTAGCTTGTCAAGTTGTGTAGTGTGCGAATTCATTTCAACCATCTCATGCACACAGACGGAAGATTATGTCAGCTAACACAGCATAAACATCCTGGTATTATGCACTGAGTAATCTGCAGGAATGGCAGGATTCTCGAACCGCCCGTGGCTTCTTAAGCAAACTTGCTCCATACACTTTATACTACTGTAGAAGAAGCGAGTCCGGATCTGCTATAATCTGGAGGAGCAAGATGCCCTGCCGCCCCTCCACCTTCTCTCAATTAAGCATAACCCGTGAACCACATGCCTCGGTCCCTTGATCGGTATTGCTGCATCGGGTTAGTCCTGGACCGCGGTTCAAGCAACTCCATCATGAGTTCATGACAGGGTGACATCAAGCATCCAGGCATCCATTCATGGCTGTCAACTTATTGGCCCATTCGCACACATAGGAAAGATTGTATATATATTCGCTGCTTAGCCCCTGCTATATCTAGATACATACTACTTAAACTCAAGTCTTCGACACTCTCTGCGCCCAATGGAATCCAAGCAATACGACCTGGTCGTCCTCGGGCCCACCGGTTATACCGGCCGGTTCTGTGCAGAACATATCGTCAAGAACCTTCCCACCAACTTGAAGTGGGCACTGGCCGGTCGTTCCCTTCAGAAATTGGAGACTATTGCCAAAGAACTTAAAAGTTTGAATCCTGATCGCGCTGATCCTGGTACTTATCCCGCGAAGCTACATGTCTATCTATCGAGTATCATGTTAACCTGCTAGAAGATGTCCTAGCTGTGCAGCTAAATCGCGAGGAGCTGCACCAGCTGGCTCAGAAGACGCGGCTCATCATTAACTGCGTGGGCCCGTACTGTCTGTATTCCACGCCCGTGGTTGAAGCTTGCGCCGGCAATGGAACGCACTATGTTGATGCGTGAGTGGTTGCCACCATGGAACTGGTCGATCAATGTATAGCTAACCCGCGCAGTACGGGAGAGACACCTTGGGTCAAGAACATCATCGACGAATATCACGAAACTGCCAAGTCTAACGGTGCTGTCGTATGTCCGTCTCTTCTTATGCCGCAGGATATATATTAACATCGATCAGATCATTCCTTCCGTCGGTATTGAAAGCGCGCCTGCGGATATGCTAGCCTGGGCGACGGTGAAGAGAGTCCGCGAAGATCTTTCTTGCCATACTCGCGAAGTCATCAGTGCTATCCATGATATCAAGTAAGACACCTTCCCAAGTATGCGAAGGACATCTCTAACTGCTTCTTGTAGGTCCTCCGGGGCAAGCGGTGGCACTCTCTCTACCATTCTAACAGTCTTCGACTCCATGTCAGTCTCCGATTTGCTCAAGTCAGTCAGCCCGTTTGCACTGGCAGCATCTGCACCACCAAAGAACGTGCCCAGTGAGCCATTGCTGGCGAAACTGTCCGGTATCCGATCTGTGCGCGACATCGGCACTCTGACAACCTCTCCATCGGGCCTGGCAGATATCACTATTGTTCACCGCAGCAGCACATTGATGCCAGAATTCTATGGACCACGATTCTATTTCAGACAATTCCTCCGCGCCAGGAACGCTTTCACTGGAATCCTATTCCACTATGCGTTCCTGATCGCCATCACCCTTTTGATCCTGCCCCCCGTTCGTTCCCTGGTCAGGAAATATGTGTACTCACCCGGGACCGGGCCACGGCTCGAGGATTCCGTCAATGATCATGTGGAGTATCGCGCCGTGGCGACCGCGGACCAGGACACTCCGAAGCCCAAGCGGGTGTTGGGCAAATTGAGGTACCAGGGAACAATGTATGCGTTTACCGGGATGTCCCTGGCGGAGGCAGCGATGGTGATCCTCGAGAACGAGGAGAAGGTGAAGAAGGTGTCCCGTGGCGGTATCGTGACCACGGCCACATTGGGACAAGAATTCCTCGATCGCTGGGAGAAGGTTGGATGCCATGTCGAGACGCAGATTGTGGACAATTGACCATCTACCCTGCTTCTGCTACGGTGATTGTTCGCAAGATCCTACCGATCTATGGTTATGACTTGAATCCGTTATTATCTACAAGTTGTACGAAATCCATTGAGTCAATTTCCTTCTTCGAACCCACGACTTCACACTTGACCGAATTCACATGCTTTAGTAAAACCAATAGCCGCCCCTCTTTCGCCCTGCAAGTGTCTGTGCCGCTGCATTTTACTGGCCTTTTTAGGCAACCAGCCGACAAGTGCAGGGTTTCTGGAGCGGCTACAACTCGATACCCCGCACCAAGGTTTCCAAAGGAGCTATCAAAATGACAGCTATCTAAGCTCTAGGATAGCCTTGCAGATGTCTGGGCCAATGCTTCCCTTGACTGGCTTCTCTAGTAGGTATGAGAATTTGCTAGTTACCTCCAGACGCCTTAGCATCTAGGGAATTTATCCAGGTGAGCCAATCCATGGAGGTTTCATTGCCGCCAGCCTGCAAGCCAAATACGTAGTGACTCACCATGACCACTACCACCACCCCCATCAATGATTAGTAGGTGCGATAGTCCAAGTCCCTACTCCGTACTGCGCTTGAAATTAGAATAAGTAAGCGCTTGCCTGCCCGACTGTGTTCCCCCTGGCACGAAAGAAATATGTGTAAGGTGATAAAAAACCTCGTTCTGCCGATCACTATCATCGAAACTAAAATAAGACGTGTAGGGAAGCCCAACATCCAGTTGACCAACCGCGCAAGCACCTCACTGTGGTTTGCTTTGATGATGAAGGCAAGGGAAAATCGCAGCATGTGCCGTTCATAGACGAAGAGTCAAAGGAGTAGACTGTTACAGTAATGCTACTTTGGCGTATCTCGTTTTGGATGATGATGAACCAAGCAACTCCAAGCACGTACCCAAATATTATGAGAAGCGTCATAGATGTTTGCGCAGTAACTGCAAATAAAGGACAGATCGATAAATTATACAATCAGTTACTCATTAGCTATTTCCTTGAACCACTCATGACCCAACAACTCCCTGGCGGTGGGTCTGTCCCTCCAGTCCATTTTCATTATTCCCATAATGAAATCTTTGTCTTCTTTACGGACCTCTTTCTCTGATACCAAAGAAAATGGTGTGGTGTCGGATTTGGGAATCTCCTGCATAATCCACATAATGGCATGTACAGTCTCAGGGCTCGCAATCTCTTCATACTTACCGGGCCATGGGCCAAAGTACCGGAACTGTTGTTTCAAAACCTCCAGACTGTATTCTTCATGGCCATATGGTACCGAGGTGGGATCAAACAAGTTGAAATCACCACCGTAAATGAGATATATCAGCTACAAGAGGGGTTAGTAGTACTTTTCAATGAATTGAGATATAAACCTACCATGGCTCCAAATGACCAGATATCAGTTGGAGTGCCCCAAGGGGTTTCCATAATCATTTCTGGGCTGCGCCACATCGGCGCCCCTAATGGTGTACCCGATTTAGCCCATTTTGAATCAATATGGCATGTACCACCAAGATCTCCAAGCTGGACCTCGGAAAATCGTATACCACTTTCTGGACCTCTCTCTGTATAATTAACAAAGATATTATCCGGTTTGATGTCTATACTTTCGTAAGTGAAATTTTCTATATTGTGACATTGATGACATATCAGAAATTTACCTGCGTGTACATATCCACCCTCATGGAGACTACTTAGCGCTTCAAGTATACGTTTTGAGACATATTTGAGTTCTTTTTGGTTTAATGGCTTTGCCTTGGTCGCTCGGAGTAGATCATCCTCAAGGTGTTTCAAGACAATAGTAGTTGGGTTAGGTGGATCTTCGATCTCATCTAGTAGAGGCCGTAAGCACGAAGCGTTGTTCTGGAAGCGTTTGAGAATATCTCGTTCATTCTGAACACGAGGATGGCCCAAGACACTTTTAATTATGACAGTCTCTTGGGCTTGGTTGCTAGTGGAGATGATAATTCGGATTGTCCTTCATATCGACCAGGGTCTGGTACACTTACTTAGCCAGCCAAATGGTATCTCGGATATGTTTTGCGATGGTGTACCTCCCTGACTTGCCTCGGAGCACTTGGCCAATTCGAAAAAGCGAGGACGCCATTGTCAGAGAGGGGCAGTGAGGTGCCAGTCTCAGTATATGGCGATCTGGTTCGAAATCTTCTGTACTATGAATGATTGTTTGTAATCATGCTCTGGTTTCATCATTATACCTGCCGGTTGCTAGGGGCGGATGGTCAGTGGATGCTGCAGTTGGTCAGCTGAGTAACTGGTACCTTGTAACTATCATGTGACTTGATAGCCACCACTTGCGCAGGTGACAGAAATGAGTCAGATTGTTCTACCATCAGGGGATAGTAGTGCCGCAAATTTAGAAAGAGAGGAGAGTGTGCGATGGTGGAACAGAGCTACTGATTTCCGTAGAACCTCCGTCGCTTTCAACTGTAGAATTAGGAAGGACCCTTCGCGACACTGAAAAAAAAATTAGAAGGTGCAGCCTCGACCTATTCGAGGACTATTTTGTTTCAGCTTAAATCCAGATAAACCAAAATAGCTCACAATCACGCCCAACCGAAACCAAAAGCCCAGGAACAGAACATGCCATACATATGCACAAAACCGTACAAGCTACCCTTACAATCTTCCCACGATCACATATACAATGCTCACAACCTCGACAGCCTCATACTCTTAAACACCACCTCCTTCAACCACCATGCTATAATCTCATTCACCTCCTCTGGCGCCTGCCACAGCGCCCAGTGAGATGTATTCACCTGCTTATATGTCAGATGAGGGATCGTTCGTGTCATTCCCTTCCCGAGATGCGGCGGGAGTGCGGCGTCCTTTAGTGCTTGAATGAATAGCAGTGGTGCTGTGATGCGTTGGTTGAGGATGGCGAGCTCGTCTTCGTAATTTATCTCGCGCGTGCGGTACCAGTTTACTGCATTTGTTAGCTATCTCCAGAGTTTAATAGAGTCAAAAAGGGACATACATGGACCACGAAGCCCATTCCTCGAAAACTCGTCGGCGTAGTATTCCAGTTCCTGATCTCATCAGCACACACATGCAGAAAGACATAAAGACGAAAGAGAGAACTCACCACCTCACTCAACAACGGCGACGGCCGCACAAGGTCCATCCTGTCCAGCATAACCCCATACTCCGCATCAAACGCTACATCCCTGTCATCCGTCCGACCGCCGTACAGCGCAGACAGGAACCTCTCGATATCTTCCTTGGTGTAGATGACGTCTTCGAGATCCCCGCTTCGGAATTGCAGCTGGTACGCGAAATGCGGGGCTATGTTGTCGACCATATCTTCTAGAGCGAGATATTTCCTTGTTGGAGCTGCGTATGGGACGCAGACTGTAAAAATGTGCGAGACAAGCTCGGGGTGCCAGAGGGCGACTCTGTAGGCCAGTGCGGCGCCCCTGTTTAGGTATTGAGTACCTGGTTTATGAATGCTATACTAGGGGGCGGGGATCCTACCAGTCATGTCCGCCAAGGATGATTGTTGGTGCACGTAGTTGGATGGCTAGTTCTTTGATGTCATCGGCGCAGTTTTTGTGAGAATATAACTCAATGTCTTCGGGTGCGTCCTGTTTCTCGTTAGAAAGGTTGAAATAATAACTTTGGAGGGTTGTAGGTACTGTTCTGCCGTATCCTAGACAATCTGGGGCGACGACTCGGAGGCCTTGGGAAATCAACATCGGGATCTGGTAGCGCCATCCCATTGACAGGTCAGGGAAGCCATGCAGCTGTACACGGCAAAAGAAAGTTAGGCTAGTTTCTTATTTGTTTTCTCTTCTCGTGAGAGGTATACACGAGGCATTCTGGGATCACGCACGAGGAAGATCGTCGCCCGATAAACTCCCGATTCAGGCTCGCTGTAGAGATAGCCTGCCAAATATATATCAGCGACATGTCGCATATGAGTTTAATTCAATCATGCGGTAGCGCTGCATGATCGTGATGATAATGCATGATCCAGGATGGACCGCGACTCCAGAAATTGGATCAGGCGTCAATGAAGGCGCGGTGGATACATCGCCTACATACCGTATGTCTTCCCATTGACGTTTGCCGAGCGGCGCTCGACCCTCGGATCACCGGTTACATCGATCTTGTCCACGGCCATGACGGGGAAATTCTGGTGGGAGGCAGAACAATTCTGGGGGGTAAACAATGGGAGCTACTGGGATGAGGAATTTAAAAGATGGCGGGAAAATAGTCAGGCAAGATCCATGCTGCTATACCGACTTTCCCAACATCTATAAATGGTACCCTATGGAGACCCCCGCCAGCTGTCCGTCACGTGAAACCGAAGCTATTGATTGACTGAAACGTCAAGAATGAGGCTGCGGAGTTATTGGGCACGACTAACATGGCTTTCCGGGAACATAGCCTGTTTCCCTCGCAGTAGCCACGACCAGGTTCACGGAATTCCTCCACAGGGCGCGCTCGGCCAGTTGAATGGCTCCCAATCCTTCCCGCCGAGATGCCTCGGTCCTACTGGATGCAGACACTAATGTACATCAGCACGGACGGCCTAACTATGCCCCAGTCGGCTATGCAATTCGCTACTCAACACAACAGAAACCATTGTGTGGATTCAAGAGTTATCGCTTCTGCTGCTAATAAATTACCGTATCCTCCTGGTCCTCCACCACCTCACCGCCATCATCATCATGTCGGTGGAGATCCTCGGAGCGGTCATGATCCATAGATACATTGCTCTCGTGAGCAGGCGTAGTCTCGGGTTTAGCTTCCTCTGAGCCTCCGTCGACCGTCGTCTCAGCGCCCAGCGTAACCGAAGAGGCTTGAGCGATACTCTTGTTCTCCAGGGCCTCTGACTCGGACACCGCGGCTTGTTCCTGCGTCTCTTCCTGCATTTCCTGCTTCTCCTCCTCGGGATTCTTTTCCTCGTATGATGCATAGCGAGCCTCGAACTCCTCAACTTCTCGCGCGACAGTAGCCTCCGCATCTCTGATCTGATCCTGTATTATGTCCTCCTCCTCCGACCTTAGCTGCCACGGCTTGTAGTACTGCAGGCAAACAATCAGGACAACCCAGACAGCATCGCAATAAAATTGACCAAAACATACCAATACCGGCTCTGTCCTCGTCTTGAGGAAATGAGCCATTGCCACAAGATTCGAGTGGCGCGTGCGCATCTGAAACATCAATCAGCACCAAGCACCTGCACGACACAACCAGCCAAAAACCCAGAAAATCATCATCAACCACCCCGGATTTAGACTCACCGATTCCTCCTCGTAGACTCTCTGTTCCTTCTTGCGAATCACCGCCCGTTCCTCCCGCCTCTTCTTCTTCAACTCGCCATACTCCTCATCCTGCAACTTCAGCTTATCCTGTTGTCGTCGTTCAATATCCGCACGTCGCTTCTGGGCCGCCGAATTCGAGCTCTGCGAAAGCGTTCCCAACAAAGCACCGAATAGTCGCTGTCCGCGTTTGCGCTCCTCATCCCGTCCCGCGGCGGGTCGTCTCGATCTCTGCTCTGATACATTCGGGGAGGATAGTTTGCGTTCGGCACCGGGATGAGAATCATGGGTTTCCGTTCCTGTCTGGGAGCTCAGCCGACGTCGTTTGTGCTCCGAGTCCGGCTCCGTAATGGACGATTGTCTCCGTTTAAGCCCTGCTTCTGGGGACTGGATCGAGTCCTGATCGGGAAGTGCGACCGCGGAGGCGAGAGTTCTAGAATGCGTACCAAAATTCCACATTAGCAATGATATCTCATACATAATCATCTGGGCGGCGAATAAATACCCTTCAGTCATATCGGCCAGATAGACACTCTCAACCGTTTCGGGAAATCAAACCAAATGAACAGAGATAGAAAAGAAAGCGACTCAGAACATAAAGGAACAACGCATTAGAGTACTGGGTATCAGCTAGTTCGAATCAAAACATCCAACACAACCGAAGCAGGCGGAAAAATCACCGTGATTGATTCCTCGTCGGTATCGCGATATGCCCGGCGCGGCGGGACTCCAACGTCCCGTGCACGGTCCACAGTTACTACCTACCCGTCGTCCCAGTCCCAGGCGGGCAAACCGCAAAAGACGGTTCTCCCACCACACTGCACCTTTCTCAGCTCGGTTCCCCGACCCAGTTTCTCATCTGCTTCGAGTAATTTCCATTTTGTCTTTCTGCTGACATATCTTGCGGACTTATTGTCGGGCGTGTGAACTGTTACCAAGACCTGCAGTTCTTTCAGCGACGTGATAACTATTTGAAACCCCCCCCCGTTTCCAACATCGAAGTCTCATCGCGTTCAACCTGTTACCTACTACCCATCTAAATCACCATGTCTCGCCATCACCCCGATCTCGTCATGTGCCGCAAGCAGCCGGGCATCTCTATCGGCCGCCTGTGCGACAAGTGTGACGGCAAATGTCCCGTGTGCGATTCCTACGTGCGTCCTACGACCTTGGTTCGCATTTGCGACGAGTGCTCCTTTGGAAACTACCAGAACAAGTGCATCGTGTGTGGTGGGGAGGGAATCAGTGACGCTTTCTATTGCTTTGAGTGTACGCGACTAGAGAAGGATCGAGATGGGTGTCCGAAGATTATAAACCTGGGAAGTTCGAGGACCGATTTATTCTACCAAAAGAAAAGTTTTCGAAATCATTGATACCGCCGTCCTTTGTTCGCCACGCGTTGGCCCTGCTCGCTCGGGCTCATGGCGAGAACGAATGCCCTGCATCTTACGTTACTGGCTCTAGAGGAAGCTCTGCGAGCTGCGAGTTACTGGGTGGACGGGCGAATTTGAACGGATGTTGCAGCTACAGAGATAGGATGATACCAGCGGAGTTCGGTCACAGGTGCCCGGGGCTATATACTGTCGATGTCATAATGCGAGATATACAGAGGTTACGAGTCGTCCCCAAAAATTTACCGTCCCGGCCGTCTCGGTCTGGCGAATCCCCGGCTGGGCCCGTTGTCCTGTGGTGGGTGCACTTCTTCATGCAGCCTTTCACCCGTGATCTCGTCGGGAGAAGATGCCTCGATCTGCGTGCTGTGTTAGGAGACCCTTTAATCAATCGAGCGTTTGCCACCGGCTCTTACCTTCTTAGAGATCTTCAGGCCTTGCTCGCCAGCCATAGTGAGTGCATGCATCCGGGAACTGGCGTACAGCATACGCTCTCTGATCGACGAACCGGAGGGACAGGTATAGATGAAGATCACCGCATCGGAGTCGGGATAGTGATAAAACGTGTACCGCGGGGAAGACGGAGGGATGTGGGACTCGACCGAGTTCGGCTCGACCCCGGACTCGGCGACAGCAACCTTGAACGCCTCCGTGGGAACGTCAATGGCCTGTATTTAGCAAAAACATTAGCGATTTCGAACCAGAAGAGACAAGTGAATTCCACTGCATCACATAAACATAAACACCTACCAGCTGTACCAGCCCACTCTGCTGCAGCCCTTCGAGGGCCTGCTTCACATCATCAGCCACACGCATCTGGACGGATGCACCACCGAATGGGTTTCCCCTGTTGAATGTGCCTCCGATACCAATATCTCTACTTGGGGTGCCGTTTCTAGCCTCCTCTTCGGCTCTCCGCACGGCGTCCAACTCCCGCTCCTTCTCGCCCATCAGATCCTCACGCCGGAAACCGCCCGCGGTACCCTTCTTCTCTGCATCCCGCTCACGCCATGCAGCCTCACCAGTAACCTCATCTTCATCCGTAGCGAAGATAGTCGAGCTGAACTTCTCCGTGCCTAGTTCCCTAGCCAACGTGGCGCGGGTTGAGGCGAAGAGAGTCTTGGCGCGCACACCGGCATTGGAAGGAATATAGGTCAAAGCAATAAGAGAGGATGATCCGTCCTCCGGACGACGAAGCAGGAGATAGATGGGGGTTTTGGGTTCAAGGACGGACGAAAGTTGGGACAGGGAGGGGTAGAAGGCGTTCGGGGAGGCGAAGGGAACCGTGGGAAGAGGGGACAGGCTTTCCGACTTGATTGTCACAGGGAGACAGAAGATCGAGGTATCGGAAACGAAGGTTTTGAAGGCATCGTGAAGCTCTTGGGAGACTGTTATATTCTGTTAGCGACCTAGGGGTGCTCAAAGATTGTTTCAGGAGTAAGGTGGCATGTCCGAGGGGACGGGATGTCGTAATTGTCAGGAACAGGGGGAAAGGGCGGCTTGTTGGCAAAATGTACCTGAGATTCCGGACTGCATCTTGGATCGAGACAGCAGAAGCCTGGCCGTCTGAATGCAAAATTTATCGGCCGGTCTGCTTCCTGCAGTCGAGGGGTTTATCTAAGGGTGGTTCGGGGAGACGGAGGGGAAGGCAGAAGCGGTGTGTCTGTTGCAGCGGGGTCGGCCATCGCCCCTTCTACTCCGGAGTACACACTTCTACCCAAGACCTTGTCCATGTAACTTTCTCATCTCAAGGATTCATGTGAAATATTTGGTTAAATCTATTTACTAACCACGCAGGTATGCTAACACAATGAAAGGCAAGGAAATAGGCATAATATATACAATCCACCCGGCGTGGATCGGACTGGCGGCTCTCAAAGCCCCCGGACATATAAACAGGGAAATACTGATAACCCAGTGATCGAAAACGCCACCATGCTCATGGTATCAAATGCTTTCGAGAACACACAGCGGCTGTCCCAGTGACGGGAACCACCTTACTCCTCAAACGTTCCTCCAACGAACGACCACCCGGAGGTCTCCAGCTTTCCTTTCAGGAACTCGTACACTGTGAAGGTGACGGCCTGGCCAGGAGCCACTCTCATCACACGGGGCGTGATGCCCTTGTAGAAGGCCTGAGCACCTTCTTGCTTGAACATGTCCTTCGCGATGACCATGATACGCGACACCGCTGATTGACCGGGCTCAGCACGTGTCTTCTGCAGTCTCGTCTTGATTGTGTCGATAGGGGCGTTGGAGAAAGGTCCGACAGCACCGGAGATCAGTCCGATAACGGTCGTTTGATATGAAGGAAGCTGCGTGTTGCTGTACTCAGGCTGGGCTCTCTGGAGGAAAGCCTTCAATTCCGTGTATGCCGTGAAGTTGGCCGCCTGGTTCGTTCCTTGCCGAAGAGCAGTCAGAGAAACACCGCGGTACAGGGTGCTGAAACCCTCCTCCTTAATAACAGTGAAGAGCGCATGTGGTGCACTCCGGTACTTGGGGGTATCGAGAGGGTCCGCCAAACTGTGATGCTGTGCTTGCAAGCGAATCTTCACAACCTCCATGGGGTTGACAACCGCCACGGCTTCGGTCACACCAGCAGCAAGACCGGCTAGTTGGAAAAGTCCAATCAGCATACAAGACATAAGTGTATTGGGCTCAGGAGTTGAGACATACCCAAGAAGGTAGCTTTGCTGGTCACCGCACCAGTCTCCTTATCAGCGAGCATTTGCTTGTATGATTCGTAGGAGGTGAAACGAATTGCCATCTTCGGGATAATACCACCAAGGACGGCACCCAACCCCTTGTACAGACCCAAGGCAGTCTCCTTCTTTACAATCTCAGCACCGGTAGCGACGAAACCGCGGGGCTTGACCTATCGAGTTGTCAGCTGTGGCCCAATGCCATGCGCATGGCGCCCACTTACACCAGGTGCCCTGGCTCGGCGGGAGAGCTGCATTCGAACTTTGATCGTGTCTGGCAATGGCTGTCAGTACAAATCTCCTTAAGAACAACCAATTGACCAATTCTCATACCTAGAGGATGGCACACGAGTGCTTCCATCATACCGGCACCACCACCAGCTGGAGCGCAAATTAGTACCGTGCAGAATCCAATGCGCCGGAAGGAGCTATGATTTACCGATCAGGTTCACAGCTGGGGAGGCAGGCTTTTTGCCATTCTTTCCCTGCACAGTTTTTGCCGACATGGTGAAGCAATGTGATGTTCTGCTGAGACGTTGATTTCTGTGTCTATTGGTAACCGGGTTTCGGTTCGAGCTATAGCCGTTGGTGCAATGGAACGGATTCCAGAACGATCGAGTGCAGCAAGGATAGTTTCGCAGAAAAGAAGCGGGAAAAGATCAAGAGAATGAATCGCCAGCGACCCGAGTTCAAGGGATCTTTTTTTAATTAAGAGAAAGGACGGGGACGATCTCGGAGGTTCACAGGGAGGCCCAAAAATACGGGGAGATACGGAAGTATAACTACGTCCCTCGGCTCTACCGACCCAGGGTATTTAAATCGGCGGCTGAGGAGTCACTTGGGCAGAGGATTAGCGGCTTAGCAGGAAGACCCAAAACATTCGCAAAAGCCGTTCTCGGAAACGAGGATCTGAGACGGGCTCGGCTCCAGTGGCGGCTTTTGCTGTCGCTTGGAATTGAACCGGGCGTGGAGGAGCTATGACGGGGAAGCGGAGGAAGCTTCTCTGGACGAGCGGAAGCAATGCCGCCGTGTTCGCACAGTAGAACAACAACCGAAGGCCGTGGGAATCTGATTTAAAACGGGGTAAACGGAAGGGGAATTAGTCACTGATTGGGTCTGGGACTCTCCGCGACTGCAATTTCCCAGACGTGGGGGATCTGATCACTTATACCTTCCGGTTGCCATATCCCCGGTGGTGAGCTGCTCGTGTCTTTGAACTTATTCTACACCCTGCAAGGCCTCGGAGCTGCCAGGCGTGCAGTCCTTCCTGCTACCCGTGCAGCTGCGCTTCAGTCCTTGGGGCCCAAGGGTGGCGTGGCCAAAAGTGAGCTCATGGCCAGTACCAATGGCAGGACGGAACCAAAGATCATGGACCCCAAATGTCAGGTAGACATGGCTCTTCACATGCTGGAGAGTTCCTCATGGCTTGGATTCCAGTATCTCGTCGTCATCTGGTCCCCGCAAACAGTAGAAACGTCCACGCTTAGACACTTAGGCTCCATGACTCTACGCTTGTGACTGCTCGATACCACCGAGCCAGGGCCGTGACGGAGTGTGGGGGATGAAGCTGGCGGCCAGTCCCATCCACGGGTGATTCCGGGCCAAGCCTGGGGTCGTTCAGCCGAGGTCCTCGCCGTCCCTGTCTGCCTGGACCGACGAGTATATCAGACCGAGCTAGAAAAGAAATATCATAAGTGGGATACTTAGCGTCTGTATGACTAGTCGCAGGAGGAGGAGGGGGAAAATGCCTCTGGTCTTGTGACTCTTCAAGATTTACCCTCCGCAATGCTGCTCTTTGTTGCTGTTGCACCCTCGAGATGGCTAAGTAATCACCTCCACCCCAGACGCTCCTGAAGTTTTACCCCACGGTTCATGTTTTACCCACGCCCGGTGGCCGTTTTTCCGGACATTCTTATTAGATGAACTCCTTATGAAACATAATCCTTTTGCCCTGCGAGGAGAAACAAAATTATAGGCCCGAGACATTAATCCGGTCAAACTAGTAAAATAATAAATAAAAATAAAATACAGGCAACAGATTCAATAAATCACTGATAAGATAAAGAAAAAAGTGATCCCCCAGATCTTCACATGCTAAAGCATAATAGGACGATAAGTGGCATATGATTATGCTGGCATTGATTATTCATCGGACTGGTGTAACTATTGCATTACCTTCCTTACCGTTAAATATATATACCAATCGTAACCTGTCCTTGCAATGATTGTTGATGTCGACACCGCTTTTGGAGACTTGTCAATCGGACCGAAGGGATTGTGCTCCAAGGGGACTCTCCTCGGAGTAGAGGGGACGGGGTCACATCGTCACGTTTGCTTAAGGTACATGTAGGGTAGGATAGCCATCTTGCTCCGATTAGGCTGGGATGATTTCGACGGGGGTTGGAGGTAGCTTGGCTAGGGTAGGAGAGGGGAGCTTGCTATCGCGGATATTCTCCGGTGGTACCCTATACCCCTAGAGAAAGTGCGTATAGTACTAGGTAGGCTTTTATAGTTATGTCAGGCAGACTATAAGTAACCATTAAGGTATCCATGGGCTTGACTTTTAGTGTAGGAAGAATAACATTGAGGGAACAACTCCGCCCATGAGAATAGTGACTCCTACGTTAATCAAGGGATCGCTTCTCTGAAATATGCTGTGCATCGTCACAATAATCAATCTGCCTCTCCATCTGACAATGTCTCAACGGTTGCGTCGTACTATTGAGTCGGTCGTCCAGTTGTCTCGCCGGGCAGACCGATAAATGGAGTATCTTTCAGCCTATCAGTTTATCAGCGCGAGCTCGGACTTAATCCGACCGTCTTTTTTCTTCCACAAATCCAACGAACACGCGACAAGCGCATTCTGTATCACGAGTTTTCTAATTCAGGGAATTGGATATCGCGTCTTGGCAGTGAAGCCAAGATATGAAAATCGCTGTTCTCGACGTCGGACCCTTGTGAGTTGAGCAGGAAACGAAACCCCAACACGATACGGAACAGCATCATGGCCAATCAGGACCCCACACCACCACCCCGGGATATAAAGCGAACACTCAAATCCATCGCGCTCTTTATTCTGCATCAGTGGTTGCTTATCGGTATTGGAGTCGCTTGTGTTCTGGCATACTATTTTCCTAACGTTGCCAAAAGCGGCGGTGTTATCCGCTCTGAGTATAGCATTCTCTATGGCGCGATGGCGCTCATCTTCCTCATTTCGGGTCTCAGCGTTCCTAGAGAAAAGCTTGTGCTTCATCTTTTGAACTGGCGTCTGCATGTCCTCGTGCAGGTTTTCTCGTTTCTCTTCATCCCGGCTTTTATACTTGCGATCGTCCACATCATTTTAGCCGGTGACCCGGACGAACATATCGATCGCGCTATACTTGCGGGATACATTTTCCTGGCATGTATCCCTACCACTATCGCCTCGAATGTGGTCATGACTCGCTCCGCGGGTGGTGATGACGCCGCTGCTCTGGTGGAGGTCATTATTGCGAACTTCCTGGGTCCGTTCATCACTGCCGGATGGACCGTCACGTTGCTCCCTAGTACGTCGGAGTTCGATGTCTGGAGGACTGGTGATGGAAATCTTTCCGATATGTATCGCGATGTGTTCAAGCAGTTGGGCTTGGCTGTTCTGCTACCGTTAGTGGTGGGCCAATTGATACGGTGGGTTTGGCCAGAGACAGTGGCGAAAGTGATGGCCAAGTATCGGATTGCCAAGATCAGTACGGCATGTTTGATCCTGTTGGTTTGGTAAGTCAGCCGAGTCTATGACAAGTAGGCAGTGGCTCATCTGGTCTGTGTATAGGTCTACCTTCTCTTCTTGCTTCGCGACTGGAGCTCTCCAGACTCTCTCCGCTTCCAGTATCGTCTTCGTCGTTTTGTTCAACGTCGCCCTGTATATGTTTCTCACGGCCGCTTGTTTCTTCTTTTCGCGCCCACCGAAGCTTCTCTCGTCTGCTGTGTCGTTCACGGTAAAAGGGAAGGCGTGTCGTCCTTTTCGGCAGATGAGTCCTCAGGAGACCATTGCGGTGTGCTTTTGTGGTCCGGCGAAGAGTACTGCGCTGGGAATCCCTCTGCTATATGCGATGTGGAGTTCGTTGGATCTATATATCAAGTCGAAGACGTCCGTGCCGGTGTTGCTGTATACCACGGAGCAGATCTGCGTGGCGCATTTCTTCGTGCATATGTTCAAGTGGTGGCATCGACGAGTTGACAGAAAGAGTGCCGGTGAGAGCGATGTTGAGTGTGATGGGGAGGGAGACATGGGAGGGGGGGAGAAGATGGATAGCTCGGGGTCAGGTGCCGGCGGTTTGGACTTGGAGGTCAAGGGAAAAGGGGCAGATAACCATACTCGTAATCATGCATAGACATCATTAAGAACATAGAGTTTACAATAGAGAAAAATCGTATATAACATGAAGGCAACCCGAGGACCACGTTTAAGCAGACGAGTAGAAGAGGAATTGACAAGCCTCCCTCAAACTATGAAGAGACATTGATGTATGGGAAAGGAATGAAAAGGAACACTCGTCAAATGTAGCTCACTTTCACCCCCATCCCAACAGTTCCCTTGACTTTCTGCCATCCGGAGCCTGTTATCCTCCGGATACGCTCTCGCACGTCTTGCCGGCTTAATGCAGCTATAATGCCCAGCATGAACAGTAGCGTACGCGCAAATGATAGTGGATTGCCTGCGATGCTCTTGCGGATGTATTGCAGGATGTTGCGCACTGCGTTGACCAGTGCTCGTGATTGCTTGGCCCGAGACTCGGGCTTCTCTGCTTTCTTGATGTTCTTGGAGCCGGGAGGCGAGAAGGCCGTTCGTCCCGCAGATGTGCCTGGTTTGCTGCTTGGCTGCTTTTCTGCATTCTTCCCCTTGCCTTTGATGCTGCCATTTGGATAGGTCTTCTCGATCCCGTAGTCTACCTCACTGCCGCTGCGGCCGTGTCCTTTTTGCGAGCGTTCAGCAGCTTCTGCCTCCTCTGCTCTGCGACCTTCTGCCTCTCGTGCCTGTCTTTCTAGCTCGGCATCCTTCTCCCGCTGCAGGGCAGCAGCGCGCAATTCACCCTGTTGTTTCTCTTCCTTTAATCCTTCCAGTGTCTGTAGAAATCCATCTTTTCGCTCGTCGTCGAGGACCTCGCTCAAATTAATGAACTCCTGCGCATACTCCCACTCGTCGTTGGCGGGGAGAACATGTAGGGTAAACAGCTCGATTATTCGGACCCTCGCTGCCAGGTCTTTTGGAGTATCGGTACCACCGTTGGTCCGCTGTGGTGTAGACGAGCCATTGCGTAGATGTTCCGTTATATCCAGATTCGGTTGTCCATATGATGACAGATAGGTTTCGAGCCGTTGCTGGCTGAATTTCTGTGAAGGCGAATGTTTCAACAACAGTGTTGCTCTGTTGAAATGCTCCTGTCAGTAATTAACGCAATTGAGACCCAAATTGTCTGACTAACAGGTTATATACGACTTCTGCGTCGACTGATCCTTCCAAGCCTCTATACCCTGTCTGCACAATGGTCTCCCAGATCTCCCCATCGCGTACTGTAGTCGAGATGGCTTTCCATTCTTTCTGTCCAAACAAGTTCTTTCCTTCTTCAGGGCCTAACTCAATGATGGCGCTCAGGAGAGTGATGTAAAGATTCCACACTTTGATCCGCCAGGTTGGCTGGGCTGCAGCGACCGGTGCGACTGAATCGTCACCATTGACGACCTGTTCGTCGGGTCTCCTGGCAGCCGTAATTGCCGGTTCCAGTGCTGATAGAGTTTCTTGTAGCCGCCGTGTCAGAAAGAGGTTGGACGCTTTCTTATATGTTTTTGAGCATAGTTTTGAGGGGGATAGTGAGGATGTGGACGACGACAGGAGTTGCGACTGGGACGCCGACATGTAGGAACCATCGTCGGCCATTGTTCACCGCCAGCGGAAAATGCGACGGATCAGAAAAAGGAATCAAAGAAAGGGAATCGAATGGAACGTGCGCGACTGTCAATGATGGCAGGGAATGTGCGAGAAGACAATCAACACGGTCGGACTGAGCTCTGGGAGGTTGGGTCGGTGGAGGGAACACAGTGACACTAAGCGGCCTAACAATACTTAACTGCACGTCGTTTCAGCATCACCTCGGCTCATCGTTCGCTGGCCGAGAGTCTGGGGTCTGATGTCACGGGACAGCGCGGCCGGAACCGCCTAAAATAGAACCTGATCGACGCCTGAGGCCCCCAGGCACTGAACTGTCGCGTGAATCCCATGACCCCCTCCACCATGTGTCTGTCGACTGCATCGCATTCGTCGCGGCTTCCCGACCCTGGCAATGCAACCGGTTCGCAGGATTCCCATCTCTACCTAGTCACCAGTGACCAAGGCTACTAACAGGATTATCTTACGGCATTCTTTGCTGAACTAAGTACGGTGTACCTTACTAAACTTACCTAGTGGACTTCTCTACTGAATACCAGTCCCTTTGATCAGTCCCTCCTTCGTTCCTATCTACATTGACCTTCATTTCGTACGGTGCTACATCCTCACTGGACAACTAAGAACCATGGACATCACTGCCCAGACGTTCTTTTACCACCTGCCCAGGGTCCTGGACGACCTGTCATCTTGTTGTTTCGTATCTATAGACTTTGAATTCTCTGGAATTGCAAAGACCCCCGGTGTATCTTCCAAGAGCAAAAGTACCTTGCAGGAGCGTTACGAGGAAGTCAAGAAGTCGGCCGATCAATATCAAATTCTACAAGTCGGCTTGACCATTTGCCATGAGGACCCGGAGACAGGTTAGAAACACAGGCCACTACTCCAGATTGATGTGTTAATAGCCCAAACAGCGACCTACACGCTGAAACCATATAACCTATACTTAAATCCGATCATTGACCGCAAGCTGGAGTTAGAAAGAACCTGGTCCTTTCAAAGTGGTGGTATGCTCATTGCAAACCTTCCCTCTTTCCCGCTGAGCTGATGTGATTCACTTAGCCGTTGAGTTCCTCCTGGAAAACAATTTTAACATGGAAAGCCTGTACAAGAATGGCGTCACCTACGTCTCAAGGGATGAGGAAAAACGAGCAATGGCCAGAGTCATCGAGAGAAATGACCGCACCAAAGTGCGCAGCTCGCTGGACGTCACAGACACCGAGTATGAGTCGCTCGCATTCCTGAAGGAAGTGCGTCGTCTTGTTGATGACTGGCTTGCGCTTGGTAAAGTAATAGCTCAATACCTGGGATACATTGCCCATCTAATCCTTATGCTAGTCTCGAGAAGATTACCTGAATATCCCGCCACCTAAGGGTCCCAATGCGCCCAAACGACCGAAGTCCATACCGCCGGAGATAAATAGGTTCCAAAAGAGACTGATTCATCAGCTTATAGAAGTGGAATACCCGAATTTGGTCACAGTCAGTAGACCTACATTCATACAAATCATCGACTACGACGAGGAAAGGGAGAAGGCCGTTCGAGATCAGAGAGTGAATTGGGTTCAGGAACGAATCTGGAAACAGACCGGGTTCAGATGGGTCGCGGAGGCCCTAACTGGAGGCGATCTCACGAATCTCGAGCCTTTTTGCTTCATTAATCTCCTGTCAGGCTCGCAAAATCCTCAGAGTTCACTCCAGGACTTCTCAGATGGGGTGAAGCAGCGGTTGCGGGATAACAGACCTGTCCTGGTTGGACACAATCTTTTCACGGATCTGATTTACTTCTACCGCTGCTTCTTTGGACCCCTCCCAGACCGTGTAGAGGACTTCCAATCCATAACTCAGAAGTTGTTTCCGGTCCTCATGGACACAAAATATATGGCTACACATGATTGTGGCTCCATCAATCCGAAGTCATCCTTGCAAGAGATCAATGATGGTCTCGCCGAGATCCCCACGCCAACTATAAGTGAGTGAAGCCAGCCAAAATGTAGTCTCGTGACTAACAGTCGACCAGGAGTGCACCCCCAGCATTCCAAGTATAATACGCAAGCTATTGATCACGAAGCCGGATATGATAGTCTTCTCACGGCGCAAGTATTTATAAAACTTTCTGCACAGCTGCGAAATAGGGGAACTTCGGGGATTCCGCCTGGGATTCCGGGGCCGTCACCGTCAAGTGAAGAATCGAAGAAACCCACGAAGCAGGTCATAGGCGACTTTGAGGCTACGGTCTTCCTGCCCGGGCGCCCCAGGTCAAGCAACGTTCGTATAATGTTTGGCTCGATCGAAGTCGAGAAAGTCGACGACGATGCTGATGCCAGCAATGTGGCCGATGACTTGAGCAAACTGTCGTTGGGGCCCCGCAACTCTGTTGAGATACAACAGAAGGTTGACAAGGGTCACTTAATCCCCCGATTAGGCGCGTCATTTTGGGATGTTTACGGGAACAAACTCCGTGTCTTCGGTACGAACGAGAGGATGTGCCGCATCGGCTGAGGCCGGCGGAGCGCAGTGCGCACCCAGTAAGGCTGCTCGCATAACGAGCATTGGTTACTACACATCCTTTACTACACTTAGAGCAGTGCCTAGATACCAGAGTACCTAGGTTGCATGATTGAATAGCAACAGCAACAGTATTCACAGCCGAAGCATGATGAATGAATGTATGCAGCGTCTATCTAACAGTACGCCTTGATTTGAGAAGGTACCGCTAGCGAAAAATGGCCGCAAAAGTACTCACTCTGAGCACCGGAAAATGATCGACTGGTCGTGGAGTAACTCAACGCAGTTGACGATAAGGAAAGGTGCTGTAGAGAGAGAAAGAAAAGAATGGGACGGACGGCAGAACTTTTAAGGGAAGCGAAATGGAGAGTCACCTGATCGACTAGCCCGGTCGGGGCTAGTTCCGCTCCGACGCTCCCTCGCAGGTGACCGCCAACTTTTCTCGCCATTGTCGGCCTCCGGACCTGTTGACAAGCACCCCAGCATATTATCAGCACGTTTGGAGATGTCGTCGGGGTCCAATGGTGCTAGGCGCGTGGCGTCGCTTTTGCGTATGTGATATTATCTCTGGAATTGAAACAGACCGTGACCGTACTGACTGCTCCAGGGCCCACGATCTCCGATCCCAGAGTGTGCAGAAGCTGTCAAGAGACGCTCGTCCGCCGCAGTTATGCCTCAGCCGCTACGCAGGCCTCGCCAGAACCTCCCTCCACCGCCGCCTCGACCTTCCCCGTTGTGAAGCCCACCCATACCATCAAGGCCGGCGTGGTCCTCTCCCGTCCCCCTCAAATCACCCGCGATCTCACCGACTTCGAAAAGGCATACTATTTCTACCAGAAGCGATTGAATGAGCGTCTCACCCTTCCTTTCACCAAATACTTCTACTTCAAGCGTGGAACACCTGCCGACGAAGACTGGAAGCGCAAGATCCGGGAGCGCCAGACGCCCGCGCGTGATATCGGCAAGTACAATCCGTACTCCAAGGAAGCCTGGAACGATGAACTCCTGGTTGGAGCCGTCGAGTCGGACCCTGCGCACCAGGTGGAAATGCTTGTGCAGGATGCCGAGTCTACGGTCAATGCCACTTCCCAGGACACCAGCAAGATGGAAGAAATCCCGAGACCGTTTCCCCGGGTGACGGAAGCGGACCAGAAGAACGACCAGAAGAGCCTGAACCGGGCGCTGCAGAGGACCCTTTATCTCCTTGTGCAGTCCAAGGAGGGATACTGGAAGTTTCCCAGCTCTCCCGTGGAGGGAGAGGAGACTATTCGACAGGTGAGTCGTGATCGCTGCTCTTTCGGTCACAACCAGGGTGCTAACCTTTTGGTCAATAGGCTGCCGAACGTACTCTTGAACAAGCCGCGGGCGTCAACATGAACACCTGGATGGTGGGCTACCACCCGGTGGGTCACTACGTCTACAATGTCCGCAACCAGAGCAAGCTGGCAAACGGAGAGGGACCTGCGGGCGAGAAGGTCTTCTTCTTGAAGTCGCGCATCATGGCCGGCCAGGCCGACCTGACCAGCAACACTCAGAACCTGACCGACTTCAAGTGGCTGGCTAAGGAGGAGATTGCGAAGTTCGTTCGGCCCCACTACTACGCCAGCATCAAGAACATGTTGGCTGAGCGGTAAATCCGGAGACACGTGGGAGGGATGGAGTGTATGGATCGTTGCGCGGACATGTTTTATGTTTTGGGGATGCCCTTCGTGCAGCAGGTCTGAGTCTTGCATATATCATAGTAGGTCATGTATAACTAGCTTTCCGTTTTCGCTTTTACTTGCAATGAAGACTTTCTTGTCATACGCATATCCCAAACGCCATGCCAGTAATCTACCGTTCCCAACCCAAACCACCTATCTAGAAACCCGATCATTTCAAATTAAACTTCTGCCCCTTGATCACCGGCTGATTCTTCGACGCATCCCCCGTCAATCCTTTTCCACACATCGGACAAGCTATTACCGTCAGACCACACCACCAAGCACAAGGACACGAGAAAGAGAAAGACGAACCATTCTTCTGATACGCACACCGCTGACAATACTTCCTCCCCTGCTCTGTCTTGGTCTTACACACATCACAGGACGACGAATACGCCGCGTAGGGATTCTTGGCCTTGGAACTGAGTAATTTGCTCTATACATCACCACCATCACCACCACCACCATCATCAGTAACTATTAACATCTTGTCTCTTTCATTCATTCATACATTCTTTCTTTTCCAGGATAATATCCTCATGAAATAAATGGTATAAGGGAATAGGAATATCTTACCTTCCCAACACCCGTATTCCCCAACGTAGGCTTAGACTTATCCCCAGCGCTGGATGCAGGTGAGCCGTAGTACATCTCCGTTTTACGTTTCACGCCGGGAGTGGCGAGTTCGGTTTGTTTGAGCTTTTTTTGACATTTTGTGCAGACCATTTTCGTTTTCTCTTTTCTTATAAAAGTTAAGGTGAGGTGTGTGGGGTGGTAAGGATGGATAGGTGTAAAAGGATGGAGCAGGTATTGGGATGGAGATGTAGTATGATGGATGATGGATTGATATTATGGGGGATGGTTGATTATGCTGAGTGGAGGGTATTGGGGTCTTGGGGTGGGCGGATGACGCCAATTGCTGACTGCTAAACTGCACCCTGGTTTTGCGTGGTGGGGGGATGTGGGTTGCCGTAGGTGAGTTGTTGAGTGGGTTAGGAGTACCGGGTGTTGGAGGTGATATTGATATGTTGGTTTGAGTGACTGATGAAGGATTGTCGGTGTGAGAGAGATTTGATATTTTGCTACGAACTGGTTCGGTTGGTTATCTGGAAGAGTAACGTGGTTGGTTGTATATCCCGTGTGTGATTGGGATTGTGGCTCGTACTATATGGAGACAATCATGATTGTATGTGTTGCGCATTTGATGTGGCGATCCTATTTATTTAACTTAGCTGATCCTGCAGTTAGTATGCAAAGACTTGACATCCTTGCGACAATCTAGATCAGTTCTGGCGCTGATTCAAGTTGAGGTTCGATGTCATCCTGCCGATCCGTGCATATACTCATGTCAGGTTGTGATTTCATATCCATTCCAGGTGCTGCATGGTCTGCTTTTTGGAATTAGAAAACTTTGTTAGTCGTATAATGTGCTCGACGAGCGATAGACATTGAACAGCCGGGATTGGTATTCACATATGCACGTCTCTGCATCTCCGCTGAGATAAAGTCGGGATGCCATCAATAGATTCCTGGTGAAATTCAAGTGCGAAAACCAAGCAGCGGCATGTTGATAGCAACAGTGGATCATGTCTGCCTATCTCAGATCATCCAGGTGAGTCGTAAATGCCATCTTTCAATTGGCGCGAGGAAAGCACGTCAGTTGGCTCAGCCCATGGGTCTACCCGTATCCGTATCCTACCGAGACATGCTCAAGATGCCAGAAGAGCTCACCGGATGAAGATAGACCTGCAGGCAACATAATCAGTCCACATTCGGGACCAGAGCGGAATCAGATGTTCTTATCCCGAGTTAGGCATCTGGTCCCATCGACCGTCGCCCAAAGGCGTCCGCGGGTGGGTTCGTCAAGCTGGCGTGGGAGAGGGTATAGAAAGGCAACTAACAGCCTCACCTGACAAGTCATAGTTCGACGGAAATTCCAAGTCACCCTGCCTTAGCCCCGGACAAGGCCAATGACGGTGTGCTGACATCGAGCACCAAGAGCTTTGCACCTGCAGGTAAGCATCTCAACCACCATTTGATTTCTGGCCGCAGTTCTTCAGGCCGGGCTGAAAGAGCGACTGCAGCCTTGACGACGGCGGCCAATGCCCCGAAGGGCGGGCGCACACCACACGGGCCCCAAAGGGACGCAGGCGAATGCTTCCGGAAGGCAGTCGGAAATAGAACCAGGGGATGAGTGGCCGTGGAAGACGGACGGGAAGTAGATAAGGTGTGTGGTGCAGGCCAGCGAGTGGTGTCGAGTGGTGTTGGCCGGCGTGGCAACAAAGACCGTCTTAAATCCTTCTCGCTCGCTCAACCCAAGCCTTTTCCTCCACTTCGGCTTCAGCTCTTCCACGACATCGGCTCGTCAGCCAATCCCTGGCCCCCATCGCTTTTAATTTGTGCACAGGAGCTGGACCTTCAGCAGTTCAGCTGCCCTGGATGGGCGAACCCCCCACAACTCAGACTTGCGTGGATTCCAGGCTGTTTGTCTCCCAATGATGCAGGATGACCCGCCACTCCTGAACTGGTCTGCATAGAGTCCTGTGAAGCCGGCACTGCTTCCATGCACACGGCAGGGGAAAAAGGAAAGATTTAAAAAAAAGGAAAATGGAAACCAAGGGGCTGTCAAAAAGAACGGCGCAGCGAAAAGCACACAACGAAAAATAAAAAGGAAATGCAGCACGGGTCGCGACCAACCCAGATTCCTGGATACCTTCGCGCAATGATCGCCTGTTCCAGCACAGTGGTTCGTCTGGTTGGACACTGGGCTTTCTGCCCAGACCGTCACCCTGGAGCCAGCACGTCGGTACCCTGACTGAGCCTTCTATAAAGCGGTCCCGTGGTGGCATCGCCACAGGCTGCTTTCTTTTCCTGGGATGTCGTTGTCGGATCACCGCCAGTCGGGTCTGGCCATCTATAAGTCTTTGTCCTCGCGCTGTTTGTGCGTGTCTCAGCGCACCGCTGTACGCCCCCAGTCCTTTCGCCAGCAACTCCTCGGTATCTCCAGGGGCTCTGCTCGACTGACCCTGACATACTTTGGCAGTTTTCAATCATTTCTGTTTTTGCTTTTTCCTCACACACTACTTGGCCGCCCGGACCAGGCTTGGTTTGCTACTAGCTTCCTGACTACCGACTCCTTTTTCTGACTTGGCCCTTTTTTTCAAGGCCCAGAACGGCAGGTTGAAGTCGAGCACGCCGTGGAGAGGTCGGGAATCCCTTGCTTCAAGGTGGAAACGGAACTGGATCTTGTCCACACCGCACGCTTCTTTTCTCTTCCATCTTTCCCCCCTTCTCCTCAGCGGCATCGCCACGACCCCCCGAGAGCAGTTCGTCAAAGTTTCAGAGTACGAACTTTCAAGTAAGGATAGGAGGGTCCCGGAGTGCTTTGTTTGTTCGGGTTAATTACGGGAGGACGAATCTTACCGGCCGAAGAACAAAAGGAGGTCCCTCAGTGGTCACTGCCGTGGTGAAAGGCTTGAGAGGGAACAATGCCCCCCAGCAGTTCGTCTTTCACGGCGTTGAACTTGCCATCAACCTTCTCTCTGCCGCAATGCATGGAATACTTCACCCTCACCGCCGGTCCTAACACGGATCTTTGGCGCAAGCCACCGAACCGGGATACCGCAACGGCTCCTATCGTGTTCACTTCTCTGCGGAGTCCGTTTGTAGTCGCCGAGGTCACCGTCACGGCGGACTGGGAGATGGAATGGGACCAGGGAGGCCTGGTGATCTTTGCCGGCGCGGCACCTCAGTCGTTCTCATCCGACGGTGTTCCGCTCCCTTCGGGGACACGATCGGGTCGCCATGGGTACTCGCAGACGGCACGACCCTGTAAATGGGTCAAGGCGGGCATGGAATTCAGTTCGGGCACCATGAACGCATCTTCAGTAAGCGCAACCGCCGACGGCGCGGACTGGTGTCTTTCACCACTTGCTATTCCCGACCGGGGACCGTCTGCTGTCCATTCGTTGCGTATCAAGTTGGAGCGGATCGGACATTCGCTTTGGATCTGGTACCAGGTGCCGTCGGCGGTACCATATGCAATGACCCCGGGGGCCGTGAGCAGCACGTGGAAAAAGCTGCGGGAAGTGACATGGTTCTTCTATGGGGTGGAGGATAAGTTTGTCCACGTGGGAGTCTATGCTAGTCGCCCGCACAGCCTGCCTCGCACCGGGACGATGTGGGAGATGGTCAACGGCCGGGGGATGGACGGTACGGCCGCGGGCGATGGCCTGGTCGTTGAATTTGAAGACCTGGAGATTCTCTAATATGGAACATCATTTGATTTTGCTTGTCTTGTTAATTTGCTTCGTTCAAGCTGCGACCTTGGACCTTTACGAGTCGACGACTTCCCTTTGGGGTACTGGATTCAGGAGCTGGGTGCATTGCGGGAAATAGCGAGCATGGATCATCTGGTTGGAGCGACTTGCAGAAGACATCGAGTGTTGAGTTATTGTGATTGTCTGGCATTTTATAGTTATGATTTTGATCGTTTAATTACTTAATCCAAGAAGTGCATGGCTGTTTAAGTTTAGGATTCATCAACGATGCATGGATCTGCGAGATGCAAACGTATTCCGTACGGAATACACTACAACGAATCCTACTCTTCCGACGATCAACTGCAAATAGAGTGCGTGACTCACTCACCGATTTCTTCACATCCTCATGACAAGGCGAATCTATCTCCATGTACGGAGTACGGAGTATACGGAGGACCTCAGCTCCGCACCCAACAAAGAACAGTAAGTAATCCATAGCTCCTTCAACACCACTCACACATCTATAGTCAAACAAAATCATCATATCTGATGTAAGCACACGCTAACCATCTAACTAACCACTTAGTTACTCCATAAGTGGTTGAATAATAACTAAACCCATGATCCAGCACAGAGCGATCCAAGCTGCTAACACTGGCACTGGCAACCAGCCAACCGAACCCATGCGACGATCCGCAACGCTAAAGCAGCCCGGGCAGGGCAAGCGGACTACGAGGTCTGGACCAATCAAGACCAGATGATGATGACATAGAGTTTCAGCGACTGGCAGTTTTCTGTCTATCTCCAATGCTCCATAGGTCAGAGATGCTACTGTGTAGAAAATAAATTCTTTGAATCTCTACGTCAGTATGGATCTACCGTGCCGTGTTAGGCATCTGTTTGTTTGTTTGTTTGTTGTTTTAACCTGGGTAATTACCGGGGATTCCATGGCTGGGAAGACTGGGATGGGACGGCGCTCCACTAGATTGGTAAGAGGAATTGGTGATTGAATCATGAGATGGTCTGGGAGGGTGGGAAGTGCCGGGAAAGGGGATGGGATGCATTTACTGCTTTGGTTGGATACGGGGCAGTTGGAGGTGAATAGGGATAGGGATAGGGAATAGGAGTTGGTTATGACTCATTACATTTTGTTTTACTGGGTCGTGGGGATTTGTTGTTCTATTCATGGGTGGATGATAGCGGGACTGGATACTTGGTACTGTAGACTGCAGGATACAGATCCATACAGAGTAGAGAGAAACTGGCAGTTGGAGTGGACATGCGACCAAGCACCTGGAAGGATCCTGCCTTAGCTACTGCACAACACCGGGGCCATTTTCCGGGATTGCGGAGGCAAGAATAAACCTGACTTACATATGCTGTGCAGGCGGCGATTCGATTCGATCGATCGCTATCGAATACTATCCTATCTAGTAGATAAGTCTACTCCGCCGTCAATAATTGGGTTGTTGGTGGCTTGAAGACTATCTGTGAAGGGATGGGACTTTGTTGTATCTCCCGTCGGGGTTTTGCCCGGCGGTGCCGAGTTGCCCTGCGATGCGGCGGAGGTCTTTCGGCCAGCTGCGGGTGGAGGCCCCGATGTGGATGGGCCATGGTGCCACTACCACCGTCTGCTCGTCTGGTTGGCCCTGGCCGGCCTGAGGTCTCCACTCCCCGTCTGCTTGTGAATTTTTTTTTTGCTCTGCTGTTTTTTTTTGTTTTGTTTTTGCCGCTCAACTGCATCAGAAAAATATTCCCTGACTTGAACAGGGGATTCATCGTAGGGAGGATGATCGGAGACAGATCAGACCCTGCAATCCCGATTCTCTCTCGACTGTATGTCGTAGCTTTCAGGAATAATATGTAATGAGGTGCATGGCGGGCGACGGAGTGCGTCTGGAGGGTTCATCACTCCAGGCTTATCTCGCATACTCGTCCTCCATCGCAAGGTCATCAAGGTCACCATGGAAAAGGTCGACAGCCTGCCGCTGATTGGTGCCCTCGAGCCACACCATCTCACCGCATTTTCTGTCCAGGCGCTGTTAGCCTGGAAGGATCTGCGAATGATGCCAATAATTCCTCTCCGGGGGCTTGCGATGCGATGCGCACCCCCTCTCATTGGAGCCGGACCAACGCCTGCGCCTCGGCGTCGAGCAATCATTCCGGGCTGATATGGCTTGATGGCTCGGTCTCGTAGGATTAAACTTGGGTCTAATTCTGCCGTTCCCCCTCATTTCATTCTCATCGGTCATCCACCCCCCATCGAAGCCAGATCATGGAGGGGGGGAGGGGAATAAGGTCGTCCGGTTGCCCCCTCCCCGTAGTTCCCAGACCATGGCATCATCATCCTTCCTCATCCTCAAAACAATCAGGAGGCCGTCGGAACTAAGACGACTGCAGCTGCCCCGCCAACTACCAGCGGGCTAATTAACGGCCATCCTCACTAGCCGACCTGCTTGCTGCGGTAGTCATCCTGGGTCCCCATCGGTCTTCCGTGGGGACCGGATCACTGGAGCAGTCGTGCTAAGGGCCTAAGGCTATTCTTGTAGTACCAGCAGTCGCCCTCCCATTTTTTTCTCGGCCTCCCCCTCCTCCTCCTCCTCCTCCTCCTGATTAGGTCCGCTCCCACTATCAACTGTTTTCGCCTCGCTGCGTTTCTCTCATCTCCTACATCATCTCGGTTGGTTTGCTCTTCTTGTCCAAGAGTCATTCTTATCGTTCCCCCATCCTCTTTCCTCATTTCCGCTGCCCCTCCAAGACATCTTCCACCTCCCTTACCTCCTCCCCCCCCTCAAACTTCTTTTAACCTTTCAATTCCACCTTAGGAGGGCTCTATTTTGTCCTACCACTCCGCTATCCTCTGCTCGCTTGTACATTATTTGTTTTTAGTCCATTGATATCCTCGCGGAGGTCCGTCGTCTGTTCTTGCCTTGGTCCTACGAGACTCCACAATCCACCCGAGTCGACCGTCTGAGATTTTTTCTTTCTCTTCCTCCCTGTTTGCGTTTGCTACATCTTAACGACTGTTACGACATTTCATGACCACAATGGCCCACCCCGCTGGTGAGACCGTCACAATCTCCATCCGTCGTCCGATTGATGACCCCATCTTCGTGGCCGGCACCTTCTCCGAGCCGCATTGGGAACCCGTCGAGTGCAACTCTAAGGCGGTAGAGACCGAACCGGATGACGAGGGATTGACATCGACGGAATTCCTTTTTTACCACGACGTGAAGCTATCACCTGGTCAATATCAATATAGATTCCGCGAGGGCGCTACCGGCCCGTGGTTCCACGACGAGGCTGTCAAACATGGTACGCTTGAACTCTCTTCCTCCCGACATCGCATCATCGCCCAACAGATCTGAAACTGACCAACACCTTCGAACTACAGCCGCAGGGGAGGGAGGCCTGGTGAACAACTTTCTCACCGTCGAATCGATTGTTGCCGCCGCTGCAGAGGCCGAGGAAGCCGCCCCGAAAGAGAACGATGCTAACGGCGTCGCTGAACACGTCGTCGAGGAAAACCTGCCCGAGTCCGTTCCCGAGCTGGATGACAAGAAGGATGCTAAAGCTGAGGAGCCTGCCACCAATGGCATCGCCACACCTGAGGTCAACGGAACAGAACCCGTTGAGCAGAGCTCCGAGACGAAGCAGGAGGGCGTGACGACGGAGGAGACACCTGCTGAAAGCCAGCCCGCAACGAAGGAAGCCGAAGAGGTTCCGGCTGCTCCCGCTGTCACCGAGGAAGTGAAGGTCGAGGCTGCTGAGAAGGTCGAACCCCAGGAGCAACCCGAAACTTCCGTGGAAAGCCCTGCTGTGGCGGAAACCGAAAAGGTGACCGAAGAGCCTGCGCAAGAAGAGGTTTCGGAGCAGGTCACGTCGAAGCCGGAAGAGACCGTCCTTGAGAGCGCACCCGTGGAAGCTGTCCCTGAAGTGACTCCTGCGACAGAATCGGTCGCGGAAAAGCCCGAGGTCTCTGACGAAAAGCCCGCCGTGGAGGATACTGTCATCGAAGCCGCCCCCAAGGATACCGCTGCGGCGGAACCAGCTGTCGAAGAACCGGCCGTCGACACTCCCGCCGCCGAGGAACCCACACAGGAGGTCGCTAAGGAAGAGTCCGTGTCGGAGGAACATGCCGAGGCGCCCGCCGCCGAGACAACTACTGCACCTAGCGCCGAGGAGCCCGTCAAGGAGTCGACCGAGGAAATCACCACGGCTACTGAGACCGCCGCAGATGCTGCCCCTGAAGAGCCCGCCAAGGAGTCGGTCACGGAGGAAGCAGTGGAGGAGCCTAAGGAAGCGCCCGGCACTGAGGTGTCGGCTGCTGAGCCTGCAACCGAGGAGCCCGCACAGGAAGTGCTCAAGGAGGAAGCCAAGGCTGAGGAGTCCACCGAGGTGCCTCCTGCTGCCGAGCCCGCCGTTGAAGAAGCCTCGAAGGAAGTGAGCGAGGAGGCGACTACGGAGACCTCAGCCGCCGCGCCTGTTGTCGAAGAATCTACGGCTGAGCCTAGCACGGAGGTGGTTCAAGAACCCACTGTCGAAGAGACCCACGCGGAATCTACACTTGCCGAAGAGCCGACCAAGGATGCTGTCGCCGACGAGGCCGCTAAGGAACAGCCCGCTGTCGAGGAACCGGCCGCCACTCAAGCCACCGAAGCTCATGTCGAAGAGTCCGTTCCCGTGAACACTGCATCTGCTGAAGCCGCAGAAGTGGTTACCGCTGAGGCAGTCAGTGAGACTCCAGTTGTGGAAAACTCCACTGAGCTTCCCGCCGAGGAAGTTCCCACCGAGGCTGTTGCAGAGAAGGTGGAGGAGCCTAGCACGGAAGAGCCAGCGACCGAGGAGAAGACTTCCGAACCCGCAGTGGAGCACGCTGTAGAGGAGACTGTTAAGGATGCTCCTGCTGAGACTTTGCCCACAGACGAGCCCGCCCTGAAGGAGACCCCTGCCGAAGAGCCCGTTACGGAGAAGCCGGTGGAGGAACCAACTGAACAGGTTACGGAAGCTACAGAGGAAGCCACCAAGGAAGAGCCTGTCGAACCTACCTCTGAGCCTGTCGCCGCTGAACCGACCGTCGAGGCTGCAGCAGAGCATGTTGAGGAGGCTCCTAAGGAGGCTGCCGCGGAGGAGCCAGTGACTGAAACCGTCGCGGAGGAGCCAGCCACCGAGACTTCCGCCACAGAAGTTGTCGAGGAAGCCGCCAAGGTTGAATCGGCTGCGGAGGAGCCAGTGGTTGAGCAGCCTACCCTCGAGGAACCAGCCGTTGAGACTCCCGCTCCAGAGGCTGCCGAGGAATCATCTCCCAAGGAAACCGCTGCGGAGGAGGCCGTCGCGGAGGCCGTTGCGGAAGAATCCGCTGCTGAGGCTGTTACGGCGGAGACCGCCAAGGAGACCATTCTGGAGCCTGCTGTTGAGGAACCGGCTGTGGAGACTTCAGTGGAGGAAGAGGCTAAGGAGCCTGTCCAGGAAACCGCAGCCGAGGAACAGGTTCCTGAGGTGCCTGCAGCTGAAGAGCCCACTGCGGAAGTTATCGCTACGGAGGCTGTTGAGGAACCTGCCCAGAAGCCTGTTGTCGAAGAGCCTGTCTCCGAGACTCCGGCCACGGAAGCTGTTGAAGCTGCCGTTGAGGAGCCAGCTGCCGAGGAACCGGTGGCTGAAGAGACGGTTGAGCACAAGGAAACTGTGGAGGAAGCCGCCGCAGCCCCGGAGGCCGCTCAAGAAGAAACTGTTGCCGCAGAACCCGAAGTCAAGGAGACTGCTGAGGATCCCGCTGAAGAGGTCAAGGAAGTTGCTACTGAGGAAGTCAAGCCGGCTGCTGAAGAGCCGACCCCAGTGCCGATTGAAGCTCCGGTTGAAGAGCCTGCCAAGGAGGAGCCTGTCCCTGAGTCTAAGCCGGAAGAATCTCTTCCTGAGGAGACTCCTAAGGAATTGGCTGCGGAGGAGCCCGCTGAAGAGCCTAATGCTGACGAGTCGGACGAGTCGTCCAACCTGGCGGAGTCTACCATCGCTACTACTGCTGGAGATGAGATTATCTTCGAGACTCAGTCGACTAAGGAAGGCGATCTGACCGGCGAGGACGCTATTGAGGAGGCTGCCCTCGAGGAGCCCATTGTCCAGGAACCTGTTGTCGAAGAGCCAGCTGTTGAAGAGCCTGCTGTCGAAGAGCCTGTCGTCCAGGAGTCCATCGTCGAGGAGCCCGCTGTTAAGGAGGTTGCCATCGAAGAGCCTGTGGCTGTCGTCGAAGCGCCTGCCATCCAGGAGCCCGTTGCTGAGGAGCCTGTCGCCGAAGAGCCCGTTATTGAGAAGCCTGCTGTCGAAGAGCCCGTCGTCAAGGAGGCTGTCGTCGAAGAGCCCGTTGTTGAGAAGCCTGCTGTCGAAGAACCTGCTGTTGAAGAGCCTGCTGTCGAAGAGCCCTCCGTTAAGGAAATTGCCGTCGAGGAGCCCGCCATCGAGGAGGCTGTCGCCGAAGAGCCCGCCGTTAAGGAGCCTGTCGTTGAAGAGCCTGCCGTCCAGGAGCCTGTTGTTGAGGAGCCTGCTGCCAAGGAGCCCGTTGCTGAGGAGCCCGCCATCGAGGAGGTTGTCGCCGAAGAGCCCGCCGTCGAGAAGCCTACTGTTGAAGAGCCTGCTGTCGAAGAGGCTGTCGCTGAAGAGGCTGCCATTGAGACCGTTGCCGAAGAGCCTGAGGCTGAAAAGCCGGCTGAGAAGGAGATCGTCGAAGAGCCCGAAGCGAAGGAAACCGTTGAAGAAGCCAAGGTTGAACAGCCGGCCGAAGTTTCCCAGGAAGCTGTCGTAACCGAGTCCCTCCCAGAGCCTTCCGACAAGGAGGCCGCTGTTGAGGCTCCTGTTGAAGCTCCTGTTGCGGAGGTCGTCGAGAAGGTGGTGGAACCGGTTGCTGAGGAACCAGTTGTTGAAGTGGCTGCCGTCGAGACTGCCGAGGATTCGACTGCAAAGGAGGTGACTGTCCCTGAGCCTGCCACTGTCGAGGCCACCGAAGAGCCACAGGAGCAGAAGGCTACTGAGGTCGTCGCACCCGTTGAGGAGCAAGTCACAGAGACCGCGGAAGTGGCCAAGGAGGTGCCGGCTGAGGTTGAAGCTGTTGTCGAAGAGCACGCACCCGCTGAGCCGGCTGCTCCCGAGCCCGTTGCTGAGGCCGTTGCTGAGGCTGCTGATGAAGCGAAGGAGGCTACCCAGACTGAAGAACCTGCCAGCGAATCGGCACCGGTCGAGTCCGAGGCGCCCAAGGAAGTGCAGCCTGTGCCTGCTGCCGCAGTTGAATCTCCTGCTGAGGACAGCACTGCTGAGCCAGCACGCGAAGAGGCTATTCCGGAGATTGCCAAGGAGGTTACTCCCGAGGAGTTCGAGGATAGCATCTTGACCCCCGAGGTTCTCGGTGCCGGTGTTGCTGCAGTTGCCGCAGGTGCTGCCGTTACCGCTGGAGTGATGGCGGCCTCTCACAAGCATTCAGAAGCCGCTCCTGAGCCCGAGCACAAGCAGGTCCAGGACCAGCCCGACAACAAGGACAAGGCACCCGTCGACGCGAAGCCTACCGAACGTAAGGGACTGCCAAGAGCGCCAGAAAATACTGAATATGAAGCTGACTCTCTTCTAGCAGTCGCCGAGGCATCTGGATCTAGCAAGCAGCCGCAAGTCGAGGACGATACCGAGGCCAACCACACCAAGGCCAACGAGCCCGCCGCGCCTTCCGATGCCACCAAGGCCGTGGCCGCCAAGGGCGACGAGGATCCTCGCGCCCAGAGTCAAAACCGGTCAGTCACAGCTGTTTCTCTGAACCGTAAGCATGACAGCTGGTTTAAGACCATCCTCCGGGCTGTGTTCACCAATTTCTTTGGCGCCATCTTCTCGCCGTTCCGCCGCCGCGGAAGGAACAACCAGTAGAGTCGCGTCGGGTGTTATCCGTCGAGACGTTGTTAGTTCATGCTTGTCGTTGCCAAAGCTAATGTGATTCAGGAATCTGTTCTTGATGAGCGTTCTTGCTGCTCCCTTGCTAGCATTTGTTTGGCATGCATATACCCGATGAGTTGTTCGATTTGCCGAGTTTGCCACGCCCCTATCATTATCATCGATTCCCCTGTATTTGGTACTTGATGTCGAGTTGATTTCTCCGCACTCCGCTCAGAATGTCTGAATTACTGATTTCATTAATTGTTTTCGTCAAATTGGTAGCCGTTGCCGTTTCTTCCATTTCCTCCATTTCTTCCAGTATGTAATGATGTGCATGATGATATGATAATGATGTTAAGATGCAGTAGATTATTGATACAGACCATATCCAGTTGTTTGTGAATATCTGTTTAATCCACTTTAAAGAAAACTGGCCTTGACATTTATCACTGGAAAGTCCAGACTGCACTTAGTGACTCAATCATCTCACCTGTTCACTGGCCACCCCCAACTCCGTTTCACAGATAGTACGAGAACTCACCCAGATACCTCCCATGCAACCCAAGTTTGGAAAAATGACCGCAATCGATCTCTTTCCAATCCCAGTACACCTATGTGCATAGCAACTGAAAAGTACAAAGCACTAAATGTAAAGTTCAGCATAATAGTTTCTATACTCCTTACAGACTCCAGTCCTCATCTTGTATCAAATAAATGCCCCAACCCATATATCCACCCGTGAGGTGTATCACTGTGTGAACTGAACTACAATCCCTACCTACCTACCTACCTACCTACACATAGCCTAGTAGAATACCCCTCCACACCTCCTCCTCCTCCTCCTCCTTCTTCTTCTTCCTCCTCCTCTACCCTTCTATACCACCCCCACCCGCAACAGAACCCACTCCGTAAACCGCGCCTCTCCATACCCCCCCCCTCCCAGCCCAAATACAATCCAAAGTACAGTACAGAGTATCCACATCCCAACCCAACCCTTAAAGCAAAATACCGAAGAAAGAACCAAAAGAAGCAAAAGAGAAAAGTGGACCCCCAAGCCTCATTCACTACACACTCCCAACCCCCAGTATCCCCCCGGCGAAAGTAGATGAAGTAACACATTTTGTTTTTGTAGTTGTAGTAGTTAAGTGAGAGAGATGGTTTCACCTACTTCCCTACTTAGCTACTTACTTGCCTACTGGAGTTTGTTTTCGTCTGCACCTACTTACTTGCCTGCTTGCTTGCTTCCTTTCTCGTGGGTTGTGTTCTCGGCGTGTTTTGCGTGTTTTGTTAATGGACTGCGTACTGAAACTGCAACTGCAACTGCATGCTTCATGCTTCATACTTCACTAATACGATACTGGGGCTCACTGAACGAGAAAGAACGGAACGCAACAGAACAGAACAGAACAGAACAGAGAGGAGTTCTAAGAGGGTTTTAGGTACGCGTTATGATACGATAGGACTTTTTACTGTAATTTGGATTGGAGTCGACTCTGGAGTTGAAGTTGAAGTTGAAGCTGGATCTACGCACTGTCGGACTAGAGGGGGTTTTGGTTCAGTGAGTGGTTGATTTGAGTTCCTTTCCGGTTGAGTTATTTTGATTTGGACGAGGGCATGTTGGGCTAAGAGAATAATTGTGCTAGATACAGAACGGAGGGTGTTCTTCACGGAGTGGACGTGATCGATCGGGTGAGTTTGATCGTTGCAGAATGACAGAGGACATAGGTGTGTGTGAACTGACTGATCATATCCGCGGTACAGTTAACTTGTTGTTACCGGCATCATGTCGTGCGTGGAGGGAAATGCGTGGGCTCAGAAGCTCGCAAAGGAGAGAGAGCAGTTGAGGTTGAGCGGGGAGAGTGAGAGTGCAGGTGGGCTGTCGGAGCTGAAGATGGGTATGTTTTCCTTTGTCTATTCGTCGATCATTGCTATGAACTGGTCGAAACTGACAAAAATAGTGAAAACGGTCTCTCCAGATCTAGGAAAACTGGACTATGATGCCGAACTGGCTCTCGCTATGCCGAAGCCACGACATATTCATCCCGATGAGTTCAAAGACTCGTCGTCTGGTTCCACCAAAAGTACCAGTATCTGGAGCAGAAGCATCACGAAGAAACGGTCGTTTACGGACCCGGGTCGTCAATCAGCCATGGTGAAAAAGACCGAGAAGAAGTCGGCATTCAAGACTCTCCGGTCCAAGCTCAGTCTGAAGGACCTCGCGAAGGAATTCCGAAAAGAGATCCCGCCCGCAAGCACCATGCCGAAAATCACCATTGTCCGGGGCTCGCCCTCTAAGTCCTCGTCTGATTCGTATGGTCGAGGCAGTAATTATGAGGTCGAAAAGTTGTACACGCCCAGGCCTAAGGTGATCGAGGTGCCAATGTCCGCGCCGCCCACTCAGACATCAAGCTTGATTTGTCTGGACGATAGCCTGAAGGACGCCCAGTCGCCTGCCTCTGTGTGCACGCCATCGAGGGAAGGTAGTGGCGGGGATGTCGGAATATTCAAGCACAAGCTGGTCCACAGTCATGATGCAGGTGAAGGACCGACTAACCAGCATCTCGAGGCCGTTCTCCTAGATGGATCATCACCCGCTGCCCGGACTGGTGAGTACACGAACAGTGGACAGCCAGAAATCGTCACCATGCAGCAACGCGCGTGCAGTATGAAGGCAGAGCAGGGGTCTCCCACGCCTGGTGCACCGGGGCCGACCCCGGTCCGCGAAAATGAGATTGCGCGCTCGTATTCGCCATCTGTGTATGAACCGGCCCTTTCGGAGAGGACGTCGGATCTGCCACGTCGCGAACAAGAGCATCCTGACGTTGGAGGCATTCCGGCTGCGCCACCCCAATACCCAGACAGCTGGATTGAGGTGAGCTCTGACAATCGTTTGTCGTTGGTCTCAACGGTCCAGCCCAGCCTCGAAGGATGTTCCGGCGAGTATGTCACCATCCAGGTGCCCATTGGCAGCGTCACCAGTCGTGGTGGATATGCTCCTGCTCCGCCAGACCCCGACTATCGGAACACGGCGGCGCTGGGAGAACAGCTCGCGTCACACGTAGGGCAGCTCCATTTCCACGTGCAGTGTGCGGCCCGGAGGCTCGTCAAGACCTTCGAGGACAAAAACAACTGGCACATGGACCAAATTTTCCACCACGTCGATACGATGGTCGACTTAGCCCGGCTCATCAATAACAAAGCAGCCACCCAGACTGAGCTCTTGAGAGAGGCCCAGCAGACGATGAGGGATGTCAGGAACCAGCTTGATACGGTCCGTCGCGAAATGCGCGTCATCCAGTCAAATATCAGCGCCCAGGTCCGTGAGGAGTTTGAAAGGCTGAGGCATGATCTTCAGGAGCAGGGTAAAGTTGCCCCCTGCAGCCCAGAAGCCGAGGACATGGCCGTCGGCGCTGAGCTGCAGGGCCTGCCGGCTCCCTTGACGGTGGACTCAAGCAAGCAAGCTGGCAATGAAGAGAAGGCACTGCGAGGGGTGAAAGAAGCAAAGGGTGAAAGGAAGAAGTTGCAGCGAGAGAAGAAAGAAGAAGGAAAACAGCCAGGATCGTTGGCCGTGTTACCAAGTGCAAGCTGTGTGAATAGCCAGCCCGCCGCTTACCAGAGCGTGCCCCCGGCCATCAAAGACAAGCACCATCAAAGCACGGAAAACGGAGTCAAGCATGTTGCTTGGAAGGACCAGACTCAGGACTCTTCCGGAAGCCCGACCGCAAAGGCATCCACCTTCACCAACCTTCCTGCTCAGCTGGTACCTGGAATTGGACCAGCAGCTATGCCGACTCCGCCAACCCACAGCAAGGACAACAAACTCCCTCACAAGCGGAGCTTCTTTAACCTGCGCCGCCAGCGTGATAGTGACAGTCACAATGGCGACCAGACCCCGCGCACTCTCAGCCGCTCTCAGGAGAATCGACCCCTTGAAGGCAAGCTCTCAACTGCACTCCCTGCGCAGACCAGCCCAACTCAGACCTCCACCAACGGCCAAGAAGACATCGATCCTAGCATGGTTCACCCAGCTCTTCGCAACGCCCAGCAGCGACAGATTATCCTCGACCGCGAACTTGAACGCATTCGTCTCGAGCAGCAGCAGCGTCGCCAGCAGCAAACCGGATCCCGCACTGTGCTGGTCCAGTCCAGTGTGCTGAAGGCCTCGAAATCCCATCAGATAATTGGCGTTGCAAGCGAGTCCAAGACAACGCAGTGGCCCCTTCCCAAAGCCCACCAAAACGTGACCCCTTCTTCGTCTTATGCTTCTCTTCGTGCCACTTCTCAGGGATTCGATAACCCGTATCCGAAGTTCCGGCCCGCTCCTACAACTCCCACTGCTTCCAGTTCTTCCCATAACAGTACTGTTGCTGCTGGTCCGCAAGGATTGAAGCGCATGGCGCCTCCTCGTCCGCCTCGTCCGTCTTCTCCCATCTTTCCTAGGGATGTTCATCCTCGTGATGCTTCTGGGAGTGATCCGCAGCAGGGCAATTTCTTTTGAACGTCGAATGAAGTAGGCAGGCTGTCTGCCTTACTGCTTATTTTCGATATGAGTTAAACGATATCACGACCTTATGACATGATCACGATGCATGATTTTTATGACTTGCTTTCCTTGTTTCTTTTTCTGTATCAAATCCGTGGAGCGACGGAGTCGATGATTGAGCCGGGAGTTTTAAGGTGCTCGGGATGGAAAACAAGGTGGGATGAGAAAGGACTGGATAAGATACGAACCTGGATAAGCAGTGTTTCGTGGTTGCGAATGTTTTCTTTACCGGGAATCGGAGGTCTATGCAAGTAAAGGAGGAGTAAATCTTGCTCGTGATGGAAGGGATGGTTATGGACTTAAGAAACGGCGTGGACCGTAATGAAAACTTTGAAAATTAACCCGCTAAATAACAATGCACTATTTCCGTGTCGCAATCATCTTCTCGATATCTAGAGCAGCGTCTCGGATCTGAGGACAGTAATGCTGGCGCAATAACTCGCCTTCCCATATTGTCCCCGCGAAGACGTTGGTGGCCTCGATATCTGGCGCATACGCATTGTAAACACCGTCCCCCTTGCGCTCGTCACTGTGCCACAAGGAGGCGATCCGACGGGCGTGGTGCTTGGCGACCTGGCTCATGAGCGACAGAGTCGCAAGAGCCGACTTCTCGGGCAGCTGAAGCGAGGTCGTCATGAGTCTCTTGGAGAAACTGCCGAGTCGGACCGGAGGGGCTATGCCGTGTGCACGAGACAGAAGGGTAGATTGCAGACAACGGAGGAGAAGCACCGTGGGCGTCTGGAAGTTGACCTTCTTCCTGGGTCGCCACGTCGTGTTGGCTTCGGCGGAATTCGGGTCGGGAAGTCGGAGGGATTTATCGGGGTTGTATTCGACATCGGGGTTAATGGAGAGGGTGTAGAGAGAGCGGTAGAGGTGTTTGACGAAGAAACTCAGGTCCAGGTGCAGTGCACCTGCTGCTTTGCTAGCGTCTTGTCCTTCCAGAAGGGCAAAGGCAGTGACGGTACAGAGGAGAGCCTCCCGGTGCGTGTCGCGCGTCGTCGCTGGTTCCATGTCGTCGGTATCTTCTGCCTCCTCCTCTTCCTCCTCCGCGTCTTGATCGGCATGCCCTATCAGGTCTTTGAGAGCTTCAAGCAGGTCACCGAAGAAGTCCTGGTTGATCAAGTGGGCGTATTTGGCCAGACCCTCGAGAACAGGACCCATGAGAGTTGGGATGCGGAGTTTCAGGATGCGGAAGTAGATGCCAAAGACAAGCTTCAGTGTTTCTGCCTGATTCTTGTCCCGTTCCTCGTGGGAGACCAAGGCATCAGCCACCTTCATATCCTTCTCGACAGCTTTGCGCTCCTTTAGGACCTTGCGTTCCTTCTTGGTGCGGAACTCCCGCTTCTGCTTTGGCTTTTTACCGAGCTGCGTCGCCTCCTCCGGTTCCTCGCGATCAATCCTGTCTCTTGATGCCTTGCGGGAGAATTCAGAGAGCAGACGGAGATGGAGGAAGCTATCCAGCACACTCTCATGTACGCGGAATTCCTTCGCTTTCATCATCTTCGACAGCATGCGGACAGCCTCAAGCGACACAACTCCATCCTGATCCTTTGTGAAGACTTCCTCCATTGTCTCGCGGCACTTGACGAAATCGGCATCCACTTGCCTCCGGGCGAGGCGGTTGACGAGAATCTTCAGGAGCTCGGTACGGAAGTTGAAATGGGGTACAGAAAGGAGCAGGTTGCAAGCGCAGTTGATCGCAATGCTCTTCAATCCTGAATCCACCTGGACACCATCCTTCTTGGCCGGTTTCGTAAGTTCCGCCAGCTTTTGAACGTAATGCTTATAGTTCGTGACGAGAGTTTGTTCGAACGACCGAAGCTTGCGCACATCCTTGGAGACTTTCGCGGACATGTCTTCTTCACTGAGAGGGCGAATCCGGTATCCAGGGATCACGTCTTTGTACACCGCAGCCTGCGATGCGAGGGCCAGTTTCTGAATCGCAACATGTGCTCCCTTATCCACCATTTCGGCCATCGTTTTGAACAGGGGGAGATGCTCCTCGGGATCTTCGTTGATAAGCGTGGCGATTCTTGCGAGATCCTCCTTGGCTTGAAGGATTTGTTGCTTCATTGGGATCTTGGGTGTCTCTTCGGCCTCCTCCTCGTCCTCTTCGTCATCGGGGTTCGCATCTTCCATCTCCTCGTCGTCATCGGTACCCAGAAAGCTGTCAGATTCTTCCGCCTCAGGTTCTGGCTCCTCCACATTCTGTAGACCTTCTGCCGTTTTGATAGGCAACCTGGTTCGTTCCTTGTCTTTCTTGCCTAATTTGCGCGGCCGGCGCTCATAGTCCTGTTCGAGGTCCCATTCGGCGGCATGGCTGTAGAAATCGCTCACGGATGCGCCACCCGAGGATTTGGAAACATTTTCTTCATCTCCAGGAGGGCTAACCCGTCTCCGTTTGATTGTGCGTCCAGGAGCCATCTTGACGTGCCTGGGGTATTTCTCTGGGGTCGTGCAAGTTCGCTGCGCGGGTTGACTTATTTTTTTTTCTGCGGCGCTAGGACCCAGCGGGTAAAAGCTACCGCTCCACCGCCTACTCTCCGTAGATTTTTTGACTTTCAAGGATATTCGGTTCTTGATAGCCAGCAGGTTTCACTCTTGCGACTTTTCAGTATCTGAATTTCGGCATCGCGAATTGCCAAAAAGTTTCAAGATGCGTCAACTCACCGAAGGTTAGTGCGATCATCTGCTTCTTTTCCTCGCGCATGAGATACTGAGCATTTTCACCTTCCAGACGAGACAAGAACGCTGTTCACCAAGCTCGCCAACTATACGGGGAAAAGTCTTTCGTCACTCGTTTCTGATACAACCGACGACAATGACCGCTATGTTTTCCGTCTGCACGGCAGCAGAGTGTACTATTTGCGCCTGAGTTTGGCCAACATGGCCACTTCTATCCCTAGGTCAGTCCTCGTGAACCCTGCATTAGGAAGTGTACTAATACCGCTTCCGATATTCAGATCCTCGCTTCTGTCTCTCGGTACATGCATCGGCAAGTTCACCAAATCGGGCAAGTTCAGGTAAATGGGGAATCTTCGAATACCGCGAACAGAGACTGATTCATCTTAGGATACAATTGACGGCGTTGGATGTCATTGCTCCTCATGCGCGGTACAAGGTGTGGATCAAGCAGAACGGTGTCATGCCATTCCTGTATGGCTCCAACGTGGCCAAGGCCCACGTTGGAAGATTCAGCGAGGACTGCCCGGAAAATGCGGGTGTGATTGTTATGGATATGAATGACACTCCTTTGGTAAGTGCGATCTTGAGGGGTTGAGCATTGAAGGCTAGAGTCCAAAGCTGATAGACGTTAGGGATTCGGTGTGACTGCGCGGTCTAGTGCTGAGACACGGAGAATGGAACCCACAGCCAACGTCGTGTTCCGTCAGGCAGATATTGGAGAGTACCTGAGAGAGGTAGGCTGGCCAATTCAGCGCATTTACTATCAGATTGCTGACTTCTTCCTAGGAGGATACTCTTTTTACGACCTAAGCCAAAGGCCTTGCATACGCGGGATCGAATATGGGAATTTCATACTAGATACCTGGGGATTCTGGCAGGAGTTCTGGAGTCGTCTGTCTGTACATTTAAAAAAGTGCTTTCCATTCCACATATTCATCAATTATCAAATCTATCTGGCCTCTGTCTCTCGTGACACTAACATAGTGCTCGAAAAACCGGATTATTCATCCCCGAGTCCAGGGGGACAAGAACATGGGTTTTGTTGGCTGTGTAGGTAAATTCCGCTGTATCGCGGAGATTGCCGCATTCTCGTAGGAGACTCCGTCCCTTCCTTCCCCGTCAGGACCGGGTATCATGCACAGTAATAACCAAGTCTCCGGAGTCTTTCTGGGAGACAACCAGGATTAGTTGCAATCTTAATCAAATTGTCTTTCACGATTCCGTATATATCAATTGCCACCAGATCGAGCTGGGCAGATGAGGATTGCTGTTAGATGCGGGGCACGTGCACGGGAATCTCAGTCAGCGAGTCTCGACTCGGAGATGCGCAGTTTCCCCATCTAGTGAATCCAGCAGCCGGACAATCTTCCCTTTGGTATATCCTCTCGCTTGCAGCGGTTCCTTTGACGACTAAAAGCCCCTTGAGCTCTTTGCTCTCTCGTTCCTACCCGGACAGACCTCCACAGATTCTACATCAGTAAATCTTCCCCGCAGGCCACTGCCTGCCTCACCCCACCATGCCGCCTTACTCGAGCGCCCAGAAGCAACAAATAACGCAGTTTGTGAACCTCACTCAAGCGAAGGATACATCAGCAGCGAAGGTATGTTCTCCTTTCTTGGCTAGTCTTTTGAATATGCCATATCGCTCAACCAACTCTTATCTCTGCATATCACGTGTCACGATGGCTGACCTCTCATGCATATAGTTCCTGAAAGCAGCTAGATGGAACCTGGAAGAAGCAATTGATGCGTGAGTACCCAGTCTCTTTTTCATTGTACTGCACCCCTTTACTCTATCGCCATGGCTTTGAGTTCTTTCGACTACTCATGGTCACGCTTGGTCCCGTCCTGGGGACCCGATGGTGTTTGTGTCTTGCATGGTTGTTTCGATACGTTAGGCCTGGTGACGTCTCATTTGTCCAAGAGTCATCCTGTCTGCTGCCCATCCGGATGATCGTTTAGGATCGAACCAACGAGCAGCTTGTGGTGAATGCAGGTGTGTATTGGCCGGCGTTCAACTCCGCTGTGAGTATTCCAGAGCTCTGCAGCCCTATCTGCCCTACGGCACTCCCATGAATTGCCAGGAGTACATCTCGTAAGGCGGGCACTGCCATGATGACTTTCTCTAAGCTGGACACTTGTTCGAGGCTTGGTGGGGTGGCATCCAATGCTCCCTCTGCCTCACGAGATGGAAAGGAGAAACATGCGCTAGTCTGGGGGTTTACCATGTCAGAATGCTATTATCGTATAGCAGCAAGACAACAGTCGCCTTTTGGTGTGAAAGCCTATCTGACAGCTGTCCTCGACGTTGGTGCCTTCCCAGAACCCCTCCCACACTTGGGCTTACAATCGTGCGTTGGACAAGTCTGCCCTGGGATCTAATCAATCTGTCTTCTTCAAGATAAACACAAACGTATGCTATCGCTTGCGATCTGCGAGTGCAAGAGCAAGGCAACCGGGATCTCCAACAACTGAGACTATCCAGCCTGGGTATCAAGATCTGAACGCGACATCCCAAGCCATCGAGCATTGACATCCAGGCCTTGCTTAAGATCCTTCTCATATACTTCGAGAGGATTTGGCCGACTGATCTGAACCAATGAAATGTCTGACGGGCGCTAATTAAATCCTATAGATACTTCCAGAGCTCCTCCGGTACTGTTGCTAGCACGTCTGCCATCCACAAGGTCTTTGACAGTTATCGAGGTTCGTTCCTACACCACTTTATACCCACTTCAACCGACTAACCAAACTAGATTCACCCACAGACAACCCCGATGGCATCGGAATCGAAGGAGCCATGAAATTCTACGGAGACATCAAAGTAGGACTGGACGAAGTCGCATGTCTCGGGATCGCAGAGCTCCTCAAGTCCCCATCTATGGGCGAATTCACCCGCGAAGGATTTCTCAACGGCTGGAGAGCCACCGGGTACGCATCATCTCCTTCCCACCTATCCATCCTACCCGTCTAACCTTTCCCAATCCAGCTGCGACTCAGTGGGCAAAATGATCACCCAAGCTGCAGACATCCGCGAACGGATTCCCATCCAACCAGACCTCTTCCGCCGCGTGTACCGCTTCACCTTCCCGCTCTGCCGCATGCAAGGCCAGCGCAACCTGCAGTTCGAGATTGCCGCCGAACAGTGGCGACTCTTCTTCACGCCGCAAAACGGCGGAGTCCAGTGGAATACCGCTACGACTCCGTGGTTGGATTGGTGGATTGAGTTCCTGGAGGAGCGCGGAAAGCGTCCCGTGAATAAGGATCTGTGGGAGCAAGTGGAGGTGTTCATGCGCAAGACTCAGGATGATGAGGAATTTGGATGGTGGACTGCCGATGGGGCGTGGCCGGGTGCTTTGGATGACTTTGTTGAGTGGGTGCAGAAGAAGAGGGGAAAGAGCTCGGAAGCTATGGATGTTGAGTAGAGGGGCGCGTCCTCGGTAGAATCAAATGGGATTGCCTCCTCGGAGGTTACGTTGGCATTTACGAGTGGTGGCTTGTAGATGGGGAATCTTGAGATTTGTATTGACATCGGGTACTATGGCATTGAGAGGAAGAGGTATGCAGATGGTCGCCAGGATAAATAAGAGAAAACGAAACACATTCATCGTAACAGGTGCAGCGCAACATATCTTCATCTCGACGCCAGAGCTAGACGAGAGATATGTTCGGATCAAATTAGGATGTCATAGGGGATGGATGGACGACAGGGGTCAGTGTGCTAGATGGGCCCCGGCCGCTGTGGCCGCTCTCCCGGCACTTCTTCCGGCTTCGGAAGGTTCATATCCGACCGGGTATTCCGGCCCAAATCGATCACCAGAGGTAGTCCACATGTCCGGTCGGCAGTCATAAGGTAGGTATAGTATATTTACATCGTCTACCGGTAGTCGCCCTTGTCGTACTCGCTACCAGGACCGCGGCGTTGGTCATAGCGCTGCCATGCTGTTAGCGACTGATCGCATCCGATCCTCGGAGAGGTGGGGATCAGCTTACCTTGCGGAGGGCCTCAAGACGCTTCTTCTTGGTGTGCGTGTTGACATAGGTTCCAATGACGAACCCGACAATGTTGAAGAACGGCACCCAGGTGTGCTCGGGGAGGAACTTCTGGGCAAAGGCCAGCGCAATGGGCGAGGTGACCCAGCTGACCTTCATGACGGGCATGAAACCAGCCCGCACGGTTGCACGGACCTGGTGGAAGGTGCGCGCGCCCGCGATCACCGCCATGCAGCACAGGTACACGGCGTTCTGGATGGGAGAGACCTGCGGCGCGTCAGCATTCCTGCTGAATTCTAGAAGGCACTGATCGAACATACAAGCAGATTGCTGGCGAGGATCTGCAGAATCTTAGCCTTGACGCTAGTCCGGCCAGCAAAGACCCGCTGAAGAATGCCGATGAGGAAATGGCCCAGCGGGGCACTGATGAACATTCCATAAAGGGCCATCTTGGGAACGCGGGCGCTGAAGTAGTGGCCATGCTTGCTGACATCATGCGCGATCCAAGAGGCCAGAATTTCTTGCAGACTGGACAGAACACCGGAGGTCAACATCTTGGTGCGCAGGGGGTTCGACTGCAGTTGGCGGAGGTAGAGCTATAAAGGTTCGCATTGCCTCAATCAGTGGGCTGCGAACACGCATCAGGGGCATTCTTGCAGACGCAACCTACAGCGAGATAGCCATCGCCAGTCAACCGATTCCCGACCTTGTGCACCAATTCCTTTGTATCTTCCCGTATCGAGGTGACGGCCTCGTCTTGAAATTTGGCGGACACGTCCTGGAAGGTGGTGGACACGTCTTGGAACTTGGTCGACATGATTGTTGATGTGGGTGGTTGAGGCTGAGGTTGAGAGAAGGTTGGGGATTAAGCGCGCGATATGGTCAACTAGACGGACGGAATGCAGGGGATGATAAAGTCAAGAAGACGACGGCTACGGAAATTACGGGACACGATTAGCCAAGCAAGATAACGAGGAAGATAGAAACCACAATGGGGTCTGATAAAATGAAGATGGGTGGAGTGGAGTGGAAGCGGAAGTGGGAGAGTGAGATTGAGATTGAGATCAGGTGGAAAACATGGGGTTGGTTGGTGACGGAAGATGCGCTGTCCCGCGAGACACAAAGGGGAACGGAGGGACCAGGGGGGGGAATCGGGGAATCGGTTGGTTTGTTTATGAGCAGCAACAGCAGCAAGCAGTTCTGACTAGCAGACGGGAAGGTCAAGAGCGAAGCTTACCGAGGTCGGAAGAGAATTAGGACCAGTTCCTGGCGTTATTGGCAGTATGGGGAAGGTCAACGCGGATAAGACGCCCGGTCAACCACGGAACACACCCTAAGCTGATGGTAGTCTAGTTCCGTAGTCTAGCAACGCAAGTCACTACAGTCGGGATGAAGGTGGAGGACGCTGGACTGCTGGAGGGGGAACAACGACGGTCGGCCACGAGGTCGGCAATTGGCGATTGCGTCGCTTTATACCCGCCGCTTCAGCCCGCCTTCGGTCACCTCCGACAACCTGTCCACCTCCCGACCAATGCTGGATCTCTGGGGGCCGCCGGGGGATCAATATCTGCCAGGTCTTATTTTCCTTCCCATTTCATTCAGTCATTCTTTCTTTCATGTTTTGTCATTATGCATTTCTCTTATTTTGTAGATGGTGGTTGTATCTACGACTCATGGCATGCAGTCCATCGGGTTCTCTCTCGTCTCCATGAGGGGCAATCCTTGATCGAATCCCAACCAATGGGACAGACAACGTGTACTTTGTCAGTAGGAACAATCTGCCCAAACCCGGAAGCCCTAAGAGGTGCATGCGAAGTGCTACCTTAAACAAAGAGTAACCGGGCTGACAACCAATAGACCGCATTCTCTAAGTATCTATACCAGACTACCCTAATCTGTATAGCCTTCATCCACTAACAATCACACAGGTAGAGCCGTCTGTTCATACCATATTGCCATGTAGAAATTGAACAATTTTTGGTTCTCCTGCACACCGTTTACTATGTTACCGTTACGGCTTAATCCGTGTAGGGCCATGGGCTTGTCGCCCTGGCGTCTACTCTGCTGCTACCGTGTCGATGAGAACCCTCAGTGTGGACGCTCTTTTGCAGCGTTTGGTTGCTCTGTTACTCTGGGCGCCGAGACTGTGAGCCAGTGCAGTGTTGGGAAAAGATTACGCACGCTCAAATCTGTTAGGATGCTACAAGTGTCACGTCCTTTCACACGGCTATCCCTTCATCATCACACATATACTGGCCTGCTGGCATTTGTGTCTCCTATATCCCCAGGCTTTTGCTATGTCTTCCAATTCGTCTGAAAATGGGGATGAAAGCCCCGAGAGCTCACCCTCAAGTCCCAGGTCACCCTCAGAGCCCCCTCTAGAGAGCGAACCTTCCGTCAGAAGCAGCCGGGTTCGACCTTACTTCGATCTGTCAACTATTGATACTTTCTACGAGCTTATAGTCCATCAGGATGACGGGAGAATCCGACTTTATCCTCCATTTTTCGAGTACGATGACCAGGATGCTTGGAGCCGTGGACAACATGACTGCAAACACGACGTGCTACTCCGCGAGTATGCCATAGATGAGTGTGAAACGTGCGATTCCTGCGGCAATGTCCCAACTCTCGGATGGTTCTATCGTTGTGGGGTGGACATCTCTGGGTACTCTCATCAGATGGATCCTGGCCAGGACCCAGTTGTAAGTCCCTGGATTGCCGACGCAATGAAGGTCGGTTGCTACGATAGCACACAGAAGGAAATTCTCGAGCAACAAAAGCTGAAGGTCGTGCAAGTAGCCACGCAGCATCGCATTAGTCAGTTGGTTGCGTTTCCTGTGACGGGAGTGATATACGGGATTGATCCCGACGACGACGATGACAACCCTCATGTTGAGATTATTGAAGATGTCTCCGAACAAGATCATAACCCTCCCGCTCTCGAACGTTCGGCAAACTCCTTGGTGGCCCCTCCTCCTTGCAGCTATCGTGCTTGTCATGATTGTGCGCCTCGACTTCAAGAACGCGTGTGGCTTAGCATCAATGAGATATGCAGAGACTCGACAGTAAGAGCCCCGACCCAGTGGGACCTCCGCGACCAATCCATCTCAGATGCAAGAGTCGTGAGCAATCTAGGACTAAGGCCCTCCTCTGTCCCTCTCCCCGATGTCTCTCGCCACTCACATGCCCCTACTGAACGGATGATCCTTTCTTCGCCCGATTTCTCTGCCACTCCCTCTATTGGACCCTCTACCACGCCTATCGCTGGATCATCTGCCTTACCATCCGATGGACGTACTAAACCATACCGTGGGGGGCTTAGACGGCTGATCCGTAAATCCTTCACTAGCCGCTCTCTCAAAGCCCCTTCGTCTCTCACTCTGTCGACGTCCATTCTAGCTCCAATTACCACCCAGGTCGCTGGAGCCATTACTGGCTTCTTCAGCAAGTCTAATCCTGTTGCACCACCACCTCCTCCTCATAGGGAAATTCCCGGGCGGCTGAGCACTCGACCTGCCGCATCTTCCGAACCCTCTGCGAATCCCACTGCCAGCAGCTCGCAGACCGCCCCTTCCTCCTCTTCCTCTGAACAGATGCCTTCAGGCTGGCCTCGTCCGTTGACCTATCAAACCGCATGGAACAGTATCAACAAGCATCCCAAGCGCCCTAATCTGCCCAATCGGGTCAAGCGTACCATCGTCTGGTTCCCGCCGACAATCTATGAGGAACGTGAGGAAGAGTATCGGGAGCCAGAATCAGATGACGATGACGATGATGAATCAGGTGGCTGCCCCCTTGATCCTGAACCTCCTACGAAGGACAAGGGGAAACGACGTGCCTGAAGGTCACTGCAGGACATGATCGTGAGAAAGATACAAACCGGGGAGGTGGGAGAGGGGTATCAACCTAGAGCCACTTGATGTTTAGCTGATGGATCGGATCTCAAGTGACATTTTCCCGGGTTGAATATGGACCTCTAATATGTGTGCATCGGTTTCAGAAGGAAGCTCTAAGACATATGATGTGGGGTGGGAAGTTCCTGTCGTGTATTTTTAGTAGGCATTGTCGGAAGGAACCATGTAACGAAGTAACGAGACAAATTGATAATAATGGAATTTAGATCCTCGGTATCTCTCCAAGTAATCGAAATGTCAAGTTAAGCATGGCGCGAGTATCTAATCTAACCCATAATCTAGCCCACCTTCGGCACTACGGGCAGGTCCATCCAGGACCCATCGTTCCGAGCCAATTCCGAACCTCGGCACCGCGCCAAGCGCAGATGCTGATCAGATGCTGATGATCACGCTCTCCTTCTCCGAAGATAAAGGTCCCATCCTTCCATGTCCAGACTTCGGAAATGACACTATATACCACCGAAGACCATGGCAGACTCTGGACCCTCTCCCGACCCCTCTCCGCCCGCCGTCGCCGCTGAGCATGAAAAGCACGGTGAGGGGAACCCGGCGAGCCCTGCGGGGACATCACCGCCGGTATCGTCGATAAACGGTGCTCGACGCCAGCTGCTGGCAGCTCTCAGAACAACGGATGGCACTGTCGACCGCTTGGACAGGTGAGCGCTTCTTCCCTATCGCAACATTATCATGCAGTCATCCCACGCCTGGGGGCTCAATGACCGCGCGCACGATCCCACTAATACCATCCTCCAGGCTCATGGCCACAGCCGCCGGTCAAGAACGAGTCCTCGCAGTAACCGGCTATCTCGCACATACACTTCATCACATCCTATCCTCTGCACCATGGATAGCCTTCCAGACGCGTCTAAGCCTTCTCGCCCGGCTACGAAACCACTCCAAATCCCCCAATTCTAAGCCCACATCCTCATCGTCGCAAAAGTCGCGACTTCTCGCCCTCTCCTCCCTCATGTCCGAGACTCGCTTTACACTACGACTTCTTGGCCTCGTTCCACTCTGGACTTGGGGCTCTCAGACAATCAAGTCCCCGCCCTCCGACCGCATCCTCTACATCCTCACCCTCCTCCAAGTCTTCGTGAACATCATCTATCAGGCCCTCGAGAACGTCGGCTATCTTGCATCAAAGGGCGTAGTCTCGAAACGATTCGTCGACCGATGGGGTGGTATCGATAAGTGGTATATCTGGAGCACAAGGGCATGGTTCGGACACATCTTCTTCCAGTTCTTCGTCCTATGGAGAGGGACGGTATTGCGGAAGAAGAAAATGGCTACTGCGGATAGCAAGGAGAAACGAGATGCTTTGAAGGCAGAGATTCGGTCATGGAGGAAGAGTCTTATGAACAACGTATGCTGGGCTCCGTTGTGTCTACACTGGTGCTTCGAGAAGGGCATTGGATTCCCGGAGCACTTGACTGGGTTTGTCAGTTTCCTGGCTGGTGCTTGGGAATTCTGTGACTCCTGGGCTGCGACAGGGTCGTCGTGAGCTGAATAGGTTACAGTTGGCTTGGATTTGGTATTCTTTTGAGCGTTTATATCCTGGTTTTGGCTTGTGGGGTGGGTGGAGGCTATAGAGAATTAGATCAGGAACGGAAGACGGCTAATCCATTAGCTTGCTATACTAAATAAGGAGAAATCATGTATGAGCATAACCCCAGACTTATCCACCGTATCATAACGCCTATGCAAGTCCCAGCAGAAGCAGACCATTTGATCCTAACCCGTGCTAAATCGCAGAACAACTAATCCATGGAACCCATCTCCTACAACGAATCTCCCAACAAATTCTCAACAAACCTCTCCTTCCACTCCCCCAACGACGTCCGTCGAGACAGACAAATATTCTCATAAAACTGACTGCCCAAGAACTCATCTACCGGCCAGGCATTCCTCTCCATAGGAATCAACCCTTCTTGAGAATCAACCCAAACAAACGCCCCCGCATCAACCACCCTCTGACTCAAAACGACATGTCTCTGCAACAAGCCATCAACCTGGGTAATAGTAACCCGCACATTCACCAATTCCATCAGTCCACTTTCCTTTTCGTAGATGGCGTTTCGCTGCACGGCATCCAGACCAAAGATGAGCATACCCTCTACCGTATCTTGGGGATCCGATGAGGGTACCATGACGGGTGTGCTGTCCGGTCCGATTCGGTAGAGCTTATGGCCTCGGAGCGTTGCTCGCGTCATTTGCTTGGCTATGATCTCCGTCTGGGGGGTGTCGAGGTAGTGGCTTAGGACGGTGGGAAGCATGAGGACCCCGTAGACGAAGCGGGGTGTACATCCTGGTTTGTTGAGATGGTTGGTTACGTCTTCGGGACTGAGCTTGTTACTGAGTGCTAGTTGGAAGTTGCGAGGGTAGGTGGGTTTGGTTTCCATCCTGGGGATTTGGTCGTGGTGACGTAGGATGTATAAATTCCCTTCTTGATGAGGACGGCTCTGCCGCGCAAGTTATGTCTTGAGGAGTGGTGGTGGTGGTGGTGGTGGTGTAGGAAATGCCTCACTATGATGGATTAGGCTATCCTTAGATGGAAAGGTATGGATGAGGGAGACGTGATATTGGAAGCGAAAGGCTGTGGTTACATGAGGCTATCACCGATATACTACATGGGCATGATGATGTATTGAAGACCAACTCACTCGTCGTGCAGCCGTTGTTCAGTTGCCCGCATTGTGACTTAATTCCCCACGGCAAGACTGGTGTAATTGAGCACAGCTAATAACATTAGGTATAGCTCTGGCTGAGGCCAGCCGGGACGATGCAGCTCCCATCTGCTGTGCAAGTGTCATGCCTTCCAAGCACGGTAGCCTGTGCATAGGCAGCAGGACGCCGGCGAGGCATTCCACCACAAGGCTGCGAGGTAGTATTCAGACAACGCCTTGGGCAGGTGTTAAAGCGCCCGGGCCAAACCAGGCTGGAGCCATGGCTGGCTGTCATATGAAGCATTCCATGCATGCAGGCTGCGGGAGCTTGCCTGAGGCATGATGCCACAAGGCGGTGCGGTGCAGTGCAACTTCAGGCCAGGAAATCTCCGGCAGATCAAGGGGCAACAGCCACCGTAAGTCATTTGTGTGGATTGCGGCTTAGAAAGCAGGAAGAACCCATTTCAGGGTCTAAAAAGCGTATAGGATAGTAGCGAGATGCTAGTAGTACGATGGACTCCATAGTACTCCGTAATGAGACTCAAGATTAGGCCCCGAGGACGATCACTAAGAGTGGATACGACCGGCTTCCATGCGCTTCTCTCCCCAGGCGGTGGCGGCAAAACAGAGGGTGGCTCGTGAATCTGCTGCAACAGCTTAAGTCATCAGCCCCCGGTAGGGCCTGGCACTATCGTCACCTCTTAACGGGAGCTCTCTCTGCCAACCTCCGATCTCACTTCCAACTCTCTCCACCTCTGCCATCCCATCCCATCCCTTCCAATTTCCCCTCCCCCTCAGGCATCTCTTCCTGTCTGGTGGGACTTGTCTTTCTGTCCTTTTTCCTTTTCACCTCCATTTTCGCCTTGGTCCCTGTTGCCGAGCTTCGCCAAATCCGGTACAGCGACAGTCCTTGATACGTTCCCAACTGTCTACGTTGCTTTACGCGCCTTATCCAACCCCCCTCCTTCAAGATGAGCTCGGAACCGGATCACACCCACGACAAGAAGAGGGTCAACCTCCAGTATGTGATGAGCCTCTCTGGCGTTGAATCTCCCACCGCCCACCAGCTAACGTATCGCACAGAGACGCCTCCGGCGCTGAGAAGAAAGAGGTAAAGACTTTGCCAGCACACGGGAAGGACCTTGATGGTGATACTGACACGCTCGTGCAATAGGAGCTTGATACTTCGACGGCTATTCTGAAGAAGAAGAAGAAGCCCAACTCCTTGATGTAAGCTAGTGTTGTCTCGTGCGGGGATGGTTGGGTACTGACTGCATGGGTGCTAGTGTCACTGACGCCGTTAACGATGACAACTCCGTTATCGCCCTCTCCAACAACACAATGGACACCCTTCAGCTGTTCCGGGGTGACACCGTCCTCGTCAAGGGCAAGAAGCGCAAGGATACTGTTCTGATTGTGTTGGCGGACGATGATCTCGATGATGGAAGCGCTCGCATCAACCGTGTTGTGAGACACAACCTCCGTGTCAAGCACGGCGACATCATCACCGTCCACCCTTGCCCCGACATCAAATACGTGAGTGCTCCTATTTCCAACGCGATCTAGTGGTACTAACCACGCTTCTCCTACAGGCCAAGCGTATTGCCGTCCTTCCCATCGCAGACACCGTCGAGGGCCTGACTGGCTCCCTCTTCGATGTCTTCCTCGCCCCCTACTTCCGCGAAGCCTACAGACCCGTGAGACAGGGAGATCTGTTCACAGTAAGAGGTGGTATGAGGCAAGTGGAGTTCAAGGTTGTCGAGGTGGACCCCCCAGAGTACGGTATTGTGGCTCAAGATACTATCATCCACTGCGAGGGTGAGCCGATTCAGCGCGAGGATGAGGAGGGTAACCTCAACGAGGTCGGTTACGACGACATTGGTGGCTGCCGGAAGCAGATGGCTCAGATCCGTGAATTGGTCGAGCTGCCCCTTCGCCACCCTCAGCTGTTCAAGTCGATCGGTATCAAGCCCCCTCGTGGTATCCTCATGTACGGTCCTCCTGGTACCGGTAAGACCCTGATGGCTCGTGCCGTGGCCAACGAGACCGGTGCCTTCTTCTTCCTGATCAACGGTCCCGAGATCATGTCCAAGATGGCCGGTGAATCCGAGTCGAACCTGCGCAAGGCCTTCGAGGAAGCTGAGAAGAACTCCCCTGCCATCATCTTCATCGACGAGATCGATTCCATTGCTCCCAAGCGTGAGAAGACCAACGGAGAGGTCGAGCGCCGTGTCGTCTCCCAGCTCCTGACCCTGATGGACGGCATGAAGGCTCGCTCCAACGTCGTCGTCATGGCCGCCACCAACCGCCCCAACTCCATCGACCCTGCCCTCCGCCGTTTCGGTCGTTTCGATCGTGAGGTCGACATCGGCATTCCCGACCCCACCGGCCGTCTTGAGATCCTGCAGATCCACACCAAGAACATGAAGCTGGGTGACGATGTTGATCTGGAGACCATTGCCGCCGAGACCCACGGTTACGTCGGTTCTGATCTTGCCTCCCTCTGCTCCGAGGCTGCCATGCAGCAGATCCGTGAGAAGATGGATCTGATCGACCTCGATGAGGATACCATCGATGCCGAGGTCCTCGACTCTCTTGGTGTCACCATGGAGAACTTCCGCTACGCCCTGGGTGTCTCCAACCCCTCCGCCCTGCGCGAGGTTGCCGTCGTCGAGGTGCCCAACGTTCGCTGGGAGGACATTGGTGGTCTGGAGGAGGTCAAGCGCGAGCTTATTGAGAGCGTCCAGTACCCTGTCGACCACCCCGAGAAGTTCCAGAAGTTCGGTCTTTCGCCTTCTCGCGGTGTTCTGTTCTATGGCCCCCCCGGTACTGGTAAGACCATGCTTGCCAAGGCCGTGGCCAACGAGTGTGCTGCCAACTTCATCTCGGTCAAGGGTCCTGAGTTGCTGAGCATGTGGTTCGGTGAGTCGGAGAGCAACATCCGTGACATCTTCGACAAGGCCCGTGCTGCAGCTCCTTGCGTTGTCTTCCTGGACGAGCTGGACTCCATCGCCAAATCCCGTGGTGGTTCTGTTGGTGATGCTGGTGGTGCCTCTGACCGTGTCGTCAACCAGCTCCTGACTGGTAAGTGCTGATCTTGTGTATCATGGAGCAGTAACTGACTTGTAACAGAAATGGACGGTATGACCTCCAAGAAGAACGTCTTCGTCATCGGTGCGACCAACAGACCCGAGCAGCTCGATGCCGCTCTAGTCCGCCCTGGTCGTCTCGACACCCTGGTCTACGTTCCTCTGCCCGACCAGCTCTCCCGTGAGAGCATCCTCAAGGCGCAGCTCCGCAAGACCCCCGTTGCGGGCGATGTCGACCTGACCTTCATTGCTAGCAAGACCCACGGCTTCTCCGGTGCCGATCTTGGCTTCGTCACCCAGCGTGCCGTCAAGCTGGCGATCAAGCAGTCCATCAGTGCGGACATTGAGCGCACGAAACAGCGTGAGGCTCTGGGCGAGGATGTCAAGATGGAGGACGAGGAGGTTGAGGAGGAGGACCCGGTGCCGGAGCTGACCCGGGCGCACTTCGAGGAGGCGATGAAGTCTGCCAGACGGTCGGTCAGCGACGTGGAGATCCGCCGGTACGAGGCATTTGCGCAGAGCCTGAAGAACTCGGGCGGCAGCAGCTTCTTCCGGTTCCCGTCGGCGGGTGAGGTGACGGACAACAACACGTTTGGTGAAGCCGGCAATGACGACAGCCTCTATGACTAGTGTTCTTTCTTACATTTACATGTTCCAAGTTTGCTATCCATCTGCACCAGTTAGAAACAGCGGGTTTTGAGGCAGGAGAAATGCCGGACTCGGTCATTCGTATTGGGGTATTTCTTGAGATTGATCTGTCGAGCATACTGGTGCTATAATATAAACTACATGGTATTCTGTAGTCAAGGTATCTATCTCTACTGAAGTGGATATGTAGAATGTGCATTACTGCTACTGCTGTGGTACATAACTCCAGCAGATAATGCTGGTATCAAGAGAACTACTCCGTATGCAGGCCTGAACCCAGCCCATCAAAGAAGCAACACCCGGCTCACCGTACCCGATACCAACGCCCGATAGAAACCACAAAGCAAACAACATAGGGGATATACGATATACCTAACCGTCAGTCAGCGTGACAGTAACCAACCACCCGAACACCCACCACGCCAGCCAGCAAGCAAGACAAAAATCAAGAAAGGAATCTTCCGTAGACAACGATAATAACAAGTCAATCATTTGACCTGTTTCCCCGTCTTCGGCTTCTTCTCCACCTTTTTCACCGGACTCGCCGTATCCCCATTCTTCGTTGACGATTTGCTCTTCTCCTTCTCCTTCTCTTTCTCTCCACTTCCACCCGTCCCATTCTCCTCCTTCCCATGTCCATGCGAGTGCCCATTCTCCCCATCCAAAATATCCCCCCCATCATCCGCAACAACCACCTCCCTCAGAACCTCCTTAATCGCCCTGACCCCCTGGTCCACCACCGCCTGCGGAATGCGTACATCGTACGTCTCAAAATTCTCGATCCCGTCGTCGTCGTTCCCAATCCCTATCCCCCCACTAGCACCCTGCCCATTACTACTCTGCTGCGACTGTGATTGTGACTGCTTGATCCTATTCGCCTCCACCAAAACAGGATGTTTCCTCCCCTCCGCGGACGCGACCACGGCCTCGAAAACCTCGTCGAAGCGCTCGCAGCGGCCGCCGCGGAGAAGTTCCTGGGCGAGTTTGCGGATGCGTTCTGTCCAGCCGAGACGTTGGAGGGAGCTGAGGAGGGTGGTGTGCAGGTCTTCGAGGGCGGGGGTGCTGGTTAGGTGCTGGAGGAGGTCGGATTCGAGGGTGTCTATGGTGGTGGAGGTGGCGGTGGTGGAGGAGGTGTGGGAAGGGGAGGAGGAGGGCATTTTGGTGTGTGTTGTTGTTGGATGTTGGGTTGGGTGAAGTGAGGTGAGGTGGTGAGTGAGTGTGTGTGTGGAGGCGCGATGGGAGGTGATCGCGTTGGCGCGCTGCGAGAGAGTAGAGAGGAGAGGAGTTGGTGGGTGTGGGTTGATGGGTATATGGTCTGAGTCTGGTCGGAGTAGAATGAGGGGATATGGTGCGAGGTCAATGCTCAGATCTGGTGACGATTGTGGTAATGGTTGTGGCTGGATTGCGGATTGCGGCGGTGGATGTTAGGAGATATCTTGCGATCGCGATCGTTAGCGGGTACAGAAGAGGTTGCGCGGAGTAGTGGTACCTTGCGGTTAGTGATACCTTGCGGTCTTGTGGGCAAGTCCCAGCTGGTGCGACACAAGTAGCTGAAAGCTCTGAGCGGAGAGGAGGCGTTGGGGGCGAGAAAGATACTAACTAGTCCGGGGAAGAGAGGAGGGCTGGCGGTGGTCGGAGGCCCGCGCAGGAACCGCCGATAAGATGCCGCGACGGAGGAGCAGCACTAGTCGGTACGGAGGAGAATGGGACGGTTCAATAGGGGAGGACAATGTTAATGGAATTAGTGTTATTGGCTGCCGGAGATTATAGATGATCAATAGACTCCATTACTGATTCAGGAGACAATGAAGAGAGTGTTGATTCACCCGCCGATTCTTTTTTCCCAAAGCGTCATGGATGGGGCTGCATCCAAATGACAGAACATAACACAAATGATTACTCCAACCCCATCACGATAGCCTTATTGACCTTGGCAATATCACACTGACTGAATCTAAGGGATCATTGTTCTTTTACTCCATAGTACTCCGTACTCCATCCTCCGTATGTATCTGCAGCATAGCCGCCTGACATCGCATCGCATCGCATCGGACGGACGCGCCGCTCATCCCCGTTGGCTACGGCTATAGGGAGGCGCCGACGCGGGGCATATTCTGAACAAGGCTTCAGGGTTTGTCCGATATAAATAGATAGGACCGGCGGTTGGCGCATCGAATGGACCAGGGTGCAATCTTTGCGCCGGGGTGGGTATACCTACGTAGACATGCTGGCTCCACTGCCGGGGGGGTGTAGATAATCTTCGTAGTTCTTTCAGCGGCACTGCACCGAACAAAGAAGGGGGTTAGCTGCGTGGTGGAATGATCAGATGGCATCCGAGTGTCCTGGTTGATATCGTTTGGCGCCGGGATGGCTGGCACCGCCACATGTTCGTGTAAGGTTTGCTGCGCTGCCAGCCAGGGATTGAAGTGTGACAACCGGGCTGAAGCCTGAAAGACCCATGGCGGATGGCTGGATTCTTAGCCGTGCAAGGGGTATTAAGTTTCCTGATAAGATGGGAGGCAGTCGTCATCCTAATGCGGCGTCTACATATCGTCTGTAGGTGCTTCCTTGATTCATGCAGCAACGGACAGTGAGGGATTCGAAGCCTGCACAAGGTTGCGGAGCGGATTATGCTGTTGGTCATCAACACCAGTATTTGTGATCGACATCATCGCCAGGGGAGATCTTCGACAAATGTACTCCGTACTCCGTCTTGGATGCCACTCCGACTGCGGAGCCACGAATAGTATCGGGGGAGAATCCATTTGTATGGCTTTCCCGACCAGCTCAGCGATCACCCTGCCATGGGACAACCTCGGTATTGAGCCGTAGATTCGGCCGTTACTAGCCGCCATCCAGGGAGGTGAACAAAGGACCCTCTTCCACCATACGTAATGCAATCGCTCCAGGCGGGGGATTCGCGGATATCGATGCTGGAATAAACTTCTACGGGCACAGGCACACGGCGATAACGCCGTTCGGCGATAGTATCCGAAGGGATAAATATAGAACGGAGACCCAAATTCTAGCTAATCGGGAGAAAAGGCTAGAAAAGGGGCAAGCGATGGAAAGAGTTTTACGGATGGAGCATGGGCGTCCTTGCATGAAGGAAGCCAGCAACAATTCAGACCATCCATGATCCGACCAAATGGCACGATGACAGCGGAGGATTCGGACCCAGGGCCAGGCCGAAAACGTCAAGGCTCCGGCACTATTGGATTTTGACAGCGCCTGCGCTGAGGAAGAGTGGGAGCAGCCAACCCCTCTGTCCACTGGCCGTTGAGCATCCGGGGCCTTGATTCTGGTTCGCATGAACACCGATCCAAACTAGTCGCTTTTGTGTGAGAATAGTTTTGCTCACTAGGAGGGCGCCTCGTTAGTGTCCTCAGTTCATCCAGGGGATGCATGCCCGGCCTGTGCCGTTTTTGCTTATTCTTTTTTATTTTTATTTTGTTTTCATTATTTTTTTCTTTTTTTTCCTTGGTTGAAATAATATTGGGCGCTTGAAGTCGGCACTGGCTCTCCTTTTTTTTTCATTTTTTGGAGGCTTCTCTTGCTATTCGTCTGCGGGATGCGTCACTGAGTGATTTTGCTCCGGGCCTGGCTGGGGACGATGCAAGGATGAGCGATCCATTACCCGTCGTGAGGGTGTCGGGGAGAGCCGAAGAACGGCCGACAGTAGGTCTGTATAAGAGAGTAGCCCCAGTTGAGCGAGATAAGTGGTGCTGGTGGTGGTAGTGGTGCTGCTGCTGCTGCTGCTGAGAGTCCAGACCGACATCACGTGCGACGATCCAACTTTAGAAGCGCCTCTCTTTTCCCGTTCGGCGGTTGGTTCGCTCGACTCCGCGCCCAACCAGCTGCTCTTCTCTCCTCTTGCTCATCGTCTATCGCTGGCTCACGCCGCCTCTCCTTTGCCTGACCTTAATCCTCTCCCATCTCGCCGTTGGTCCCACCGAGTCTTCCCCCCGTGGACGGTGTTCCCTGACAGTGCAACGAGGCCCCTTCGCACCCGGTTGGTCCCCAGAGTTGGCCGAGCTTCCCCGCTCTCTCGCTCTGGCTGCATGCCTACTAGCCTTGTTGGCCTCAGGTTCCCTCCGCTGCTGCTCCTCCATCACGGCCTTCTTTTTATGCTTCGCCGCCCCTTCGCCCTGACTCTCCTGAGTTCACCTTCCTAGCCTATCCTCCTCGATCCTGTCCTCATCATTCGACCTTCGCAGTGCTTAAGATCCCCACGGTCCGAGTCCTGGCTTTGGCCCGCTTTCCGTCCCTCCCGTTCATATAGCACGCCTGCTCAGACTGAAATCGCTCTCCAACGCTGTTCATTTGAGTCGAATTCGTCCGTGCTTGGCCTTGATCTCGTGGCGTTGCTCTGTGCGGCCGGTCTCCCTGTTGCTGTTTGATTTTCGGCAACCTGTCCCTGGACCAAGAGGCTGGCGCTTCGCTGAGTCTGCTAGCCGGTCCGACGTCCACCCCAGCCCCCCTCTTCGCATCCTCGGGCGTCGTCACCGGTCTTTGAATACTTCCTCTCATCATGTCACTCCACACCTCTTATCATGCCGACTCGGATGCGGATGACGAGTACGAGCGCAGTGTCATCACGTCGCCCCATCTGGCCACCGACTCCGAAGCCTCTCCTTCTGAATCTGAATTCCCGTCAGCAGAACACACCCCAACCACCTTGGCCAATATCGACGAGAATCCGCGGTCTCCTCGAACGATCATCACCGAATGGACTGCGGAAGAGTGTGCCAACTTTGTTGCCGCCCTCGGGCTTCGTCAATACTGCGGGGCATTTATAGGTAAGCCAAGGTTCCAAGGTTCCAAAACTGAGGCGCTTGGACACCAGGGTCGCTGACTGCATGGGGTTTGCGTAACATAGAGAATGAAATCGTTGGCGAAGCGCTCATTGCCCTGAAGCACGATGAGCTGAAGGAAATGGGCATTGCGAGTGTGGGACATCGGTTGACCATCCTGAAGAGTGTATACGAAACCAAAGTCAAGCAAGATATTCCCATCGACGGAGATCATTATATCCCGCTTTGTATGTTTCCTGAATAGCTCCTTCTGGGGGTTGCGGCCCGTAATATCATCATGACTGGCTAACCTTATTACCTCGGCAGCTGCGGACCAGAGCATGAACGAAGGCGCGACCCAAGAAGACATTGCTCGGTTGATTCAGTCGATCCGGATACGAGATGAGCGCATTGTGACGATGGAGTCAGAGATGCGGCGTATTGCAGAGGAGTACCGTCGACTGCGCGAAGAACTGCTCCCCGTTTTCAAAATGGCAAAGGACAAATCACAACCGCTCCCCCCACCGACCTCCGTGCCAGTATCCAGCTCCGATGGATATCACGATGGTCAGACGCTCACGTCTCCATCAGGAATTACCCTTTTGGATCGGTCTGGGTCGATCCTATCCCGAACATTTTCCAAAAGGGGCCACACTGGGGGCACTACTCCTAAGACTAACTCGCCTACCCATATTCCACCTTCGATTCACGAGGGCCGAATGTACAGTGATGGCGGCGGGCTTGATCCGTCAACGGCAAACGCATCCCACATGACTATCCTCAACGGCAAGTCGCAACTCTCACCCGGTATCCCCAGCCCGACGTCTCCAGGCAACCACTACGCCCCGCAAACTCTAGCCTCGCGAGCCTATACGCAATCGAGTTCTAGCAGCGTAAACCATGTTTCCCACAGTCATCACGAAGACACACTTCCACCACAGTCCCGATCAGATCGGTTGAATCCTACACCTACCCAAGCCACACGCCCGGACATCCCTACTCGGTCGGAATCCCGGGCAACGCAGGAACCGCCTAGTGTTGAAATCTTCAAGTCCTTCCGCGTGTCGATGGACGATCCGTGCCATAAGGTTCTCCCGGCGGCGCTGAAGAAGTACAACATCAACGCGGACTGGAAGCAATACGCACTCTACATCGTATATGGGGATCAAGAACGATGCCTCGGATTAGAAGAGAGGCCACTTATCCTCTTTAAGCAGCTTGAAAAGGAAGGCCGCAAGCCGATGTTCATGTTGCGGAAGCAAGTCCATCCCATCGAGAGCGGCATGTACTCTGGGGGTGGGTCTGCACCTAACAGCGCTGGCTTTGAGGGACGGCAAGCTCAGATCAACCTGCCAGGCGGAGTCCTGTGATCTGCAGCAGCCTATTTCGACAGTAGCATCATTACGTTTACTTGTTACTTGAGATACCCCGGGACCTCTTCTAGGGGTCATTTCATTTCCATTCTTGCCATGAATACAGGCTTCTGTCATTGGCTCTCTTCATATCATCCTATCATCATATCAGCGGTGTTTTGGTGTTGGGGATCCGGAACTGGAAAAGCTCATATATCAGCGTGGCATTGTTGGGGTTTATTTGCGTCTCATAAGCTCATGTCTGTTAACACATACTACCTTAATTTCTCTGAATAACTTGTCTACATGTATACATATTCTATTCAAATCGATCCTACTCGGGCCACCATCTATCAATGTGACTATCTTAACTTCTACCTCAATCCAAGTCTCATCTTATCCTATTGCTACCAGACTATTACCAAGCACAATCCATCTCTGCACCCCAGATGTGCCACTATCTAGATACATAGTACGTAAAGTAGTACACTAATCTACAGTCTACATACTCGGGCACAATAAACCTTCCCTTTCTCATCCAATCACTACTAAATAATCACAATCACTATCCAAGAAAATGGGGTCTAGACCCCATCTTTCCAGTCTCTTCCTGTCCCCCACCTAACTATGCACTAACCACATCAATCCCAATCCAACCTGCATACCCCCTTCCGTCCTACCCTCCTTCCCTCATACCTCCGCTCCTCGGCATCACCCCCTATTCTAGCCAGACTCTAGTTTCTGCTCCGATCTAATCCGATCCGATCTGACCCGCCCCTCCTATCCCCCTCTACCCCAAGAATATAGACCCCAGAGTCCCCAGCTAAAAGGGGGGGGGAGTGGAATGGACCGGAGTACTACTGATCGAGTTGGGTATATATACTACTACCTCTACGTACTACTCTATAGTCATGACCTTCTGATGATATGAGCTGGTATACATGGCATGTTATGTTCTGCAGGGTCCTTCATCTATGGCTTGTATTTGTGTATGTGCTCCGTGTCTTATCTGGGACTGTTTAAGATACGTCTGAAGACGGAATACGTAGTCCGGGGCGATGGGCTAGGTGGGTTGGTGTTAGAACTACGGAGGATGGAGGAATGCAGTTGTCTAGATGGGGGTATTCTCCGTATTTGGTGAGGATGAAGCGGGGAGAGGGTTGGGCCAGTAGGTATCTTGAATCTAGAATCTAGACTAGTGGAGTGATTTTTTTCTGATTAAGCTTGGATTGAACTATAACGGAGGACTATGATCCAAGAGGAGGGGATATGCTCTATTTGGATTCTACTAATCTAGAGGTACATTCGGCGGCAGCGAACAGGTAAAGAAGCAATAGCATATGTAATAGTATGTACTGTACTCATTAAGAATCATCGGCCATCTAGGGCATCCGTATAAATCCCTCCATCGTCTATCAGATATACCGGTACTCAGTACGCAGTAAGGGCCCGGTCGACACCGCAGACCGCGCTGAACTGTCGGGTTGCACAGCGCGGGGCAGGGCGGGCGGTGGAAATGCAAATAAGTAGTTACACAAAAGGAAAGCTCTCTATACATTATGGCCTCAAGACATGCATGCAATGAACGCCGGATTCTCGTGAACAACCCAACCCGACCTCTGAAATTCTCCTTTTCTCTTGGCCCGACTCGATGGTCTGAGGTAATAGAAAAAAAAAATGCTTTCTACACCGCAAGGTCCGTTCACCGCCCCCTTTTTCTTGGACCCCTTATTTTATTCTTTCCCCCAGTTCACTGACAGGCTTCTTCCTGACTCGGGTCTGGTTGCTCATTCAGGTCTCTCGACCCTTCTCACCTCCCCAGGAGATGCTTCGACGACTGTGACTGCGACTCTGTCGGGTGTACGGGGAGCTGTTTTCTTGGCCCTCACTTGTATCGCCTGACTGTTGTCTGCTTCCCGCGGGCTTCGTGCCGTCCGCAAAGGAGACCTTCGCTCCGGCATCGACATCGTTGCTCTCCTCGTCGGACTCCAGAGCCGCATCCGGATCATCAGATTCGTCCGAGTCATTGATCTCACCCAGGGCAGCCAGACGACGGCGTCGTTCCGCCGGCGTCTCGCCGGTGTCATCCAGGTCCGCTTGTTGGGGTGGACGGGACAGCCCGGCCGCTTCGCGAAGCTGGGCCGGCGGAATACGTTCGGTGCCATCATCTTCAGAGTCCCGTCGCGACCGAGGACGTGATTTCGGCGACGGGGCTGTCGGACTGCTGAGGTGGATACTGCGCCGCTCCTCGGCTGCCGTGCCACGCGTGAACCGCGCCAACGAAGCGGCAATGTCTCCAGCCACTTCATCGTCCGATTCGTCCTCACTGAATTCGCTGTCGGAGCCGGATTCATCCTCCGCGACCGGCACAGGAATCCGCGTGGTCATGCCAGGGTCCGATTTACGGCGCTCTTGCGAATCGGCCTTCCGCGCCTCTTGGCGAGCCACATTCTTCACCCGCTCCGGCGCATCGGTCTCCTCGACCAGATCCCGCCGCGCTTTGGGACCAAGGTTACGGATCTGCTGAGCAAACTCATGTTTGGTCATCCGGCGACCCTTGTGCTGGATGCCTCTCTTGCCGACGTCATTGTCTTCCGCCAGCGTGAATCGAAGGCCGTCATCCGCCAACCATTCGTCTTGAGCGGCCTTACGGGCGGCCTGCGACGACTCGCCCTCTTCTTCCATGCCGAACCAAGTTCCCATGCGCGTCAAGCCGCGGCGCACTGGAGCATCAGCCTCGGGGGCATCCGTAGAAGGAATGGAATACTTCTTGATGACTTCGCCGTCTTCGTCCTCGACAATGATCGTATTGCCGAATTGGTAAGCGTGAGCTGAGCGACCTTTGCGTTTGGCGGGCTTCCCTGATGCCTCCTCGGCGCTCTTCTTGTCGGTGCGCTTCTGGGCTTCCCGATCGTCTTGATCCTCGGGACGACTCTTGCCGAATCCGAACCACTGGCCAAACCGCATACGAGCCTTGTCCAAGGGGTGGCCGGTTTTCTCACCGACCGCCTCCTCGATTTCTTCTCCTTCAGTCCTGCCGTGAGGTTGACTGCGGGACTTGGCGTATTCATCCGACTGTTGCTGTAGCTTCTGGCGCTGCTGTTCCATATGGAGCTGCTGCTCCTCGGTGGACATGTGACTGATATCTTCGACCTTGAGCACATTACCCTCTTCATCTTCCATAACCATGTTGTGGCCTTCCAGGTAGACTTCGAGCGCAGGCTCGCGGCCAAACTTTTCGCCTTCCTTCGAGGGCGGAGAGACCCCGCGCTCGATCCTGTCGCGCTCCTCGGATTCGTCACTCTTTTCCATTTGCTCGTCCGACTCCGTGTCTGGTGGCCGTTGGGGCGCGATGGCTGACTGACTGATTGGACCACCGGCACCATCGTCGTGTCTGCGACGTCTGCGGCGCCGACGACGGGCAGATCTACCCCCGGTCGACTCCGCGTCCTCGTCCCGAACCCGACGCAAGAAATTGCCAGGGACACCGATAGGCGGAAGCGTTCCCGGCGGATACTCCGGTTCGTTGGAGGATTCCTCTACATCATCCGGTTTGCGGAAAGACATCGAGCCCTTCGCCAAGGATTGTACGCGAGGCAGGCGGTTCATCCAAGACGGGCCCTCATCGTTGGCCGTGGTGTAGGAGAGCGTGATGGTCAAGGTGTTAATCCGCTTTCCTAAGGTGAAGACGGCGATGGAGGAGCCATGGACCAAAATGGATGAGATGACCATGAACGTGGTGACGGGCCAGATCAGCTGCACGATATAGTAATTGGAACTGCCCGGTCCCGGCAACTCGGACTCCGGCCAGGGCTCGGTGCTGTCGGATTCAAGTTCCGCCCGGGCCAGGATAGACGCGAACACCGCACCGACCCCAATGGGACCAAAGTGGCCGGCGAAAAGGGCTTCGCGCCACGTTTTGACGTCCGGGATGATGGGCTTCAGCATCAGCATGATGGGAATGCGCCGGAAAAAGATGACCAGCAGGGCAATGACTACGAGCCTCCAGGGAACAAGGCCAATGGACGGGTTGTTGTAGTCCTCCCAGGGAATGATGGACCCGAAGTACACAAAGTAGGCCAAGTTGAGCAGGAGATCGATCACGTTGGACACGTGCGATTCTTCGGTTTTCTCCGTAAACCAGCCATCGTTACTAAAGCCGACGCCCGCCGAAAAGCCTATGAGGAGATCGTCCATGCCCAACAGACTGCCCGACCCGGCGCAGAAGACCGCCAGCACGAAGTAGAACACCAGGAAACTTTCCCGGTCAATCAGCCCTTTGCGCTCGGCGAATTTGATCGAATGCCGGGCCAGATATCCAATGATGAATCCGTAGACAGCGCCGAAGATACACTCGTACAGAATCGTCACGCAGAACCAATTCAGGGACACCTCCCCGGCATCGGGGCGGTAGCGCCAGATGTAGAATGCTAGGTAGATGAACGGAAAGGCCATTCCGTCGTTACAGCCGGACTCGGCGGACAACAAGTCTCGCAGATGCTTCGGAACTCTTCGCGCGAATTTACCCTTACCGACGACGGACGACGCAAGCACCGGGTCTGTGGCGGTCACGCACGCGGCGCATACGAGACTCTCCAGCCACGAGAGAGGCGGGATCATCCACCAGATGAACAGACTTGTCACCAGCCAACCCCAGGTCATGACGGGCACCAGCAGAAGAAAGACGGACTTCCAATGGCGCTCCATGTAGGCCTTGGGCAATTCGACACCGACGGCAAAACATTGAACGACCAGGACGATGCGGGAACACTCGAGGGTGATTTTGTCCACGTTGCCCCACGAGAGGGGATTGAACAGGTTGGCGGCATGAGGCCCGAAAATGATACCGCAGAGCGTGGCAACCGTGGCTTCGCCAATGTACAGCTTCTCCTTGACGAACAAGGAACACAACATGAACAGACTCGTAAAGCCCCCCAAGATCATGTACGCCACATGCGGCTTATCGATATCCAAATGATCCCACGCCATGATTGCGACGGAGGGAAGGGCGGCGGCGGTGCTCGACCTGCGGGATCGCTTGATTTATTTCCTCCCCGCGCAGGCGTGATCCTCACCCCAATAGCTCTGCACCAGGCGCAGTAAATCCCGAGATACTTCTACCGATCGGAACAACGGGCAATCAAGCAAGGGAGGTCCGGCTC